AAGCTGATTGGCGATATCAATCACACGTGGAAAATATCGCATTTTTTCTCGTGTGATGTTTCGGCTTTTCTCTGTGCTGAAAATCCTTCTACATCGTATTTATTCGAATAAACGCTGAATTTTGGAACAGAAATATTAATAAACGCTGGCCTTGAATAGACGCCACACTATGATGCAGTGTTTATTAGAATAATAGACTAAAAAAAAAAAAAAAAAGCGATCACTGCTTCGATCGCAGTTGGAAATTTTGAATGACCCAGACACAAATTTCTTTGAATATACCAGTTCTGATGTTGAGAAAGTATATCAGACATTAGATCTTCATTCACGTTATGTATTACAGTAGAATTAACATGCAAATTGTGGAATTGAGAACAATATAAAAAAATGACTTCTTATACAGGTACTATAACATGTCTGTGTTTTTTCAAATTAAAAAGGTCAGTTACCACACCATTGTTTGCAAGAAATAAATTGGATTTTGAATAAACGCCGCCCTCGTGTAAACGCCGCACGCGAATCACGAAATATTTAATAAACGCCGTGACGTTTAAATGCAGACAGATAGCGAGGATCACCACGTGAAACAGAAATCAGTTGATGCCTATGAGATTGAAATTCAGGGGACACAGAATGTTTTGCCGCAAAAAATACTTTGGGGGTCATGTATGGTAACACGCTATAACAATGGCTGTTCACACTTTGGCCTGGAGGCTAATTTAGCCAAATTTGGACAGTTTCCAAGTAATTTAATTTCAAAAATATATTTTCGTTATCTGATTCATTTTATCATCACTTAAAGTTGCTAGTTCTTCTAGTTTCCGAAAAAGATTTGGGGGGAAGGGTAGTGGTAGCTGTTATGGAATGTGTGGAATTCAGGAGGATAATGGGTGTGGTCATTTTCCCTTAAACTCCTCTATTGCTCAAATCCATATAAAACCTTGGAAGTAGCCCGGCTAGAGAACCTACTCCAAAGGGAGAGATTGTGAGAACAAGTCTGTTTTCATTAAATGTTTCAACAAGAACGATATAAAAATGAATATAAAAGCGACCTTCGCAGTAATGAAATATGAAGAAAGGTAGTGACTTTTGTTTGACTTGTTGGGAGTATTACGTCCACAGTGGCCTTTGATTTATAGCCTGCAAAAAGTAATCAGAGATTGGAATGAGGAGAACTTTAGTACATAACATTTGTTTCTATTGTCTTTTTTTATTTCTTGCATTCCTTGTATTTCAACGTACACGGAAGGTGGAACAAGACAAACAATTAAGAAGCAAAATATGAAAGAAGTTTAAAGGAGGGTAGTACTCATGTTGACGGGACAGGATGTTTAAGAGGATTGCATTTTATCACCAAGACCTGTAAGGAGGACTAAGAGGCGAATACAGACATCCAGGATTGCACTACTTTCTTCCACCAGGAAAGCCGTAAGATCTTGCAAGGTATGCACGTTGATGAATTGAATTGTGTTTGATAATGACCAATGGCGGATCTAGAGCTCAAGGTCTGGATCTGCCACTGGTGACTCTACAGGTGTTAGTGTGAAATAGCTTTGAGAAGCAGAGTAATGCTCTGCTCGTGCTTATCTCGAAAGAAACAGAGAATTGGTTCCAAACACAGCATATTGTATGCTTGTAATTATGATAATTTCTTTGGACTGTTGCGTTGTGTTCTCTTCATATCAGCTAACATTTTTCCTTTTTCGGTAGGTACATCGCAAGCTTGACATCCTTAGGATTGCACTAGAAGACATAGAAGATGCTTTGTAGGGACATGAATTGATTTTAGGAACAAGACTTTGAATAAAATATTTTGTTATCGTTCACGACAGTCATGATTTATTTTGTCTATCAATAGCTTCCCCCTAACCCCTCCGCTACTCATGAAAAATTATCTCGGCGCTGTATTTGCTGGATTTTTGTTGAGGTGCTACAAAAAAGTTATCAATAGCCAATTTACGTTATCAACTCAGTTGATGATATTAAATTATACTGTTATACTCTCCCACCGACACGGCACCAGAGTTTCTTTTAGAAATCAGGGTGGGGTTAGGTTAAACGTTAGGTTGAACGTTAGGTGAGGGTTGGGCATAGGATTAAGCTCAGAATTAGGCTTAATTTTAGGGGCTCGAGGTTAATTTTAGGGCTTGAGGTTAGGGTTAGGGACGGGATTTAGATTTAGGTTTTTGGCTCGAGGTCTTAACCTCAAGCCAAAAACCTAAATCTAAATCCCATCCCTAACCCTAACCCTAACCCTAACCTCAAGTCCTAAAATTAAGCCTATGCTATGGGAAGGATAAGGTTCTACTCTCTTAACCCAATAAGACAAATGGCTACTGGCTAGTTAGCCAGTACCCATTTGTCTTCTTGAAGCCCTTCGAAATAGTAATCTTGAAGTAGAGTGGTATCCTATGCTGAGAAAGTACTACTTCTCATCTCTTCAAACTACAAAAACAGGGATATGCCTCGGTTGAATAGGCTTCTTGGCTCGTTTGATGACTTACCCTTTTTAAGACTATAACAGCTCATATTGAGGTGATCCACTGTGCATCCTGTACTGTGCACAAAAGTAACGTAATCAGGCGAATAAGCGAGCACGCATTCCGAGTAACGCGGTATTTTTTTTTTTTTTTCAATAAATGGACCAAGTAAAGAGGTACGATGGTCGTGAACAAGCACGGCGACCTATATTTTTACTGCATAATTTTGGTGTACAAATTATTCCCTTTAAATTGGAGAAATTGAAAAAAAGTTCATGAAAGGGATAAAAAGATAGAGCGAAGAGCCTGCACGAAGCCAGATAATTGACGATGCAAATTAAAGAATCACCTTAAGGAGGCTCCATAGGGTTTCTTGAACCTGGGTGCGAACATAGCACACGACAACATGCAAAACATGGCGGCTCGTCGCACGATTGCTCCTTAAGGACCATTGGAGCTGCATTGCTGGATCACTGCGCTGATTTAATGATCGGATATTTAAAGCATCTTTAATGGTGGTTGGGCAGAGATTTTGTCCATCAAAACTATGACAAAATTCTCGAACGTGTTTGGCTATCACCAGCTCAATTTGAGCACTAATAGGACAGTGCACGCGTCATGCTTGTAATGAATAATGGTAATAGGAACAAGTAGAGTCCAATTCGGTCTGCAATCATACGAATGATAAACAAATCGAACGACCGCGAAGTGGGGGTCCAATTTATCATTCACGAGTATGATTACAGACAGAATTGGGCAACACAAAATTAGTCATAACTGTCACAATTTCCGAAAACAAAAAATACATTTAGGACAAATAAGCGCGGTAGAGACAATGTCTACGTAAAAAATTCCTCAACTTTGAAAATTCCACAATTTTTTTTAGGATAAGTTGTTGTTGCTATGGTTATTGTGATCAATTCTGTGATTGGTGGATTTGAATGAAAGGACTACGTATGATTGGCTGCTTCAACTATCCAATTACAGGTGTCCGATTACAGCCAACTGTCCAATTACACTGTCCGATTACAACTCTACAGCATGATTAGTGAAAAGTGAAGCAGCTCATGCACCAATCATATTTGAAGAAATTGTAATGGTTATGATTAGACAGTGTAATAGGACAGTTAACACGTCATACCCGTAAGTGAACAGAACACGTCATGTACGCGCGCTGGTGTTTCGCATTTCGCCGAGTTGTTGTTTTTATTTTTATGAAAACGTACAAACTATGTCTGGTTTCTTTCTCAAATTTTGTCATAGTTTTGATTAATTGTTAACCGGACTTCGTGTCGTCCAATTCTGTTGATAATCATTCTCGTAATTATCTAATCGGACTCCCCCTTCGCGGTCGTCCGATTTCGTTTATCACTCGTATGATTACAGACCGCATTAAACGCCACTCGGTCCTATTATCATTGTAAATTGTACTGTAAGACAATAAGCTTTTCAACATTTCATACAGGATAAACAGTAAATACTACAATGTTAAAAACACACGTTTTCTTGTATGAAATATTTGCAAAAGAACGTTTTTAAATAATTATGTGAAATAGAATCCTACATAATATCAATTTCTGTAGCGATTCGTCAAAATATAAAATATTTTCCTTGCATAAAATTCCCTTCAGTTGTTTTGGATAGGTTATCGTAAAAAAAAAACGCTCCAAATGTGGCCGTTAAAGATAACTTTTGTAAAATAGGCCAAGTATCCTTTAAATAAACCTAGTCGATGTAGTTCCTTCCTGTCAAATACATCTACTGATTTAGTATAAATCTACAAGCGTTCTATCATATATTCTGCAATCCGATTGGCTTACCCACTCGCTATCTTCTTATAAAAAATTGCACCATAAGTATAGAAATCTCGAGCTCATAATTTAACTGAAAAATATCTTCAACTTAACTGAATGTTTTTAACCTACGCTGTTGATTGTTTGCACGTGCCGAACTTAATAAAGTAACTGGAATCTGAAACGTACATACATAAGAGCCGGATATTCAACAAGTATGCTACTTAGGTCTCAATTACAGATACTCAGTGGACCTTGAGATATCGTTTTGAGTGATTTGCATGAAATGAATGTAAATCCACTGTTAGTCGTAAGCCTTCTTGAAACTTTTCCTAGCATCAACTTATAGTTGAACCCTATAGCTCAAGTGAAGATGGATCAGAATGCAGTTTTGTTAAACACCCAAATATTGAATGGATAAGCAACCTTATAGGCTTAAAAAGAAAAAATGCAGGATTTCTTACACTCGTGTTTACTCAAATCAAAACGAATCATTTCAGCGGTTCAAGTTAAAAATGCGTTTAAGTCGTGAGCAAGTTTTTATTTGATAGAAAAAAAAATTCTCCGCTTTTCTGCACGTGTACGCTTGGTATTCACAGATACCACTCAAAAGGCATAGGATGTTAAAAGGTTATCAGGAAAACCAAAACTTGAAAATAAAAGGCGAAATGTGTGAAGTAAATTCCTTTACACAAGCAACAACATCATTTGCGCTTCACACTTGTCTTTAGTAATGGAATATAAGCTGAACACTGTGAGGGAATTCACCACTTCCTCCACAAACCACAAACACTCTGCCATCATCAGTAACAGCCATGTCCGTGATTCCAGACAGTGTACTGTAGTAAGACTCCAAAGAACCATTAGGCATATAACAACGAACCAGCTTGTACAGCCCACTGTATGCAAGCACTTTGCTATCTGCTGCATCTAAAGCAATCACAAGCGGATAGAAGGCGCGTTCGTTTGGATCTTTTTTCAGCATACATTCACCAAATGCCCTCAGGTACTTGCCTTCGTGGTCAAAAACACTTACCATGCAACGATTGTTCTTCTTGTCAACATCTGACACGAAAAACTCGTTGTTGAGTGCAACAGCTTTTGAAGGATGCAGTAGTTTTCCTGAGAGGCTTGTCCCAAAACAAAGGAGTTCCTCTCCGCTGGTGTTGAACACCTTAATACATGACTCGTGGCCCTGCATTACAGGTGTGCACGTGACCAAAATTTGCTCTTCATTCACGGTAGTGAGGCGCGTGAACCAATGAGAGTTAGAAGTCAATTTAACGAGACAGCGTGTGAATCTACCCGAGCTATCAAATACTTGAATCCGCGCTGGATTACCAAACAAACACCCATCAGCAACGGCGATCAAATGCCTCGTTAGAAATGTTACACCAGTTGGCGACTCAAGGTTTCCGTCTTTTGATCCCCGTCTACCAACACAAGCCACAAATTCTCCTTTTTTGCTGTATATTAACACAGCGTGATTTCCTTGATCACTAAGTGCGATATGACCTTCATCGTTTATTGCTACTGCAAATGGCTGGAACTTTCGTTTCAAGGGCTGTGGTATATTAAGAGAATGAAACCTTGTGCCAGGTTTAAGAACCTCTAGGCTCCCCAAGTCATTCGAGTCAGGTGAACTGATTAACGTGTTTGAAGATGTTAATTGTCCCTTCAAGCCTACACTTCCAAACATGTTTCCACTAACACACTGAAGAACTTCTTTGTTTCCCATAAATTCGAACGAATTTTTCGTCTTTTCTGTCTCAGCGGCGGAATGCAAATGGCTCAACTTGGTACACGCTACATTTGCATCTCTGATTCTGTTTAACAAATGCTCTTTATCGTTTGCTACGTCTAACGCATCTCGTAATTTCAAGGAACCCTCGATATGAGTCAATAACGTCTCTGTTTGCAAGGTGAGAAAACACGCCGGATGTTTCTTCTCTTCTTTCTCGACTAAATTATCGACTTCAGCGCACAAGGCTTCTTCTTGCTTTCGCAGAACTTCGACGAGATTCTCAAAATCTTCGCGAATCTTGCGCTTGATTAGTTCTCCTTGTTGTTCCATATCGGTGCGAGCCTCCTCATAGATTTTCCGCACGATTACAAGTGTTTCACTGCAGTCTTTCATTGCTTTTCTGATCTCTTGAATAACTTTCTTGGCTGGCGAATCTCGAATTAAACGCGCTAAATAATCATTTGTTGGAAAACCATCAACTCCACGGTCAGGAATCGGACAAACAGCACGACAGATTGGACAGCGAAAACTCAGCGTATGATGATGTAACAGTTCTTTCAGACATTTCTTACAAATGTTGTGAAGGCAAGGTAAAACCTTTGGTTCAACATACTCCTCCAAACAAATAGGACAGTTTGCCTCTTTACTGAAAATGTGGTCGATATTACTCACTGGCGAAGCCATGTTTCATTCTAAACCGGCGACTAAGCGAAAGATTCTGTGAAGAGTAGTCGCTGATCTGCTCGAAGCTTTGTATTTGTTTGTTTTATAACCACGCGGCGCATATTCAATAAATGACAATAAAAGAACGGATTTGCATATTAAGTATGCGAATGAACACAAAGAGGCCAAGGTGAAAAAAATGGCAACCCTTCAGGTTGTTTCACGCATTTCTGGAACTGCAAAAATTTCCGTAGAAAGCGGCATAATTGATAAAAACGAAATGCTGTGGTTCAAAATCTTGAATTGAAATCTTTATCACGAGACTAACCTGTGTTGACTTCCATGCCTGATCAGCACATAAATTCTTCCTATGTTTAAGGCACGAGTTCAAGCAGATAGGTCATGAGGATTGAGAAAAATATAAAATAAAAGATGCACATTTTATTAGGACAACAAATTCTTAAAACTCTCATGTAAAGAAATGTTTGATCTTTAGTCAGGAGAATTAACTTTTAAATCCTGAGAGAGAACGGTTCAGACAATTGCCTTATCAACCATGTTCTGAATAACTTTTTCAAAAGTACAAGTTGGTGTGTTTTCTAAAACCTTCACTGGTACATCTCATGCCGGAAGCATAGACTTTTAAGTCTGTTTGCTATTTGAAAAACAGTAAAAACGTCAATCACCCAAGTCGTTATGGTTCTCAAAAATGGCGTTGCTTAGGCTCTTTGTAATTTAGTTTTGAATTGCAGATATGTTCCTTTATCTTCAAGTCCTAAATTGCATTTATTTGAAAATTTTACCCCAAGACAAGTAATCATATCTGATTGGCACGATATAAATGAAACACTCTCAATTTTTATTATTCCCAGAGACTAAAATTTTCAGTTTTAACACCACATTCCTTCAAGCGTAAATTCTACAAACTAAACCTACGTTTTCTCACAACCTAGCATTAATGATCTGAACAAACTCAGGCTTAAGAGAGGCTCCTCCAACAAGGAAGCCATCTACATCACCTTCCTTAGCCAGTTCTTTACAATTCTTGGCGTTCACGGAACCTGTGCAAATATTGACACAAATAAAACATTTGAGCAACCAGGCTCTATCTTCTTCAGCGCAAAACACACACACACCATACTCAGGTTTCGAGTCCGGACCTTTCATTTTAAATCAAAGCAATTTCGTTCCATCAAAAAAATTAACAGTTTAAACATATTTCATTGATAGCTCTTGAGATAGAAATACTGTTGCAAACATTAAGCCTAATGTTGTACGAGCAAACATCAAGCGCACTGTTGCACACGGCAAACGAGTTTTCCGTGTTGGACATCTCTGAGGTCCTACGTCTATTCATATAGACGCAGGACCTCAGAGATGTAGTCCAACACGGAAAACTCGCAGATTTGACCAAAAACGCCTGCTTACTATTTAAACATTTGTTTCTACAGGATCATACATAGAATAACAAGGCACTGGTAGAAATAGCCGTGGCTTTAGGACTGATAGGTTACAAAGGGCTTTATAGACTATTGACCAAGCAAAAACACTGACAACCTCAAGATCATTGCAGTATAACTTATCAATTATGAGTTGAAGGATTTCTCCTGAGGTCTTTCTTACAAGAAAATATTCGCATGTTTTGTGTACGGTTCAATAAAAAATTTAGAAAGCCTACCTCCATAAATAATTCTAGTTGAACTAGCGACAGCAGCTGAAACGTTATCAGTAAGCCAACCTCTCAGTTGATGATGGACTTCTTGAGCCTATGAGTTATCAAGTTACAAATTCTTATTCTAAACCAATATCCCGTGAAAAAAAAGGTAAGGTTCCACAAAATTCGGTCTGTTCAGACCTTCAATTTTTCGTCCACAGCGCCCGTTAGTTAGCCCATACTAAAAATGCCAAGAATTACTGACACCTGTAATAGGAGGTGTATAACATAGCAGCTATTACGTCTTCACAATTACAGAACATAGTTCAGTTCCACCTTCACCTTCACCTTCACCTTCACCTTCACCTTCACCTTCACCTTCACACCATACTTGGCGGTTAAAATTTCCTCACCTGTTGAGGTGTGGCCGTAACTCCAGTGCCAATGGCCCAAACTGGTTCATAAGCAATAACCACTTTATTCCAGTCTGAGACGTTATCTGTGGTAAAGCAAGTATAAATTGGAATAAGGGATCATCTTGTCGGCAGGCTCTTTCTCTCACGAGAAAGCCAACTACTACCCAGGAATACAAACAGTTGGAAATTTTATAGCCTCTTTCTGGCCAAGCAATTTGATAACTAAGACATTTTCTGACAATCCATTCTTTGATTTCAAAGAAACTTTAAAGACAGGTGGCCTCTAGGGTTTTGGCATTATCACTTGGGTACCCATACTTCCCTAAAATAAAAATTGAATGGATCCCCACCCCCTATGGTTTAATGGTGCGTGCACTAGACTCCAGGTTGAGAGGTCTGGGTTTGAGACCTGGCCGGGTCGATGCATTGTGTTTTTGGGCAAAACACTTTGCTCTCACAATGCCCCTCCCCACCCAAGAGTATCAATGGGTACAGGCTGATTGTTAGGGAAACCTAATGGACCTTGTGATGGACTTGTATCCCATCCAGGGCTGGGAAGTAATGCTCCTTGTTGCTTCATGCAACATGGTAACCGGGTTACCCTTTACCCTATGAATAGGTTCTTCTCTTTAGATTGAATTCAAGAAAATGAATGACCCTTTTTAAATTTAAAAACATGTTTCAACAGTTCTTCTGTCATCTTCAGTTCTGAATAATACAAAGTACAAAGTTGAATTTATAGTGTGTAACAAATTGCTGATTGGACAAAACAAACAATAGTAACAGAACTATGCATGCATTTACAAGAAAAGTTTTAAATTAACATGATAAAGTTGGTGATTAAGTGGAGGTTTCTCCCATTACTTTGTACTTTGCCTTATTCAGAACTAAAGATGACAGAAGAACTGTCAAAACATGTTTTCAAATTTAAAGTCTATCCAGACCCTTTAGATTGAATTTCCAAATAGGATAGATGAGTAAAACAATCAGAAGTTTTGTAAGATAGTCACCCAGAGAAGTATTATTACAATGGTAACAGTAAAAGTTTAGATTATCACACACCAGCAATGGCTTTAAGCTGCCTTGACACAACTTCCATGGTTTTTCCAGCTTCTCTCTCCAACAAAAGTTCTCCAATACAGGCTATCACATTTAATCCTTCTGATAGAGCATGACCAACCTTCTCGCCAATGAGCTAAAGAAAACACAGTTACACACAAAAATAACTAGATGTTAGCTTGTAAATATTTGATCCTTTTGGAACTATTGTTCATGCCAACATAGTTTTCTTGCATCATGTTTAAATGCTTTTTACTAAAGGAACAATGATGTCTCATTGCATGAGCAACCACTTTAAGAATTTATTTTCCTATATATTTGATATCATTTCCTTTTAACGGAAATGAAAGCAGCCCTGCCAGTCCTGCAATGATAAAAACAAAGTAAAGTGGACTTTGTGGAAGTTAATAGAGAAAAAAAAGGATAACTTTAGCCTGTTACATCATCACCAGAAAATGTTGTCTGTTTAGAATGCACCAAATTAAGAAGTGCATGTGATCAGAAAATTACCAAACTTGGTAGCAAAGATGCTATTTTTCTACCCTCAGTTTGCATCAACAAGGCCATCAAATTGGGAACAAAATGGAACACATGCAAAGAAAAAAATATGCCTATCACTGTGTGAAAAGAACATCATTGTGATTACAAAAACAGAATGGGAAACCAGAAATTCTTTAAGGGTTTTGGGTTGGTTCTGTTTTACATTTTGCAACATATCGGCAAGTTTGTGAAGTAATTGATGGAAAATGGACAAAACAGCTGTTTTTTTTATTACTGCTTGTTTGTTTGTTCAGTTATGTTCACACTCTAGAGTTTGTTCCCTTGGAAAAAGTTATAAAGAGAGACTCTCCTTGTTTCTCTTGAGACCAGAAATTAAGTGTGCAGTGCTTAACCAAATATTATTCCCTGCAAGCACATTCCATACAACTACCAAAGATAATTTCCTTATCTCTCACCTCATCACTCTCTTGGAAAATCTTTCTCCTTTCAGAATGTCCTATGATCACCCAGTTACAGCCAATGTCTTTGATCATTGCAGGGCTAAAATGGATATTTAATATCTGGTTACTTTTACAAACATTAGATATGAAATATGTACTTTCCACCCCAATACAGTATACAAATTGTATATCTGATATGATAAACTTTATGAATGATGAAATTATAGCAGTTATTAGGCTTGTATGGTATGCAGTTCACTATGTCAAGGCCTGAAAGGTGAAAAATGTAATGTAATCTCATGAACAGCCAATAAATTTATCCCAGTTCTTATATAAAGTACAGGAAAATCATCAAATGATGATTTATTGTTAGATGTTTTAGTGTATTAAAAAAGTGAACACTAAGGAGGCTAGAGCTGACTCAGACCTGAGCTGAACATATCAACTGACTTAATTTACAGTAAACCCTTTCAATCCCATGATCTCTTTAGTATTTCTCCCCACTATCTGCCATACACTGCTTATAATTTTCGTTTATAGAATTTGGTATTGAATCAAATGATAGTCCTCTAATTGATATTTTTCTAAATTCTCATCACTTGTTCACTTGAGATTGTGTTAATATTTTAAGGAGAAATTCTGTCTTGGTCACTACTGGGAGTGAAAGGGTTAAGAATTTGTTTGGCCATCTTAAACTTAAGTCTGAGTCATCAAGTGACTAAAAGTACAATAGAACCCTCAATCCAACTCCCTTAAACAAAAATACAGTTAACAAATAGATTGCATGTTGCAGTGCATCTGTGGTACAAACAAAAAAGTGGCAAACAAGGCACAGATTGTTTCACCAATGTTCTTGTCACATTTTGAAATATTTTGTGATCTATTACCCACAGAATCTATTTGTGATACATAATAAAGAAACAAAAAACTGCCAATGATGAAATCATCTATATGTTTGTTTTCCAATGGGTTGTAAATAAAAATCCAATCAAAATGCACTGCAATTCAGCATATTATAAAATTTCTCCTGGATTAGAACCCCTTTTTATAAAATTTTCTCATATCAACTATTAGAAGGATAATTAGAATTCAACACCAAATCTGATAACTCAAATTCTTTTCTGCTTCTCTTGTGACTTTGAGTTAGTGGTTCTACTGTGTTACAAATCACCCTTCATAGGACACTAGTTCATCACAGGCTAACCAAGCTTTTAGTGGGTTCTCCTGGTGATTCACTGGTACTCAAATACATCACTATATAGAGAGAGGTATTGTTTAAGGCCAGGGCTTAAACAAAAACCTTCCAATCAGCAGTCCAGTACACTCACTAACAGGCCACTTTACCATCTCCTGTTTAAATGTCACTTTGGTCATGTGAGCCTATGTCAGCTTGCAGAAAGCAATTTTATTGGTTAACCATTTGGTGACTCAAACAGCTGACTTATAGCTTACGAACTTAGGATTTCTTCTCTAAGGTTTAACACTCTTCTTTAATACCTGATTTCTCCTGTGAAAGCTCCACTGGCCACTTTATAACAATTCTGAGCTGAAACACTAATGCCTGCCTTGACTGCTTTACAGACATAATCCAGATAAATAGAAGGAGGAGAAACTACAACATCTGTTTAGACAACGACAATATAATACCTGTTAGTAGTGTGCTTTTTAGTAGTACACAAGCTTAAGGTATCAATATCAAATTAATCTTAAAACAATAATCTCAAAACAAATATCTTGGGACATTTTTTAACCATAATAAAAATTACTTCTAGCTTCCCTTCAGGAAATCCTATTTTTGTCTGCAAACTCCTGGAGGGGAATGAAGACAACCCATTCAAAAGGGCGGAAAGTTTGACACTTAAATAACTCCTAATTACTGTTTCAAAAGTAAATACGACCACAAAATATAACAAACAAACAATTTCGTGGTCATGTGGGGTTTATCAACACATCAACTAAGTCGCATGAACTCCTATGCGAGACGCCTTTAAATTAGATTTCAACATACAGAGAAAAATTTGCAACTGCATTATTTAATTTACAAAACTCGACTACTCATTAATGACTACTTGTGATGAAAAACATTACGACAGCTAAATACTTTTGTAACAAGACAATGTATATATTGGCCCTAACAGCAGTGGTATGAAACAAACCAGTGGAAGGAGAAAGATCATTTGACGCCAAGTTCTTTAAAATTTCATCTATTTTTCCTTTACTTCCGTTCATCTTCCAGTTGCCACCCACAAAAAATTTCCTCTCCATTGTGAATTCCTCCACAGCAGTACAGATCAACTGAGGACAGAAGTTGACACTTCACCTAAAGAACGATGGGACGAGCCGCAGAGAGGTCGAGGATCGCCTAGGGAAGGAAGAATGAGTGTGGACCTCGGACCGACTGAGTCTGCAGGCATATAAGTCAGTGTTGTGTAGTACAGTCATTTTTTGCTTCATGTAAGGTCATAAGATTTCCTTAAACAAACCCTCGTGAGGGCATGGAGCCAAATTTTTTCCTTTTTTGTTATCACGTTTAAGGATTACTTGAAAATGAAAAATGTGTTTCTATTTGGGAAACTTCATTAAGGGAAACAAATGAAGCAAGCACTATCAACATGTCCCGTGAATATCGAGTGCCGTTAATGTACTAGTAACATAATCACTCGTGACTGAAAACCTCACTTTGCTTTGTTACTGGTCTAGAAAAGTCGCACCTCTTCCTCGACCAATCAGATGCAAAACCTAACCACGACCCGGTCACGTTTGCGTTTCCCTGGTCTCTACGATAAGGTGTTTTTGTAAAAATTCATTTGCAAGGCTCTGGTAACATTGTCTGGGGACTACATATCGGTACCAAATCTGAAACAATAAATGTGATAAAAGAAAATTAGTAAGGTCTAGATTTTTTCAAGCTAAGGAAAACATACATGGAACAAGCTATAGCATTATCCACACTTACAGACTTTGCTCTCTACCATTTTTTTACCCTTCTTCTTCATACCTAACGACTCTCCATCTAACTTTTTCCCACCTTCATAAACCATACATCAAAGACAATACCTGGATACTGCATCACAAAAGGTACACTAAGAGAAGTTGTTGTCAATAGCAATGTCGAGTATTCGTAGAGGGAAGCATTTATTAAAAGAGGGACACTCATGAAAAGTGAGACAAGAGAGAATACATCTCACATAGCGCTTGGGGGTTCAGTTTAAAACTTACTCTAGGAACGCAAGCTATCATGAACGTTTTTCACACGTTGGAATGCAGGACAAAATGAATAGCTTGCCTTTAGTAAAAGATCAATAAATGCTTTACGAATTCGCAGGAGTCAGTTGCGGTACTTTGATAGTATATGAAATTCAAGCCAAGTGGGGTTATCGTCCTTATTAACCTTCTTTGTAATACAAAAGCAGATTCCGCAATTTGGCTATTAAAATCAAGAACTTTGTTATTCTCCTGATCATTAAATCGATGTTACGTGAGAAGTTACAAAATAAACAAACAATACAATGGAAACATGAGAAAATATAACAATTTGTTTGATGTTTATTCCTTGTAAACGACGACATTGCACAGAAAATAGTTTTAACAGTATATTGGACTTGAAGTCCTTCTAAAAAAAGTTACGAGAGCGATACCTTACTTTCATTTGGCAATGTGACCTGCTTACCTTAATTTAGAGCGTATGTACGGTACATCGTCAACTATGACAAGTTAACATTCCTTTCTAATCATTTTAAATTCACCAGTAACTTACAACAAGTAATTATTAGATGTTTGGTGATTCAAAATTAGTAAACTAAAATGAAAATAAACTTCATTTCAAGTCTATACTTCGTTCAGTTCAAGTATATATATTACGATTCGAATTAAATACCGCTGAAAATGCATGTATCCAAGGGATATTGGAAAAAGTTTGAACTATGATACAATTAATAAGCAAGAATTTGAAACTCAGTAATAAAATTGTCAACCGGTTGACTTTTTGTCTATTCACTTCATCCACAGTACAACTTCCTCGCATACCCACGCTTCAAATAATTATTCTGTATTCTACTAACCATTTCAATTTCATAATTGAAGTTAAACTAGGCCTACCATTAAACAGAGCAGGGAAATCAAAGTCAAAAACTGTACACCTAGGATCAATTTTTCTAGAAGCATTTGTGCGCTTTCATAAAGTTAAAACGATTATATTTAATTCCCAAAAATATAAAATTGTAGCCTAGTAAAAAAAAAGGCAAAAATTATACTGCTATAAAAATATTGTATAAAAATATTGTACTAAAATATGTATCTTATCTAACAACATTCTGGTTTTCACTATTTACAAAATAGAGATGAATTTTGGAAATACAATTGAGACTAAACTTCAAAATTTTGAACAATACAAGGGTAATTAAATCTTAAGTGTTCCACCAATTAAATGTTGAGAAGCTGCCAACAGTCTATACCGCTGACGTAAATTGCGGGCCCGGACATGATCATTCAGTATTTCTTCAGTATGATTGGCTGGAAACCAGCCCTGAGTTCCGTCACACAACCTCTCTCCATGATACCACCCTGGCAGAGAACGCAAACACGTTATAAGGTAAACTGCCAATAACATTAACCAGGCGCAGCAAAAGGAAACAAAAGGAAACTTAGTTCTGGAAAAGGGAAATTTACTTACCATCCGGGAGTTTTTTCAAGACATTGATGACGTCACCTTCGTAAAGAGAGAGCTCGTCGGGTTGTTGAGCAGTGTAGTTGTGAAGAGCGTTCACCTGGGGGCAGTCTGTAAACAAATTTAGTAACTAGCTTATTGCTTGGGTCTTAGATAATGCGAAAAGTTTTACTGTAATTTTCATCATGAGATTGTTTCTACAAGAAGAAAATGCATCCCAATTGACATTTTTTTAGTGATCACGCCGCCTCTCTCCCTTACGGTGTATGAATGTTATTGTGAGAAATCATATGGTGACTGGTGATAACAAGTGCATTTACCCCAATCAGCATAAACAGTTTCTCCTTCTTGTTCGGCTACAGGGGGCTTGAAGGCTTCCATCCAACGAGTCTTGTCAGTTCTATGAGAAGGAATTGAACAATCAGAAGATAAAATAGAATTGAAAGCTAACGAATGGAAAATATTGCCCTTGGGAAATATAACAGTAAGCCTAACGTTATAAAGAATGAGCGGGAATGATATAGGCAGGTTGTGTACGATACCGTGCTTTAACATTTATACACAAGGAAAACGGTTGCGTGGATGACTTTTTTTGGTAGGTTTACTGAACGCTCACTCAAATTCTGAATGACTCATTCGAAAAATAAAACAGACCCCTCTCCATTCCCTTACCAAGACAGTGTTTTTCAGGAAATTTTTCTCATCCAGGAAATTACAACAGAATATCGACAAACACCACTAGATGTGAACAACTTACTCAGTGTTTCCAACAAGAAGAAACTCTTTAGTTTTCCCCTCGGAGTTTTCCAATAAAACCAAAGAGAACATGTGATCAACATTCACGCTACAATCCTGCGGGGCCTCATCAACTTGGATCATGGTGCGTGTGGCGTAATCCTGGATTAAGAAACGATTATCGCTAGAAGACAAAAACAAAAAACATAGCGTGACCAACAAGGCTTTAAATAAAAGGAAGACGTTTAAATAACATATCGCATACGTAGGAAAAGGACAAAAACTTGATTGCGCGGGAGGACTGAGACCCCAGCCACAAGTTGCAATTACTCTCGTTGCAAATCCATTCTCAAATAGGGCTTCTTTGCAAAATATGTATAACAACTGACAGTTTTAGAACAAACATTTCAGAAAAAGAACTCCAAATCACTTTTCAGATGAAATAATAAAAACTATGTATAATTAGGTTAGTACCTCTTCTTCTTCGCCACGAGCAGCAGATCATTGAACAGAAACATGTACAACGGTCTAAACTTGGGTCTCAATAACTTCAATGGACTTTTAGAGTCCTCCACCACTTGAAGTAGGTCACCTCGTCTGAGCAAATAACGCGATGACGTGGCGAGAGCGAGGGGCTAAAGATAAACAAAAACAGAAACAGATTGTATCACACTCTCATCTCCATGCTACCTCGCTTTAAAAATTCAACACTTCTTATAACAATTAACTGACAAGACTGTACTGATAACAAATCATCGATGAAAAAGGTCTTTGGTAAATTTCAGTTGCGTGGAAGTAAATATCGTACACAAGATATGGTACTTACGTGTTAGTAAAGAAGGATTGGTTGCGTATTCTCACCTTCGTTTTAAACTCTATCTGTGTTTGTATAACACAAATTTCTTCCATCCGTTCCATTTTTCTTGCTCCCTCGTTACAGTTGTTCACAATCTGAAAAAGATCAAAACTCGCTAATAAACTCTTGAGCCGATGCCGAAGTCTTTCATTAACCTGTTGACCATGAAAAAAAGAATGGCGAAAAAGGAATTCTTTGGATGTTGAATAACAGCATAGCGAAAACAGGTAATAAAATTCACCTTATTGATAGCAGCTAATGCTCGGTCTGACTTGCTAAACTCATCACTACCCGGTTCACATCGCGTACAAATCGCCTGGAAGAGAGGGATGTAGTTAGTAGAGTGCTATGACAGTCACTCAGCAGCAACTTGCTCGTCAGCCCAGGTGGAGGAGGGGAACGGGTGACCAATCCTGAATCTTGTTAACTTAGGATAGCTGAAGCTACTAACCCTCTCCTGGGAAATAAGATTTATTACTGATACCCTAAAATCATTAAAACCGCCATTCAGACAGCTGGGGCGTGGAATAATTCCGAAGAGACAACGCCTGTGAATACCACACGCCTGTGAAAAATGAAGTCGTATCCAGCAAGGCTGCATGCAGTATGTTAACATGTTCTGATGTGGGTCATGTGATGTTTGATCATAACGGTTGATACTTACATTTACGAGCAAGGGAAGCCGTGTTATTCTCTGCATGGGAAGAACTAAAAACGACTGTAGCGTCAAACCCTGCGCTTGATTACTTGATTGGAGTTTCGAAACTGCCTCAAGAAATTTCACATTTTTCCTGTAACAACAACAACAGCACCATTAAGTCGATGAAAACGATAGCTGGGGGAAGATGAGTCATTAAAAATCCCATTAAAAAGCACACGAAAATTTCCGACATCCAGTTAATTTAAACCGCATATCAACACGTGTCGATAAATGGAGAACAGATCATGATACTTACCTCAGATTTTTTAATGCTCTGTCCTGATAGATCTGGTTGGAACAGTATTTTACGTAGACTTCGAAATGTCTTGTGGCCTGTGTATGGAAATATTTCATACGATAAGCGTGCTGAACAAATTATTTTCAGACAGTCGAAACAGGTAAATTCTGAAACTTTGTTTTAAATCTTGAGAAGCAGACGGCTCATTCCACTTACATGCTCTTCGATGATGTCACTGATAGACGATATAACCACAGCCTCTTTTTGACGTGCTCGGAGGGCCTGGAGGAAACTAAGATATTGAGTATTTGTTAGCTGGAAAACTCACTGTAACCCTGGATTCAGCCTCATTGTGATTTATTCTCAGGTTTCTCCCGCGTAGGAGAAAGTTGGTTCCCGAAGAATTGTTCAGAACCTTTCCAATATCTTAACGATTATTGTCAACTTGAAGCGGAGTAGCCCGAGACGCACATGGACTTAGGGATTTGCACTTTTTTCATGCCTCAGCCACCGTAGCGTTTACAAGAAGTTAGAAAGTACTAAAAAATAACTACACTATGAATCACGAAGGGCACCACTTCAGTAACTGTCTAAATGTCATACCCTGAGTCCAAACTTACCTCTCACTGACCGCTTTAATGGAACTGATGTTTGAAAATAGCACATGTGACTGGCCTCGTTCTAGAACACACAGAGAGGAGCCAGAGGACAACTCTTCTGAGTTTATGAAGTGTGATCTAAGAATGTTGAGGCTCTTGAGATAACTTGCCTCTGAAGTGATAACCTCAAACATGGCCTACAAAAAAAAAAAAACATTGGGCACTTGATGGTAAGTACAAATGGGAGTAATACAACGACTAAAAATTTGTTAGAGGAGGACTTCCGCCTTGCACAAGTATCTTGCGGAACAGGTAGTAAAGTATTTCAACGGGCTCAAAGACAAAAATATTTACAGTTGTACCTAAGTATGTTGGAAACGTTTCTCAATACAACAACTTCGTCTCCGTAATGGACTCAAATAACGCCACTAAACTGACTAAAGCCCCTACTTCAATAATTTTTAACTGGATAATCAATTGTGAAACAGAACGGTTCGTTTCACCCAAGCAGGTTCATTTTCCAAGTATTGATATATACCACTCTCCTCTTCATACATATAAAGTAGAGTCCTACTGAACCCAACCCGTCTTTCTAACACTTCTACAGATTGCGTTTATTAACGCAGTGAAACAAACCTCTTGGCGTTTACGTTCTTCTGATTTCATGCTGTCTAAAATTCCGCTTGCTTTAACCTGATGGAAAAGTAAAAAAAAAAAAGAGAGAGAGAGAAATATTATCAAAGTGACTGGAATAACCATTGCTTTACTAGGACAAGGAAAAAAAATTAATCTAAACTAACACTGATCTAGCATTTGAACATTTTCCATGTAACAGAGAAATGCAACAGTGAAATCAGAGTCCAGGAGAAAAACAGAAGACATGGCTCAACCAAAAGCAAAACGGAAGTATTTCCTTTTAAGGGTGTTCCTCAGTGGCGGTTCAAATGTCCCTATCAATCCCTTTTTAGTTAAAAGAACTGAGAAATTGTTATTTGTTAATAGAACAAATTTCAAAGGACAAGTCCATTCCAAGCTAGTTTATGACCCACTTTCTTACTGGAAAATCTTACCTACACCCATGATCCTTAACACATCTATGAAGACAACCATGTCCAAGTGATCTAGGAGTTAAATCTAGTTATCACTAAATTTCTAATCTGACATAGCCTGCAAAGCAGGCGTAATTTTGGCCAGCAATTGCAAAGTACTCTCTTAGGGAAAATTGTGACAGCCATCTTTGATTTTTATGGCAGTTGAAGAGTGGGATGAGAAATAAATTTTTACCAAACGGGTGAGTGAAAGTCAATCAAAATGGCCATTTGGATAAACAATCACAAATTTATAACGTTAAGGCGCCCTAATAAGACGCCCACGTTGCTGGCTACATGTAAACTTGATGATGAAGTGGCCATGAAACAAACCTGTGGTAGTTCACACCATAGCATCCTCATGTTTCTCATTGTTCCTTTTGTTAGTTCCTCCACTTCATCATTTACTGACAAATCACTCACATCACTACTCAGTCTACGACGGCTGAGGTTTCTTTCACGTCGGAGAGTGCGCCTGTTGTAAACTTGGTACAGGGGCTCTGTAAAACAACAACGTAGTGTAACCTACTTACATTGGGCTACTCCTACCACCAAGACAGAGGAGTTTCCAAACAAAACTTGAGAATCGTGTATGACTACGCATTTCATATTTTTTAATGAAGATTTTCCTTTAATCATTTAACAAAATGCAAATGTAGCTCATATCAAAACAAGAGCCAAGAACATACATGCATGGTAACAAAGTACATTATTCACTAACCCTCAGAAAGACTGTCTTTCTCCTCGTCTAAAACAGAAATTATAAGACTTATTATCACAAATAATAATTGTTATTATTATGAGGGTGGATAAGGAGTTGTTAAGTTTACCACAATAGAAAAGCAACCCCACTTCGTTCAAAGGATCAGTCTTTTCTCACAATATGATTAATATGCTCACATTATAGCTACAATACATACAATGATAACAGCTCTGTAGGAACTTAATCAACCTTGCCTTCAAACTTGTTCTAAATAAATTCTGCTCTTAGACAAATCACTAGTAACTTTTGATAATAACTTTACTTAACCCTGTAGCTATCAGAGCTGATTAGCATTCAACTTCTTCCTATCTCCCAATAATATAAATTCATTAACCAGTGAACACGCAATAATTATACTCAAACTTAGCTGCAGGCACAAGTTGTTGCCTTGATCCAACACCAAATTTTCTGTAACTAATTTACAAGGAAACTTGTAACAGCTAGAGAGGAATAATTAACAATCTTGGGAGTTGAAGGGTTAACTAGTCATCTTGTAGTGTACACATCTCTAATGCTGCAACATTAAGTATTTTCAAATATCTGTACCTGAAGAAAATGGGTCCCTTGGAGACTTGACAGAAGGCTGGAAAATAAGAGCAAGAGAGTTATTCTAACTAAATATTTTCAAGAGAAAGTTAGTGGCCACTTTTTTAACATTGCACTGTTTGTGTGTTACCTCCACATAAATTCCTTCTACTCCATCATATTCATCTCCATCTGAAGGTGGCTCAGGAGGACGAAGGTTTTCAGGTGGAACACAGTATTCATGTGATGAATCTGACGAAAATGAGTTCTCTGAAGATGCTATAAGTTGATAAACAAATAAGGAATTTAGAAAGTAACCAGAAATACATCAGTTGCTGCAGTAAAAGGTGTGCCTTTCAAAAGCAGTAAGGATATCATTTTGTTATCATCTTACGAAAACGAAAAAAAAACATAAACAAGAAGAGAGGGCCTCGAGGAAGTAAATTGAGGGTCAAAGAGAAAGAAACTGAATATGAAGTGGGGCCATTCTAAGAAAATTGCTGATTGATTGTGGATCCATTTCATTGATAATTGACAGTGAATCCATTTCCGACATATTTCACCGTACTATTTAAATAATTATGTACTTTTATCAATAAAAGGAAATATATACCGTCATCATCGTCATCGTGGGGATCTAGTTGTTCATCACTTTGTTCCACGGGTGGCTCCAAGTATTCATGACCATCACTGTTAGACGAGTCTGTCTCAGTGTCATCTGTACTCACATCTGTTACATGAAACATGTTCAAATGTCACAACACTGTTGGTTCATAAGTAAATCATGGCATAATAGACTCAATTTCCTGAAACAAAGTGTTCAAGACTGCTTGTCTGGATATAGAGCTGAACACAAAAAGGCACCTACACAGTAAAACAGAGTCAGTCTGAATATACAGCAGTTTATATGAACCTGTACTTAGTACCCATAGAGCCATTGTTAATCATCACAAAATAATTTATAGCTAAAAGTTCCTGTTACTGTATTCAACTTCTAAGTGTCCATCTTAGAAATACAGCTGATAATAACTCATACATGTGTGTATTTTGGAATTCCTGATATCAAAACCACAAGAAAAGAAGGATGATGACATAAACCAAGCACATTGTATCACCAGTTTTCACTTTCCCTCCCAGCCACCTGTGTGCCTACAGCCCTATGGTCACTGAAACAATGGTAAGGGTTTGCTTTTTAGGGCTGATGAACACAGCACCAAATGTTAACTTTTTTATTTCCCTTATCATGGTGCAAATATGTCAGCTTACCAGCAGTCAATCCATTCAGTGTCTGCTTCCTTTTTAAACTGCTCATAAGCCCAGCAACAGTTTGCTCATCAGCAACCTCGTAAGATGCCAATGTACTCTCCTCAGAAATATCCCGCATAAACTCATTGACAACATTTTCATCACGTGTGACATATGCACCATTGTCTGCCACAAATGAGGGTGGGTTGGGTGGAATACATTCTGATACCACTTGCCTGGGTGGTGTCCCTCCAATGGAAGTATGGTTATAGGCATAGGAGTACTCAGATTGATCTAGTAAGAGATATGCAAAGATACATACAAGCTGTGACTATTAAAGATTTACAATTTCTTCTCTAAAACAAAACTCAGATTTTCCTCAAGCAACATTGGGAAATAAGTACACATATGCAGGGTTTGAGTCAGGCTGTGCCATTGTGCCAATCCCACACTGCAATTGAAATTGTCCCTTAAAAAAATGGCCAAGGGGACAATTTGTCCCCTTCAAAATTTAGAGAAAAAACTCAAAAAGAAGCACATATGAAGAGTTTTATTTCAGTACAGAAATTACAAGCTGAAACAGAATGTGGAAAGTATATTTTATCACACATTTAAAGTTCATTCTTAAGTCACATTTCAGTCACACTTTACTGCACACATACGTCTCATGCTCAACCAAGCATGGTGAATGCACCTGGCACTCTTTACTGCCCTTTTCACAAACATGCGAACTCTAAAGTTCAAAAGCTGCCTTTACAATTGCATTTTTCGCTGCTGTCAATCATAATTATGATCACAAGCAATGAACCTTGAAACACAGAAACACACCAAATGGATTGAAATCCACCAATCACAAATCACAAACGATCACCTTTTTGAACCCGTTAAAGTTGTTTCCTAAGAGGTCCATTAAGACAACTGACAGCAGCAAAAAATGCAATTGTCAAAAATTAATTTGTCTGTCCCCCTAAAAATAAAAATGTTCCCCAAAATTTTTGCTAGGGGGACAAATTGTCCCTCAGTGTATGTCCCTCAGTGTATCAAACCCTGTGTATGAGGAAAGAAATGAGAGCAAGAGGATGTAGTGGCCTTCACATGGGCTTCTCTCCATAATGGGGCTGGTTTACAAATTTCAGCAGAAAGCCTGAAATTATTGGTTATACACTTTGTTTATATATATGTGTGGCAGAGAGTGCTTGGTTAGAACTTTGAAAAGACATTTGAATGTGAATGATAACACAAAGTAACAATGACAAAAGATGAACACTAAGGGTAACAATATATCATTACCTTCAGCTAATGTAACTCTTGGTATGTCTCCTACTGATACAGACTTGCCCAAAGTGGGCTTGAAAGCATCTCTCTCTGTCTGTTGATACGCAGACATTGGTCGTGGGCGTGGCATGACAGGCAATGGTGGCACTTTCAGTATTGGTGGTTTTTCCATAATAGGATTAACTCCTGGTGGAAGAGGTGGAGGCCGCCTACTGGCTTGTGCAAGTTCAGCTGAAGGAACATGAGGGTTTAGACGCCGTGAAAGAGGACGAGAAGCTAATCTTTTTTTGCGTTGTTCAGGTAAAGATGATTTCCTAGCAGGGCCTTCAAATGATATTCCAAAAGTTAGTCAAACTGTCTCAGCTCATGTTTTTAAAAAACTGATAATAACTGATAATATTGATAACAAGGAACCATCTGAACAAAGAAACAAACCAGGTATCTTGTTTACAGCTTCATCTGAGGGATAATTCTCCTCCTCTTCAAGATTCTCCAGTGTTTGTGACCTCACTCTTGCAACAGCCTCTGCTGATGGAGGAATGGGTCGCTCTGGACGAGGCTTCTTTGATTCCTTTCCTATTCGCCAGATGTAAAACATAGATTTCAATAGGTTGTAGGTTAAAAAGCAATAGTTTCATTCCAACCACAGTCTCAAGCTGTAGGCATTGTGGACCCCATTTCTGTAAAATCCTCTCACAATTCAGTTTACTCTTTTTATGAATTAGGTCACAAAGGAAAACTGCGAATTGATGCAAACTTTCCCATGCATTAGGAAAAAACTAGAATCAGGTGTGTAAAAAGCATACTATGCTTTTTATTGAATGGAGATGCTATCATAGAAAAATACTATAATCACAAATAAAAGTGAAAAACTGTTAATATCCCTACCATGTTGAGGAGATGTGACCTGACTTTGTGATTTTAGCAGTGAAGTTCCAGGTCTAGAGGACAGTACAGGTTTTCCCACTTCACTGACCTTTGCCATTACTGTCGCAGATTTCAATTTTGACTTGTCTGGGGATGCACCTGATGTGATGTTACGAGGTGAAGGGCGTGGTGAGGACAATGGAGAAGCAACAGGTGAAGGAAATACAGCCCCTCCTGTTCTGCTGCCATTGTCATCTCGGAAAGGAAATACAGGTATTGTTGATAACTTTTGAGCAAGAGCAGCAACAGATTTTTGTGATTGGTCAGTTTTAGGTGACAAAGATAACTCAAGGGGAGGTTTTTGTGGTAAGTGTGGTTTACTTGCTGACAGTTCACCCATTACAGGCTTTTGACCGGTAGTACCCATTCCTTTAGGAAAAGAAGGAAGAGGCTTTTTTGGTGGCAAAGGCTTTGACTTCTCACCGGCACTTGAAATTTCAAAATTTCTTGTATTTTTTATATTCTCCTCAACAGCTTTCAGTTGTCTTGTGTCATTTGGTTGAGGAGGATGCTGTGGGGAGATTACACTTGCCACACCACTAGTTTTATAAGGGAGGCGGGGTGACATTTTGTTAGCAATGTTGCTGATTTTACGTTGGACAGGTGGAGATACTTTAATGTCTCTGTTGCTAACTTTGTGAAGTACAGGTGGGGAGGACTTCCCAGCTGACCAACTTGGGTCATCAGGCCTGGAAATTAAATACAAGATTTATTAATACCTCTTAAAGAAACAAATTGTGTGTTTTATTTTCTGATCACTTCTTGGAAAATTCAAGAAAACTTTTATGCAGATGTTAAATTTTTAAGTACATACATGTAAATATCTTATCATTAATTCCTCTTATAGCAATCAAAATATAGTTAACAACCACAACACTAAGTGAAGGTTGGGTGCCTAAAACATCCAGGAGCTTCCATTGTTGGCAGCCAGCTCCCAGATGGAGGCTTCTCCCATGGCTGGCAAATCCTGGCAACCCAGCCATGAGCCCCCTCACAGGAAAGGGAAACAGGCACCCGTCACACTGAATAAAGAGTGGAAAGAGGTAGGGAAGGGGTGGGGAAAACTGCCTGGAAGATGAGGTGGCTCTCCTCACAACACTGCAAGTTCACACTCAAACCACATTCAAGAACGCCTCAAGAGAAGAGCACATGGAATTCCAATGCATGCACATATGTGAAAAACTGCTGACTACTAGAGAACGCTGATGCTCTTTGTTGTTAACTCCATTAAATTGCATTGACTACATTTATTGTACACAATCTCAGAGATAAAATATAAGTACAAATTAGAGGACAGTTTTTTTATTATTTCTAATATATAAATAAAGGTACCACAAACTTGAAAATAAACTGTAAAAAAGGTAAAACTGCAAGTTTCCTAACAGAGCAAGATTTTTCATAATTTTTTAGTTTTATTCAGATGCACCTCAACCTTTTAACCCCTAGCCCCTAAGAGTGACTAGCACCTAGTAAGTTTTCCTTACAATATCACCCCTGAATCATCCATTCAGGCCACAAGAATAAAGGAAACAATCACCATCTAAAGAAGCTCTTGATTCTTAAACAACATCTCCTAGTCATCATCTTAAGAAATAAGTCGGGAATGGTAAGGAGAATATTGCATACTGATGTTAGGGTTTAAGGGGTTCACTCTTGTCAACTGACCTTGAGGCAGTAGCTTTGCTTTCTTTACTTTGTTCTGCTGTTGGTAATTCCTCATAAGCATCATCTGAGCTTGACTCATCACTACCTGGCCTTGGTCTTAAAGGTTGATACCACTGTTCGTCTGTGGAGTCAACTTTTTCAGGTCCATTTTCAACATGTTTTGTGTCAGTGCTGTTTGTGATACCAGCAGAAGTCATTACATTATTGGACGCTAAATTGTCTTTACTTTTCTCTGTTACTGAATGTTGTTTTGTTGAACATCCTTTAACGACTGGTAACTCATCATTATTGTTGTTTGATGGAACATCTTGATTTGTTTCCAGTGGTTTTTCAGCTGGTGCATTTGGTGGTGGCCGTCTCGGCTTTGGAGGTAACACAGGCTTAGGAGCTGTAATTGCAGGTTTTCCATTCATGTCTGTACTGCTGAGTCCTTTGGTTTGGTTTCGTGGACGGGGCACAGGGCGAGGCCTGGGAGAGGGAGGCTGGACAAGTGAAAGTTTTCCTCCAGCCTCTAGTGTTCCACCATTGTTTTCTTCTTCCATCCCTGATAAAAGACCATAATATTGTTGGTGAACATATTATGTACAAAATGTTACTCATCTATCCTATAACAAGTTTCACTTTGGTGAAAAAAGAGGGACAAAAAATGGAAGTTAACTGATAATCCAAAAATATTTCAACTCCTGAAATTCAAGTCCCATACATTACCTTCCTTTAATGTGCAAAACAAATGATTAAAATAACAAAATTATTGACATAAAATATATAATTTAAATCATAGGTAACACATAAATTCCTCACTAAACATTACCTTGCAATGCAAATAACATCAGTTCCCATTCCAGTCAAAAAAGTAAAATGCTTAGAGGGCCTTAATATAACATACAGTGGCTACCACTTTTCCTTGGTCCCATGGTACATCATTGTCCCAGGGTTATGCTGAATGCAAAATTCAGTTCAATAAAATGTTCCTTAGAATGTTAAATAGAATGAACATGCCAGACAAGTATGTTCACTTAGTAGAAACAATTCTGAAAACCTTAGTCTTGACTCGTTGAAAACTTTGTCTCTTTCTATTCAGAGAAAGACCATGAATGATCCCACATCTTAGCATTCTTGAAACAAGGGGAACTCAACTCTTCAAATAACAATTAGGATTCATTACTTCATAAAGCTCTTCTATAAGCAGCAATTTTTATGTTGATGTCAATTTCAAAATTTCTCTCTCACAGTTTTAAGCAGTGTTACCAATTCCCAGTAAACCACTTACTCACATAATTCACACTTCAGTATTGTTATGTGACAAATTAGTCTTCAAATAGCTGCCACCTATTCATTTCTCTACGTGGTACCAGGAATGCCAATTTCAGAGAACATTTAACTCATGTCTATACACCTTACAGATTTCATTTACTCTTTGTTTCATTCTAAAATTCTACACTGAAGCTTTTGCATCAGAACCACAAGAAATGGCCAAAACAAATACATGTGGACTGAGCCATTTATTGGTCAATGTTGGACAAAACAAGCATTGTTAAAGCTATGAGCTAACAATCTGTAAAGAGCCAACCGCTTTTATTCCCACATTGTAAATGTGAATTGAAATAGAAAATTGCACTGTCAGTAATGATAAAGTTGTCAAGACTACTGAACTATTGATACATACTGTCTATGATCTCTGTTTTTTACGCTGGCAAGCTAATATAACTTGTGACATTATAGCCTAGCACAGCCTTGTTTGCTGTGAGTCTTTGCCGACAGGTGACTTTGATGCTTTGAGTCTTGTGAAAGTTAAAATAATTGTCACTTTCTGGGAACGAACGAAACTGAATGCCGCCTTCTCGTGTCCACACTATACCTAAGTATACTTCACAATATCTGTAATTGATCTTTGGGTCGCAAATTTTCATGGTTAACGACAATGTCGTAAATGTTATTTTGGGCGACTAGAGACTAAAATAAACTTACAACAAAAGTCATTTAATAAGGAAAGTTCTTAGAGGTGTTACTCGTTTGTAGATAACCCTTCAATATGTTATCGATAGGCACCCAAATCCTATTTCACAGAAGCTCATTTACATTCAATGCAAGACAAAAATGAAAGTAAACTCATACCAATTTATCATTCTTGTCATACTGTGCATCACAAACGAAGAAGCCTAAACGTAACATTTTCGTGTCCAATTGCCAGCTGATTACAACTGAGGTAAACAATACGTTCTCTGAACCACTCAAGATAGAGATTGGAAGATCTCGCTAGTAGCTCAAGTAAGGTGATGCTCACTTTGAAACGTTAATTATATTCAAAGCCTAAGGAGGCCGATATCACGAGCGAATTGACAAATACTCTTGTTAAATGATGAAAACAACAAACAGGACCGACTACCCCAAAACAAAACAATTCGATGAATCGTCGAAGGCAAAAATATTTTTTTAAACTTACTTGTCACAATCCCTCAAGGCGTAACGACTGATAAAACAACATCCATTACGACTGAAGCAAATGTTTTCTCGGCGGTTGAGGTATCAAAAACAGCATTATAGATGTTTTAAAGTATCGGAAGTGAAACGCTAAGATATTTCACTAACAGCAGAGCTTTGGCTTCTTTGGTAGCAACCGAATGCGCAATGCAAAAATTATGGAGGCAGAGTATGCGCATTTCCGCAAAAATTATGGGAGACTGGGAAGGAAAGTGTTTCCCTACTCACCCGAATCGAACGGCAAAACCGCGAAAAGAACCATTTCCTCTGCAGTAAGTACTATATATCCTTTCTTTCTGAAAGCCTAACACTAGATACAATGAATTTTATAATGAATCATTATTGCAATCAAGGCGGACAAGGACAAGGCAGCGCAAGTTGATTTTAGCTTCCGTTCTGTCTGTTTCCTGCTCTAAGAGTTTTAAAATCATTCGTTCCATCTGTCAAATCATCTTTCGCAAACGCCTGTGCGTCTTTGATCCCGGTCATAACCAAACACGGGCCCAAATCAACACTATAGCTTAAGGATTAGACGCGCGACATCATATATCTAGCTCGTTTAAAGGCCCCGAGACACCAAAAATAACGATTACTGTTACCGGAAGTCATGGGTTCATTGCCACCGGAAGCAGTGAATACACATTCAGCCACAAGGTGTTTAAAAGTCAACATAGTGGTTACGTCATTAGCGGATGGACTTGACGTTTTTCCTTTTTTGCACATTAGTGTCTGGTTGTTTACGTCATGATTAGAATGAAGCCTCAGAGGGAAACTCCAACACTGGCTTGTGATCACTTCCAACCAATTTTTTTTTTGGCAAATACTGAAGTAAAGAAAAACAGATGTTTTAACATCTCTTTAAAAAAAAAAGATTTCATATGCCATACTGAATCACATCGTTAATGGTAAGTAAATTCACAAAACAGTTGGTTCTTACTCAGAGTAGGATTTAAGATAAAACTCAAAATTTTGACTAATATCAAAAGTAGCCAATTCATCCATGCATGAGGTTTTGCAAATCTATAGTTTATAAAGTTTTCTAGTGTTTATTTCATTTTAAAATAATCTTTCTATTATAAGCTGAATGATACATACATTTAATTAATTCTTACTTATGATCTATGGGAGGATAGACGCTAAGATGACGTTACAATTACCAAATTTTTCTGCTTCTTTATTGTATAAAAAATATATTCTAAGTTGCGGTAAGTCTGTTCCTTAAAAGAAAACAGAAGATATCAAAAGTGGGAAGAAAATCACTGACACACTCGGTTGCGCCTCGGGTATCACATCTTGACGTCACGTACAACAGCGTGGAATCTGTTTGCCTTAACTGAAATCAATTTCTCTCATTTTTCTTTCCTTGGAAAATCTCACATTAAGCTGACAGTGGTGTTAGATTTTAGTCTTCGTTTCAAAGAAGGGCTTCGGGAACTGCTGAGATTTGCGTATTAAAATTCTTTGATCGGTGCACTTTTTTTAGCAACGATTCCTTTGTTCAACTTCCTGATACCAAAAATCGTATAGCGGACGATACACGAGTCATGAATGTGGTTCTGATAAAATTTTGGAACAAAATTGAAAAACGACTGCTGGTTTCACGAGGGTTAACCTTTGTGAGATAGGAGGGGATGAGAATATAATTAAAACAAATTTTTCGGACGTCAACATCCCATGTTAGCAAGAGCCAGAGATCCAAATACGATTTTTAACCATGAAGCTAATCCGCACAGATAAAAAAACAACAACAATTTGTTTCGTGAGAAAGAAAATCGAAGACAATGGAGATATATTCGCGTTCCCTCGATATCACTTGAATCACAGATAAGTTTGCTGAAATTTTTCTGTTGTAAAAAATTATTAAAACAAATTATTTTGCTTACTAACAATGGAGTGTTTAGCAACTCCGTGTGTGTTGTTTTTGTCGCTACATTGTTAATAAAATGATGAAAGAAAAGGCAACACTTCTCAGTAAACGTACTTCGATAAACCTCAAGCAATAATGTAAGCCTAAACGGATGTTTTTATGATGCACATTCGAAAAGGATAATTTCATTGGAAGGCAAGATTACGTAGTCATAAGAGGCCTTGGACACAATTAAGCTTGTGACGTTTCTAAGTTTTGCGGTTAATAATATTTAAAATAGTACAAGGAAAAAAAATCCTACCACGTTTTTTTGAGCTGCTAAAAGGTAGACTGTATACTCTGACAAAATATAAAGGGATTTTGATTTTTCAAGATGTTTCACCTACAGAGGAAACCCGCCTTTTGGCCATCTGGTTATAACGGCCACATTTTCGCCCTGCCAAAACAGCTATACATTTTTTAATATTAAAAAAAATCCTTGTTAATTGTGACACATAACACTTTTTTTGCACAAACTATTCATAATGTAGATGGAAAGAGGTGCACCCTAAATAACTCTCCAGGTTCATAACTCTTTTATTCATCAGTCCAAAAATAATGAAATGAGAGGTCTCTGCTTTCGTAAAAATAACAATTAATGACAAAAATCTCTCAAATAATACGGTGCAAAACCAAACTTCAGTCACATCTCTTTATTGTTTCTCCCACGGTTCGTGATCTACCTATTTGATAATCATTAATCAGCAGTTAGATGTTTTAGTTACCCCGGCATGAAAGTCACAAAATTGCTCGTAGGTTAACATTACGGCGGTAATAGGTCTCATAAGCAGCAATAAGCCGCCGGCAACCCCTGTCATTGTTGTGATATTTCCAAGAGTTACAGTAAAGAGGGAATACTTGATAACTTATAAATTTCGAAATTAATTAATCCACAACATTGAAATCAAGCCTTACGCAAAACACAATTATTTCTTCCAAGGGACTCAGTAGTTACACTACTTAATCAGCATGGGGCCTGCCAGTTTTTCAGCTACACCATCATCACCTCGCACTGCACGGACAAGTTCAATGCCGAACTCAAAGGCTGTTCCTGGTCCTCTACTAGTTACCAAGTTTCCATCTCTGACCACCCGGTCTTCAGAGTAGCTATAACCTGACAAATCAAATGACGACTTCATTAGTCATTTTTAACAGTGTGGAAAACCAACTGAGAAGTTACAAGTGAGTTTTTCATACCTGAATAACAAGACTTATGATTACGTGTGCACATGTTGTATTTTAATTTTTTCCTTGTCTTAAATTGAAAAACACCAGCTGCACTTTTATACATAACCTGGTATACATTGCATATTACTAGTAACTAGCACTAATAAATGAATTATTTACCGTCCAATTTATCTTTCACAGATGGATGTGATGTTACAGTCTTCCCTTTTCCAATTCCATGGGCATGAAGAGCTGTTGGAGCTGAAGAGGCAAATACAACATAGTTTACCTGGAGTTTTTACTCCACATACTTTTTTAATTGTCTGAGATTACTTATTTTGGAAGGGGTGGGGGGGGGGTAAACAAAAAAAAAGGTTAAGTCTGCTTAAGACTCTGATGGCCCTCAAGAAGCTGGAGTTTGTCCTAGTTTCTGTGGCATGAGGTGACAAGGAGTACGGCTACTCCTAATCTATTTCAAGCTGCTCCCCCTGACATTTTGTTTGCCTTTCCCAAGAGGCAGTTTGCTGTACCTTGGATGGAAGGGGGGGGGAAAGAAGAGAAAGTAGCATTGCAGTGCTGCCAGTAACCAATTTAGGCCATAGCATCTTTACTCACACAGAAAAGTGAAAAGTTCTTTTAAATTTCTTGATTTACATATTTTTGGGGTAGTAAGCCATGTTTATGCATTTATTTATACCAGGAGCCCATTATCCAGGAGCTTCCATCTTCCATACTTACCTTCTGAGTCAACCCCATCCCATATCTTTTTATTTTTAGAAGCACCTCCCATGGGGTTTTTCATGGGTGTTTACATACTAGCCAATCATTTTTTTAGGGTGTAGTGCGAACATCAGCATGTTTTCGCAGGAAATTAAAGCACCCCCCCATGTATCTCAGCTCTAAAAATAAAAAGATACAGGACAGGGTTGACTCAAGGGTACAATTGGTATGGTGGCTCCAGGTAATGGGTTCCTGTTTATACCCATCCTGTTGATTGTTTTGATAAAAATTACCTGCACATATGGCTCCAATAATTCTTCCACTTTGTTCCTGATCTTGAAGGATTTCTTTAACTTTAGAAGACTACCAAACAAGATCATCATCACCTGATAATTACAGTGTATATGCATGGCACTCAAGTGGGGGGTTATTCCCTCTAAGCTATACAAATGCTGTTTAATATGTAATCCAAGTAATATTGATCAAATTGAAAGTATCTAAATGTGATTTAACACAACCAACCAAACACCTAACAGGTGAAAATACCATATTTCTATAGGAGGGCTCTAAATCAAGCAGGTGCTTATTTAGCTAGCACAGTGATAGGACAAAAATCACAAGAACTAATAACCCAAATAAGGAAACTCTACAAGCACATGGAGATAGAAATGACTGGAACAGAAATAAAACCATTCTTCTCCACTGACTCTGCTGTATTAAAGGTTAAAAAGTTATAAATAAATTGGCAATAGAAACAGGTTTTCCTTGTATCCTTACTATTTCAAAAAGTAAGGGAGGAGCAGAGGGTGGTCATTTGAGGGGGCTCTTGTGAGAAATTATGGCCTAGGGGGTGGGTGTTTATTTAGGGGAGCCAGGGCCCATTAGAGAAAGGATGCTTCTTGCTTATTCAGTTTTCCTCCTGAACAGGACAACCTCCAGAATCAAAAACTGTACACAGCTATAGCTGCTTTCATTCAAATCATGATTCTTGAAATAATTAATTGAAGGCCAAGAAATGTCTGAAAATGATCACTTCACTAAGCATTTATTCTTTTACAAATACTCAAAGTATTAGGTAAAATATAAATCCTGTTACTTCCCATAGTGTGGTCAACACATAGTCCAATTTATTGCTCAATATATTTTTTCATAAATGTTTGTATTCCAACATGTTACACTCTGAAGGACAGGAATGACCCTGATTTTACATCAAATGTATGGACTATTATATAACATCATAAAATAATTCAAATAGTATGTGTGCTCTGATTGGCATATAAAACCATTTTACATGAGCATATGTAAACACGGTTTTCATTCCTCTTTCATTAGTTATTTTATAAAAGAAATGTAAAATGGTTTCTGTGTTTACATAGCCAGATGTAAACACTTGGGAGGTTGAGAGAACACTCGATAAGCTGGAAAACACTCAGCTTCGCGTTGTGGTTTCCTACGCTTATCTCGTGTTCTCCCAACCTCCTGCGTGTTTACATCAAGCTATGTAAACACGGAAACCATTTTACATTTCTTCATTAAAGTATCAGTATCAATCTGTTGCAATGGCTATAAACTTCAATATCATTTGATCATGACAAGAATAAAGGAGATAACTATCATTTAAACATTCTGTATATGCAATACTAAAGAGATGAATGTATGAGTACCTTTGCCAGATTGTTAGATCCTCCTAGTCCTCCAGGCAGAATTACAGCATCAAATGGACCCTAACAGGGTTAATACAATATAGGTTAGCAAAACACTGGTTAGGCCATTGCAAGTCTCTATGTTGACTGATGATCAGTTGTCACATTCAGTGAATTACATCTTATATCATTTGAGGAGCAAAATCTAGTGAGAGTATCAAAAAACTCTTGATATACAAGGTTGGAAAATGTTGCAAAAAATAACTGGCAGCTGGTGAAATTAACTGTGTACTTTGTGGCTTGGCTGCATTCTCCTAACTGTTAGTTTTCCTAATTTATAAGTAACAGATGGTAAACCAGCCATCCAGCCCCTTCAAATAAAAAGCTTCTTCCTTCAAAGTTCTCAGACAACCTATGGATAAGAAGGCTGTACAACAATTATTGGTTCGATATATTAAATTTCACATGGCAACCAGGTGGATAATCAGACAAAATTTGATGCCACTACAGTTTAAAGATTTGATGAATGTAACCAAGAAGTTACAATTCATAGACCCAATGTTTCGACACTCCTCTCTAGTGCCTTCATAAGGGGTCATCTAATTGCTGCAACAAGAGGTCCTTTTATAAGCTCTGACAAGGTGTAAATAGGTGTCAGGTAGTGAGCCACCATCATCATGATTTAACAGAGCATGGTTGGAGTTGATATGCCAGGCTTCCAAGCAAAGGTGCTGGTGGAAACGTCAATTAGTGGTGATAACTATAGACCTATCCCACCCAATTGTATGGTTGGTTTGATATGTGTACTCCAACAAAGCTGAATTTTCATTTTTCTGCAAAAGAAGACCGCTTTTTGATGCTCTCTCAAACGTACCATGATCACAGTCATTGCAAGGAATAGAATAAATAGCGTCAGATCACCCCTGATGAAGGCACTAGACAGGAGTGTTGAAATGTTGGGTCTATGAATTGTAACTTCTCGGTTACTAAATCTTTAAACCAGAGAAGCATCAAACCATGTCTTAATATTAGTACCCTGCCTACCTACTGAGGGTTCAGATAGCTTTTCCTAATTTCTTTCATTTCTCTTTTCATTTGATCTCTTGCAAAGTTATCCCAATACAATGACAATAACAACTTACAAAAACATTAAAGCTAACATTTATACCTGTTTAACTGCATCCTCCAGACTCATGTCTGGTTTAACAACCACAGAGCGACTGCAAACAACTGAATCTGCACCGGTCAGACCTCCAATTACTGTTTTAACCTGCATAAGACATTGTTTTTTCCAATATAAATTGTGTAACTTCATTTCTTCTCAAAGAGGACTTTGAGAAACAACTAAGTGCTGCTTTCATTCTGTTTTTCATGTCATCAAACAATTGATTTTTAATAAAACTTTGGGTTCTTAAAGTAATCTTCACCTCACCTCTGCTGGACATAAATCAAACAGTAAAAACATTATAATTTTAAATTAACTCTGTATTCACTGTCTCACATTTCCAGAAAACAGCAAGGGAAGCTAAGATGTAAATAACATATGTGGGTGAGGCTTATAGTCAAGGCTATCAGTTTCTACTTAAACTGTTGAAGCTGCTTTATTGGGCATGAGGAACAAGTTTTGGATATTAACTAGTACGTATTAATAGAGAAAGATTTGTCACAACAACTATGTTTTTACATGTATGGTTCTTGTATCTGTGCTGAACATAAGGGCAAATTCAACAAATTCTTGACAACTACACTGTCCTAATGGTCTGACAAAGGGTACAAACTTGAGAGGCCTGGTGGTCTGAAAAAGGATTTGGAAAACCATACAGAACTTGCTGTTAACACCAGAGATTTGGTTACTTCTGAAGTTCCCAAGCTACACACCCAGACACATTTGTTAGGACACCTACTACCTCCTCAGCCTCTCTTAATGTTGGCCTGCAAGATGGCATAGACACATTGGTAATTAACAAAGTTGGAAGGGGGAGAGGGGTAAATTAACACCTTGGACGTTGCTCTGGGAAAGTGTCTCAACTAGAGGTGTGGTAGTTGTCACATAAAAATTTGACTTCAAAAAGTCTAATTTAATAACGAACTAGCCTCTTCTTCAGTTCTTATACTTCTGTCATAACAGCTGCAAATGCAACAATATCGGAATCGTTGCTTCACTTAACAGTTCTATAAATCACTACCTCCCAGCCTCACCCTAGGATCCCTTAGCCCGGGAATTTTCGAAATTGTCGCCAAAATGGTTTAAATAAACCAACAAATTCAAAGCTCGATGGCTCACTTTTCCGCGTCGGAGAACATCCGCAGTAATGACAGCTTCCATTTCTTCTGCACCTTCGGCCAAAATAACCAGAGCACTACCCTTCAAATTCGCCATGTTGGATGAGCACAGGTATCTAGAACCCAGTCCTCTAATTCTCAGGGAAAACAAACGACTTGGAAGCATAAACTTTCTAAAATAGGTCTCATAAAAAAGGTCTCGTCTCGAGCTTAGTCTGCGAAAAGTTATCTCCCCAGAATTAAATTTGCATGTCCGTGTCTGTGGCCTGAAAATTATTCGAGAAGTCAAACATTACCTCATACGCCAATCAAAAGAAACATTAGAATAGTAACGTGAGGAATTGTGGGACACAACACGGTGGTAAAATTCCGGGATTGTTTTGTTTCTAAGAGGACGTAAATAATTCCTATGCAACCAAAATATTTGAACGCGATTGTGTGAGAAATATATATTATACATGCAAGTTCTATACATGCAACACATACGCTTTCTGTAGTCAGAAATGCAGGATTTGTCGACATTTTGATCAAAGAAGCAATCTGTAGATCAATCTTCAGCTTGAGCCATTCAAGTCAGACGACAGATCAAATACGTCAGTGGAAAATGTGGTATTACTTTGTGGCTCATTGTGCTTACCATTTTACAAGGTGGTTTCCTAAAGACGCGCGAGGAAAAGTGTAAGTAATAAGGAACTGAGGGATCATTTTTTTTTTTTGACATCTTATGGCAGTAGTTACACTCGATAGCTCGCCTTTTAAGTTAAAACCGAAGTCAAGCTGTGCAATGGCACGAAGACCTTGCACTTAGCTGGCTGATCACACATCCTGCGGAAAAATCATGAATTTTGTCCTATCCAAGCTTTTAGGGAGTCCAAACTTTGCGACACTTCAAAGAAAAATGTCATAGATACATGCCTGTATGCATGCTCCTAAAAAACTTATTACATTTATATACTCAGCAAGATATCTCACTCCTGATTGGTCCATGACAAAGGCATTAACAGTTTTTAAAGTGCAATATAGTACTTCCTTGTAGCATGCTTAAAATTTAAGCTTCTAAAAATATATGAGATATGTTAATTGTTAATCTCTGAAATACCACTGAAAACATCAAGCATGGTCTGTCTGTCTGTAACAATATCTGTAATAATGACTGCACAATCAAGCCACACTTTTTTCAGTTAATGGTTTGAACCCAGGGGTAACATGTGACAGTGTATTCTGATTGCCTGGGTGAGTGTGGTGAGTGTAGTCCTGAGAAGGACTGTTGTCAGTAGAAGTGACTGATATTTAGACGACCAGATCAAAATTAATCATCAGAGTAATGTAAAGAGTCTTGTCAGTCAAATATACTGATTGTAGTTGGTGTAAACTGATTGGTCAGTTTAGCTGTGATGTTATTGGTTATAAGACTCAAGCAGTGTTGTGATTGGTCAGTTTTGATTACTCCTTAAGTTAGGTTGTTATGTTCCATTCAATTGTGGTGTCAATGAGGAGAAAAAGTCGTTTGTATGGTGCTGGTTGTAGTTGACACCTGTTGAGGGGAATCTGTTCTTTATTAGTAGACCAGCTTTCCAGAGTCAATCATTGAAAATAGTTAGTGCTGACAAGGTTAGGCATCACATAGAGTCCTAGTCAAGTGTGGGGTTCATAAGTTGATGACCAATGACCTACATTTATTTGTTTGGAAAATAAAGTTTGGTTGAGAAATATTACCTAATATCATTTCCCAGATAAAGAGGCATGCTCTGTTCTATTATGAAGCATTTAGAGCAGCTGTGTCTTAAGTTATTTATTGTGGGAAATATGAAGACAAAAAGGTGTAGTAGTCAGTTAATCCCTGACTGACAAGAGCATGTGCACCTTTAAAACAAACTCGGTAATTAAAATAATTTGAATATTGAATGAATCATGGTTAAAATATTTGACTAAATTATGATCAAAACTACTTCCTCTCTCAACAGGAGAATCACTGTGATACTTTTTGCTCTTTCATTTATTATACCACAGCTTTATGTGGTTCAAGTGTAAGTATCAGACTCACACAAAGTTCTGAGTTAATCATCTGCTATGTGCTCATCATTGTTACTGGTATAGTTTGTCACTAATTTTCTGTTATTTTGAAATTGTCTGTCTTACAATGCAATAGTAGTTCATGCCTATTATTTGAATAAAGAAAGACGATGGACATTTGACATGTCATGCAAAATATGACTTTTAAGTGCACGTTTATCTCTTAGCCATGGCAAATGTTTTAAAAGTCTTCCTGTGGTCAGAGAAATACAGTGTGGCAAAAAAAAAATTACAACTGATTATTACCTTCTTATATCTGTGTCTTTCATGAACATTTGGTAAACACTGTGTTACTGGATGCACAGCTTTGTAACATACATGTGCATGACAGGGCAAATGACAAAAGCAGAGCAACATTATCAGCTTATCCTGGTATTATGTAAACTAAATTTTGGACTTATTGTTCATCTCAACTTACTTACAACTTCAAAATTATCATTTTGTACAGTGTTTCATGTACCTTGTTGTCTCTGAATGTCAAGATGCAAGCCCTGTTGAGATTGATAATGACTAATTGTGCATTCATTTTTAAAATCAGTTTATTCACTTTACTTATGGTGCTGATAATCTGTCTTCTGGTTGATGTAAATATTTTTTTTGCATCATGGTAGAGAGCAAACTGGTAATGGATTCTGTGATGAGCCTCTGTTAAACATCACTGTAGCAGGAATTGTTTTCACATTTGCTATGATAGGTGAGGAAATGTCAAACCTTTTGGTATATTCACAAAAGGTGTAGATTAAAAGCGATTATCTAGTTTGTCCTTTTGAGAATGATTTGAGTCAGATTATTTCAGTATGAAAGAGATGAGGATTCAAGAGTTACATGCAAGGGTAATTTCTCTAGTTCAAATTTAAAAAATGATATGAATGAAAGAACTTGTAGCTGCAGAAACTGTAGAAAAAGGATGAGCAAACTAGAATTTTTCTTCCATGTCTTCTGCTTCCCACTTGAGGTTTTTATCATCTGAACTACAAGTCTTATGTTGTGAGCGAGACAATGTTTCATTTGATCTTTTTCCCCACAAACATATCTAATCACCAATATTATATACTGGATATTAAATCATTTAACTGCTAAGATAAGATCATTTTGTTACTTGAAACCATCCACAAGTCAAATTATGACTTTATTTCATATATAATGTTAGTTGTTTAAACTAGATATAATACAGAAGACAGCGTAACGTTTTCTAGTGTTTGATACTTATTTATGTTTTTCAGCCTTCACATTTCTCTTTGCCATAATGGAACCAGTTCCTTGGCAGCTTAAAATTGCCTTTCATTTCTTTGGATTTGGTTCTCTAATCCTTGGCATGGTCCTGTTTGCCTCAACTTTAGCCACATTAGATTGTGTGAGTATTGAAATCAGAAGAAATTTTGAATTTAACCCAAAGCTTTTACCTTATAAGTAATTTTTTGTTTATAAATATATTTTAATAAGGAATTCAAATGAGGAGAATATACATTCACCATGTAGCATTTAGTTCCAAGTTGGTTTACTTGTTATCATTTAAGTGTGCAGTGGCAAGGAGGAAAAAACTTTTTAGGGTGGAAATTGTAGCAATTTACAAGGCTTTATATACATGCATCCTTTTGGATTTGGATGAATCATTGTGTCATATTAATTATTGTTTATATTACACATCCTAGAACTGTATGTTATTATTACCAATGTGGATTAATCTGTTTGTTTTTCAGAAGGAGTTTTCACCTGAGTTGTATTATTTGTGTCTTTCATTAGGAATATTCTCAGTTCTTTCAACTGGTAGGCAAATGAAAATATACTTGTACATTTATGGTTTTATTTTGCACATCAAGTCTTTGGGTGGACTAACTCTAATTAGCCCCTGTATGGTGTCTTATTTTTAATTAAAAATGCTTTGACTGAAACAGGTTGGGGGAAGAATTGAAGGCTACCAGAATTATTGACTTGATTGAATGTCTGTTTATTCTGGAAGAGGTGACAACAGCAGATTTGTTTTTATAAAAAATATAGTTACAAAGGTGGGGCCAATTAGATTAAGCTCATTGAAAAGAGGTGATATACAAAATAGGTTTTAAATTGTTGCCTGCAGAGATGCATTGCTCAGCCACAAGGCAGATCTGATGAGTAACATTTCAAAGTGCCCCACTTGAGAGAACATAATAATGCAGACAGCTATCTTGTCATAATTTAAACTGAATGAAGTGTTTTACTTGTACTTTTTGGTAGGATTTCTCATCATCATGCTGCCATTCTGGTTGGTAAACTACCTTTGGCCTGACTCTGTTCTCAACCGACGAGAGAGACGTGGTGTTTGCTATGAACCTGTCAAATGTTGCACTTGTCTGTGGCATATTTAGGATGTAAACTGTACATGATGTAACTGATTCTGAACTGCCCAAAATCAAAGTTTACTTTGAGCTTTTGAAACAAAGACAATAATTTCTATGCAGTGTGTTTCTCATTCAGAGTTTGCACTGATGCACAAACATTTTACCTTGAAATTCTGGTTTTCAATGAGTGATCATGTTCTAGACAAACTCTTGTCTCCAGAATGATTTTGAAGCTTTAAGTAAGTGTGACTGATATTTAATTGAATATAAATATTTATGTCTTCCAAGTACACTGAAAATTATCAAGCGTCCACATGCTGTAAATATCTTAAAATTAGCTTGAGATGCAATGTATCGCTGTATGGGCTTTGACTGTAATATTTTGTTATTTAGACATATCTTCATGAAAAGGAGTTTTGTTCAAATGTGGGTTGGCCTGAGCCAAGGACCACAGTTCTAATTACTCAGCATAGGGTTCTGTTGGAGCCTCCCAATATTTTAAGTTCTGGATCACATTTCCATAGCGGTATTGTACATTACACGGATACATGTAGTTTTATATAATAAGCTCAGTTATACACGCATTCTGATTGGTTCTCACTTATGATCTATTGGAGGACAGACGTATAGATGACGTCATCATTAAAACGTTTTTAATTCTTTATTACATAAAACAAATAGATTCCAAGTTGCAGTGCGTTTGTTCAGTAATAGATCACAGATGACGTCAAAATGTGGTAAGAACAAAAAAGTGGCACACTCCTTACCGACTTATATCATTTTTATAAACTGCTGCAAATGAAAGTGTCCCAAAAACAAGTGGTAACTTCAAAAAATGATTATATTGCTGAAAGTGCTCTTAGAAAATAAGCTTTGAGCTGTTTGCAGAGATGGAAAGATGTAGCATAATCATTGGCTTACCGACTGTATCGTTTTCTACTGATGTAAATATACCATTCGACGTCGAATTTCTTATTGTTGTAGATATCTCGTGCGTTATTTCTACAAGTACAGTGGAAATGAACTTGTGGTATGTTAGTATGATCGTGATTGGATTGTAGAGATTTACAGGTCGTAATGTAATCAGGGGAAACGAAAATGGATCAATGTATCAAGTTTTCATTGTAGAATGTACATTGCTTTCTGTTGTTTCAATAAAGCTTCAGACGTATTTTCGCCATCAAGAATGCAGGAAATCGTGTGAGAGATGAGTCGGAAAGAAAAATGAAAAGCTGCACTCGACTGGTTATCTCACGCTCATTTCCTTTCCGCCTGCATTCACTGGGTTCTGCGGAGACAACATTAGGAGACTCTGCGAAGGAGTGAGATCATGGCTCTCCTTCGGAATATCAGTTCTTTCTAAAAGACTTCTTCGCAAAAATGTTGTACTGTTTCAGCGAAGATCTGGTAAAACTTAAACAGTGGGAACTATAAAACTTGTAAACGATGGTCACGAACTTGCAAAGAAAATAGAGTTCAAGAAGGCGGACTCGAGGTATTGTCGTTAAGGTACTCTAGGAAAAATCGACTTAATGCACGAAAGGAAGTGTTAAATTTTGGTGAAATTATAACGAAAGGCGAATATTTTCTGGGTGTGAGTCCTGGACGTAAGCTTGGACGTGAGGTACCAAGAGATGTGTTTTCCATTGAATTCTCAGTCGTTATAATTGACCTAAGTAAAAGTAATTGCGTATTCCATATTTCAGATATCTCGGAGAAAGACGTCAACACGTCAACGGAAAGGCAGTTATCACGGTTTCTAAATAACTGCTTCAAATACATCCACTGGAAGAGAAAGTCAGTATGCGCTGTTCAAAACTAATGATAACCAACGATGACTTTGCTGTGAACTCAACAGTACTAACTCACTCAAAGTAGTAGTAGAAACTATTCGTAAATGAACGCAATCATCAGAGAGTGGTCATACATCCGTCGGATTATCTGGATGAACTTGAGGCAATATTCCTTTTAATTCCCAAAAACAAGTTAAATTAATAACCAAACACTTGAGAGAATAGGCTGTTGGCCTTTAGAAGCTTATTCCCTAATGCCCGTAAACTACGGTTAAAAATCACTCAAGTGAGACCAGAGAATCTCCGGACGAAAAAAGAATTTTTGCGTAGGGTCCGTAGGGGTAAATGTCCACAAACGTAATCGAGAACGTGTAAATACTGCAGTTGAGGATGTAACTTCCTTTGGATTGCCAAATTTGTCTGGACTACAAGATACAAATAGAAGATGGAGAGTTGCATGTTTCATCGTTCTTTGATGTTCCTGTAACTCAAAAACGAGTTCGGTGCCCGCCATTTTTTATCAATGCATTGCAATCAGCATATCAACATTCATCTTTTAACCATGTTTTTCAATTAATTCTTTCACATGCGGTTGAGAGCCGTTACATTGTCTAAAATTAAGGTGGTTCTGTGCTGTATGAACAGTTTTTTAAAACAACTTTGGATGAAGATATCGGGGTCATCAAAATCGTTTTTTTGAAGTCCATTCAAGTAAAGCAAGAGGCTGTAGTGTTGCTTAGTTAACCTCAGTTACTAAAAACACGATAACTTACAAGGAAACAAACAAAACATTCTGAAGCCACGCTCCATTAAAACATTGGGGCTGAAAAAAGAAAAAAAGGAAAACAAGAGGCTTGGGCGCCATTTCGAGGATTTATAGTATCTCCTTGAACCTTGACCTCCAAAAGAACTTGAAGGTCAAAGTTCAGGTCATCATGGCTTCAACTATGCTCAAGTTGAGGGTGTATAAATCTAACTCAATACCGCAGTTTTCGACGAGTCGGCGACAAGGCATACCAAGGTCATTGGGCTGACAAGTTGAAAACATACAGCTCAGTAAAGAGACCTTTTCCAAATCCAAAAAGGATAAATAGGACTTGCATAAACCAAGCGGGTAGTTTCTTTTATGACATTGTTTCAGGAGTAATTCCACTTTTTTTTTGGATAAAATTTTTCGCTCTAGTTCATTCAGGTTTCTTCTTTTATAACTGATTTAAAGTGTTGTAACGGTTTTCCACCCTGATAATTATCAAGCAATTTGTGCGGATTACCAAGGTGCTTGGAAATTCTCTAACGAGGGAAAACTTTAACCAGAGTTGAATCCGTGCAATCTCGCTGTGGTCTTACAACAAATATTTGCGACGTATCAAAAGTTTTCTCAATTTTGGAGTTCAATTTTTTCAACTACAAGCCAGCTAAATATCATTGAGGTTTGTGCGATTGCGTGTGATCGGAACACCTACTCTTGCGTAGGCTCTCTCTCTGCCTTGATCAGAATCCCGAGCAGCGCACTTTCGCTTCTGGGACATGGTAGGCAATGGGAATTGTTTGTTATCTTTGCAAAGATTGATCCACCGAATCTTAACGTAAGAGTCTTATCGATACATCGACTATTGGATGGAATGAGAAGGAAAACTTCCCAGCACGGGTTATTGTTTTCCAGATTGCATATGAATAATTATATTTTGATCTCTATATCAATTGCAATTTCTCGAAGTTTAACACTCCACAGCAAACGACATTTTGAGCTAACTAATAACAAGAACAACAACAAAAATACGGCAGCACTCGCTAAACTTCAGGTAAACTAATTATATTTTCTCTACATCGATTGTAATTACTTGAAGTTTATCAAAGGTTTATAATTTCTTCGCAATGACACCTAAGCAAATCTTGAGTTTTGAATATTTTTAAAGAATTATCCGGAATACTGACTAGTGGACTCTGGTCTTTCCGACTTGGTCAATAACGCCTGCAAAAGAAGAGAGAATTTTATAGCTGTTAATTAAGGACTGACAAAACTCACGCAACAAATTCTAAATACTTTCAGTGGTCGTCAAAGTGTTGTTTACTGCACAGTTTTTTATTTTACAAACCCTTTTACAGTTTCCCCCACCTACACATTTCTTTGTCAGATGAAAGATTTTCCCTTCGGATTTTCCTGGATTTCAATCAATATCCGCCATTGTACTCTGATCGGAAATGGCTCTTCCGATTCCATTGAATACCAGTAATTACAACAATAAAACTGAGTTCATTCATTCAAAGGAAATACAAGCTGTTTGCCACGAATTCGCACTCCGCTGGCGTGAATCCCGTACATCTTGAGTTGATCACGCGATACTACTCATTTATTAATCTATTTATCTTTCACTGCCTCTTATTCTTTTGTTTGTTTGTTTTTATTTTTTTCCAGATTTCTGTGGGTGCTCTAATATATTGGAGAGAAATATCAAAATAAAACCGCATTTTATACTTGGGCGACATAAATAAGTACTGTGCCATCGATTAAGGTAACGATTCTACGTAAGAAATCTCTCTACCATTCCTCTCCCTTAGAAATATTTCACCACGAGATACTTCCGCCTTTTTCAAGCTGATATGAGGTAAGACTTCACAAAACAGCTAGGAATTTGAAAACGCTAAACATTCTAATCAATTGTCTTTAAAAATACAACACGACGTGAATTTTCTTTTAGAGCTCAAAAACCAAGTACTGCTATGTACTCATAAGTTAGTGTATTACCTGATACAACTTAACGTGAAGAACAGCTCCGAAACCTGACCCAGCGAAGTCTTTTACACATTTGGTTATAACTTCGCTTAGGAAACTTTCTTCTCCGTAATTCTCTGAGGTCGAAAGAGGTTTCGTGATTCAGTTCTTGACTTACTGAAGCTTCTTGCTCGAGGCATAAAGCCAATAGAACAAAAGAAGCGAGGAAACAAAGGACGATAAATTTATATTGGAACATCTTCTGTTTGGCCTCGGGTGTAACAAAACTTGTTCGACTACGCTTATGATTTGAGTAACTCGTGCAGTCCGATTAAATAGCTTGTTTCAGGACAGCCTGTGAAAACACAGCTGCCAAGTGCTATTTATTTTTTTTCTTCTTCAAACACTGTCAATGGAAAACGAAAGCGTCTTTTCAAGATGAAAAGCACTAAAACAGTTAAAATAACTAATTTGTAATTTACTCGGTAGATCCGATCGTCAATTAACAGCAACATTGTTAAAACACAAGTTTCCTTTAATTTAAAAGGTTTTACCACTCGTTTTTTACAAGTGGCAGGCCGGATATTGTCATGTGTTCAATTTTTACCTGAAATTATCCCATACGGAGCTAAAGTGGTTCTTAAATTTACATTGACTTCTTACTATTTTTTTTTATCGTGTACAATGATCTCCATTTCCTAGCTGTAGGAAAGAACAACGTCTGGGCTCCAGTTGCTCAAATTGCTATCAGCGGATTAGTTTTCATAAATGCTCTGCGCTATCCACCGAATAAAGATTTATATCAAGGATAGGGTTATCCACCCTTCGAATATCCAGGGCCTGATGGATAATCGAATAGCGAACAGTAGGAGTTCTATAGGACACATTTCTAGAGCAAGTGTGACTCAAGTGGTGAAGTAAGTTTATTACTTTGTCAGGTGATATCCTTCCCAAGCCACCCCCTCGATTAAGTGATAGCGTGGGGTTGACCTGACCTGGGGAGACTCAAAAAGGTTTCGCCATTTTAAACACTCAGTAGTTCTGTGGTGGATAGATTATACTAGAAATATTGCTAAATTTACTTTGTGTGAACAAGAGCCTGGAAGATCCCTTAAGCTAGCCAACTTTTGTATTACTTCCTGTCTCTTAATGACTCAAAAACCTAAGCGAAAAACTATCGAATTGTTCGTAGCAAAGAAGTCTAACCGTCCACCAGCTGTAATTTGATAACATATGCGCTGGAATAGCAAACTTCCGCACACAGGTGCAAAATTAAAACCACAAGGTATAAGACTGCAAATCTAAAAAACCCAAAAAATCACCATGTTCTATAAAACTCAAATCACCTTTTTTTTCACTGCACTTGTAAAAGCTTTCTAAATAGTCCGTGTTCGTGTATCTGTGTATCTATTATTATTGTTTGTTACACTGCTGCACTAAGTTACCTCGAACTTTAATGATCTTAAATCACTTTTATTTCGAGGAAATTAATCTTTTTACAAAGTGTTCCGGATGATTATTTCCGCTCACGAAAATTAGACATAGCAAGGTGGTTTAGGAAAGTTTGGCAAGATTTACTTAGGGCGCCGGCCTGAAAGCAACTTAAGTTTCTTGATTGCTGTACAAATACCGATTCCAAAAGGGTCCTTATCCGATCGGGACAGTTTAAAGTATGAATATGGCGAAACAAATTTACAGGGTCGTCCAAACGACTCTGGTGCCATTTTGACACGAACACTGCCTTTGGTGAAGTGTTGTTCTTTGTCTGTCAGTTCTTAACTGTCTCCCTCGGTGTCTATTGAGTGGCGTCAGTCTCAGTTTTCACCCGTCTCCTTCCCATTTCTTTCGTAATACATTATGACATCCATTTAAGTGTTATTCAGACATGATTCAATTCAAAACCGCTTTTAATAGCAGAAAACCATAATTCATTAGTTTAGCGAAACAGAAGAACATCAAAGCTCACCGCAGTAAATGCAAAAGCAAAAAAAGTACGAGTACGTAAGTAGAACGATTCTTTACTGGTGAATAATAATCAGTAGCCTTAATTGGTTTCAATCCAGAGAACCGTCTTAGAACCAGACCTGCTGCTCCAGTAAAATTTAGTGAAATAAAACATAATATGTGATGTGGTAATAATTCTGCTGTTGAAGCAGAAAAAGTTAACCTCCGAATTGATCTACTTATAGAAAATCCAGTCCTTTTCAGAAGTTTAGCAAAAGCAGATTGAAGGTTTGGGGGGAGGGGAGGTTAGGTAGCCCAACGTTGTTGACAGAGAGTCATGTTTTAAAGTTATTTACATCGTAAAAATATAATTTGAAATTTATGTCGCAGTTCGCTCTAAGGTGGAACGTGTTCCTAAATTAATCAAAATGGCTACTGAGTCAAGAGAGACGTGAGGCACAGACCCGCAATTCATGTCACGTAGTGTTGGACTGTACGTCACCTAACTTAGCCATGACGATATGTTTGATTCAGGGTCGTGTTCTACACCTACTGATGTCAAAATTCGACTCCTGTGACGAGGGAAAGAACAATTTTATATTTTCTACTCTTTTCGACGCTTTGTGATTGGTCAAGAAACCCGCCCTACTTCCCCAGCCAGTCAAATGCAAGTCTAAAATAGAGCGAAAATTATCCCCTTCATTCCCTATGACTGCTGTAAGTTTTACATCTCCTCAGAGCGTGCTTTTCAGCGGATTTCTGTCCAGTTACGAGTGGGCCGAAAACTCGAGAAAAATTATTAGTTTCGCTTCCAAAATGTACCGCGCAGTAAAACTGAACATCTCAACTGTTTTCTCGAGATAACCAAATAGATATCTGTGCATATTATCAAAGTGTCGGCTTAGAATCTGTAGACACAAGGAGAAGAAGTTAACCAGTCCATTGAATAAATCTTAAGCGGAAGATAAGCCTGTATCGCTCACAAAGAAATCAGAAACTGAAATAGATTGTAACAATTTATTTTTTAATCAGTAACGTCTGGATTACTAGGAGAAAAGTTAGCTTAACATAAGATTGAGAAATAGCAACCTTACTTCTTAGTTGTTTCACACTCATTTTATCGCTTTACATAATTATCATTATTTGAGACAGCATTCTATTTTACATTTAAGCATATATTATTCAATTCATACTCTACTGCTCATGTGTTCTATTTCTCCAAATGTTCTATATCCATACTTCTTTGCGGCAGAAAAAGTCTTTAGTTATTCATAGTAGTCAGCATCTTCAAGTACGCTGTTGTCTGTACTGTCTGAACGAGCCTGTTGTAAAATAATATAAAAGCACGTTAGTATTAATAGTAATCCCGGCATGTTTAATCGTTCCAAATATCTAAAACAGTTCTTAACACCAAATGTTATTGTGACCGTTTTGCTCTCACTTCTTAATTCATGGCAGGAAGGTCTGCGGTTTGCAATAACTGCACCTACGGTACTTTTTATCTAATTGGTATGCTTCGCAATGTTCGCGAAATTTCTCATCCCACGCAGAGCATTCACGATAAATAAATTTCAAGTTTTTCTTGTTAACCAAAGAAGACCTACTTGTCTGCTGTCATAGCTGCGTTTCTTTCCGTTGAAGCAGTTCGAGTTTCTTCGAGTCCAAACAAGACAGTTTGGATCAAACATGCTCCTCAGCTGCTGCCGTTGACGCCACTCCTTAACTCTGTCAGCAACGTAGTCTTGGGATTCATCTTCGAAGTCTTTAAACTTCTCATACTCTTCTCCTCGAGATGTAGCCAAGAATAAAAGTACCGTGGCCAGAGGCAGCACAAAAAGTGTCTTCATTTTACTTGTGTGTATTTTGTTATACGACTCAGTGGGAATTGAGGCGTGTGAGGCGGCCGCGGATCTAAAATGAGGACGGTGATTTGCCGAAGAAGTTTTATAACACGGCTTGGACTGTAATTTGCAGTACTTCAACTTGATTCGTTGTTTTAACCCCGCCCTAAATGACCATAAGGGCTTTGAACACCTTAATGTGGCAGTTCTAATAACGACTAGTGCTATGAGTAATTAAATTCAATCAAAAGCTTTGTGGTTTTTCTCTTTTTTTTTTTGAATAGAAAATCGCTGTGGCCAAACAGTTTCGACTTCCTTTATTCTTTGCAGTTTTTCGACTAATTGGAAATTTAATCCAAGCAGATGCTGCACAGATTTCATTGAAGACGCCTTTTCTTCTTTATTCACCGTTTGGGAGGTTTCTAAGTTGTTTTTCAACCAGACGTTTCGTCTATTTTGATGATTTTCAGGAAACGAAACGAACCATAATAAATTCAAGCTTCCTTTTTCGGTTTTTTTCGATAAGTTAATTTAACATCTGTTTATAGGATGAGCGAGTAATTAGTGACCAAAGTGAATTGACATTGTACGACCTCCCTGAATAGCAATATTCTCTCCGCTTGATACAAAGTAAACACTTTGAATTTGTATTTCTTTCTTTTATTAACCTAAGCACTCTGAAGAGATGTTTTGCTTTTATAAATTGCCGCAGGCAATAGAATTAAATCGACTACAGCCAAAAGGACGTTTTTTCGCTTTTGAAGACCGAAAAGCAACCCTCTGTGTAGCAATTCTAGTTTCTTTTTGAAATACACATACTATGTGTCTCGTGCAGGGAAGTTTTGAATCAGCCGAACACATCTGTGGATATGGATTCGGCAATGGCTCCTTGTTTTTTAACTTTCTAAACTAAATTCAAAACCTTTCGTACATCAAAATTCCCTATGTCATTCACACAAACGGTTCTGTCATCCTACACACAGTAAGAAGAACTATCTTTAGAAAGTTGGCTCAACTGTAACTCAGTTTGCGAACAAAATGCACCGAAAATAAGCAAACATCTAACAAAGGCTTACTGGGACAAAAATTGACATTAATTATTCCGCCTAATGACTTAAACCTACAGGAACACGCCAGAAAGATAAACACTGTTTCTCCAGATGTTTCTCCTTCATGACAAGGTCATCTAAACAAGTTCAGGTTGCTTATTGTTCGAACGGCAAGATACGTTAATACCAGCGAAATGGTGGCTCTGTGGAATACACCGCTCAGGTGAAGTCAGCTAAAAACTGTCTATTTGAAGTGAAACTTTAGCTGCACCGTGGAGTTTTCTGTCTTAAAAAATGTTCTACCAGACAGGATATTATCTTTAATTAGTATATACCACATAGATGAACATTACTTTTCGCGTGCGCTGATTGGCGATTTCCGAAGTGGTCAGCAAGAACTGCTCACCTCCGAAGAAACAAAATTGCGCGTCAAGAGTTTGATTTCCAACTATTTTTCAGTATATTGACAGAAATAAACTCATTCCTTCGGTTTTTGCGTTACATATATTCTAAAACAATTGTTCACGTCAGTGTCGGGGAAAGCGGTGGATATTTACCAAGTCGCGAACCCACGACTATTCACCTCCAAGTCGGGAAATAATTTTTTATTGTACCAAGTTTATTTGCTGAGTGAACACCTCAACATAATTACAACGAAAACCTTAATTTTTGTCTTACAGAGACAAAAATGAATAACCTTTCCATAAGGGTTGACATTCTGGTAAACAGAAATGGAGTTTTTACAACAAAGAGCTGAGATTTACAGGTTTGATTGTCACGCTACACTGAGAGCCCGTTAGGGCCCGATCACATTCTCTATACTTTCGCGTACCACCTGGTAAAAAAAAGAAAAAAAGTAACGACCGATATCATCTACAGAATTTAAAATTCAACCTCACTGTAAGAGAACATGCTCATGAAAGCAGCGCTGATTTAAAAATATTGCACTTGGTCAGAAAAGAAAGCAAACGGTGACAATGCAAGCATATTTAGTCTCAGTGGGTGATCTTTTAACGTAGAACTTCCTTTTTCAGAACTTTAATTGCTTTCCACCCTCGCTTCGAGGCATTTTCTTGATGAATTATTTTAATTGCTTTAACCGAAGAATGACATGGAGTTTTCTTCGTCATCAAAAGATTTCTATCATAGCTACTTGGCTGCAATGGATAACAAATCTTCAATTGGTTTTTTCGAGGAAGATTGAAAACACACAAAAAAAATATTTGCTTTGTGTAGTGGCGGAGGTTTCGCAGCTGTTTCTGCCACGTCCATCACGGATGATCTTTGTCACAAGGGGAAATAGTCAAATAGTTGTATCAACAACAGAACCTGTTACCAACTGGGCACGGTCTAAACTCGAACATGAACTTCAGACTAAAGCTTAATCAACCGAAGCAAATCGGTACACCTTGAGATTATGGTCTTGTGTTATGTATTTTCTTTGTAGAGAGCAAAGATACAACCTCTACTGCCCATGTAATAAGTGCAGTTAGACCATAATGAAGTGTGCTAAGGTAGTTAATGAAAAACATCCTTTCATTCATGAAAAACTAAACTGTTCCGCTTAAACCGAAGAGCTTTGGAAAATAATCAACGTTAATCGAGAATGAATAGAATTAACGGGCTACGAAAACGACCAAAGACAAAATTTGGCCTTTCCATAAACTTCGCAAGATAGAAGTGAAACCGACGGTCAACCGTGAACAGCTGTTCTCTAAATCCCACTTAAGCAGAGAGATTGATTTCTCAAGGAAAAAGAAATGACTCAATGTAGCTATTGATCACAGAGGTGGGACACCGCAATTTTTACTAAATTTTCGGTTGTAATTGAATTTCCTCATTTGAATTCTACCTCAATCGACAATACGGAGCCTTTATTGTCTCTATAATTAGCTGAATCATAGATATTGCCTTGTACAAAGCAGCTTGTCAACTCATAATCGGTTTGAAACAGTTAGAATAAATAATGTGAAGTTGAGAAAACGGAGCACTTTTTTACTTTGAATCAAAGTTCTACGCCCAATTTGAGAAAGTTTTGAGAACATCGATCAAGCATACGCTTTGGAATTACTCTAAATCGTTTTTATCTTTATATATATATTTTATTTTATCAATGCCTTTTATGACAGAAAAATTGAGTAAAATTTATTAGATAGGTCGAGATTTATGTGCCTAACAATGACGTGTAAAGGATCCGATGGCTTTACTCTGCACGACCTTTAATTGATGGTCCACATGAAACGCGACATATTTGCCTCTCTTCATAGCTGGCGTGTTTTAAGTTCAGAGGCAAACTCGTCCATTTTACAAACAGTCTAAAGCTTCAGATTGAAAATATTAGTTTTTTTACAGAAAATCAGCTGAAAAAGGCAACGATATCGCTAATTAATGATTGTATGAGGCTAAAACCTGCGATTTAAAGTAAGAAACGAATCGGAGGAATTCGCGCTCCCCTCCCCTTACGGGTACGAGCTCCAGAGAGAGGCACAGCAGACGCCAATAGAATGTGAAATGTTCTGGATCCTTCCATCCTTCAGCAAATTGTGTACTGGTACCTGCTGGCTCATGACAAATGATTTGCATCACAACCGATGGAGATTGAGAGTGCAAGTTAACCAAACGAAATTGAGCATTCAAGGGATTTTCTTTCACGTTCTTATCACGGATGAAAAGCGTGGAAATGAGAACTTGGACGATACCCCTTGCAATATTACCAGGCGATCATGATTAACCTTTAAATCAAGAGAAAAAAATGGCAAATTGCTCAGTGTGGAATCTTTCCCCCTGTATATTTACAATCGGGTGTTATGAATTAAAGTAGGTTGTATTTCTCAAATAGCACTTAAAAGACTGAGAAGACGAGCTGTTCTTGCTTAGTAGAAGCATTGATTCCATTGAGCCGGTCGTAAGTACAGACCGACGTCAAATTTCAAACTGAGGCTTATATAGTAAAAACAAAGTAAGATGGAGATTTGAAAGTTTTATGTCCAATGACTATATTCAAATGAGGGAAAGGAGAGAGATGTTGTAAAAAGGATATTTCTTACATTGCTCTCGGTTTTCCTAATTGACATTAGGATCTTCATCTGAAGACTGTTTAGGGTAGTTCGCATTGAAAACTTGGCTAGCGATTTATATAAGACCCTCATTTTAAAAAAAAATGGTTTTGTTTAACCCTCATTCTAAAGTTGACGCATAGGGTAGCACGTGTCCGAAGTTGTATTTTTGTTGTATAGAAAGATATGTTACGTAATTACACCAATTTTGATTGTTTAAAAGAAGTGGACATTTTGAAAGCGTCCAAAAATGGCATTCCTATCACCACTTGTGGATGACTTTTAGAAAGGTCGGCGTCAGCTTGTCATTAAAATGCTACTTCGAAAATTAAAGCCTGAATAACTGAGTCAGGAGAAAAAGACTTGGGGAAAACCAACAAAAATAAACAATCCGTCAAAGCCATAGAGTAAAATGCATTACTTTTCGCACGCGTCTTTTTCTCTCGTCTGTGGGAGAGTCAATAGATAAAGTTGATACTAGAAAATAAATCAGTATTTCTCTAAAAGTTATTTCTACCTCTTAAGTATTCATTTGTGCTCCATCGTGTGATATTCGAAATTTTGTAGGAGCTAGGTCTATCATTTATCACATTCGATCTGTCATTCTATCATGTCAGAAGAAGACTCAACCGATGACACAATGTTGTAATAGAAATGGGTCTCGCCTAGTTGATTAAAATCGAGATATGGATTGTCTTTCATCATTAATTCTTCTAGTGATACCATCATTTGTTCAAATGTGGGTCTTTTTCTGGGATCCTCTTGCCAGCAATTCAACATGAGTGAATATCTAATGGAGGAGAAACGACAATATGTCACAAACAGTGAGAGGGGACAAGGAAGGGTTCAATCAGATGCGAAATCAGTATAAACAGTATAAACACCCGCTTCCCTTCCCCTCCTGAAGCTTTTTTAGTTAAACCTACGCTCTCAACATGATACTTATACATCCTAGGAAAATTTGAGTAAAAAATTGTAGAATCCTGTACACTGGAAAATCTGGTTAAATACATACAATTCCTCTGAGCAGCTCTGAGGTCTTTCCAAACGATATCCAGTTTTGAGGAGACTGCTTAATTCGCTGTTTTTGATGCCTGGATACGGTGTACCACCTGAAAGCAAACATGGTACAGTGAGGATTTGCTCGATGAACTCGTTTCCTCTTTTTTCGTGGAAGAAATAGGAATATAACTGAGCCATGGAAATTTTCGGGTTACCCATTTCTTTTGTGTTCTAAACATCAAAATCATAGGTAAAGAGTTCTCATTTTCTTTGCACCTACACGACGCATATTCTGATTATTATAAGCCGGGCTGATGGAGTGAACTAATTAGCTCGGCTCTTAGGGAAAACTCAGAAAGATATTAATATCAATCAAAAATTTGGTGTGCAAACAGAAAATGTCATTTAAACGTGTTCTTCTCACCTAATGTGCATATTTCCCAAAGAAGAATGCCATAGGACCAACTAAAATATACAAAAACAACATGCATGAGATCAAGGAAATAATAGACACTTTATCGTATATTTAAAATTTTCAACTTTTCACCTGGTAGAAGTCCATGTTAATTTGGAGCATGTGGCCAGGACGTAGAAAGTATAAAATAATTGGAACTAGTGTATATTAAACTTATTTTCATGTTTAATGCAGAAGTCTCCTTTAGCTCAGTGTTAGAACATCCAAAGTCAAAGTTGGATCATAATTGACACCAGGTGTCGGGAATATTCAGAAGTAGGCACAATTATGACTGTCTCAATGATCAGATATAAGCCGATTATTCCCAACCAAATTAGAGAGAATATACTGAAATTTTTTTTTAGCGATGTCAAATTAAGAACAACTTTCCTTCAAAGATTAAAAAGGCCGGTCCAATTCACTTTCTCAAGGAAAAAAAAGGTGAGAATTACTACCTTTCGCTCTCTACATTAGGAGTGAAATTTGTAACTGAAATAGGAGATGTGACATCTATTTTAATTTTTGATGAAGCAAGAAAGTTTTGACAAAGGCTTTCTCCGTCAGGCATGAAGAGGTTTGGCAGAGCTCCCCATAAGTAATATTCAATCTTAATCATGATCGTTGCATACCTAAGAAAATGTCTTTGGGCAAGAAGAGATTGATTTGACGTGATTGACCTATAAACGTCGTTTTCCTTCTTTTACCAATGAAAGCATTTATAACGTTGATTCTGCCCAACTAATTATGCAGATTAAATCTATTTGTTTGTTACAGAAAATAAGCTCACACATCGCTCCTTGTGGTGTAGATGCTATCTTTTAGCGCTTCAGGTGCCATCCATTTCACTGGAAGCTTTTTCTGCCTTTCCACCTTGTACAAATCAGAGTGGCGCATCAAGCCGAAATCAGCAATTTTGACAAGTTTATCTTCTCCAACGAGAATGTTACGAGCCGCCAAATCTCGATGAATGAATCCCATAGCTGATAGGTAACTCTGTAGGGATAGAAAAGGAAGATTAGCAGCACTGAAACAAACCGCCATTAACTGAAAAAGGTCTGCAAAGGTGTACAGAGATAACTGAATAGTTAACCTAGACAATCTGGTAAGTGACTGTAAGCCAATCCTCTATACTTAACTTAGTATGAAAGCAGCAAAAACAACAGATCTCCATTCAATATAGATGGTCTTGACATAGCACAGCTGATACTGCACCAAACTGATATCTATGTGAAACATCATGGAGACCGATCGAATTGTTTGCTTGTTTTCTTTTTTTCCTGGATGGGGGTGGTGGGGAAGGTAAATTTGTCCCGCATGTATTGACTATTCCTTATTGCTCACCATCCCTCGAGCTATCTGCCATGCAAAGCTAAGCATATCTTTAGCAATCGTATCTAATGCTTCGTAAGTGGTATCATTAGAACTGCTTTCTTGGAAGTCGACAACCACGCTGTTTACATTTATGGGTGCATCACAAGGCTGATGACACTCCTGCCTTAAGAGAGGTTTCAATTCCAAACCACTATCTTCTCTCTCCTTTTGTTCCAAGCCAATTTTCTCACTTGGTAACTCTTTTATATTTCCTAAAATTTCCTCTTTCAAATATTTTGGTTCAACATCTCCCTTGTCATCATTTGTATATCGGATTTCATCGTTTTCTTTTTCATCCTGTGTTATTTCTTTTGGATCACTCTTATATCGTTCTTCTTCTGCGTGTATTTTCTCCAAGTTACTCGAGGTTTTCCCAACAGATGGCTCTTCTTGTGATACTTTAGTTTCATTAGAAACATTTGATGTCAGACGTTCAGTGCTTTGAAGCTGTGGGAACTTCACGGGGTCTATCTTTCGATATAAGGAAAATAAGAAATGAGTCACAATAATGCTGGTAACAATTATGATATAAATAATTTAATTCATTATATTTACGATCCATTTTCAGTAGTATCTCCGATAAGAAGGAAAACCCTAATAGGATGTTGAGACATTCAAGTTCGTTTTCAGCAATCCTAACATGACAAAAATATACTCTGTATTTGCTTATTAATTTAACCCCTAAAAATTTTCAAGCGCAATAACAAAGACACATTTTATTTCCAATCAAGATGATCACTCGTCAAGGATCACCCCACGTCAGGTTGTTATAGTACTGAAAGCTAATTTTCAAAATGGCTATCGAGCGATTGTTAATGTTTCTGAAAGACAAAATAAAAAAAAATACAATTCCTCTGATTATCACATAATTAATCATAGTGAGTCAACTAATAGGAAAAATGGTAGGTAAAGATACAGTCCCATTTAAATGAACAAACAGTTAAGAAAAAACATGAAGGGGTCATATTTGGAAGTGAGCACTATTGGGTAGTGATGGTTTATCTCTTTTGTCCTCCTTACTTGATATCTCTTCTCCCTGAGCCAGGTTAGCAAATCTCCATTTGGAACATACTCCAACAACAGAAGGAAAGGTTCAGATCTGGTCCAGAAACCAATCATGCGAAGGACATTCACATGGCAGCCGATCTGCTTCATGAGATCAATTTCCTCCAAAAAAAGCTCTTTATCTTGTTCGTTTGCCAATGCTATAGAAAAGTAATTTCAATGATTAAAAATCATTGATTCTAATTATTTTCCATTGTTTATCAGCAGTGCATGTCATTCACTTCGACTCACGTTTAAAGAAATGCTACAAAAACCAAGATGTAAAGTTGGTGATAGATTTCGATTTACCTCGCCCATTGAAAGGTTACATTTCTGATTACTTGCTTCTCAAGTAATACTGTATAAATTTGATAAAAATTCATGTAGCTTGAAAATTTGTAAACCACCTAATTTTCCCCTTTGCCATATAATCGTGAACAAAACTGAAACAAAGGAAATGAACGTGAAAACTGTTAAGAAAAACGTAAACAAAGAAAACATGTATACCCAAAAAGGAATAAAAAGAAAAATTGTAGAAAAAAATGTGAGCTTCAATGATCCAAAGCAAAGCAAAGCAAAGTTTCCTAACCACTCAGAACTTTAACAGCAATAACTTTTCCCTCCTTGAATGGCACGCGCTTCTCTCGAATGTCGTGATAGAAAACTTCCACTCCTGGGGATTCCCTTAGCACTCCTTTATGAACTTTTCCAAATGCTCCTCGGCCCAGTTCTTCGAGCAAAGTCACCTGCTCAGGCCAAACTTCCAAATATTGAAGAGTAGTGATGTCTGACTTGGACCTGAATAGATGCACTGATATCAGTCGAATGCACTGATTCATTCACGACAGACATGGGTATTTTAAGCCATAAGAGTGAAATATTTTATTATTGTAACTGATTAGGTCATTTATAATAGTTTAAGTCAAACACTTTTCAAAACGGGAGGAAGCAAAAAAGGCAAAAACAAAACAAACAAACCAAGAAAAAAGTTGGACTTCAAGGCTTAAAAGACGCAGCTGACCTCCCGTGAAATAGCAGTGTCGAGAACGTGTTTTCTAACTTACGTGCCTTGAAATTTATTTCCTCACCATTTTTTCCTCGCAGTGTTTAGTCTTCTGATCTTTTTTCTTCTGTGGCAGCTGAACATCACTAAAATTATTAGGAACACGGAGATACATCCCAAGATAATACCAATTATCGGCCAGTCCATAGAACCTGCAAGTTGGGAAGATCGTCAGATAGTGAATAGCCATTTGTTTTGTAATTTACCTCTGAGGTGATAATTATTAAAAAATTAAAAATAACTGGTAGAGGTCTAATATAAGAAAGTTCAGGCAGTTTCCTATTTCTCCCTTAATGAGTAAGATCTATCGAGTTCGTAGTTAGAACTCTTTAGTATCAGTGGAACGAGACACAAGTGCTCAACGGTGTACACCACCACCTTGGGGGAATCAGCCAGGAGCCTGATTTCTTAATGTTGACTAGGAATAAAAACTGGGAACAAGACCAAATAAATAAGCAAAAAAAAAAAAAAAAAAACACGAAGAAATGGCGAGGGTAAGTAATCTTTCCCTTCTACCCAGAGGCTATTCCTGTTGTTAGAGCTCCATAAGCTCCACTTGCGACTTAGAACTTGTAGGCAAGAAAGATCAGTACAACGGGAAGAAGATGGTTCAAGCCAAAGTCTGTGATTTGAAGAACAATTGGATGGAAAAAGAAAACTACAGGTTGCTGCAGAAACAAGATATGTTAAGAAGTTTCTCAGTGAACTCAAGGCTGTGTAGGTTTCAAACGCTAGAGGAGTCTGTCTTCTCCTTGACCTTGATGCACAGACCTTGATCGACGAACCAGAAGATATCATTGAGAGATGGGCATTGCATTTCAATTTTTAACTCAACTATTTGTGGAAAGATTTGCGACGCTGGCGTTGATAAACTACTCCAAAGTTCAGTAATCATGGAGCTTGACTACATGCCAACAGTTGCTAGAACAACCAAGGCAATTCACCAACTTTCAAGCGACAAAATTCTGGGTGAGGACGGTATCTCACCAGAATTGAACAAGCATGGTGGAGACGCACTTGTGGCTGCGCTTTCCCGGCTTTTCAAACATCTATGGCTTAAGGAAAAGGTCCCACAAGAATTCAAAGATACTTGATCATTCAACAGTACGAGAACAAAGGAGACAGACCGGTATGTGACAACCATCCAAGCATATCCTTTCTCAGCGTGGTTGTAAGATTCCCCGCCAGTGTGATCGTCAACCGCCTAATGACACAGCTTGATGGCACCTTTCTGTAATGACCAGTAGTAAACTTAACGCAACTGCAAACTGATTTATTCACTGTTAAAAAAAAAACCGTATACAAGTCACGATGGAGGTATGCAGGTATGCAGTCACACGAAAGTTAGGCACCTACAAATCTTAATTTAGCATATTTCCAAAAAGCCGATGTGACCTTAGGTCGAGGCACCCCTTACATGCAGTTTGCATAGAAGAAAACCTCGACCTGTACATGGTGCTCGTTGCCCCTTGCCAGAGAGTTTGACTCTATTAGCCGTGAGGGACTCTGGAAACTCCTCTGAAGATTGGATGTCCACCAAGAGTAGTGAAGATTATCTGCTCATTTTATGATGGCACGATGGCACTTGAATCCGATTTGTTTTTTCCACTTTTGTTTGGCATAGTCCTCTCTATGATGTTCTAGGACGCCCTCAAGGACTGTTGCAAAGATGTCGCGATGAGATTCAGGGCAGACGGCGGCATTTTCTGCCTACAGCGCTTCAAAGCTAAGTCGAAGGTCTCACTAATGTTCCTGCGTGAGTCACTCTTTGCAGATGACTGGGCACTCTTGGCTTACTCTGAAGAAGATCTACGAGACATATTAAATGAGCTTGTCACGGCAGCCATTCGTTACGGCCTCACAATGAGCATTATAATAAAGTTCGGATATAACGCGCGCTGTCACTGGCTGAAAGAGCGTGCTCTATCAGAGTATAAAACGTAGAGATGAGCTAAAAAAAGTCATGCCATCTGCCAAATTGTACTATGTCCGACCAGTTTCCCGGACTGCTCTCTAGCTTCTATGAGAGTACGGAGCATGCTGACGGCACTGTATTGTTCGCTTTGGAAATAAAGTTTGTTTTGAAAATTGAAAGTAATGCATGGGGAATTTAACGGATTCGTGATTATAAAACAAATAGAGAAGCCTTGATTGTACCTTGTTATGTTTAAAGCAATTAGGAAGCGGCAAGAGCACTCAAGAAGTCGGGAGAAACACTTCTTTCTTGCTCTAGCTGCTTCCTGCGTGGTTAACAACGGAACAGAGCACAGTCAAGGCTTCTCTATTTGTTAGTTAAAGAGCCCTAAGCAATGTTTAGATAAGCGATGAAAACCTTCAAGTCGAACAAACGTCTGCTTCCTGGGTGGCTTCCTTTCTCAGAATGCAGACGTTAATAAAAGTCACGTCACGTATTTACAAAGCAAGTGCTGTTTCGGGAAGATTGGACCATCGACTCTGGTCAGACCACGGAATTCAGCTAACCACAAAGGTCGGTATCTACAGAACAGTAGTTCCGACAACATTGCCGTATACGTGTGAGGCTTGGACATGATATCACTAACACCTCAGACACCTTGATCAGTTTCGTCTCAGATACTTTTGCAAGATCTTTGGCATGTCCTAGAAGGACATGGTACCCAACACCACCGTAATCCCTTTGGGAGGACCCCTCTGTAAAGCACTTTTAGTAAAGTGGGTATCCTCAATAAAGATTTACGTTACCCGCAATTTAGGGGAATCGAAGTACTCCTCATGAAGAGCCAGCTCCGCCGGATGGGCAGGACATCTTATCCGCATGGAAGATAACCGTATTCCAAATGCTATTTCCTATGGAGAAGTATTCAGCGGTTGACGATCTCGTGAAAGCCAATACAAGAGGTCATGGCCAGAAATCCGTGACAGCATGGCCGCCACGCACGCGCATCGATGTCGAACTCGGTCTTAGGTTACAAACGAGTCGCAAAATCACTACAAGGAAAACAGTGCGCTTTCAGCTAACCTTCTTTTAATAATTGCTCCTGTGTTACAACCGCCAGAGGAGACAAGTTCTTCCAGATCGCAAAATAAAGTGGATTATATGTACAACCTTTCGCTGCGTGCTCTGTGTGCATTTGCATGTGTTAAAGCGGTTCCCGAAGCAATTTTTGTTGGACGTAGAAATCCTCGCACTCCGCCATACATTTTCTTAATAACTGTCCGAAGGCAGCATAAATTGTCGAAAATCAACCCACTTCACGGGTTCACAGGGATGTTCTTCCAGATCGAACTGATTTGTTCACATGCTAAACTTCATTTATAGTGCAAAAATAGGAGCCATTGAAGCCACTAAATCGGTTCCAAACTTGGTGGAAAAACGGCCCAAATACTGCTAAATAGTTCTCAATGTGACGCCATTTTTAAAACCCAAGAAAAATTTCGGGAAAACGCCATGTTTTTAGTCGACCGTCAACCGTAGTTTCTAGCCCCTTCGTCCTCCATCTTGAATCCCCAAATGCTTTACTTGACCTATGTAACCGTGCCTTTAATAAATTGTGCAATGGCGTTACACAATCTCCGAAAATTTGCAAGTAAAATGAGCGACGAATTTAGTCAATGTTGCTCGCGTTTTAAGGATGCAATCAAATTCACTCAACCGGAATTAAGATATGAGGCGAGGGAAAAAGAGAAAAGAGTGCTTTTTACTTTGGAAATTCCTTATCCTCTTTTTTAGAGAATGGCATAAAACTGTTCAAGAACGAAACGTTCTGCCGCGTGACACTTCCGGTCAAGATTTGTCAAGCGGATGTGAAGAGATAGAGGCAAATTCTCCTTCTACAAGCGCAGCAGAAAACTCACCCACGGCAAAAAGGTTCAGCTACATAGATTTGGTGGAAAAGTGCACATTCGGGCAATGCTTTGCCTTTAGCGATGATGAAAATATACGAGATGGAATCGATGAAGCTTTGTTAAATATTGCTTATAAAATTTCATTAGATTACAAAAAAAACTAAGGGCAGGGCAAGAAAAGAGTTGGATAATCGAGTCCGAAAGTTTCATGTTATGGAGGGTCAAACAAAACCTGTGCATGAACTCTATCAAGAAATTGAAAACATACAAAATGAGCTACAAGATTGGAAAAAGGCCTATGAAGATTTAGAGTTGGAGAAGGAAAGAATCTATGAGGAAATGGTGCTGGCAGTGAACCAAAAGGAAAATGAAACCCAAGTTTTGCAGAAAACAAACAAAGAGCTTGAAGATTATATTGCATCATTGGAAAATTCTGTGGGAGTTAGTTCATACCAGGGAAAACCTCTTTCAACTGTGAAAAATAAGTTCAGGACCTTGAAAACTTTTATTTCACGAGCCGAAGCTGCTCTCTGGTTCTGCTCTTCCTTTGGTGTTGAACTAGTCGGGTTAACTGTCAAAGAATCAGACAGTGATGTGGTTCACAACATAACAAGTAAACCCAACTGTCAAGATTTACCCAGTCAAGCAGGAGAAAGAAAGTATAGTACCTTGTCCACACATGAAAAAGGGAATGTTGAAAAAATCCTTTTCTTACTGGACAAATTTTGTGTGGGGGATTCATTTTACCACGAAATTTCCATGATCACGGATAGTCTACCAAGGTCCTACTTGGTCAAACAATGCCGTGATCAACTGAACAAAATGTGCAAAATTGAACCACTGAATGCTAAGTTTGAAGGGGCCAAAGTAACTTCCGCTGAAACAGTGTTTAAAATACATATCTCTGATTTCCTGAAGCAAAACAGTGACTTTGATCCCATCACTGATAAAATCAAAATCAAAATCAATGGTGATGGTGCCAGAATGACAAGAAATTCAAATTTTATTTTACTTTCATTTTCCATTCTGCAAACAGAGGAGTCCGTAATGTCTGCAAAAGGAAACAGAACTCTTGGCATAGTCAATGGAACCGAGAGTTACCACACAATAAAAGACTCATTCCAGAGTTTATTCAATGAGGTAAATGACTTGACTGCCAAAGGTAAAATGAATGTGGATGGCCAAGAGATTCAAACTGAATTATATCTTGGTGGTGATTATAAATTTATTTTACTGATGCTTGGACTGAAGGGGGCAACATCTAATTATGCTTGTGCCTGGTGTAAAACACACAAAAATGATCGCTGGAGAATCAACAATGACTATACAAGTTATAACACTCCCCCCTTAGCAAGAACACTGAAAGAAATGTTTGAAATGTCTAAAAAATCCAGAGATAATTACTGTTGTGATAAACAACCTATACTAAATATACCACTGGATCGTATAGTGGTAGACGAGCTGCACTTAATGCTGAGAATCACAGATATTTTGATTGGAAATCTAGTGCAGGAGTGCCTTGACTGGGATAAAGATGATGACTTAGACCATAAAAAGGGGGCAGCAACAGGATTACACCTAAAAAGCCTTATTAGGGTAATCAAATCTTGTGGTGTTTCTTTTGATGTGTGGGAACAAAGAAATGCAGATGGGAAAGGTAGCGGAAAACATGACTGGACAAGTCTCCTTGGAAAAGACAAAAAGATCCTTTTAGCTGACCTTCCCAGTAAGCTACATAGCATTCTCCACCCAGAAACAGCATCAACTGTGGTTGCAGTCTGGACAGAGTTTGCAGAAATTTACAAAGTTGTCAATGACTGGAACCCTGAGAAAGACCCCACAGAATTTTTCATGAAAGCCAAAGAGTGGATTTCTCTTTTTGTCAGTCTAAATGGCAAAAGAGAAGGGTATGAGAAAGCCAGAGTTACCCCATACATGCACATAATGGTTGCACACATTCCCAAGTTCTTTGAGCTCCACCACTCAGTCAAAATATTTACAGGGCAAGGAGTTGAAAAGAACAATGATGTAGCACGTGCAATAATTCTGAGAAAGTCCAACAAGTGGGATTCTGCAGGAGATGTTCTGCGACAAGAGCAACGTCAGTGGGAGCTTAAAGAACACGAGCGGGAAGTACGCAATTACATGAAGCGCAAGGAGAGCTACTGGGATGTTGAAATTAAAGAAAACCGAAAAAAGGCACGAGTAAATTTAAGTCAAGATCCTCTCCAGCAATCTATTGAAGCTCAAAATGAACATCCCCTCCCTGAGTCCACTACCACTGACACTAGCTGTTCTCATATGACAGTGAAACAATTGAAAGAAGAATTAAAGAAGAGAAATGCGAGAGGATTCAGCAACAAAACCAAGGCTGAACTAATTAAACAACTGGAGGAAATTTGTCAATGAGAAAATATGGAATATTTAGTATTCTGGGAGCATGAAATGGCTTTAGTTACTCTAAGGGGGGACTCCCTTACACATTCAAAATTATATAAACAAACTCACATGAAAAGCTACATGACAAGCAAAGAGTGCAGTGAAAACACATCAACTCAACAAAATTATAATTAACTTTGTAAATAAAAGCAATTTCAAGCAAATTCATACTGTGGATTAAGCCTAGGGTTATTAGATAGGGGCCAGGTATATTTTGTACATTCAACTCACTTGTTGGTCATATTCTTATCAGCTTTTGTGTTCAGGTGGAACCCCTTACAGTCCCTAAAGCCATTACAGTTAATTTCAATTTCAGTTTCTGTTTATAATATCTATGATTGAATAGTTACAGGTTGGCGACTGAAATCAATTGATAGTTTCTCAATTAACATTCTCTGATCTTCTTGAATTTTCCCATTTATAATAGAATATGTTTTTGGTGATTTTGCTAAAAACAATCTAATTTTAAATGGATATTTAACCCTTACCCCATCCCCATTACAATCAATAACCCTATCCCAGTTTTCTGGTAAATCACATTTTTTAAAATCATCCTTATCTAACAAAGTATACCCCTTCTCCCTTCCCTCCCTTCCTTTACCATAAAACAAAAAACGAAAACAATCATGATCAAAGTCCAAAATAGCATTAGACCTTGATTTACTTCTTAATTTAAAGAGGACTGATAATCTCAGGTTATCAACGTTTCGAGTTAGCCTCTCTTTATCAACAATTGGCTTGTCATAAGTTCTGTAAGAAAAATAATGAAAATGGAAACATTGTAAGAGGGGTTGTCTATGAACAAGTAATACTCAAAGCAATGCAAAGGCAGAAGAAAAAGAAAAGCAGCAATCACTGCGTGTATTATTGGTGAAAAAAAATTAGTTAAGTATAAACCTTTCTATGAATGAGCTTATACGAGTGCATCTCTCTTGTTAATTCCGTATTTCAGCATGTTCAATTGTAATGGTAATTTAAGTACAATTTGAAAAAATGATACAACAATAAATACCTAATAAGATCGGTGGTCAAGTTATCTTCATCTTCCCAACTATTATGAAACGCGCTGTATCCCTTCCATTTCACCAAATATTGAACCTGAAGATTTTAATAATAAAACTTTAGCATGTAAGAAAATTGATGACATACATCGTAGACCAGGGCAAATTGTGAACTCACCGTTCCATGTGATGTCCTCCTCGAGATTAACCTTTCCACGGCAAAATAATCAGAAGAAACATTAGCTTTCCTTTTTCTACTTTTTTTTTCATCCCAAAGAAGGTCCACGGAAGAAACATTGTGTAATTGAAGAAATAAACCGCGGCTATTCTTGCTCGAATCCCTTACGCCGCTCGCCATAATTTGCTGTATGTAATCTGATGCAAGAACGCATGCGTAGTAGGAATTTTTTTGGATACACGAGCCCCCGTTTCAAACCGCTGACTGTCACAGATTTCTGGCCATGTATAAGGATGTTCTAAAATCCAGCCTTAAAAACATGCGACCTTCCCACCAACACCTGGCCATCAGCCGTCCAGGGTAGCTATCGACCTGCCATGCTGCTGTTAAGAATTTTGAACTCCATCTCATCAAGCATCTCCAGCATCTCCGTGACCTACCACATCCTGTTGTTGATTACTTCTGCCCAGAATGTTAAAGAGTCTGCCGCTCTCGAATTGGCCTGATCGGCCATTGTAGATAGCACTCCAGTGATCATCAGTAACCATAAGAAAGAGGATTTGTCGAAATCGACTGCTCAGTCCATCCAGAGATGATGGATGGATGAATGGAACATGGATGAGAAATGTGCCTTCGTTTATTGGTAGTAACAGTGTTCATATTTGAGGTAAATGATGAAAAACTTGAACTTTAAGGGAAACACTCACACAGTGGTTCATCGCTCTTCTTTTGTTGTTGTTTTTTTTTAAGATTGTGTTTTTCGAACACTTTTTCATCTTCTTCAAATCTCCTTTCAAGCCCCGTTGGTTAAAAAGTTTCAAATAGATTTAACTTCATTGCCATATTCTATATACTTGTTTGTATTTTTAATGTCGTCAATTGAATTACTGATGTCAATTTATGCTTTTAAACATGTCGATAAGCGGCACAGTTATCTTGATCAATCAAGAATCGTGCATTTTAAGTATGATTTACAAATTGATGTTGTTGCTGTCTCTGTTCTTCCCAATCTTTGCAAGGATAAACTTGATACAAAGCAGATTGTAAAGACTCTTACCTGTCTTACCTGGATCGATTTGGGTCTTTTTTCGCCAAGTAGCTGAGAAGTTGCTTTGACCTACATCATTCCAAGCAGACACTGCAAACTCATACTGTGTGTCGCACCGTAATGACCACTGATGGCTAGTTACTGACACTTTATTAATTTCAATCTTATTCCAAGAGGATTTTTCGTGTCTGTAGTAAATAGAGTACTTGGTGAGCGGACATGAGGCATCTTCACTGACAGTCCATGTAAGATTGACTACACAGGCAGACATTTCCAGCTTCGTGATAACAGGGGGAATTGGTTTGTCTGTTAAAAAATAAAGAAAGCAGAAAGACAAGCAATCTGAGAGAAGAACTCAGAAGTAAAGGTTTTTCGCCAAAAAGACATCGTCAGTGAATTACTCGTCCATAAACTAAAAAGAAGAGTATTTAGCGGCAGATAAAGGCAACTTTAAGCAAAGAACCAGACGGGGATACAAGCGCGATTTCCAATACATGAAAGTTTTTAAAGATACTCAAGAATAGGGATAATACCACTGATAATTTTTTTAACTCTCTACTTACTGCTGCTAATTTATTCAATTTTTTCCAGTAACAAATCTCTTTCATCCGAAACAAACATTCACACCGTCACGAAAATTCTAAAAGCATTGTTAACTGTCTTACGTTCAGCGTATATGGCCTCTATCACCTTACTGACATTTTTAAGATCTGATACTGATAAGATGAAAACGAAATTGAATATTTATCACATAATCTAAGCAAGGCAGTCACGTGTAACGCACGATTTCCCCTAAGGCTCCATATGTCCATTACCTCCACCAGTGGTTACTTTCCAGACCCTACTGTCCTTCAGAGACGACTCTCCGTTTGAATTCCACGCTGTCATTGCAATCTGGTATGCTGTCCGACAGAAAAGCTGAAGATGGTACGTGGTTGAGTTCTTTGGTAGCATTCGAGGCGATGTTGACGTCCAATTGATAGCGCTGTTTTTATAGTATATGCTGTAAGCATGCACTGGGCACTGTCCCTGTAGAGGGGGCATCCACTTCACCAACACAATGGAACTCTTTACTTGATTTGTGTATTTGTCTATAACTGGGAAACCTGTCACGTGGATTGCAAATATTAGTAGAAAAAGTTGTTTTGTGATTTTGTGGATAGATGAAGACTTGCGGTAAGTGCTTAATAGTAACTACTCTGGACCTTTCCTGTGATCGAGAATACACAATAGAACATTTGTAACCTAGTACACACCTCTAAGAGCGTCGACATTATCATCAGTCACTGAAGAGTTTAGAAAATACAGATCCATCACCGATCCGTATAACTGAAAAGTTCTGTTGAGCCAACCATCAGGCAAGTTTCCTATGGTACATGTCGGTGCTCCGGAGAAATAATTAATTCTTTGCCAAAGTGATGCATCTTTCTGCTGCTTTCCGTTGATGTATAGGATGAGGTTACGATCTTCTTCCCTGAATGTTATAGCAAGGTGTGTCCAAGTGTTATATGCGATTTTTCCGTTGCTTTTTAAGAAGTCGCTGCGATCGGTGTATAGAATCACTGTCAAGCGGATCACTTGGTCCTGAACGTACAAGTAGAAACCATTTTTTTTGTTTCTTTTGTCCGCATAAAACGTTTGATTGGTCAAGCCATCCGGAGCAAACTTAAACCAAAGGGAGACGGTAAAACTTTCATCATCGAGGGCCAAACAAGGAGCGTTTACGGAGGTGGCATTGGTTCCTCTGTGGAAACTAAGCGACCTGCTTTCGGAGCATCGATCATTCGTAAATTCCGAGTCTTTGTACCTGAAAAATAACTAAACTTTATGAAGCTGGAAATAGAACCTTTAAGTTAAAGTGTTAGTGTCAGGAACTCTCTCTCTCTTGCTTTCCATCACTTACTATATTGTCAAAGTTAAACCAACGGCGTTGCTCTAATATGTGTTTCCAGGCCAGCTCTGATAATTACACACCTGGCTGCATCTATTGCATTCTAGAAACTGAGAGCTCAGATATCCAAGCGGTCGTTCTTGACAATAAAACAGGCAGACGTAATTCGCCTTATCATTTAAAAGAAATTAGATTTTCGACTTTTAACAGGCGATTAGTTGAGTATCGAAACAAAGAAGCTAGTTTCGAAAAGTTGTAATCAACTGATTTTCCTAACTTCTCACCGACACGAAGGATATGTTAAAGAATCCAAACATTTGACTGAAAAGAACCTCCTAGAAATTAGAAAAGTTCTCATTGACTAATAAAAGAGCAAAGGAGTAAAAATCTTTTTTTAAAATGGGAAGCCAGGATGGATTTCCAGCAATTGCTGTAAAGCATAGCGGTTGCAGCGAGTGCAGTAAATCAACAACTCAAAGTATACGTAGGGTAATTAATAATCATCAACTGAGTTGATAACGTAAATTGGCCACCGTGGTAAAGAGTTTAAAACTCCTGTTATACTCTTCCACCGACGCAGTTTGAAACTCCTGTTATACTCCTCCACCGACGCAGTTTAAAACTCCTGTTATACTCCTCCACCGACGCAGTTTAAAACTCCTGTTATACTCCTCCACCGACGCAGTTTAAAACTCCTGTTATACTCTCCCACCGACGCAGTTTGAAACTCCTGTTATACTCTCCCACCGACACAGCTCCACAGTTTCTTTAAAAACTTACTCCCTTTGAACTACAGTGTCAAGAGAGTCGAAAGCTAATTGTGGAAGGACATTTATTTTATTAAATTAACCCTCTTATAGAGAACCTAGAGGCGCATTACTTGCGCAAAATCGCGGTGTGGGTTAGACCTCGTGTAAGCAATCGGCAGATTGGGTTTATATTTACTAATAACATCAATGATACTCACCCAATGTCTTCTTCACTTCCATTTAAAGGCCAGTAAACATAATGAAAAGAGCCTGAAAATCACAAAAGGGAAACAACGTTTGACTTTCGATTGTTTTGGTTAAAGAAGACAAGTATCCGTATGCTTTGAGTTTTCAGAACATCAAATCCAATGATACCAAGAATCATTTGTTTTACTTTAGCTGGTGGATGAGAATTGAACTGATAACCGTTACTAAAACACCAAAGTACATGCATTCAGATCAACAAAAAGTGAGATTTGAAGTACCAACGAATGATTAATAAAACTAACTCACCGACTTTCGAAGCGGCAAGAACACAACAGTAGTTCTGTTAATGACGATAAAAGAAGCTTCAATTGCAATTAGCTATTAAAACATTTACTAGATATCTTTTAATTTCTCTCATCAAACTTATGATAGCGTAAACACATCTTGGAGAAGTAAAATAATTAACAAAATGCATCCGAAGAAAGTAAAATTTCAAAGTCTCTTAAAATATTCCCAAGTGTTCTGCCAGTGATAAAGCTTTCAACACCTAGCTACATGTCGTCCATAAATCGTCAAGAATATCTAAGTAGATAACAAAATGCTCTCATGGACCGTGCTAGTAATCTTACTTGTTTGTTAAATCAGTTTTGATGAAAATTTTCAAACGTAGTTCTGGGAAATGTTGGGAGATTGTGAGAAGTGACCTTTTGGAAGAGCGACTGCTTTAAGCACCCTAATGTGATCGTGATATAACTTACATATCTACATGAATACAATAATCAACACACATGGAATTGGCAATATCAAGGATTTCCTTCGATGATTGTGCCTATGAAATATCAAAATCCCGATGCATTTCCAAGGATTTATGGTAATACAACCAAATAATAAACTTGGACATCCATTGGGTTACATCCGCCATTTCAGTCCTGGTGTAAGGCCAAATTTTTAAATTGTAAATGAGAAATTCTATCATTTCTGTTTCCTTTATCAGCTTCTCGAAAAGTAAAACTCAGTTCTACCAACTAACAGCTTTTAGGTAGATTAAAATTTCAGCTACTAAGAGCTGCTCCAAGTGATGGGTTTGAAGCTTGATTTTATCAACATTTATTTTTATAATTACTCAATAGAGATGTGCATAACTTCGAAGATCATTCTCGGTTTCAAGCGACAACAAAGTTGCTAATGACTAGTCGAGTCTTCTTTAATAGGATGCAAAGGAGGGTCTTTGCTGTAGGTTTTCTGCCGAGTGACACATTATCTTTAAAGTTGATTTACACTGTTTATATTTATATATTTGTTTTTGCCTATAATTACCTACAAATCGTCGTCAAAATAGCCGTAAGGCCGGTGGTATTTGAAACTTTCGAAGTTGTAACGTAATAACCTTTAAAAGCTTTGCCTATCTTTAATTAGTTAGCACTTAACTTACCACAAGAATGGTGTATAAGGGCACCTTGTTTTCATAATAACACCTGCAGAAAAAGAAATCACTTTGAATCTTATTTTCAAAGTCGGAGTATCGTTTCCCACAAATATGCATGAACGTTTCCTTTCAAAACGCGAATTTTTAATAACAGACGAAAGCTGTTATTTTACTCAGAAATCGTATTCCGAAAAAGCATTAACTTCAGTCATAAGAGTTAAATGTTGTTTGCTCAAGTACACAAATTTTGGCATGAACCACGATGTCGCCATGGGTGAAGTTAAAAATTGTTAAATACAAATATCTTGAGGTAAATGTATTTTTCACAAAATTACCTGATCGCCATGTTTCCACTTTGACCCTGCCTGGTGTCAGTTTGTTATGAGGTATTTCCCGTCGACGAAGTATGGATCGGCGATTAAACTGCAGATATGATGTATTCAGTGAAACACAAAAAAAAGATCCTAAAACTGCTGAAGATGCATGATGCTCCTAAAAGAAGGAATTCGAACATGAGGAAATTTGCTTAGATAGCTAAGTACAACATGCTTGCTTCTCCCTGATTTTGGTAGAAACTAACCCTAATAAATAAAGAAGTGAACTTACCAGGAAGCTCAGTTTTCTACTACATGAATCTTGACGGAAATTTGAGACCTTCCGAATTTCATTTACATAGCCGAAAATTTTTACGCAAACAACTGCCAACTATAGCATGCACTAAGATGTCAGCGTAATATTCTAAACGAGGTGTTTTTAACATTAAAAAAAATTAGTAACACCACTACTAATAATAAAAAAATGTAATTGCCCCCAAAAAACTTATAAGACAAGAGGGGTGCTACTTTTAAGTATGTCATAATATTCCACAGGAAAGAAAAGGAACAGAAATGAGTTTATACTGAACAAACAAATTTCTAGTTACATGACCGGTCTCTATAAACACTTTTAAGAATCACATATTTTGCATCGGTCTAACTTCGATGGTAACAGTTGTATGCCACCACTATCGAATGGACAAACACAATAGCTCAGTTAGTAATGAATTAGGTCGATCAGACGCCTATATCTCCTCTATCCGTCTAAATGGAGGGTATTTATCTCTCACTCACTAAAATATCATAAATAGCGTGAGAAGTTTCCTACTCCGTTCGGAATCTCCATCTCATTATCTCAGTTTTAAGCACAAAAGACTATAATAAAGACAACATTCAGGCAAACTGTTATCAAACTTCTGCAAACCGTAGTATTAATTAATAAGGTCGACTTGTTGAAAGAAAAAACATAGATTTTCTTTATTGGCTGCTACTGGTAAAAGAAGATTTAGAGGTGAGTTCTTTGGGTACAAGTTTTGAATACCTATATTTAAAATCATCTGATAAAGAAGTAATTTTAATCACAAAGGGAAAGATAAAAAGCATTTACCTCGATTTTATCGCGTCATATTCAAAAGCAAGCTGAACCGGCATACACCCACAAAGAGAGCTAATTTTCTGAGGAAGTTTTAACCGAGCTTCTATATCAAGTAAGTCAGTGTGAAACATTTGCTACCTGTTATGACTCATCCCAGCTTTTAGGCGCAAATCTAGGTTCTCGGGTTATCCGTAGTTCAAACATGAAACACCCTAAGGCGTTGTTACCGTAATAAATCCTTTGCTGCCCTAAAAGTAATCACTGTTATAGTTTCAACTATCATGAAAACCACAAAAATTGTCCACTAACGAAAAAGACGGCTAAGTAGGCGAGCTTTGAGGGTTGAGGGATCTGATGCTTAAACGCTGAAATAATAGTGAAATTTTCTTTTCCTTTTGAGCATATACTGAGAGAAATATGAGATCGAATGTACTACGCTAACGTAAATTCAGGTCCAACTTATCAAACAACTCTAATAAAGAAGTTGTGGTAGTTCTCAGAGCACAATTTAAAGCTTGTAAAGAGTTTCAGCGGAGTCAGTTCTAATGTCGATCCTGAAATGCAGTTAAACATTAACGAAGTTAATACTGCATTTCAAATACTCAATCAACGACTGCGTTATAGCTGCCTTAGTCATCATTGACTGCGCAAAAAAAGTAGAACAATGAGAGCAGCAAAACCAAAATAGAGTGAAACCACATAATAAGTGAGGACCGTAAAATTTTGATTTATACCTTTCCTTCTCCTGCTGCGAATAAGCATTTGTGCGTATCTTGCGTGTGTTAACCCTCTGAAGTTGTCTACCTTGTGGCCAAAAAACTATATGCGTGACTGGATTATAAATTAAATTTCACGGCACTAAATGATTGGTCAACCCATGAAATAGCTTGCCCGGCTTCCGTTCTTGCTGTGATTAACCTTTCAAAATGTCCCTCCCAGAAACTAAAGCGGATAACATGAGCGACAACTAAATTCCTTTTCAGCGATATTGGCAAAATTTCCGCACAGCCCCATACTTCGTTCATTATGTATCCATATATGGGGCTTTATTATTCAGTGTATGACCAATAAGATGTGCATGCATAATGAACTATGGGGCTGTGCGGAGATTTTTCCGCGATATTCTCGGAGGTTTGAAAGACTCTCTCACCTCATATTCCTCAGTAGAGTTAATAAGGCGCTTTCTGACAGAAAACTGAGGGGAAGTGCTTAAAGTAAACCACGCGAGTGTTTTAAAGCTGTGAGAGTTTGTGAGTCTGTTTGTTGTTTTGGCATGTAGAAATGTTGTCATGTATGAAATCTGTTAACATAAAATGGTTTCCTCCGTCAGTTACTCAGTTACCACCCAGCGAAAAAAAATCTGTAATGGCGGTACATGAAGCTCCATGATAAGCTTGAAGTCGTAAAACTTAAACTGAAGACTCTGGCTTGTCTTAGGAAGTTTGTGACTTCCTCACTCAGTGAGACAAATTAGACCCTGCATATTTAAATGAAGCCGTCTTTTATCGCTCTCTACTTCCGGTTCCACACAAAAATTCGCTGTTAAAAACTGTATACACATTTTACGCCTACCATTAGCTGGAACTCAGGTACTAGAAACATATTCTCGGTAACACTATACGTAGAGTATTTCGTGTAGTATTCAGGTCCACTCGCAGAATTTGTCAGTCAGTCAGCTCACGTCAAAAGCCAAAGCACTTGACTTAAAGGGCATGTAAACCCAAAAATAAATGTTTTTCTTATACTATGTAAAAAGTTGCGTAGAAAACGAATTTGAAATTTGTTATGTCCAATTCGACTTATTTAAGGAGAAAATCGGCATTTTCAACCGAAATTCCATTTCCGGTAAAAACAACAGCGAGAAGTCGTGACGTAAGCGGTGGAACTAAAATATTGCGCAACAAATATTTTACAGTAGAACCAGTGTGGGAGCTCGTGTAAGTAGCAGTAGTTCGGAAGATGTTTTTCCAGAAGATAGCGACTCGAATGCCTTAAGCTTAGTATATGACAGCGAAGGGGATAATCCAGAATCTCTAGGAGAGTCTGGGCCACGTCCTTAACAATATGAGCCGCGTATGGTTCACCGAAGCGAACCGCATGAAGACAGTACAAAAGATGTTGATGGTATTTAATTTACTGTGTGATTTATTTGTATTTGACATGAAAATCCAATAAAGAAAGGGTACAATCTAAAAGAATGCAATAGAAATTTTTTAAACCTGAGCTTCAGAGGGTGTTTTATATAATATTATTAAAGGTGCGAGTATGGAACTTGTCAGCCAATGCCGACAACTCATGAAAGTGTTTGCTGTACGGAGATCGGGTAATTGTGGCAAGAAATTTCTCTAAATTGCATACAGATAGCTTATTCGTTGGTGTTGGGATTATCTCGGCAAACATTTCAGAGTCGCTGTGACATCTTGTGCGGTAAACAATATTCGCAACACTTTTCCATCGGATTTTGGATCGTCTTACATTGGATTAAAACCGCCAAACCTTTGAGAGAAAAAAAGGCACATGTTAATGCAGATCTTAGTTATTCATGTCTTACAGCACTGGCGGTTGTGCCCGTTCTTTATGACATATAAGTGTTTTGCTTTCCTTCATCTCCGAAGCATTTTCATCGATAAACAAGTTGTAACGTGTATATTTCCTTGTGTGGCCTTCATAATTATCCAACCCTGTTTGTGTTTGCTTCGATTTGAAATACTGAAAAGGTAGTTTTGCAAGCTGAAATCGGAATCTTTTAAGTTCTACTCAAAATGATAAATATTGTCCTTCTGACCTTTGAATGTACTTTCACAGCTGTGAAAACCGTGACACAAATTCTTCTGCTGTTTCTCTACAGGGTTTCTCAAAGGAAGCAAGTGGGGCTGGCATGGATTCCCTTATAGAACATAAAGCCGGTTGATTATGGGATCCTGTATAGAATTTTTTATATCGAATCAACAAAATTCCAGGTAATGTTATTACAGACCGACATCAACGAATTCTCTTTCTTTGATACGTGTTTCGAATTCAGGCAAAGGTTAAGACAGATCACGCAGTGTCTTTTATGGGCTCAGCGCTGACTCCCGAACAACTGGCTTCCCCATAATCTTTCATTAGATGAGAAAAAAGATATTTTTAGAGAACCAATAAAGCTGTTGTTGTTTAATTAGCGAAAGGCTTCCACGTAAATCGATTTTGTACTTTCTCTGTTAACCTCTTTTGAAGAGCTCAACTTCTTTCTCAGTTCGGTTGGCCCTTCCGAATCCTCGTCTTCTATTGAATGTATGGGTCGTTTTTATACTTCCGAATAATTTGCTTCTGACAGGGCCTGAATCGTCGGTACAGCACCAGGAAGAAAAATGACTGCTACAAACAACGGAATGTTCGAACGGCTCGACGAAATCGGCTATTTTCACTTAAACAAATTTCACAAATTGTCCTTTCAAATTTCCGTCATTCGAAAATGTTTGCATTGTATGCCCAGTTTTGTTTGAATCAGCACAAAACTGGACGACACAACGCTTTACCATCGTGAAAAAATTGAATATATTGAGGCAAATTGTAAGTAAAAAAATCATGACGAGACCGGCAAACAACGGCTGTGGAAAAGACTCCTTCGTGTCTCACGCGATTATAAAACGAAACTTTGGAGGTTCCAAGATGGCGAATGTTTCGAATTTGGAAGAGCTTTTACAAAGTGAAAATGGACTTTTGAGAAAAAACAAATGGTACCTTTGGTGTACTTGATATATTTACTAAACATCTATTTGAAAAGAAAATGAACTTTTTATGGGTTTCCATGCCCTGTAAGATTGTTTTGCCGTCTCGGCGGTCGAAAGTGAAACGGATTTTTGGTCATTTCAAATTGAAACTTTTAGCGCCGAGAATTTGATATTGGCGCCTGTTGGATGTAAGTTGGTATAGCCGGCTCCTATCTAACGCGTCGTCACGGAGTGAAATAAATAATTTCCATTTGCCACGAAAATATGCTTGGAAGTTAAGCAATCAGTTAATTTCCACCTTCACTTGGCGCTAAATCGTACATTTGGGAACCAGGTGCAGGACAATTTACAAATCGACAGTGGTTTAGCGTGGTCTGTACTTTTGTCGACAACGGTATTCGTTATCACAATGGTCAAGATGTTGTAGACAAATTTTGACACTGTGATGACGAAGAGTACAGATCACGCTAAACCACTGTCAATTTGTTTTTTTACCTCAATATCGACGTCAAAATTTTCGAGTGAATTCATGTTTGAGAGCTGATAACGGCATTACTTAACACTTTCACGCGAGCAGCCGATCAGATTGCGGTATTACAACCAATTGTGGTAAAAAACGTTTTCGAACAGTGCATCTCTATTGACCTTTATTGGCATGTTTAGCCATGTTTACTGAAAAGGATTTTTCGTTGTTCACGGTGCTTTTGGTAGGGCTGTTAACAAGCAAGTTTCATCCCTTCACTTACAAATTGCAAGCAATTAAAAAAAATAAACAGCGCTTACGTTTTTGATGGGTTCATCATTATTCGTTAGACGTTCAGAATCATCAGTTACACGGCGTAAGCTCTTTTCAGTCTCTGTAAGTTAAGCCCTCAGAGTTGGCATTGTTGTTTCAAGCGGTCGTAACTCCCTCACGATACGAGCCAGCTCAAAATATTTGGTTTTTTTTTTACTATTTTTCATGCATTTGGCTTTCCTTGGTTTTTTTTTTCTTGGCGGTGTTCCGGCTTTAATAGACATCCTCATGTTTTCCACTTACATAGACAGCACCTAATACTGTATGAATAATGTCATCCTCGCAAATAAAATGTATTCAGTAAAACTCTTTATCATGCACATGCTTTGACTGAGCCCGATAACATGCCAAAACCCATCAACGCTTGTTACAATGGAAGGTCAAAGGCACACAGTGTTAGGCAGTATGTAAAACAGCTGATGAAAGCGCATTGTTCCTGTGTTATCTCTAGGAGAAACAAGGTTGAAAAGAGGTTGGTCGTGATATAAGGCCAGGACTACATAAAAATTCTGATATTACTTCCAGTGCTTTTTAATATCTAACTTCCTCTTTGTTTTCAGTTCAAACTGAACCGATAGGAAATTGTCATTCTGTGATCAGTGAAAATTATTAGTTTTTCCAGACTGATTTTGTGGCAAATCTTTAGTCTTTGTTGTTCATGGGTCAAAATCGACCGAGTTCGCGGCACAAGCAGTATTCAATTCATTCCCAAGTATGAAATAAGACCAAAACTCTCTGCCGAACGATTTAATTGCCCATTTTAAGGCTCTTGACTTGAATCGAGACTTGAATTCAGTCGCAAATAAGATAAAATGAAAATAATGTATTTGAGTGGTTGTTCGTCCTAATGTCCCATTCTGCTTGGGAAAAAAAATGCAATCAGGAGTAAGCACGAGAGCAATTTGTGAATAAATCGGTTTGTTGAGAACCAATTACATTGCAAAGATCACACATCCACACACGCAAGAGCAAAATGAGAGAAGAAAACAGTCAACAAAATTCACAGTCTTATAATTTTATTTTTAAACTTTCACACGTGAATTGTATACTCAATACATCAATTAGACTGTAAATGATACAACGTTCTCTAATTTACAGAACGAATTTACAACAGCGGTAGTTGTATCGTACATTCGCATTATCATAGTTTGCCCATCTTATCAGGTGAAAACTGGCCAAGAAATAGTCGGAGGGGCACTTAACATTTTGCCTGTCGAGATACATTATGGGGGCATTGGACTTCGCATCCCAGTTGGTGTTTCTTTCGTGACATCGGACTTTAGATCGGTCCACTCTGTTTTCCAGCCTGGTGAGACTTGACTCCAACGAGGAAAGCCTTCTTAGTAGATGCTACACATTCATTGATTAAAACAGAAATCGAATCGCCAATCAGTTCATCACACGTTCCAGGTTACAAAGTAATATATGTTTTTTTTTTAACGTTCATCATGGTTCCTATTGGTGTTACCTTGTATTTCCAAGAGTCTTTTGCAGGGTCCTCGCTTTCTGATCCACTATGCACCTTTCCTGTTTCGTCCTTAAACTTTTTCAGACGCTCGGCAATATCCTGAATAGATAACAAGGCAATATTTGTTCAACGATGTATTACTTCGACTGACGCACCGTAAATGAATACATACAGCAGTTCTCATAATCAGCCACGTAACAAAAGTTCCATAAATAAACAATCAAACTTTATTTCCTGATTTTCAAAAGCCCAACACTTAAATCACATGCACTTCTTTAGCGTGAATTAATTCTTGTTCCCTTGCTCACAGTTGTGATTCCTTTGTTTCTTTAGAGGGTAGAAGCTTGTTTTGTCCACAACTCGTGTCAAGTTGATACTTAATTAAATTTTGCAAAGTCATTTAAACAATTGGTTCAATTTCCTTCACATTTATGCCCTCAATAGGTTGTTTGATTATCGGTCAAACTATGCTTGACTTCATAAGGGCTAGCACCCGGTTTCTTGTCTTAATTATTTGTAGTACATGTTGTGGTGCCTGATTTTTGCAAGAAGCTCTCTTTCAATATTGGTGAAAAATGTTCTTTTTCGTTTTGTTTTTCTTCTAATGGTACCTCGAAGAAATGACTTGTCATTTTTTCAGATATTTTTATGTTTGTCTCCTCAGGCAAAGTAAAATAGTGGCTCTGTCATACAGCTCGTGGTAGGCCAAAGAAATTTATGAATAGAGCAAAACGGCAGATTTTCCAGTGGCGCGTCAACGCTACAAAAAATTTACTTTGTAGCGTAGGAGATCTAACTTACTAACTGAACAAAAAAGATAAAAAGAAAACAACTTTGAAATTTTTGAGCTATTGAAATCGCAGAAATTACTTGCTTTCCATTGTAGTTAATCTTCGACACCTTGTGCACAAACTGCAAAGGGAAGTAGATCGTTTTTGTTGCGAAGAGAGTTGATAGAATATTTCAAAGTTATTTGAAGATTTTAGGCAATACTGCAATGCCGTATTGGAACTCCATCTCGTGTCATTTATAGTATACCTTGGAGACCTTTGTGTGAGCATCCTGCGTTCTCTGCATCAGTCGTTCTTCCCTGATGGCGGTCAGCTCAGGGTTATCCTACAAAAAAAGGAAAAGAAAGCCCGGCAACGAAATGAAAGTCTTTTTTAGTCAGCAGTCATGAAAAATCGCATCAAATATCATCAGCGTTAATGCCTACATTTATAAAAGTATTTACAAAAGACGCGAAGCCTCTATTATTAAAATTCTCACCATTATTTCTTTCGTTTCTCGCAGAGGTGAAGCGTGACTCAAGTAAGACATGTAAGACATCAGGGCACAACACAGAAAAATTCTACCGATGGCACTCGCTAAAATCTTCATGATCAGGACAACAAACTGGTTTTGCAACTCCCAAGGAATTCAACAGTTCTTCACTCCTTCCAATACAACTAGATTCGCAACAAAGACACGGTTATATCTGTAATCAGCAATGTTTTCTTTTAACATGTTATGATTTTCTTGTTACTAAACTATTAGCATATTTGCATCAACGTCATCATTACCTTTTGCCTTCAAGGTGAAGTTTTAAGTATTTCTTTTAATTTCACCTGTAAGTGATATATTTTTCTAAAAAAAAAAATATAATAATGGCTTACGGTCGATGAAGTCAGCCTTTTGAAGAGCTTGCGAGCGTGATACAAAAGTTTGCAGATTATGCATGTATTAGATCGCCGCTTGTTTCAGCCGAACTAATGAACTGCTCTGATCCTGTATTTTTTTTTTGAGATTGAATAGAGCGTGGAATCTATAAACTACTGGAATCTGTCACTGATGGGATAAAAATAAATTTGTTTTTTAAATTGATCACTATTTGTAATTTGGCGGCTCCACAGTGTTTGGGTAAAAACAATGTTATGATTCCTTTTCTATCAGTTCCGGGTTATCCGCAATGACCGATAACAGTTGTTTTTCACTTTTCATATCTTTGTTTTGGTTTATAATGATTCCAAGACGCCAACTGATTGTTTCGTTTTAAATTCGTGGTTGAGTCTTATCATTGAATCTTGACTTAACTCTCGTTGTAAGCTCGCTCCACCAACTAAGAAACTGTCATGACACTATAAACCGTTCATAATTTCTTAATAAAACTGAAATCAGTTTTTCCGAATCGACCGGCTTTCGATTGGAACCAGTGGGTCTACAAATAATTATCATCGAGCCACAGTCCTCGGTGTTTCATATTGATCATATAGTAATGTTCAAGAAGGAAACTGCTATTAATACATCGTGCAAATGTTGAGTGTGCGTAGCTTGTAAAGGAAGACTCTAGCGGATTCACAGCGGATTCACTTTTGAAAAAAAGGATCGTGCTCGAAACGCTGAGCTAAGAAGTTTGTAAACCGGAATCATTACGAACCTTCTCTTTCCAGTGTATCGAAAGAAATAGGACAGGGCAGGAAGCTGTGATCACGAGCCTAAGACAAAACCAAATAGCGTCCTTGTTCAAAATTGTTTTTTATAAGCTGGATAACAATCATAAAACCAGAATGTTCGGTGTATCGTGGCCGTATGGCAGCCAACTCAACTCAATTTGTTTCAAAAAGGGTGCTGTCTGAAAGAGGCTTGGAGCGAACCCTAAGGAGGAGGAGGCTTGGAGCGAGCCATTCTCGCTTGCAGTCATATGAACACCATGGACACCGCGATTTCGGGGAGATACGAGGAAAACAAACAAAGTTACTTGATATCTGATTTATTCTTGATTATCAGTTTTCCACTCAATCTATATTTTAACAGTTTACCTACAGTTTCGCACCAATCTTGCTATGTATTTATTGGCTTTAATGACATACCTAGTTACAATAGTCAGCGCAAAAAAAAAATATTGACAAAATATTGACAATATTGCATTTAAAACAAAACGATTTTGCTCTTTAAATTGTTACTTTAAGAGTCATGCAATCAAAATTAAATATATTTTTCTGTTATCCATTCTAATAAAAAACTAGTAAATAAACGCTTTAATTATCCTATTCATTCCTCTAAGTTCCGCAGAAAAGCTAATCCAAAAGAAGAGGCCATTCAGTTTCTTTCTATTCGAAATAGAGTACGAAAAGTATATACAATAAGCATTAGAAATACATATTGGGAGTAAAACCGAGTAATATAGTTAGATAAGGACAGAGGACTTTTAATACCGAGCATGCGTGACGTTTAGATGTTTTCAAAATGACGCAAACGTAAAGATTTAGGTCCCAATCCCCCTTCCCTCGCGGCCTGCGTCAGGATATTCAGGTGCACTTTTGCAACCATTTCTTAAAGCGCTGTCTTTGCTCCCCCTCGCCATAGGCTCAACTGTTAATGGTTTCAAGTCCAAAACTGAATCTCTTAAATGGAAAATCAAAATGTATGTCTTCGGTGAAACAAATAACCGTGTCAAAATTCCTGGCGATAACAAAGATTCATTACTTCAAGAAATTTAATATAATCAACATGTACAATTTGTAAAATTTTATTGTTTGAATCCGGACTGAGCAAGCAGACACCGTCTTTAGCTGAACAAAGCCACCTAATTATGGCTATAACAAGGATTTGTTTGCATTATTTTTCGTCTTTTTCCCGTAGTTTCCAACAGCCAAATATCAATTTGAATCTTATAGAGACAATAGCGGCAAAATTTCCGCACAGCCTCATCCTACATTATGCATTCAATTCTTGAACAGAGAAAACAATGACAAAAACAATACATTTCCATTAGGAAAACAGATTTGTTTTACAATAGTATGGGGCTGTGCGGAAACTTTACCACAATAGCTTCCATTTGGTTCCAAAAGTATGTTCCTGTATTTGTCCACTCACATTTCATTCTCCTCAAGCTCGAAGAAAACTGTGAGCTTTGTGGAACAGATTGTGTCCAAAAACAAACGTACGAACATATTTTCATGCCAGATGGAGGCTTCTGTGTGTATCATTCTGTGTGTATCATTCTTCAATATTAATCGCAGCGCACGGAACAAAATGTTTGCAACCATTTTACTGGCGAGAAACGCATTGACAATTAAGAGCTAGTCTAGTTACAGCAAAACTATTTGATGGATCATAATATCTGTACATGATTAGACTCATCACAAAAAGTAAAGGCATCGAATTAGAAGCTTTCATCTGATTAATCTAAACTTCGTTGATAAGTAGTATTAACGGAAGCAAAACATTCATTCTTTCCTAAGAAATCGTTAAACTAATCGCGCGGACATCAACACTTGATGTACCTTTAATGTACCAACACCACATTGGATAATAAGACGACCTGGTGACGTATGTATGCATGTTTCATCGATTAACTAGGATGAATAAGCCAGTTTCTTACAAACACTTCATTGTCAAAGTTGAGTATGTCGATAAGAAGTTCTTGCAGGAATTTCCCCTTGTCCCTCTCTTTCTCTAACGTAAACTCCAGCATTCACATCTCTTCGAGCAATACTACTCTTGGGAGAGATATTTCCCTCTCGCACTGTAACAGTTTCTATTGGGGAGGGGTCCCTTGGGGGAACATTCTCACTTGGAAGTAAGGACCTTAGCCGGGCTATTTCACAGCGGGCTTCGTACAAGTCAAAGGTTTGCTGGGTGCATTTATCTTTGATGGAACGAACTTCACGCTGCAACAACTTAATACAAAAGGAAAAAAGTCCTGTTATTCCAATGAAGCAAACTAATGAACTCTATACTTTAGACTAAAGACTTGACGAATCTAGTTCATATTATTTGCCCTCTCCTGGAGGAAAAAAAAACACTCACCACATTCTGCCGAGCTAGGTCGAGCTTTTCGCATTTCAGTCTTGTAATTTCGTTTTTAAGCATCTCCGTTTGTCTGAAGACTGTGTCTAAAAAGTAAATCAAAACACTGGAATCAGGCGAATATCTTAGAAATTGAATGAAAGGCGAATTGAAAGACCTAGTCATGAAAACATTCAATGATATAAGTTTTAAGCAAACCATATAATTTTTCTTTGACAATCATCCTCAGTCTGAAGTACGAACTCAAGACCCAGGGCACAGTTTTTACCCAATATAGACCTCCCGCTCGGTATATAACGCATATTCCCTTATTGCACCTAGTAAACTCCTTACCACTGACGGACAAATCCTCAGATGAAGTTAAAGTTTCAGTGTCCAATTTAGGCAGCGACGGAGATCTTTCCTGCATCACCTACAGAAACCACCACGGGTTAGCACTGGTGCATAAATTATTCGCCAAAAGCAGAATGACTATTTGATCGTAGACATTCTTGATTCCGTGTAACAGACCAATAGAATATGAACAACAAAGTTATCGCAGCCTTCAAACATGACAAACCTGTTCAATTCTCTCTGATTCCGGGTCAGTGGGATCAAACATAAGCAGCCCAGGCGGAACCGAGCGAGGCCTGTTATCTGACATATCCAGCAAGGGTGAGACGATGGCTGTTTTCTTCTGCTTTTGCGCGGAACCTGGAACGGTGCCAGCTGCCTGTATGCTTACGGTATTGTTTTGGATATCAGATGCTTTCCTCCGCAGATAAGGAGAACTCGTTGGTGATCGACTAAAATTCAACGGAACGTCACGTTCAACTCTTCCTTCTCGAGATTGGTGGAAAGATTGTGTAGAAGCAGTACTGTTTTCGGAAACATTTGAACTTGACCGCTGATGACTGACATCCACATTACCGCGGTCTTCAGGGCCCTTTCGGTGACGTGACGGAGACCGATTGTAATTAGTCAGTCGTATTGACTCATCCTGATCATTTTCGGGCCCCGATTGATATCCACCAACATACCGAACTTGATATTCGCCGGCAGTCGAACTCCCCTCGTAAGACACTCGTGAATGCGACGATTTGTCGGTTACTTTGGTCGAAGTCCTATGTAAACGATCGTAACTTTTTAGGGCAGGGACAGATTGAGAATGCGCCATGTTTTGGGGCAAATTTGGTGATAGTCGTGGTGAACTGTTATAATCCGGCGTACTCTTTTGTCCCCGTGGTTCAGGTGTTCGTGAACGAGAGTTATGTTTCCTCGGAGAATGCGCTGGTTCGTCAAGATGACGAGACATCTCGGATGTGTTCGATTCTGAACTGGAATCGTCCGCGTAAAAAATGGGATTGTTCTTGCTCTGCTCTTGAACCAGAAGCGACTCCATACTCTTACACCGACCATGATTAACTTCTCTGAAAAAAATGTAAAAAAAAAATGACTTGGAACAACTGATGGTTGATTATTTAGCAGCAAAAGTGCGTTAGGAGAGTATCACTCTTAGGGTTTGAAAGTACATAGAATTTGGGCTCGATAACTTGTTTCATACGCACAAGAAAATTAATAATAATAATAATAATAATAATAATAATAATAATTGCCGACGTATTTCTACTTCTTGCCACGTGATTGCGATTCCTCACTTACTTTTTGGGCGGCTTTGAGACTTTTTTAGCAGAAAGTAAACCTTGTGCAGATTTCCTTCTTTCCTTACCCTGGATGGAGGAAAATCAAGTATAAGTCGTCAATCAGTAATATCTAGAAGGCTTTAAGTTTACTGATGGATGCCAGTGAGTCCAAAGATGTGCGATTTATTAAAAAAAGAGGGCCAAAACAAAAAAGGTACTGTTGTTTCCAACCTTTTTATGCCAGGACTTTGGTGTATTGTCATCTGAGTCAACATCATCTGGTTTTGGGCGCGGTTCCCGCATGGACATGGTGCGGCTCACTTGACTCCTTGTACGTAATACCTTTTTCAGAGATGATAATAGCTTGGCCTTCTGTGGAGCCTAAAGGATTAAGAACAAAACAACTCTGAGTGTCATTGCAAATGGAACAGCCAGATCATTCACAGCGCTTCAAATTATTTTTGCAACCATCGAAAATGAAAAAAGGTGACTCTCAAAAAAAAATATTCGTTTATGAGTATCATGTCACCTTTCGTACTGAAAATTTAGAGGCAAGTGTTCAGGTTAAGCCACCCTAAAATATCAATTCAAACACAGTTCCTCATCTGGGTTTGTGAAATCAAACTAAGGTTATTAACTCTTGTCTTTTTTTCCTGCTAATTTTTCTTAATTATTTTGTGCAATACAACTCAATTGTATTTTTGTTTTCTGGGCATAATAGCAAGTATCGTAAGAGCCCAAACAAGCTTCATTAACCTGCGCTTGAAAAAAGGTAGTATCACAACTACTCCAAAGGTTATTGAAAGAAAAAAAAGACTTGGGACGTAGATCGTTGCTTGCAATTTTACCTCCTCTCCGCCTGTGTCAAGTATCAGCGAGTTCTTCTCGATTAAATCATCCGCTAGTCCTCGTAGAAGAGTGGTGCGCGTTCGATCCTGTAAAATAAATAAGCAAAGGAATGAAAAAAAACTTTCTAAAAAATCTCTCCGTGCAAAAGCCAGGAAATACAGTAGTTAGCTTCCTCCATATTATCGCGTATTAAGGTTTAACACTTACCGCTAACTTTGCGAACTCAGCACTGTTGTAAGCTGCCAGTTCAGCATTTATGAGTTTTGTTAACAAAAACTTGCGAAATTCAGGACCCTGGAAACCAACATATGACCATAAACATAACTTAAATACTCAAAATGCCTTCTTAAAAGAGGTATTTGAAAAACTTACTCTGGTGAAATCTTTGATGAAAATACACCCACTGGTATTAAGATGGAGAATTAGTGACAAGTTCTCTTTAACCTCAGTTTTCGACCGAACAAAACCTCCACAATACTTCAAGCCATGAAAAAGGTTTAACAAGAAGCTCATCGTGAACAAACCTTCTTGAAGACGGCAGGATTTGGAAGTTTGGGTCCAAAGTGCGGCACATCTTCACGAGCTGTGATGGAGACCTGGAGTGATAATGGTGAAAAATGTTACAAGAGTCGATTGGTCAGTCAGTAGCCTGGACAGGGACACCTCGAAATTAAGCTTCGAACGACAAAAAACAAGAGTAATTACAACAACCAAACAGAAAAAAGGGTCAGCCCAAAAAACAACAACAAACGAAATATCAGTTAAAAATTGGTGGAGTGCTTGTGGCGTGGGAAAAGCGAGTGACCCAATTGCAATTGGCTTAAGTTTTCATGTACTCGGTTGAGAGAGTTGCTTAAGTTTTCTGATTCAATCACAGAGAGTAAGCAAAACAAAAAACGATCCCGGATTACTTTTAATTACTTTTTAAATTACGTTCATTTCGTACATACTGAACGAACAACTGTGAAAATACATCGTTCGTCCAATCAGAGACACGAACGATAGTGCTTCACCATGGAGGGCAACAAAATAATAGCTTCCAGACTTTGAAATGTGTCGGTCAATAAGAAAAATCTCAATATGTATGAAATAAAAACATCATACCATGGAAAGTATTTGAAAATTTTTTATCCACTCGTCGTGATGCATAGAAAAAAAAACCCACTCGTTCGCTTTTTTGATGCATCATAACTCGTAAATAAAAATCGTTCGTGCGGACTTTCCATGGAATAATCTTTGTCTGTACTTTACCTTGTATCTTGTGTTGCTCGTGTTCGGATCCAAGACTTGTACAACAATGAAGACGTGTAGAAAATGCGATCGGATGGAAACTGGTGAAAATGGCGTGTTTTCCTCCTAAAAGTATTGCAACATAGCTTAGAAAGGTTAAAAACTGAGCAATCTTCGAACATTTCTGTAGTTTTGACTGTTTAACACAATCCATTTTAAGGTATTTGAGAAACCAACCACAACTCCCGCTTACCTGGAAAACTATAGCAACAATATCATTGCCAATATGCCTCTTTCTTTGAACCTTAAAAGTAGAAAAAAAAATTCGGCTAAACATACAGTGTGCATCTCATAAGCAGATATATCCAATTGTTGTGTGGCAGCCTTACATCACTGGAGTTGGTCATTGGTTACAAAAAAATACGTCCTAAAGGTCAATTTGTTGTTGTTGTTGTTGTTTTCATACCTGTTGGCTGTCTCCGCTACTGAATGGTAGTAAGGTTGAAACATGAAACATGATCTCCCTAAAAAGGTGAATCACAGAGTATAAATAAATTTACCACTCTTAAAAAAAAATTTGGGAATGAGGTGTATATCTCAATAGAGTAAAATATGTCTAACTACATAGCCTATATATCAGAGGTTTGGCAAAGTAGGGTAGTATACAATATCAACTCAAGGTTTCCACAGACATAGAGAAGGTGGGTGAAGTACATAACGTTTGAATTACGAGATTCAAACATGAAATAATTAAGGAAAGAGTTACTTATGAGTAATGAGAAAATTCAAATTTCTTACTTGGAATCAAACACAGTATGTACTGATGTGTCACCTGTCTGACCATGTTTCACATCCAAGCCTCCAGGAAACCTGTAAATAATGAAAACGAAATGTGAATTTGAGTTAATCATTCATGAAAGAAATGGCTTTTACAAACATCATCCCATACAAGTAACCTACATGTAGATAACATAAGCAACTGAGTCAGTGAACTTGTAAGCTTAATGGAGCAGTAGTATTGTAAGGAGACATCATCAGTAGGTCTGGATAAAACTTGTACCCGTGGAACATACACACAAGTTCACCAATATTTAAAGTTTGTGTTAATTTGTTTTACAGCTCACCCTTTGAAATTTCTGAGGCACACCTGATTGCCTAACATCTCCAAGAACTCATTCATGGCAGGACTGTGAGTTCTATTGCAAAAGTACTCCTCTTCAGTAGTCTGAAAATATTGAACAATGAAATTAACATCTTACCACTTCAAAGTCATTGCATAAAGAGACTAACAATGTGCTAAAGGTTGAATGAATGTTCGTTGAAAGATTATGGTTATCTCAGTTATTGCCACACATGTACATAACCTACATTTTTATTTGCATTTTTACTTGAGCTTCTCAAATAATTTGCTATTCATATGTTGTTAAATTGTTACCTGTCCATATTTCTGGTATATAACTCCAAATTTAAAAGAGTTTGACAGGTTGTGTTCATCATACTTGACAATCAGTTCTGAGGCCTGAGAGTAACACACAAACAGATGTCACAAGAAAGAAGAGGCAAAGGCAAAGCAAAGTACCAAAACTGCTACAATCTACCCCTGACTCACAGTTAAATATCACTTTGTCACTCAAATAATATTTGTTAGACAATCAAAATAAATTTCAAGTAACTCATTTCAAAACCATTTTCACATATCATAGTGTACTATTGTAAGCACCATCAGTTTTATTTTGTTACTTTACCTTTGGATGAGCTAAGACTTGAAAATGATCTATATTGTCTGCATCCTCGGCAAGAAGATACTAAAAGGAAAATTGAAAAAATATTTTCCTTGAAAATATTTAATATTGGCCATCTAATTAGCCATCTTTCAGTAATATATTCTTATGTTTATCCAAAACTTTCAAAAAAACAAAAAAAGTTTTTGAGTAGGCCTTTTGTAGCACAACCTACACAATGATAAGAATGTAAAATTAATGATACTTTCATTCCATGTTTTGTAATTGTTTACTCACCCTAACAATTTCTCTTGGTCCTGGATTGTCAGACACATTCTCTATTGGTAAAATGTCTGCAATGGTCTTTTCAGCAGTTCTAATAAAATGGCAAATTGAAGAAGAGCCTTGATTTACAATGGAATATTCTGCTTTAATATTTTAGAATTTTACATTTTCAAGGGAAATATTGACATTACTAACAATTATAAGTGATAAGGGTAACATCAAATACATGAAAACATTAATACACCTTGCAATTAAAAAAATTAAAAAATTGTCCAGGTAGAAGTACATTCTGTATTTTAGTTCAAACAAAAGCATCCTAGCAAATGACCACATTGAAAAGTGTCTATGAGATCAAAATCTGTATTGTATTTAAAAAAACCAAAACAAACACCAAAAACAAGAATAGTTTGAAAAGGGAAATAAACCTTAAAATGACTCTGAATCCTTGGGTATCACAACCATCAAGTTTCTCAATTTCTTGCTTGACTGATAAGATAACAGGACCAAGTTTTTCATCATCACAGATGAAGTTCAGATGTTCCTAAAATGTCAATAAATCAAACATTGGAAATTAAATAGAATTAATACATTTTGCAATTAAAGCTATTCTGGCATTAATACGGTGAGTCAAGAAAACAAATTAAGTAAACCATACTGCAACTTGTTTTAAGTGTGGATGAGTGCGGATAATGGCATAAACTTTTAGTTGCCTACCTGTGTGTTTGAAACACTACATGCAAGAAAGAAATTTTTTCAAACAAGCATGGGGTAAGGAAGCATAGTATAAAATACCTTTCCCATGAAGTCTCTTCTGTAGCTTTGAATTACATTATTCATCTCTATCCTGCAGTCAACAGCCCTGTGATCTGTGTTGCTGACATGTCTGTGGTTGCTTCCCTCCAACCAGTATTCACCTCCAACAGGCAGAACAACTAATGGATATGGTCCTCCAGCTGCCAAAACCTACAATATGTGAATGAAATATATGTTACAAACAAATAGGAATACAATATGTGATACAGACAAGTAAAATACATTTGTATAGTTAATAACATGATTTCGAGTGTAATTTAGTGTTAATAAGCTTTACAAGGGCTTATTTAAACCAAATTGTACATAAATCAAGTTGCTACTTATTAATAATTTACATGGAAAAGGCACCCCAGAAAGTCATGACAGGCAAAATTTTGACAGTGTGTGGCCACTATTTGTAGTTTGTACTGATGTTACAACTTTGCACCTGTATTATAACTTTGCACTTGTGTTACATGAAAATGCACTAGTTTTCAGCTAATTAGATACACATTTTTTCATGTTTATTATTAACACATTAAGATAGATAGAGAGTAACAGTCCACTTTATCCAGTCAACCTTCTGAACAACTAGCCAGCAAATTATAAATTATCAAACTGACTGGGAAAGCTCAAAATGTCTACATATCATTTATTTGCTAAGGCAGTATGCATCCTAAGCAAGTAGAAATACTAATGTTGCTAAAAGTGAAATATATACATATATACCTGTTTTCAAAAACATTGCAATATTGAAATTATATATTAAATATATGTCTTTTGTTTTCTGATCAAAAAGTGTCTTTTAATGAGGAAACAAAAGTTGTATATATTTCATATATTTTTTTCAAATTGCACCATTTTTGAAAATGGGTGTGTGTGTATATATAAAATATCTGAGCAATGCTTAAACAAGTCACCTCCTTAATAGGGTCTAAATCCGTCATTTTTAAGACTTCCTCTTCTTCTTCGTCGTCACCTTCTGCTTCCTCTTCTTCTTTTGAAGTATCACTCTAAAGAATTTGAACACAAAATGTTGCATTAAAGACCGGTTTCAGGATGAGTTTCATAAATAAGTGTTGAAATAAGTGACTGGGACACCCATAGGGAAGTAGAGAGTAGATAGCCATTTGCATCCTGTACATGGCTCTCATATATCAGACCCAAGATTATTTAGGAGGTAATGTTTATGATCTTTAAGGTTGAGGTGATGTAACAAAGTATATACATATATTTCTTGCCACCAGGGTCTGTGACTTAAGATTTAAGGTAATTTTTCGGGCCTATTGCAAATAGGTTTTAGTTTAAAAATTTTTCCACTTTGAAATGGTTTTAATCTAGTATTTCAAACTAGATCTGAATCTTTATGGACAGTGGTAATATACCATTCAGCCAAATAAAGGGAAATATCTTCTTGAGCTGGAAAATATTTAAACAAGAAATTTTTGAGTGACCTCTTCAGTTTCCTGTTGATTGTCTTTCCCTGGTAAAGGCAAAAGTGGTAAAAATGGAGATTTCTTGCTTGGAGGAAATTCAGCTCTCTGGGCGTCGATACGATTTGCCTGTTAAGTTATAAAGGAAAAAAAGTTTTTGTCAAAAAAGTAAAAACAAACAAACAAACTAAAAACAACAGGGAGTTGTGATAAATCAGTGTAACAACCAACTAGTAGAACAATCCATCTTCCAAACTTGACTTGAACAATTTTTGATAATATTTATACTAATTAATACAATACAATTTAACATTGACTGTTTTCCTGTGAGTACTGATACTTCTGTATCAGTTGTCTTTTATCTTTAATACATGTCACAGTAAGAAAAACATTAGCAAAAGAAGCAGGTAGAACTAATTGTACTCTTCACACAATTTCATACATTCATTACAACTCACCGTAGCGATAATTAAATCAAACACAATCTCATGTTCTTTCTGTGGATTGAAAGATAAAAAACATGCAAGCTTACATAAAGGTACAGCTAACTTCTGACTTGCAATAGGATAACTAGTATTAACTAGTGTGACTTAATGGAGATGTAAATCAAAACATGGATAAACAACAACCATGCTCTGCACTTTTCAGGGCACCCCTTTTCTTCAAACCCCTTTATGATCTATACAAACTGCATGCTCTTGGAAGTTAGTATAATCATTACTGTTGCTATTTATAGTAAAAGCAAATAGTTAGCAATTACTCTCTAATGTGGAGGTATACATCTACCATTTACACGGACATAAGATGAATATTCAGTTTCTAAAACTGAATACTTGGTGAAAAAAATATTAATGAGTGCCTTTTGTGCACTGGATGGAAAAAAAAAACTCTTTCGACTAATAAGATAATGCTGTATGGAAACATTAATATGAATAAAAACAACCACTTAAAATAAAAAAGGTAGTGAATCTTTCATCAGTGTGTTGGACATGTATAATAATTCCCTTAAACTTTGTTGGTAACTCATTTATCTATCTATGACATGTAATTAGTCTTGTGGTTTTCTTTGTTGTGGTAATGATATTTGCTTCAGCAGACACATTCTCATTTACATCTAGATCTTAGGCACTACTCAGTAAGCATATGTGGACTATTCACATCAGAATTATCATTTTTGGAAAAAACAGATACACATTTTAGAAAGAGGAGATAATTCACTGCATGTCACTTTTAGGTATTTGATACATTTTGCTCTATGTTAACATACAACATTGCAAGTCTGCCATATTAAAACACATAAGTTGGCTCCACAGTTACAGAGAAAATGCAGTATGGTCACAAGTTTGGAACTGTTTATTGTGTAAATGAGAATTTACAGGTTTAACACAACAAATTTCAGGTAGAGAAGAATAAGGTAAATAAGTAGTGAGTATCTTAAGATTATTTTCCATTCAAAAGCAGTGGAATGTAAGCTAATGTGGTCATGAACATATAGATATATTTTTCAAAACTATGTACTTATATCTTCCTATTTGTTTCACTATAACATACCATTTCCATTCCAGGCTCAATGAGAGGCATAGTCCCCAGATAGAACTAGGTACTGCACCACAAACAACTGTTGCTTGTCTATATCTCATAGCCTTGCCCTGCAAGAAAACAAGTTAAAAAAATATAGGTCCAACACACATGAAATGCACTATGACAAAACTTGTCCTAGTCAAACAATATAACTTCACAGAAAACTCCCTATGAAAACAAATAAACAAAACCAGCTGCTTCTTATGTAATGTAAACACTATCTATGGTCACACTTGAGGTAAATGAAGTCATACTAATGCGTGTATGGTTTACAGGAAACTTCTGTGGTTGACTAAAAATCACTTAGAGTAGACAAAACAGTCAATATTGCAATCCATTTGTAAATATGTTTTGACTGACGCAAGAGGCAACTAAGTGTGGTGCAAAACAAAGCCAAAATTGAAGTTCTTGTCAAGGAAATCCCTTTGATAATGTATTACATCTAGTTTTTCATGCCAGTTTGTTACCTCACCAACTAATCAAGGGCAAAAGAGCTTTCTTTCTACTCCTTGATCAATATTGAAGCCCTACCAAATTCTTATTAAACTGAGATGCAACATCTGCACATTATTCTGAACATAACTTTAAACTGACGTCATCAGTAAGTCAGTTGACACTGCTTTTTTCAAAAAGGAATTGTAGGTTCTCTGTTCAGAGCATTTCAGTTTACTAAATAATTACAAACCCATTCCTGCCAGTCATGACTATTTCAGAATAGCTTACACATACACCAACAAAAACTTTTTTAGCCAATTTTGAATAACTTTTCTCACATATACTGTACCCTATGGACAATTTATGTCCACAAACCCATTGCACTTTTAAAATTTGGCAAACAGTGTTCTGACTTCTAGATACATACAATATTTTAATCATTTGAATAGTTTTCTCAAAACCTCTTTGATGAGACATTGACAAGGTCATTATCAGTCTTAAAATAGTATCACTTCCAAGTATACAACGATTCCCTAAACTTCTGAGTGATTTCTTAGCTTCCATCTACAAGGTACTTATAAAAAGTGACAAGATCTTTACAATTTTATTCATTTTTGGTCCAATCAATTCTCATTAAGCACATCAAACATTTGCTCACAAAATGCTAAGTTCCTCTATACTTCAAATCAAGGATTACCATACCACTCAGTTCCTCAGAAAATACTGAGGTAAGCATATTCTAAATTTGTTACTGTAAGGTTTTTTTGTATTCACCAAGAAAGTAGACATAACTTGGAACTGTCTGAGGTGCTTTTGAATGGTAACAGCTTCTTTGATCTTGTTTTTTATTGCAAGTAACAACAATTCTTAGACAAGAAACATGTATGAATCTTCAAAGAAAAAATGTTCTGCAAACTGAGATGTTCAAGTGTTCTACTCACTATTCATCAATGAGAAGAAGATAAGGAAAAATATACTTTCTCTATTTTTCTATTGCTTGCTGGTACCACTTCATCTTGAGACATTAAATAATGAAAGGATGAAAACATTCACCACAGAGATGGGGGAATGAAATTGTGTGCATCCAAAAATTAAAACCAATCTTAAATGTGGAACAATGAATGTATTCAATAAGGAGATAGCAAGACAATGAATCATCAGAGAAAAACCTACCTAATAGTTTGGATGAAACACAAAATAAGAATCAACATTTCACCACATAGCTGCACATAGCTGAATTTAGGCTTACATACTGAGTAGTTACACTATACATTTCACTTTCTTTGATCAAAACCATGAGATCATCTCACTTAAACCTAATACTGTAAGTCAGATTATTAATAGAGATGATCAACCTGTAAATAAAGCCAATGCAAATTTACTCTTTACAAAGTTAAATGCTTTTAATTGTTCCTCTTAGTCAAATTATTTTCATGATTTTCCCATGGGGAACAGCAAAGTTTAGCTAACAATGATAGAACTTCAATTATTATTAAACAAAGGTGAAATCACATTGAGTATTTCAAGAAGATTACAGGTTATCAGTAAATGCATGTCGATAAAGGCATCTAAGAAAAGTATAGCATTGCTATGGACCTCAGGGCATACACCAAACCATGAATTCCTCGGCAGAATGTGCAAATCGCCGAACAAAGAGCCTATTGTGCTAAGAAATAGATGTAATTAAGCTCTTTCCCGCTCCTTACGAAGGGAATTAAGTTGAATACGGAAGACATCATAGCTAATTTCATAAAATCTCGGTAGTCGATGAGTGAGCAGAATTGAAGACATCAAGCCGGATAATTTGGTAGATTTTCGAACTAAGCCGTCATGCAGAAAATACCTCTTTTACCAAGAACAATCGATTCAAATCTGATATCAAGCAAAAAGTTTAAAGTAACTTCGGAAAGTCGCCAAACTTATAAAATACTTTACTTCGCTTTCTTCAGGAGAGCAGCAGTAAGAAATGTTGTTTTTAAAAACATTCCCGCTGATTTATTTAAAGCTAAACAAACTAATAGCTGCAATCAGAACGCAAACTATAAGCGTAAATTTAACAGATAAACATGACAAACTCTCTCTCTCACTTACCGTCAGTTCGGGCAAGAGTTCGTATGGAACAATTTCAAAGCTAAACCTTCCCGTTAAAACTTTAAGCCTTAAAGAATACCGCGTAACACCTCGAATAAAGGTCACGAAATTTCCTTTCGGCAAATATACCTCTACGATGTTGCCGCGCCGCTTGCATGAATTAGTGCTCACCGCAAATTCGTTACACAAATATTTAACTGCCAATCAACATGGAAACAATGAAATGACATAAAATGTCTACTCAAGTACGAAAAAGCACTCGAGGAAAGCAGCGCAAGCCGTCAACCTAAGATTGGTCCTACTTCGACAATTTTTTGAAGTTTTAACGACTGAATCTCAGGCAATATCGTAAATTACTTATACCCCGAAGCGAAAGAAACGAAATTACACCTTCTGAAGTCGTTAGTGATTTCTTTGTCTTCAATATAATTAAAGTAAACTACATGTAAAACTCTAACAGGGACACGAAACAAAAGGAATCCACAATATTGACGAACAGACTGCCCTAGCCTGAAGTATGCCGTAGATAGTGCAACAAAATGACCATCATATGAACTACGGGAGAAGAAGTAACAAATGGCAAATTTCGTTCTTATTTACCAAAATCACATACCTTAAGTGTAATCAAGCTGAAAAGGGATAGAAAAAGAAACAAAAGCCGGTCAAAAGCGCAACAAACGAAAGAAAAGTCGCGATGAACTTCAACACGAATTTTCTTGACGAGGATTCTACTATAAATAGCCACTGACCTGTATTGATAAGGCACTGCGGGAGCTAATAAGTCGGGTTGGGACTGGCCCTAATCAATTCGATCGCGTTCGTCAAATTTGAAATAACGCAACGATGGATTTCATCAGTTACTCTTCAATTCTCTCCAAAAATCAAGAATTGTTTAAAAATGTAGCTTCACCCAAAAATTCCTGGAGTTGGTCTAAACCAGTTACGGAAACGTGACTAACACAGGGAGGGTTTCGTCAATAGCAGTCCCATATCACACTATGATGGGTGTCGCCAATGGAGACACTGTAAACATTAACTTTCCTTCTCATAAACGTATAGTTTAGTTTAATTAAGCCTTCCTCCTTTTCCATGGTCAGTCTATCTTTGATCACAAAGGCAACTTCTCGGAATGACTTCGTTCAAGCGGATTATTTTTCTATGAACAAGATTTTTACTAATAAAACTTCTCTTTTTGGCATCGTGATTCTTTGTCTGTTGACATTTTGAGACTCAATATCTGCAATATCCGTGAGAAAACTTAGTGCATCATGGAAAACTTCAAATTTCAATAACAAATCATAGCAAATATCACTCTAACGCCTCAGGTCAAAAGCAATTTTTGGTGAAAATTACTGCAAGCGATTAAAGCACGTGTTTATTGCCTCCAAAACTACTCAAATTGAGAAAAAACAATCCCTTATCAGCTTACGACTGTTATCTTCTTCAAATTGTAACGCATAAAATTTAATTTCATGGAACTTATTGTTATTCCTTTGCAATAAGTGATTTTCATTTAAAAGCACAGTGTTATTTTTAGAATTCCATTTTCCTAAAATAGAAGTTGCGTATTTTCAACTTGATCACCTGAGCACTTTTCAGTTGGAGTGATGTGGCTCGTGGATTGAAATGGTCACTACAGAATAAAAGCAAATTAATCAAAATTTGGATAAGCACTGACATATCAAGCATTAACACTTATTTCCCACAAGTTACTTCACTTTAGTTTTAGGTCCATGAAGATATAAGCAAGCTGAGAATTGTGTTTTGACAAGTTATCAAATCGAACAAGTCAGCATTTATGTGTATAATTATAACTACAGACGTAATCCGCTTTATTTTGACAATCTGATAATAGATAAACAGGGCGAATGTGATAAAACATTCTGGAGTTCTCTAGTAAAAACGGACAACAACTTATTTGCTCTCAGTCTGATACAGTTTTAATAACCTTTGTGATAACGGTGAAGAAGTAAATCAATATACACTTAAATCATTTCAGTGTCATCGGACATTAACTCTATAATGTGGTGAATACAGAGGTTAACGTTCATTTCAAATCAGTATATGACTCTTTGGTTACTTTAACTAAGCATAAAGTGGGTGAAAGGGTGGAAGAACCTACAGCACGCACCGAACGAGGATTCATCATGTGCATCTGTAATGAATCAGTTTTTGCCAGCCAGGTCCTCTAGGTACCAATGTACACGTCCGGGAGCTCAATGGTGTCCAGTCATGACATTTAGTATTATATGTAAACATTGAAAAAATTGTATACAGTGGTAAAATCTGACGGAAAAAACTGAATCTAGTTCAAACGAGACCAAGTTGACCTTAAAAGTGCTAATTAACTGATGGACACTGCTTCGTGTGGCGAGGCAAAAGAATTCATCACTGCCGCCGATGAAGAGAGGCGCTCGGCCTGGTCTCTCTCTCTTGGTTAGCGTGAACAACAATTTTTTTTTCATGATTTACCATTATTTTTTTATTTGCAAACAAAGACATACTGTTTACAACTAACAATACCTAAAAACACTTAGGGCGCTCAAGATACAATACTTAAACTAATAATAAACACCACGTACAGTACAATACGCTCAAACAATGAAAAACTACACTACTTCCTGTCAGATATGTTTTCTTCCATCGACTGAGTTTGACGTGATCGTGGTCGAGTACCTTAAGAAAGTTTTCTTCAGCGATGACTTTATTCTAGTGATTGGAATAACCTAGCCAAGCGTTCATTTCAAACTCTCGGTAGCCTTATTAAATCACTCCACTTATAGGAAGGAATATTGGAAAACCCTTTCTATATCTATATAGGTACTATAAGAAAGAAAATAAAAAGTCTCATAAAACCCTGGTCATAGCATTAACAACCAAATGCATGCTCCTAATTGGTTTTTGTAATGCCCTTCCCATGCGCCACCCCAAACACTTCTCAGCTGTGACTCTTCTTTTGTCAGTTGCCGATCATACATGGATTAAGATTGAGAAATTGGGCATTTCAGATCATCCTCATGAAACAGCTGAGTTTCCGGAGAAGCTTGGATATTTAAAGAAAACGCATGGCAACTTTGGTTTGACTGAAATTATCATATATTAGCTATAGCCTGGTCCAACGTTATTGGGAATACGCAAATTGACGCAGAAGTATTTTATCAACTGCCAAACTATAAAAAAATATTTACAATGCATTGGATTTAAAGTAAGTTTAAGATAGAATAAATGTAGAGGATTTAACATTCAACCTGTTGCACGGTCGTTTGCGAACAATAATCGTTTATGACAACTCTCCTAGATTTTGCTTCGCTCTGTGCATGAATGTTTGCCGAGCAAACGATGGAAATTAGATGTCCGAATTTGTAACTGAGTAGCTCATCAAGATGTACCAAAAATAGCTAAGGATTAGCTCTATAAATAGAGGAGAGTTCTAATAATAACGTCTTTGTAGTCAGTTACGTTCGCAATGAACACTTTCCCTCATGTAATTTCCAACTATCGCGTAAATCCGTAAGTGCAGAATGGAATATAAATTGTCTGCTATCAGTGGCTACGCATGTTGTGAGTGAGAAGATATCTAAATAAGGTTGTAAATATTCAGGGCTGTATAAATTTGTCGTGTGCTATTTCACTGAACTTAACAGTAGGGTGTTCAGCTATGTACAAGTTGGCCAAAGGTCAAGGAGGTCTTTTGCATGGCAAAAAGTCAGACTTTTGAAAAATTCAGAATCGTGTGATGTCTTATTAATGAAAATAAGTTTTTCAAAACTGTGAAAATTCACGGCATCTTCCTCTATTTTTCCCTTTGGAACGCCCTAGCAACAGCTGCCTCACCAAAGTTTTTTTTTTAACCCTGATTACAATCTAACATCAGTATGCATACTGTCCATGTTGTTCTCCATATTTATCGTAAGATTCTGTCAAGGAGAATTTGTTGGTGATCATTTCCTTTATTCTCGTGATCCTAGTGTGTGATTTGGGAATGATTTTGTGAAGAGAAATTAGTTGCTAGTCACGCGTAGGGGTCATAGGGTGAAAGGTATGGACTGGAAAAAAATAAAACAAAAAAGGTATAAAAAAAGTGTTACCCTTTTGACTCCACCTTTAACACGTGCTGCAAATTGTTTCAAATACAGAGCTTACACTACAGAACCGGTGGTTGTTGCTTTCCGGCGTTTATTTGTCGGTAAACATAGATTTTTATTGCAAAACCTATACGTAGCATGGACTTAATCATAGAGCAAAATGAGGCCCGCTGAAGGTATTCCTTAAAGCGAGAAATCAGCTCCCTTCAAACATCGTCTTCTCGCCCAGTTTATCTTACATCTACACATCAACTATGCACAATGAAGATAACTACAATATGAGGAGCCACTAAAACGCATGCGTTGCATTGTGATCGTGACATTCGGGTGGCAAAGTGATCAGATCTGATATTATGAATGCTTCAATGGCATATTAGTGGTTAGCAATAAACTTAAATATACCACTGTACGATGTCAATTATTCTATATTTTAAAGGAAAACAACTGTTTCTGCTTCAAAAGCAGAGATTTAGTACCAGTTTACTTTTTCTCAGCGTATTTTTGATTTTTTTTCTATATTTGTGGATATGTACAACGTCGAAGCTTGTTATGGTATCATTCAAGTGCATTCTATTTTTGTTGAGTTCTTACGCCTTAATGTAAAACAGGGAAATAAATACACCCGTTTGGCTAGAATTTGACGGACGACTGTAACCAATAGCCAGTGAGAAAACAACGCGCAAGAATTCACTTTGTTACTGACCCACAGTGACCTACACGATTAGTGGTACTGAGCTACGATTCGGTTGAACATTTTTAAATATACAACATACCACTCACCTCTACAAATGCATGACATGAAAAGGGCCATGTTCGGAACAAACTTATGATGGATACGTATACTGACTTGAAGTTCGTTAGGATACGTATACCGACTTGAAGTTCTGTTAGTCACCTTGTAGCGCTCGGTCTCGGCACACACTTCTCACAAGGTATTCCGTGTTACTAATCATGAGACATCACTCCTCACAGGCGCCAGGCGCCAGGCCGCTCCGCGCCTATACTCATTAGCGCGTCACTATTATTAGGAGCACAAGCTGGAGTGTTTAGAATATACATATTTAATGCACACAGTAGGATATCTATCATCTAAGACAAGATCTAAAAACCCTTAAACCTGAATGGTTCTTAGCTTGAAGCGGAAATGTAGATCGCCTTCCTGAGAAACGCCCCAAACAAGAGTGTGGGAAGTGTGGCCGCACACCACTACTTCAAATAAATTGAAGTACTTTTATTGATGAGTTACTTCGCAGTAATTTCTAGAACAAGAATAGGGCATATTGAGACTGCGTAACTACCTTTGTACTAGATAATGATCTAGACAAGGTTATTGTCGTGCGCTACTAAAACATGAACATAAACTAGTATTTCTAATCGCTTGTGGTGACGGTCAATTACCCCAAGTGACGAGTTCTCTAACCTCCTCACGGTACAATATTCTGATACCTTCCTCTATAACTATGAATGTTAACGCTATACTATAAGGGTTAATCTTATCTTTAGGGCCGAGTCACTTCACAACGAAAAAGGAAAAAAAATTAAACAGTAAAACAAAACAAAAGAACAAGAATAAGAGATACAGATTGGGACTAGAATTTGAATAATAAAAGAAAAACATTGTCAAAACAGTGGCGTCACGTGTATCATCGCATTTCTATGGCTTCTAATGATGAAGTGGGAAGCCTACAATCAAATTTTAGAGATCGATGGTAAACAAATAACATCAAGGTATTATAAAATGAAGTCTCGAATGATTTTCCAGATTGTCTGCACAAATCTCTGACTCAACTTCACCTCTCTTCTGTTTAGGAATGTCAGCCTATGTCTACATTCTCTGAATATTCAACACCACAACATATATAATTTTTATTTAGAAATTTTCGTATGTATCCACGTTTGAGTTAGAAGGAAAGAAACCTCTTTCCGAGAGGAAAGGCGTCAGCTTTTAACTCGTAAATATTTGGTAATTGTTTCTTTTACGCGACTTGTCTCGTTGGGTTATATCAAGAAACCTGCAGATATATTTCCCCGTCGAGACTGAATTTTGATGAAGAACTTAAATCTGATTTATACCTTAGCTTTAGTGGTATCGCGGAGACTCTTGATGGTGTTTGTGCAATCGCTTGAGGGCTAACTGAACGAATAGGTGGACAGGATCAAATCCCAAAACTTAAATTTACAGAGAGTAATAGATAAGAATTCCCAGAGGTTTTTCATTGTGTCCCGGAAATTAGCTATATATCAGGGCAAAATATACGGCTGATTGACACTGTTTGATGGATAAGCCATCCCTGTACTGCGTGGGCACCACCGTAAATAGCATGATCGATATAATTTCGCTGATTTGCTTCAATCACTATCAGGCAGCGTCATTTTTCGAATAGCTCAGATGACTAAGTTTATATGAACGTTCTGCGGTATAAAAAAATTATTTTGAAGAGAAAATGCAAACAGATGGTAGTCTCTTTCCCGAACCATATTGGCTTTAAGATCAAACTCCGCATTTGATATCAGCCTTCAATAGCTGTTGGCATTACCTTCCAAATAGGATGATATTACCTTGATTGTCTAAATAAGAAATTTCCTCTCGTGGAAGTTCATTGTATTTGGATGAGAAGGAAGTACAGTCTTGAAAACTTATTCCCTGTTGCTATTTAAATCAGGGAAATAAAAGGATCCTAAAATGTTACAATGGGGCACCGGCCACGGGAAACGGAAGAGTCGTTGTAAATGCACATGAAACAAAACTAACACTAATTACAGATAACAATTTTTAGACTTCAACGGAGGAAAGTTAAGAAGCAAACAATTTTCACACAAACCACATCACCGTAAGTATCTCAAAAATGTGGGCGATTTGAAACGTTTTTTTCATCTGCATGATGGCTAGACAACAAAAACCTTCATTGACCAAAAAAAAGTGTTCACCACATTTAATTTGGTATTGGTCCATGTACTAACGACACAAGTTATTTTCCTGTCGATTGACAGACCTAAAATATACTAAACAATTTCCTGTCAGTGAGGCTCTATATCAACATTTAATTAAATGAATTATTTAATCAAAACTTATTCCAGAACATTTCGTCAATTTTTAAACTTGTGGTTTTAGTCTCTTTTCTTACGTGGGATGTCATTTTCTCATATCTGGTCGAGCCAAGATTTGCGCATCTTACATCAGTAAGCCTTTAGATGTTTATGCTGAACATTTTGATTGTGCTAAATAAGTTAAATCTTTTCCATTCTTAGAAAACCATGAACCTTCTTAGACCAAAATTGCTTTTCGCTTTTTTTTCCTTACCGAGCAACTGTATTGGTCTCATTCAGGTTGAACTGAGAAGATTTTAGCAACGCAAGCGAGGTAGCTCCTATAAGCGTGGTATGTGATTGAAAAATGAGACGTTATGATTGAGACTGAAGTCTGCATCATGGATATGATTGAAGAGGAAATCATTCACTTGACGTTGTTTTTCAAAAATAGTCGTTTCAAACCATATTCTGAATAAAGATCGGCAGTTCGTACTTAATAAAGAAAATAACTCGCATCATCTAGATATGAATTTCACTAACGTCTTTTTGAATTAAAGTTTTCGAAACTTCTCAAATAGTATGGGATAATCAGTGTGACATAATAGATTACGTCGGTTAGCGATGGTTCTACGGCAACAGCTTCAGTGACTCGAGTGCGCGCCATGCTGGCTTGATTGACGAGATTCTATTGAAGCTTGGAGTTGGTAAAAAAAGCAGTGAGGAAGTGAATCCAATCCTCGCCAATAACTGGATTTCGTCCACTTAATAGATCTAAGATTTGACACACGGAACAGAGGGTTCATAGAGAAATGAAATCTTGTTTTTACCAACGTTGAACTTTCAAAAATTTCATGGAGGGTGAAAAGAGTCAGATATTAAGTATCCGCTATCTAACAGTTGTACCAAAACTTAAACTTACGTGGTAAAGTCTTAAATCATCATCTTCTGACATTAAACGCACCTAATTGTTACTTTGGAAAAGAAGAAGAGAGGAGCTTTGTCATTTTAGGAGTGTCTCAATCTGAGAAATGTCTGTCGAAGGGAATATATAGGAATTTTCCTTGACTTAAAGAAGACTACCAGTGTGTATCAATGTTGGCCATGAACATACTGAAACAGGTGAATTTCCTCTCTCAACATACTAGACAAGACGAAGACAGGTAGTTAGTAGCATCACCCGAAGAAGCTGGAGGAGGGAGAGAACAGAAAAGGCAAGAATTTCAACGGTAGTACTCTACAGCCTAAAGGAATTTAGTGGTGGAACTGACCCTGCCTGGCGAATTTTCTTTTTTAATTGAATAGGAATATTAAAGCCATCACAATGAAAATAAGATTAGTTGGTTTTAACGATTGATTGGCTACCGTATGAAGTTTTTGAATTGAAAATAACTGTGTCTATAAGGCATTATTTCCAATTGTGAATCTACAACTGGTTAGTTGGGGTCAGAAGTATTTAGGCTAACAGCTCAAGAGAGCAAAAACTAACTTTTTAAGCGTGTTTTCATACTGACGTCTCTCCACTGTTAGCGTGAAATTTTCAATGTTTCTTGTTGCGAATAAACAGTGTCTTTGTTGTCACTGTTTTTCTCCGAACCCTTTTTCGAAAAATCAATAACTTTGACAAGGAGATGGAGATCGTGTTAAGAGCTTAAGTTCTTCTGCAGCAGGAAACAACAAATCTGAGATATGAAAGACTCCCCAGGTAAAGCAGAGCATTTGCAGTAAAACGTACTCCTTGTGGTATGTGTTAAATCAATACTAGTGATATTGGATGAAATCACGAAAATCAGAGGTTTGATTTCCAACAAAGGTCTCACTAACAATTGGATTAAATGCTTTTTTTACGTCGTTAAATAAGTGAATACTTTAAGGATTAAAGATATATTGCAAGGATTGAATATTGTTGTGCTTGCCATACCTTTGGAGGAAGCTTCTCAGGGTTCTAAGACAGGGTATTTTAACTTTTTATTTTTCATTTGAATCGTCACCCACGCTTGATGAACACCATATTCAATATGCAATATTCTTTAGTTGAAAACTCTCGATGTCTTTAAAGAAACTAATTACAAACTTTCAAACTCAAGTATACTTCGTCATGAAATGCTTCCTATTCCAAATGTATAAAAAATCACTACAATGAACTGTTACTTCAGAATTTTGTTACGGGGAGAAACGTGGAAGAGCGGGCTTTGAAGAAACTTGGCGTTCACCTCAAATTTTTCATGTCTTAGCATGAATGTACCACCAACATGTCTCAACTAACAGTAAATTATGATTCAATCCTGTAATCCATACTTCATTTTACAATTAATTCAGGTCAAGCTTTACAATCCTTGCGAGGAACCGACTGTTTTACGCACGAGAATAATACGTGAAACCCTTAAAAGATGCCGGACCGAGGTTTTCCTCCTTGAATATTCTTAGAAAATTTAAACAAGTGCAAATAGCTTTAGTAAGTCATAAGTTGTCGCGATCTCATCGACAAAAAAAAACCGTCAAAAACTCCTCAAACATTTCAATATCATGTTTCGGTCATTTCGTCGAAAATGTGGCCTCTTTATACAAGCACTTTGAAACCCTACACTACTTTGCAGTCTAGAATGTACAAAAATTTGAAAAGTTCTCTACTATCAAAAACAGAAACATAAAGAAACAAAAACAAAGCAAAAAATAGAGAGACAAAAAAAAAAAGAGGAGAAAAAATGGGGATTTGACCAACTCGCCGTAATATTATGTAAACTTTATATTTATATCTACAAATAATATTTACACGAGTTGGTACAATCATTCAACATAAGCCACTCCTGAATTTACTACGTTTTTTCGGTCTGTGGAATTGTATTTGTGTCATAAAAAATGCATTTCTAAGTTGTAAGCGGTGGATTTCGATCCATTTTGTTTGCCTCTGTACTTCGATAGTAGTTGCGGTAATGATTGACAGCTAAATGAAGGGACATCGTAAGAATAGCTCAGAGAGCCAGAGGTCGCATGTCATTGACAGGTGCAGTAATAATATAAATACAAAGGCACTTTGCTACAATATTCTCTTATTAAGGGGTTTGACCACACATGCGCAACTGACGACGAACGTTCACTGTGTACCGGGAGATTTGGACCATAACAGGCATACTTGTCTTGCTTTGTTCCCAAACAATGTTGCTAGCGGTTATAAGCCCTTTTGATGCCATAGTCACTGATGCCATAGTTACTTCTTCTTTCTCTCTTGTGCACATTTTGGACAATACCTGTACGAAAGGTATGAATAAGGCTCTGCTCAGGAGTGTCCCTTTTAATCAAGAGCTCACTCATGTGTGAGAATCCTAAGTCACTTGACTACATACATTATTGATAAAAACTTGGAAATTATAAGATCAATAATGCGCAGTGAGGTAAAATGTACTAAGTTCTGCATACAGGTTTTGAGGCCCATGTGTTTGAGAAAAATTTACACATGCCATGACTTTGGATTCAAGAACCATTTTCAAAAAGACAAGATTATTTGAAAAGTATTCGGTCTTTACCGTTATAAATCAACTTGTAGTAAAAAGAAAAACTTCATTTTTCATATTGAGAGGAGAGTATTCCGAGGTGTGACTTATCTTTTAATCTAGAGATTGATATCCTTCATATCAAGCTGCTTTATATCTCTCTATCAACCCGCAGCAGTAGGACCAAGGCACATGCCCCAAGACACACTAAAATGTATGGCAATTAATTTAAATTTCAAAATCTGAGAAATGCAATCTTGTCTAGACTAACCATTTTCCTTTTGGCTTTGATGTCAGTCCTACACACGGGAAGTGAAACCATTCTATTGGGCACTAAAATGAAAATACTAAGTTAACATGAGGAAGCAATGGGGGAAGTGGATTGAAAGAGTGAGAGAATTAAGAGATTACAGTTTTAATGTGTGAACCTAGCTGATTAAGTGTAAAGGCAGCCACTTGCCACCTAGAAAAACCAACATTTTTGAAGGGCCTTCTAAATAAGCACAATGGGACTTTAACATAATGCAAGTAGACTAGAAAACATTTGGGTGACGGGGAACAGTTATAAAAAATAAGACCCTTATTTTGAATTGAGATCCAATAATTTGCATAAGGCATGTTTTTCAAAAAATACAACAGAAATCAAATGTGGAATATAATTCTTTACTTTTTTTCATCTCAACTGTACATTCACACTAAATCCTTGTTGATACATTGACTTATGAAAACTTCATGATGCCTTTATCTATTGCAAAGCTAAAGAGAGGAACTGTCTCGCTATAGTGGACTAACACATTTTCTCCCCTTACAAAACTCCAGAACAAATTAAAAACAATAGTAATAATTTATAGTAATAGGCTGACTGTGTTATGCCTACCTCTGTGTTATCACAGCCTATCATTTCACCATATGAAACCTAGGTAACAAAAACCAAAGGAATGCAATCTTAGTAACATACCTCAGAAGGAGCACAATGTAACTTAGTAACAAAAGTGTTCCCTGCATGTTCATCAATAGACAACATAAACCTGCTAAGAAAATGTGAAAACAGTTTATCAAACTTTAATAACTTCTGGTTCTTTTCCAAGCTGCTTACCTGATGACACAGACAGTATGTTGGCTCATTAGGGTCAACTGGCATATCAAGCACTTGAACCTCAGGTGCCAAGAGAGAGACAGCTACTGCAAGTGACTTAGGACCTTCAGATTCAACTCTAAAAAAGAATAAATCACTATCAAATTTTCAGGTGTCAAAATACAACATGATCAGGTTCCACATCAATAATATATAAAAATATTGTTGTGTTGTTTCTTTTTTTGGCTTAGTGTCCCCATGGATCTTTTGGAATGATGTAAGGTTACCTGTTTTCATTGTTCAAAAACAAGAAACAATTTTTTTGTATTTTATTCATGACCTGACCTGAAAACTGGAGGTTAAATTTCAAGGTTTTGCAAAAGTAATGAGTTATCTTCCATTTTTGAGCAAAACAAAATTTGTTTCCATTGGAATGCAATCCAGACAATCCTTAGATGAAGTTAGTTCAAACAAAATTTATAACCTTTCAACACATACTTTTTCTTTTTCCTGGCAGACTCAGAAGTATCTTGTTTTTTCCTTCCTCCTCCTCTGTTCCTTCCACCTTACCCAATAAGGAAATTACAAACATCTAAGTATGCCTCTAAAAATACTCCAGAGAGAGTTTGTACATAATATTTTATCAGAGAAATAGTTATCACTAGAGTCCAAGTAGATGGGTCTTATATCTTCCTTCAACTAAATCTCAGTTTGAGGACTAAGCTCAAGATGATGGATATGACACCAAACTTCTGAGTATGCATTACAAAGCATTTGCTAAAGTAATCATTTATAAAGAAAATTATTGGTGTTGCCAGAAAGCATGATTGTCTTCAGCTAGAAATATTCAAGCCTAGGATTTGCTTGAAGTACATATTTATATGCATCTAGCTCTTCATTGTTATTTTTCATTGCTTCTTCTTCCCAATCTACATCTTGATAATAAACCTAAATTGGCCACTCTAACCTTAATAATTATTCATAACAACCATCAGTTACAGAAACTGTGGTTTGGTAGTCCTCAGCATGGATGGACTTTGAGGCTAAGCCTTATAACAGGTTTAAATTGCAGAAGAGAGACCATGGGAGAAAATTGTTGCACACAACATCTAAACCACTTTTAACAACAGGTGAATAACATTTACCAACTTAATATTACCTGACTTGCTTTTGCGCTTTGGTGTTGGTGATTCACCTGCAAAATATTAAAAATCTGTTTGGAAGGGCTTTTGAAATTGAATTATTAGATCCAATTAACTTTTGAGCAGCACTGATGTGATTTCTTCCTCTTCACAGCTGGTTTGACACATACAAATACACTTTCCAAAAATCATGTATAATTTTCACATCAAAAGCCCAGATAGAAGTTAAAAAAAAAAAAAAAAAAAAGCCATGAAGTTGGAAGCTAAGTGGCTTGTGCATTTGGATTCAATGTTTTGATTGGATGATTGGCAGGAGCTATTTGTCAAGTATCTTGCCATTATTTCCTTGAATACCACTAGTTGCATTAGCCCCCTCTTTGAAATTCCTCCTCTAATGTACTTTGACAAGATACTTAGGTTGGCTTCTTAGCTTCAGCTGCTCCAACTATCAATGAAAGCTTACTATTGTTTTTGAGAAGAACTGAACACTTTTCCATAAATATCATGCCTCTTAGAGGCAATTCCTGTTGAAACCCAATTGCTTTAGTCTTTTAAGCTCACTTAATTATTTGACAGAACTTTGTGAATGATTGGACCCACCCAAGCTTCCATCACAGGTGTGACCTTTGCTGTGAGACCTTTACTATAACAAAACAAGTCTGAGGAAAGTTGAAAAATGAGAATCCAGTGCCATTGGGTCCACCAAACTTAGACAACAGTTGGGTCAATTTTAACAAAATGATTTCTTCAGTACATGAGGGTTTGTGTATAGTAAGAGTTTGCAACTTATGGTGGTCTTGATGCAGCAACTTGAGGGAAGTTGAGAAAAAAGTTGCACACCTTCTCCATGGTTCCTAACAACTGGTGATTGTGACTGTATCCTGAGAAAGGTCTTCAGGACCATCATTGCTTTGTAAAAGGCTTGTTATTGCATCTGTCGATGCAAAATCTAACTAGATGTGTGGATGTTCTTCATCAAACACTGATTGGGGGGCAGGAGTCATCCCTAGCTTATGTAGAGGAGGGCACTTAAGTGTGGTAAGCTCCTTCAATAGGGTTTGAAAAAAATCATGCTAGGCTGGTAAGGATCAGCTGGGCAATGAAGTTCCTGATTGTAGTTATAGGAATAATGAACAGTTGCTTGTAAACTGCCTGGAAAGGCCAAAATTTCTACAGCCTTCAATGGTTCAGTCAATGTTTCTTTTGCTTCTGTACAACAGAACCTTTGCCAGGTTCAATAATGACAGGGGATTAAGTTTAGATGATAAAACAAAGGATTATGTTGACAGAAACAGTGTAGGTCTAGTATATTCTTTACATGAGGTCACACAACTCGGGTAATATTCACGGTGAAAATTTGCATATTTGAGTGGTCAAACGAAAAAAATTTCTTTCTTGAAAACTAAAATAAATTTTTACAAAAAAAACTACACCACAGTTATTAGAACATATTGGACTACAAAATGTGAAAGTAAGAGTGAAAGTAAATTTTGGGTGACTTGCCGCTGTTTGTTTGATGCATGCTGATGTTAGCTCCTAAGAATTTGATACCTAGACAAACATGTTTTCTGACAAGTTCAGTTGCCAAGGAAATAGAAAGGTATTTAGGCTCATGGCCCCTTTTTTTCTTTCTCTTCTCAAATAGCTCATATAATTGCAGTTGATAGAGCTGTAAATGGCTCCTAAATGAAAACAATGTAGGGGCAAGTTCAATGCAGTTCTTTCAATACTCAATGATATTGCCAATTTCTATGGAGGAACTGCAAGGACTCTTGTTTTCCCCTTGAGAACATCCACATGTCTTAACCCTGAGGGTCTTCACTTTTGATTGCTCTGAATAGCGCATTTCACAGTTTCATGCTTAGTTGCCAAGCCTCTGAACAGCAATGAGGCTAAGGATGACCATGTTATGATAAAAACCTTGCTGCTTTTCAATGTAAATTGCTTTGTTATCATGCTAACCAGATACTGGTCTCTATCACAACACAGTCACCTTCAGCCTCACTCTAAATTAAAGGCTTGGCAGCCAAGTACACAACTGTAAAATGGCCTATTGTCAAATGCAGAATGGTTAATTTCAATATCAGAGTCAGTTTCCTGATTGCTTAGGTCATTGTTGTCTTCCCTGCTGAAAATATCACTTTCTTCATTGTTGAGCTCATTGGAAGATGTAACAGTAAAATATTCTACAGAAACTGAATTGAGGTTATCTTTGCCCACATGGAGGGACTGTTCTTGATTTTGATGCTGTGCATTAATGATGGAGGAATGTAGATTGTTGAGAACTTTACAATGGGGAAGTGTGATGAACAATCACAAACCCAGCTTGTGTAATGAAAAGAAACCATACTTTAAATAAAAAAACTATCTCTGCAAGTCTTGGTGTTGTGCTAGTTGTATTTGAATGTGTTAGAACATGTTGTGTGTATGTGTGATCAACTTAATCCTGGAGATCCTTTATAGGGTCACTTATGTGCCAGCTGCCTCTTTGTCAAAGAGAAGCAGCTTTGTCAACTTACTTTGGAGCTGCACTGTGGGTAAGAGACTTTCTGAATAATGTGGGTTAGATAGTAATTTCAACTGGACTAATCAACAGCATTCTAAATAAATAGTTTTCAACTGCTATGAGCTTCTCTCCAGTTTTCACCTAACCAGACAAAGTTAGGTAACTTTTACCAAGTTGTATATCACAGTCTAAAGGACTAAACTCACTTTCATAATCTGAGTAACCCGCTTCCTTGGCATGTTGCTCCTTGAGATCTGATTCAAACCTTGCCAAGTCAGCATCCAGTTTACGAATGTGTTTATCAACCTTTTATTAAAAAAAAGATTTCATTAGCAGAATTATAAATTCAAATAATAGGAAGTTTAACCCTTTAACTCCCAAGATTTCACTGGTAATTCTCTTTTCTATCTGCCACACAATTCATGTAATGTTAGTTGGCAGAATTTGCAATTGGATCAACCAACAATCCCCTAATTGATATTTTTCTTTATTCTCATAACTTGTCTCCTATATATCGTAGTGATAGTGTAAGGAGAAATTCTGTCTAGGTCACTAGTGGGACTTAAAGGGTTAAGAATTATATTAGGTAAAGTGTTCGGTGTTGGTTTAAATTGTGAATGCCCTCTTTCACAGCACCATTTTCTACAGGGGTGGGGAAGGGGGACAGGATTGAATAATAAGCAGCAAAATCCCAAATGTGACAGCTCTTCATTTTCTGAATGACAAACTTTTTCATGAAACCAAAATTGTACCTCATACTCCCAAAATAGATTACTTACAACATCTGGGTTAGGGTAAGTATAACTCATCAAATAATACTTTGTACAAAATAACACAATGCATTATTTTAGCCTCAAAGGACATTTGATCAAGTTTTCATAAAAAAAGTTAGATTAATTCACTTACCATTTCATATGTTTGCATAGCAAGCTGAACTTTATCATCCCCATATTCCCGACTCTTGACAAAAGCATTTTCAATTTTCTTCAAATGTAATGTCCTTTTTGCAGCATCCATGCCACGCACATTTGCCATGTATTCTTCTGACATACTGTTAATCTCCTTTGAAAGGTCTTAAATGAAATAACAGAAGGATGTAATGTTTAGTTTGAGAGTAATTCACTTTAAGTAACCATTTACTAGAGGGAAGAGAGATGGTGAATATTTTCCTAGCTGCAACAAGGATCCAACACTAACAACAATCAAGTAAAATAGATAACTGTTTTAATGTAAGTCAAAAATGCACTGTATTATGAACAATTCAGCAACATATCATTAAAAGTTGAACAAGCTAACATCCCCCTTGTACCTGATGCTATCTTGGTGTTGTCAATTTCTTATTTTCCTACTTTTCTCTCCAAGGTAAAATCTCTTCAACTGTTTTTTTTCCCTTGCCTTAAGACGTTGTAAAAAACTATTTACTTTTAAGACCCCAACAGTTTATAGAAACTTTGATTTTCCTCCTTAAAATGTGGAATTGGGAAGATCGGAAAGCTGGGCATTTATGAGATAAAAAAAAGTTTTCTTGTCAGATTCAGATTTGAATGTTTTTGTAACAGCCACCTCATTTATCAAAATAACTCTTGTTATTTTCATTTATATAAATCAGCATAGTTTGATAAACACCTCATTTTAGTGCAGAAATATTTATAAACTCTTCCATCCAAAATATACGCTGCATCATGATGCAGCATTTCTTTAAATAAGACTCAAAAAGCTCGCAACAATCATCGCTTTGATTGCAATTGGAAATTTAGAGCAAACCAGACACAAATACTTTTGAATGTACTATTTTAAAAGTTGAGAAGTATATCTGACATCAGATCCTTACTTACTTTATGTATTGCAACTAGTATTAACATGCAAATTGTGAAACTGAGAACAATATAAAACATGACTTTTACGACAAGCACTAAAACATGCTTCTATGTTTTGAAATTAAAATGGCCAGTTACCATTCTATTGTTTGCAAATAATAAATTGGATTTTGAATTGATGCCGCCCTCATATAAACCTTGCCCTCAAAGCACAAAAAATTTAATAAATGCCCAGTGTTTCATCAAATAAATACCATATTCTTGCAATAACCTGAGAGAAATTCAACTGAGAGTTGGAGGTTTGTATGTCATAGATGACTAACAGAAAAATTTATAAAATGCAATTCTACTGGATAAATTATGTTTGGCAAAGAGAGATGTGAACTGAATGTGCTGAAGATCCTATTATCAAATTACCTCACAGTTATCTAGCCAAGCGGATCTACTGGCCAAAATTTGCATGCAAAGACCTTAATGAGGTTTTAATTACCACTCACACAAGCATCATTTCTTGATATTTAGATTGTAGTGTAATAAAAATATTCATTATGAACTTAGAAATATCCTTGTAAGATCTTATTAGCAGCACAAAGATTTCCAAGAGGAGATAAGTTTGGTAAGACCTTAACAGGATTTACATCAAGGATATCCTATAAAGATCTTTGAGGGATTTTCAAACGAGTGGCCTGATAGTACCATGACATGACACAGTCTCATGGTTGCTACAGCCAGACAAGACCAACAAGATAAAAAACATACAATGGCAGCATCCATCCCAGTCAGCTGTCCTTCCTCTCAAAAAATTTAAATAAATGATATAATGCTTTTGAATTATGGCCTCGACCTCAACCAAGAAGTAAAGATGGTTAGTATCAAAAAGTGCTCAACTTCTCAATTATCAGGGAAAGAATCTTTGCCATTAATGTGACAGTAAAAGCTTCTTCCTTCCTATGGTCAAATTCTTCAAATTTTCCTAACTTTTTTTTCCTTTCAATCAATTTTCCCAGAGTCAAATTAAAATTTCCTGACTTTTTCCTGAAATTAAAGGTTTTTTTTCATGACAATCCCCTGAATTGTGGGTACCTTCTGCTTTCCAAGCAATGTAAGTCAAGGTTGAAACCACCCCATGTGCGTTGGTGAACTGGCAAATATGTGTTACGTTTGTTACCAAAATACAAACCATTGGAAAACTGATATTTTCGGATAAATAACAAAAAGCGACCAAAGAAATAACTGTTTCGTAATGTTTGACTTGCGTGGTTTACGCTAGTCACTTAAGCGGATTGGTTCGTGAAGAGGATTTTCAGCCAGTGGGGTATAAGTGCGCCTAAGTTACCTTGTGTCCTTTGATCAAGTTCTCTCATAAGTGTGAAGTTCCTCTGTAGTTCAAATGGCAGGTTTTCAATACCTAAGAAGCAGAGCAGTGCCGTCTGTTAATTAACATGTGTCATGGAAAGCACTTGCAGGGGAAACCCTTTCCATTCTTAGATGTTTTCATTCGAATGTGTTATGTAAAATTGATGATTTGCGCACTCGTACAGTTATTTAACGTAGGGAAAAATCAAACTTTACAGGAAATGGGATTGACATCATAAAGGACTCATTAACTTATAGAAGTTAAGCTTGACTATTAAATTAACCAAAACCCACATCCGATCTTCACTTTTTGTGGGTGTAAAGTTGTACGCTAGTCTGAAATCTATTTCACATACAAGCTTATCCTTATTTCCACCAGATTCCGCGACAAAATAAATATTTCCAAAACTTTATGCCGTTCAGAATTACGATAAAACTTTCCAGGATAAGCAAATCATTACATCGGCGAAGCACCGATAGCTTTGCCTGTCTTTTTTTTTCCAAATGCAAATGAGTATGAATTCTGGCGGGATCGTCACAGCGAAGTGAAATCAAAAGCACTTACTATCAAGGTAATGTTCCAAGTACATATTCGTCGCCATGGCCCTAATTCGTCCCTAGATTGTATTTTTATCCAGCTGTTGTCTATATAAAGTACTAAGGAACCTGATAATCGTAAAAAAAGGGTAAAGTATCAGCGAGATGGTCAGTTTCAGTGGGACTAATTCACCGACCGACATAACAGAGCACAGAATTATGGGATGGATACCACGTGACATTTACGCTCATCACAATTAATGAAGGATCTGGAAGAAACCCTCTCAGTTCACAACTGTTGCTCATTTCCCTTTCCTCGCGCTTTTCTAAGATTTAGTTCCCTCCCAGCTTATATGTCTAAAAGCGAATTTTTCATCGTCATTTCCATCTTCTGGGTTAAAGAAAGTTTGGGCATACGTGAAAGGACACTTGATAACGAAACTACAGTCGAACCTGTATTAAGCAGCACCGTAATAAGTGATCACCCTATTTTAAGCGGTCGGTTGCGTAAATCCCGAATTTGTTTCAATTTTTAATTTTCATCTCTATTAAGTGGTCACCTATATTAAGCGGTCGCAGTCACCCTTCTCTAACTCCCAACGGCCTGTTTGTTTTGTCTTTCACTTGTGTTGAACGGTCACTTAAGCCGAATAACCTTTCAATAATTTTTGTTTCTGTACACTAGGTGATCAATTATAGCATATGGTGGCGCTATGTATCGTTTTTTATAACACTTTTAATCTGTGGAACCTGTTTTAAGCGGTCACCCTGTATCACCGGTCCGACCCGGTCATCTCGCTATTCCCCGTGGGTATAAAAGGGTAATTTTGTATTATCAACCGAGTTACCACCGTAAAGAGTTTGAAAGCTAGCATTTCGAGCGTTGGACCTTTGTCAAAGCGAATAAACGAAGCAGCAGCACAATTCCTTCAGAAAATTATCTCATTTATTCCCCGTGGGTAACCGATTTATACAGGATCGACTGTAACATAAATATGTATTATTTGTGAGTAAAACCAAACTGGGCGTACTACAGCTGGTATTCGACCATGGCTGTATCGTGGAAAAACTTAGCAGCTAATATTTCACTCAATAGAGTAAGTGGTCCGGGGCATTACAAACTGGTAAAAGTTGCAAAGTAATACGATAAATTTAGAAAGAAGCGGCAACAGAAAAGCTAAACAGCTAAGTAATTTTTTTCGTAAGGTGGTCCTCTACCCTAGAATCGTTTCATCGACCAGTCGCAAATATAGGGAGCTCCCTGTCCATTCATTTGTTTACGAACCAGTCTAGAACCTTGAAGTCTGGAGATGCATAATTTTAGATCATATTCCCACCTCCATATCCACCCCTTCCGAATACAAATGTGGTTTTAAGCCGTTCCGCCCTCGGCGGTCTCTCCAAAAGAACTGTCGCCAAATCCACAATAAAATTTAATTTCCATAGAATAGAGCTATCTCTGAACAAGAACTCCCCCTTCCACACAATTTTTTTCTTATTTTTAGTAGTAACCTTATCTGATTTCGCCTCTCTCACAAAAAACATTTGCAACTCACTTTTCAACGAGAGTTTTAGGGCACTGCACGGGAGACCACAAGATCTATTCTACATCCAAGAGACTACCGGAAATTCAAGAGAATTGGCCTAGACGTAATCAGGTTTATTTCATATTATTGTTTCGCATTCGGAGAGTAGTTGTGATTTCTTACCTCCATGCCAAAAAGATTACGAGATAGAAAATTTAGTTTCAGAGACCGCGGGCTCGTTACTCGCCGACAAACAAAGTGAACCGCCGATCGGTTCTTTTTTTCAGGCACGAAAGCGAAAGGCGGTCGCCCTTGACCTCTAGAGAAAAACAAATAAGATACCGCCGCCAACTCCCATTAACTGTTTTGTTAAAAATTAAGCTAGGAATGTTTATGCAAAGCTGTGGCATCACGATCACTCGATTTTAACACGCAGGCAGAAATACAATCTCGACATTTTAATAGGGCGAAATCAAGATGACGATCAGTAAGAGAAAGGGAAATAAAACAAGTTATGCTGAGATGACGCCAAGCGAAGGTCTATAGACTGTTATCAAATATGCCTCTCTCTTGAGTTTTTGAAAGATAGGTACATGCACGAAGGTACATGCATGAAGACAGAGTCAGCACAAACCATCCAGATAAAGGCACATATCTGTCCAATTAATGCCCTCGTTGGACGACCTCCATCTTCCACCAACTCTTTGGGGCTTCATGGTGGGAAATGGATTTTTTTGACAAGTGGATCTGATAAAAAAAAGTTCTTATCAAATAAAAAAAAGTTCCTATCAAATAAACTATAACCGTTGAAGACGAAAACAAAAATTATAAAGTGAAACGTTTTTCATATCCTTCGATGTAAGAGGGACTTGCTCATTCAACAGTTAACACTACTTTAATAGAGTTTTACGAAGAGTAGAAAATCCGATGACCCGCAGCAACTCGACCTAAGAACAATTTCAAGTGTCATTTGGATTTTAAAAGCTCGTAAATTTACACTAGGAAACGACAAGCGAACAAGACTGATACGTCATGCATGTGTCTATTAGAAGCTTTACGACCGAGATGAATGAGTTGTTAAAGACCATATATGGTTTCTTATCCTATAATGCTTGTTATACTATAACTGTCAGTAGCAATTACACACCTTGGAGAACAAATAAAAAGAAATTTTAATCCCACAAAGTTATGCTTTAAAGTTTGCCGTGTATTCTATTCTTTGTTAGAAAAATAATACCTATTTCAGCTAAGCAGCTCATAGAGGCAAAGTAAGGCTAACAGATACGTTTCTTGGCGAGAGTTAGGCATAGCTCTCTTTCATACTAGTATTCTCTGCTGATCTTGTTTCTAGATTTTGGCAAACAATGTTAAACTTGACCGCCTTAGGCCCGTTCTACGACCTCCAGCAAGGCCGACTATAAACCCTTGGAATTTAGTAATCTGTCATTCATCTATGGGCTTAATAAGCACTTCTTATCTTGGCACGCTCCAGCCAGAGTATAGCATTTCACAGACAACGGATACCTTTCAGTCCAGAAATATTTGTGAGGAAAAATCTTGTGACGAAACGACTTAGAACAAAACCCGTTATTACACATTTTTGCAGCTTAAATTAGGTGTCAAATATATTCTAAAGGATGAATAATGTCAGAGTTTTTTCCTCATTGAAGGAAGTGGTAAGCAGTGTTAAAATTATGAATTCCTTTCCTATATTATCGGAGAACTCTTTGACATCAGGTTTGATGAACGATCTATAGTAATTTCAGCAATTTGGGAAACTTGGTGAACGTTATTTCACATACTCAAAAATTACAAACATGCCTTGATGATTTGCAAACTAATAAAGATTGTTAAATATCAAGAAGACGACTCGCACAAATGAAACACGAACGAATAGACAACTTGACCTTAAGTGCTCAGAAAAACGCACTCGTAATAAATAAAAAGTATTACTATGCAAGGTAAACACAAAGAATATGCGTGCATACTAGGATAAGATTATTAGGCCGTCTACACGCATGCTGGTGAAAAGCTTTTAAACCTTGGGAAATCGGCCTTAATCGAAGCCAGGTAATAAAGTTCCGTATCCTGGGTTTTCGATGGCTAAAGATGTCTCCTTTTAACCATTTGATGCCTAAAACAACAAGGCACAACCACGATACATAACGTCAGATAAAAATAGACGATCACCAGTAAAAATATAGAGAAAACAAACAAAGAGCAAACTGATGAATACCTTCAGTGGGCTTAATAATTATAAAAAAAATTTTTTTCCAATAGGAACAATTGATAAAGTATGAAAAGGTTGAGTTATGTGTTAAACAAGTAACATCTGTTACACCTGTTATCAGACCAGCCTGTGTCGACTTTTTCTTTAACAAAGGAATCTCATATTTAGAATTCCTTCCAACTCTTTGATTGAGTTCTAACAATATAATAGCTTCACAGTTTAGCAATATTAAAAAACAAGATCAAAAATAAGCGAAAGAAAACCATCGACTTCACGGTGTCGCGTGCCATCGATAGCTTAAATTTTGCTAAACCTTGCCGCAAAAAGTCGGTAGAACTTGTCTTAACAATATTTACATTACGACTACAACCCAAACAAGCAGTTCTTTGCAAGGAAATAAAACGAGAAAAACATGGTGACAGCAGATGTTAATTTCCACCAAAAAAGTGCGTCATTTTGTCTCCTAAAACGGAAGAGCAGGCGCCATAAGACAAGAGTGAAACGATATAAACCAAAAAATTACACAATAGCAACACGAAACAATAGTTTCGCGGTTTTTCCGTGTTGAATTACATAATTCTGAGCAAAAGAAACAAAGATAAGGATTAAATTTCGTGAGGGTCGGAAGGAAACATGTTCTTTCCAATCTGTTTTGTCTACGGCGATATTAGATTGCGACCATCGGAATGTTTCGATGAGGTATTCTAAAAGAGTGTCGGATTAAGCCTGTTACAGGTGTATGAAAATCTTGTTAGTTCTAATAAAGGTACATTAGACTACATGAAGGTTTCTGGCCAATAAAGCTGAACGTACATTCAGAGACCAGTGTCAGTAAAAAAAAATAAATAAATAAATAAAAATAAAAATAAAAAGATTTTTGTATCCACTGAATAATTACCCAGGATTATCTTGACCAACGAAGCTCTTTTTGTACGCTCTAAAACTTTGGAGGTCGGCCATTAGGAAAATTAACACAGTGCGGACAAAAAGAAACGATCAATCATCAGGCTGATCTCAAGTAAAGTAATAGCAGTCATCGTCAGGAGCACGCGCTATCTCTCTCCCTGACATATGGCTGTTTACAACAACTTATCGCATTTACTTGTTTTGGTGTCTGCTTCTCATTGATTAGCGTGATTCCTGATTATTTCAATCAGACGGGATCCTGACGTAACAGACGGGATCCTGACGTAACAGACGTTGCGTCAATGATTCCGTCTCTTTCCACCCTGCCTTGGAATTCTGTTCGGGGGGAAAGAAAGGAGCTCACACAGGTTGAAGCTTAAGGGCTTGCAAAAAATTACAAAAAAAAATAAACAAGAAGAAACTAAACTCTTGCCGTCTCTTGTGAAGACTGATATATATCTACAAACTTTCAAAGCAGCAAGACAATCGTTGCACTTGTAAAGTTAACTAAAGAACGGCAGATCTTTCCAAAGAAAACAGTAGTAGGACTTTTCAAAGGGTTGTAAGGATTTCTCCCCATTTCCTTCCTCTGTGTAAGTAACATTGTTCACAGCAAAGTACGAAACTTCAGCAAAAAAGTAAACATGGAAGAATATGGAGATAAAATGGCCGAAAAAATTTGAGACGAACATAATCTTCAGTATTAGACAGGAACTACGCCACCTCCCCCGAAAAAAGTCAACTAAACAAATCAGTTTAGGCATGAACACTATGTCTCCCAAGGCTATTTTAGGCCATTTGCTTTCACTGTAGGTTAGGAGGCTCACTTGGATAAGGTTATCACTTTCCATTTCACTGTTATGTCCCAATGTCACGCGAATGCACCTAAAAATATTCACTTTAAAAACAACTGGACCTTCCCACGAAAATATTGTTAGCGGACTATTTTTCAATTTAGTTAACTTCCACGCATAGCCGGAATACTTACATACAAATAGGTTTTGCCTTTTATGAATACGTGTCCCGTTAAGGATGACAACGTTAGGCTGACCTGGAACTTATATAGCCTCACGCTTGTGATAAATATTGCCTTGAGTTCCGGATCCCGCGCACACGTCTGAATTTGTTTTTCGGGGTCTCTAGGCAGCCAAGAACGGGCGCGGTAACGATCCGTTCAGTTTTACCGTAATTGGTATCTTCGAGTATGTTTTGACTGCGATATTCCGATAAGTAAGAAACTCATCCACATTTTCGAGAACACTCAGCAAGAAAGTTTGTATCATTTCGGGTCCTTGTTGTAAAAGATTACTTCGGAAATCACGGTCTTCAGTGTTTCTCAGTTTTTTTTTATTTACCACAAAAACACTGACATAAGGAACGGCGTTCAACGGATTTACATGTATGTATTTCACTTCGTAGACGAGTCGAATATTGAGGTACTTAACATAGTGATTACTTAACTCTCTTAGTTTTCTCTGAGAATTTGTTTTGATCTGTTCTGCATGCAGAAATCCCACGCTGTTGTTTTTTTCAGTGACATAATTAACAGAAGAAAGGCTGACGAATATTCCATTCTTAGAAATGAACTAAACTGAACAGTATGCAAATTCTTTGCGGAATGTGTCGGAAATTTCCAGCCGAATCCCTAACAACAATAGACAACAATTGAAACAAAAGCCCGCAACGCGTGAACTGAACCAATAGAAGGAGGAGCTGGTGACGTAAATATACACCAATCACATAACGCTCACAATTCCACAGTTTATTAGTAACGCGCGAAAACACATGGTTACCATCACTGAGCGATCACTTGTTCGATTCGAGCGGGAATCACTCTTGACGCGTAGTAGAGTTTTCCAGCATCAGCTTGAAATGGGAATAAACTGTCATCAACTAGGATTTTCAAACGAGAGGTATTTTGCAACGGGGCAAGATAATCTGTGTTAAACTGAACCCGAAACCTAACACCGCCACTTATTTGACTGCAGTATTCTAACCGGAAGGGACAAGCAAGAGTAATTATTGTACTAAAGTGACTTGGCAGTTCCTTGTAGCATGGATCCTCAACGAAAAAGACTTCAGCACAAGGACACCTTGAACTGGAGGACTCCTCCAAGTATTTCTCCGCCAAGTCCATGCGGACCTTCCTCGCCTCAATCGCCTCCACCACTGGTAGTAAGAGGCAAGAGTCTTTCGCTAAACAGGGTTGGCGCTCCCGCACTATTACCAATCCGCGAAACTCCGGCTAAGGAGTTATCTAAAAGAGGCCGAAAACAAAGACTTTTGCTCTCCCAAGCAGGGAACCTCGCATTGAAACGAAGAGAGACGTCTCCAGACTTTAATAAACTTGAAGCTCGACTGAAACCGAAGCGAGGTGAGTTTGTGTTATCAAGTGATACGTCTCTTACTGAAATTATGCCTCCGATCGATTGCGTTCGCTTTACAGAAGCCCAATACGATCCATCTTAACTCCATTGTGGTGTTTCGACCGCGAGTTCATTTAAATAACCATTCAGATTTCCCATAATAGTGTGACGGCTGATATTTTGTGGTTGGGGTGTGATAAATTTACTCCAACAGGGCTTTAAACCAATTTGATCATGCTCACTGTACCATCGCAGCAACAGAGCGCCCTTCGGCGTGGTGATTTCATCTCGTCTCATTTATTTTGAAGTGAGCTTAAGCTTGTTCGGTAGTGAATCTGTATTGAGACTACATGTACGATATAGGATGTTGGCTTGTGTCAAGATTATCAATCAAAGCAGCCCGGGCATACGTGACTTGATTCATTGCGTGCTGCCGCTATGGGAATTGTTTTTAATGAGAGAATAAGAACTTCCCTTACACAAGAACGAGTCTATTTGTACCTTTGCACCGGTCTCACTATTAGCCTTGCTTTTCAAACACAAGTATGCATCAAAATCCCTCTTCTGTTTCGTTCATCGTTTACCTAACAAACATATTTTTCTTGAAAATCGCTTTATATATTGTCGCCGTATTTATTTGCGGCTCTTTGTTTTATATAAACATTTCACTTGCACAGAGGGTCGAGGTCCAGGCTCAATTGACGTTTACAAAAATTTCTATGTGTTTGCTACAGATACACTAATCTACCGGGCAAGCGACTCTTGAACAAAAACAAATATCTCTTTTGCGGCATGGTTATGTCAAGCCAAGTGATTCGCGGCGTCTGTCCTTCGTGTTTCTAAGAACGAACCGCTCTTCAAGCTCCAGTGATTCCAAAATCCTCAGACACACAAAATCAAAGGGTCATGTTTTGAGTTACTACAAGAAAATAATCCCTTCATGCTATTGAAAAGTTCTTTCGAGGACCGTCTATACTAAAACCAATACATGTGCACATCGATTGCTCTTTCTTTTCGATAATTCGCCATTGAACATGCAAAATCAGTTTTAACCATGTCAAAAAGCCATTAAAAATAAAATATCTCGTGACCAAACAACGGCAATCATCTTGTCATGCAAATCGCAAACATCATGATAACAACAAATCGCCTTCTGCGAGACAAAGTCTAACCAGGAGTAAAACAGACTGCGAAAATGTTGTTTTGTGCATTTTCCTAAATGAATCATACTGAAGTGACTCAAAAGGCAAGCGGCTCACTAAGATTGCTCACCGGGCATTAATATATAATGCAACAAGTGTATAGAGTCGGCATCATCACTAAGTGTCCACAACCACTTAACGTTTTGGATAAATGAACTCGGGTAGATGTAATAACACAACTGTATAAGATATCATCTTTAGAACAGGTCCAACCGAACAGCTCCATTTAAGATGTAATATCGAACTTGAAAGAAATGCGCATCTAATCAAAAATTAGCGACATGAGTGTGGTATGTAAATGTTAGTGTGTAATATTGCCAAAGGGCAGCAAGTTTTCACTTAGTATCTGACAAACTAATGAAGGTCTTCTTATTTTTTATCTATAATGTCTCCACTACAAAGATATAGTAGAGAGAAAATCGTGCCGTTCCGCTTTCAAGTCAGTTTTTTTTCCTTTTTCGAAAAATTTACCCCCTTCGAGGTCAGACTTTAATGCAAATAACTTTGTATTCAAAATGTACAGCGAAAAACATTTTCTGCTAAAATATAACTTATTTTCTTTCACTTTTCCGGTGCCGACTGACCAAGGTTTTTAAGTATGATAATGCGATTTGTGGAAGACTGCAAAAGGTCACTTTTATCGGAGTTCAATAGAGTGTCTCACACAAACTGGCGCGCGTGCAGTGGTGCATGGTTGGACAATAAACAACACCACTAGGGAATACTGCAGAGCAAACCAGACATGTACGTCTTTTTAAACAACTGATCAACGGTTCCAAAAATAAAGCTTGTGCATTTAATACGCATCGATCAACATTTTCCTGCTGTAAAATCAACATGCTACTTTATTACACAATACTGTAACCAACAATTTTCAAAGGTAGACCTTTTCAATCTTTTCAATTTTTCTCTTCCAATCTCACAAAAATGAGCAACAAAACTTCAAATTTAGTGCAATATTTTTAGACCTAGTGACATTAATGACAAATTATGGAATTAATCCAAATGCTTGCAGCTTCTTATTTTGTTGTTCTTTAAGATTTTGCCAAACTTGGAATGCTATTGTTCTAATGATATAAAATCCACCTTTAGTATCAGTTAACCACAATCTCTTAACTGTTCTCAATCCGACCTAAGAGCTGCCTAAGTAATGAAATAATTGGTTACCACGAGAAACAGACCCAGCAACCATAAAACGCTCCTCAAAGAGCTCATGTTATGATGATATTAACTTAGATGAAAATCACGTCTCCTGAAAAAACCAACTACATTTCATTCAAGTGCTTTTTCCTAGATATTTGCTTGAAAAAAAGTGCCGCTTATCACAGTTGTAAATTTTAAAAGATGATCTAAGTTAAGATTAAATATTAAATATATTAAGGGGTTAACCAAGGGACCTTATCTAAAGATAATCATGATCTACATCTAAAGCCAATTGCTTCAGTTTAATTAGGGACAAAATGTTTTTCAGTTCACTTTATAGCGTAATAATTGAATAGTATTAGCCATACATTAAGGTTTCAATTCAAACAACATGGCAAGTAGAAAACAAGTTTTCAGGTCAACTAATTATTGACAAAGTGTGGGAAGAGTAACATGCCTTACATCAATAACAGGTTTTTAGGTAACAGAAGCTTTGGTTAAAAAGAGTCATGAGGTTAGCCAGACAGTCTGGCTGGATATGTTGTAATGTTAGTTGTATGGGTGTACATGGTGATATTAAATGTCTACTGCCAAGCTGCAAAAATATAACATCTGGTGATGAGCTTGACATGTCTTACTTTGTCTCTGTTTTTCAGGTGACATGAAAAGTGTAGATTAGATAGGTTTTGTTTCATTTAGATATGTTAAAATTATTAGACTGCTGAGCTCTTATTAAAAGTATGGCTGATGTTTTATTTTAAATTGAAATATACTTTAAAAGAGGAACACTGCCAGTTCTTCACTATCAAACTAAGTATAAGTACTTTAAGGAGCCGCTATGTCATAATTCAGAGAAGTTACCATAGTTGATACATGTCTGGCTTCAATACAAGAATTTAGAAGGGGTATACTTTTAATTTATTTTGATATAGTACTACTAAATGAGCATATCATCAATCATAAACACTTATTTGCAAATTGACAACTATTCTTTAATTACTTGTGACTAGGTAAACTGCCAATGAATAAAAGGGGATAAGTTAGTGGAGTGTCAGTGGGGGTACAAAAAGGTGATTTGGTTTATCAACTGAGTTGATAATGTAAATTGGCCTCCATAGAGAGTTTCTAGGGCTGGTGTTTTGAGCATCAGCCCTTCATAAGAGCACAGACACTCAAAATGTCAGCTTTAGAAACCCTCTATGGTGGACAATTAACATCATCAACTCAGTTGTTGAAACAAAATTACCTTATAAGATAAACTGTTGTGTACAGGTTAACTCAGGGTTTGCTTTTGCATATGACAGGTCCTCTGCCAATGAGAATGAGAGCATTACCTCAGTCATTCTGGCAGGAACCAAAGAACATCCAGAACAGCTCACTGAGCACAGAAGGAACACTATCATCATTACCACCACTATTTCATAATGCCAACAATACAAGTTATGATGTTAGTAAAGTAAGACCAGTGACTCCTCCAGAGGAGAAGTATTTGCCACGACCCCCAAAGGAACCAAAACTTGTAATAACTTCTCCACAAGAGCAGCTGTTAAAATTATTTGAGACAGTAGAGGAGGATAAGACTAAGAAATTTGTGATCAGAAGAGGAAGGTGAGTGTTGATCATCATTGTTACATAACCTGTTGGTCTGCATGCCTTTTAAGTTTATGTGACCTTTGCATGCTTGTAATGTTGTTTTACAAACTATCTTTTAGATACACTTATCTCAAGCAAGTCTTGCAACTGATCAAGACAAGTAATCAAATACCTGGCTTATAAGAGAACACACAACTAGTATCTGAAAGTGCTTTTCTTCTGTTTGTTTTGTTTTCAGTAAATGCAACCATCACAAAATCTTTTGGGTCCTGAACTACAATTTAAGACTTCTGCTACATGACTATTGACATTCAACAAGAAAATTTGTTCCTTTGTTGGTAACTCTAAAACCAAAGTGATCTTAGTTTGCAAATTCTCTCAATCCCTTTTTTCATAAATTATCAAAATTAAAGTTTGAAGAATATGCAATATTAATGAATCTGTTTATCACCCTGTGGGGTGTTGATGTTGCATGGGGAAAAGTGATTCAGCAACTTCAGTTCACCACAAACCCCTGCTTTGTTTTCTTTTGTGATACATATTGGTTGCAGATTAAGTACCTCAATTAGTTTTAGCCTGAATATGAAATGCCAGTTTAAAATTTGACAAATTTAGCCAAAGAATTTGTGTTGTTAGGAATTTGAGGTGAAATCCTTATTAAAAAAAACAGTATAAATCCATTTTGTTGCTTTACATTTTGCATCTTTGTTTAGATACATCCTATAATTATAGCCACATACACTGTATAGGCAAATTTTGTTTACAGGCAAATATACATCTTGTAGCAAAAAATATTAAGTACCTCTCCAACTCATGAATACATTTCACATACAGATGTAACAAATTCTGAGGCCTTTTTGAGCCTCTTGTCTTTTAGGTTCCTAACCATTATATATATATATATATATATATATATATATATATACTGTTGGTAATACTTGAAACTTTGCAAGTGACCTTGCTATCCAATACTCAGCCACTTTTATATTGTCAAGTCATGCAGTTGCTCACCATATCATCAATCATGTGTGACTAACCAAGCTTTTGTGTGCTCAATAATTTGTAAATTTCAAAACAGATCTAGATCATTTTGTTCCATGCAAACACAGTATCTTAGCTACTTTTGTCCATTGGTAAAAATCATAACATTGGCTTAATCCTGTTGTGAGCTACTTGTAAACTTAAGGTAATTTATTCCACTTCCAATTTGGAGGCTGTGTTTGTTAGGCCTGTGTGTATAAGAATGAGTTCATTGTTGGATTGATATTGCACAAAGGAAAAAGTTTATTCATGAGAAGATATTGACAACATAAGCAAATTTTTCCGGCACTCCTTGCCCTAAAATGGCATGAAAAGGACAAGAAGCAAGCACTCGATGATTAATTGAGACACTCCTCTACAATAATCAAAATAAAAATATTTGACTTTAGATCAATATCATTAACAAAGATGTTCACACTCAAAATTAACATATGTTACAACTGATCAAGTTTTTGCAGTATTCCATGTAAATTATGAAACTGACCTTTCTGGATGTCCATAATCATGATGAAGACATAATGCTGACTAGGCGAAGTAAATGACTCTATGAAAAAATAAGAGTGAATAACTGAAAAACAATCTTATACAATATTGACAGCATGTTAAATCTCATCACACAAGGAAGAATCTAGATAGATGTTGACACATGAACTTTCATAACCTATGTTTAATGTTTTTTAAACTAAAACTAGTGTTCAAGAACTTATTCTTCCTAGACAGCTCATGGGAAAAATTTACAAGGAATGCATCAGCCCTAGCATGCTTCTCTGTTTCAACCATGAATAAGCAATGGTTAATTACATGTTCACATGTATACTGTTTATATATGAAAATGTTTAGCACTGTCTACAACAACAACAAAAAAAGAACAACAGAAAACTAAGTTCTTTTGCATTTACATATATACAATCTCAGGGTGAGCAGTTTGCAGTTTAAAATAAATTTCAGGTCAAAGTGACTTTTAAGTTACCTTGTGTTTTGTTTCCTTAAGGTAAGCCTTGTCACAAAGAAAAATTTGCATCAAAGTATTTTAACATCATTTTCAATTGAGTTTATTTTGAGAAACAACATTAATTTGTAGTTGAAACTATTGCCTCCATTCTGATGATTTTTTAGCTACATTATTATATTCATAGAACGTGCTACATCTTTCTCTATTGGACACTACAACATTTAGCTTCAGAAACTCACACAACTGGGTGGCTGAGTCATTTTTCTTATTAACCATTCAGTCACTTGTATTGGTTGGTCTGTTGGCACATTGTCTGCCTCAAAAAAATTTTTGTGTTGATCATTTTTCATAAAATGGCTTTTGTGTGAATTTAATTTAAAAAGTATTTTGTAGGTAGATTAAGGAGATTTATCTCAAAGTACATTTGACTGAAACATCTTATTTGTACATAGTTTAGTTCATAAATGTTAAGATCTAACTTTTTTGTCTTGCAGACCTAGAAGGGTACAATCTGATTTAACACCATGCCAACTACCAAAATTGGAAGAGGACCCATGCATGATGACCAGCCTAGCAGAAAAGTTGTTTCCTCAGCTTTCCCTTGAAAACAACAAGCAAACACCAGGAGCCAACACATCACTCTCTTGTGTGTCAGTCCATGATGGTGACAAGTCTGTGACACTACCTTCCTTAAATGTTGAGCAGAATTACTCTCAGATGTTATCTGAAATTGTGGCTCACTTTTGAAAGTTGACATGGAGAGTTAAGAGAGTGTTAATCAATTAAGATCACATTGAGGTCTGGATTTGGAGCTCTTAGTTCAGCTCAGTAAGAAGTAAGGTACACTAGACTCTAATACAAAAGGTTGACTGATAGTAGATACCTGAAGGGTCTTTTTACAGGGATTCTAATAGTTGTAACAATAGAGAGAGTTAAAGGTGTGGTTTCACCGAGGGATAGATTCTGGAAAATTTGGTTAAATAAGAAGTGATGGAATTTTTGCTGTATACAAAGATGCTATTTCCATCAACAAAATCCCTATGTTTGTGTACCCAAAAGTTTTCACGTAGGCAAATCTCTTGTTGTATACAGGAAAGTGCTGGAGTTTCTGCATCAAGTGATGACAGGGACTGAACACATGGTGTGCTTTTGTAACCATGTTGAATATAACAATAAATAGATTAATTAATAAAATAGTATATTAAATAATACTTAGATAAACTGGGACAAACGGTGACCTATTTCTTTTATGCATTAATTCATAAATTGCTGAACATCAGGATTCAACTTATTTATTTTTCTGGGAAAAAGACAGTGGTAGACTGTCCATACACAGCAGCCAAAACCAATAATTCCTGAACAGTTGAAAAATGATGTCCAACAAAATCTAAGTGGCAGGGTGCTTAACCAAATGTATAGAAAAAATTTAGTTTTGCAAATCTCTAAGAGGTCCCAATCTCTTAAATAAAAATATTTGATAAGAAATTACCCTTTTGTTAGAAAAAAATAATTTGTCTTAGCCATAACGTAAATATTTCAATCTAGTTGCAAAAAATTCCATCATGTTCACTGGGATTACAAGACCGGTACATTCTGAATTTATAATTTTGTAACACAACACATATCAACAATATCCCACATTGCGCCATGAAAATAAACAATTCAAGTGTTTGAATTTTTTTTTGTTCATATCCGGTGGATATATTTATAGATAAGCATCAAGGATGTTCTCTGAAAATTATGAGTGTTCTTCACTTCATTTTGAATAAAACAAATAGTTATTAGATGACTACATTTATTTTTTACTAAAATTGATGCTTCTCATGCTCTTACAACTGGTTTAATGAGAACCATTATGTTGCACAAGATAAAAGAAGTTCTAGAACACTCCCAAACAAATAAAATTTCTTCAGGTGGAGTAAATTCTCTTAAGGTTAAGGTACAGCAGAACCCAGCTAACTGTAACTCCAAAGGGAAACAAAAAATGGGTCCAGTTGGCTGGGGTTTGAGTTAACTGATGATAAATGACTGAAAAAAATCGGTTAGGGAAATCTGATCTTGTTCAGATTACTGGGGGGTTTGAGTTAGCAGGGTTCCACTGTAATCTTATCATCAATTTATCACTTATTTTTTAATAGGCGACTTCTGTCTTGTCACAGCCTGAGTGATAATTTTTGTTCTGTAGAACTATGTCATTAGATTTATTTAAATAATTTCTGCTCAAAGGGTAAATGAAACGAAGTTAGTTAACAATGCAAATATTACTAACTACTCCCTGTGGTGTAACATGATATATTGGGGTGGGATAGAAGAGTGGGGTGACCATAGAACAAGCTGTATATATAAATATAAGAAATACTACCAAATATGTTTGTAAATAAAGAAAACTTATTCACTCAATTTTTTTGATGCAACTCATAATTTGAACGTCATTTTATTTGTATGCAATTCCTGGTATTCTCCTAGCCTTTGTGACTCTGTTGGCTGCATAATAGGTAGATGATCTGGTAAAGTGCGAGAGCAGCTGAGATGTTTAAAAATGGCATTTTTATTTATAGTTAATCCAATATATTTGTAAAAGGGGTATAACAAAACATATACATTTACTTAGCCTTTGGAATCTCAAGGGAAAAAGTATAAAATGGCCAACCACAATGAATTATGCCCTCTAAATATTTTCGATTTTAAAATTACTCAGTAATTAAAAAATAATTGAATTGTGATGAAAAGAATCAAACCAGCATCATCGGGTAGAGCCATACCCCTGTAAGAACGCTTCATACACCAAATACTAAAGTCTTAAAAATTACGACTAATTTTTCAGAGCAGAGATCCTCATTTACTATATGTATCTATAAATTACAGAAAGATTGTTTACTCACTAAACAAATACATATCAACAAGAATTGATTTCAACAACAAATGATCTAGGTGAAACATTAAACAAGGCACGTATTATTATTGACCAGTTTGCTTAGTTGTTTTCTTTTGGAATTCAAAAGATAAGGGAATTTGTTACTCTCGGGAAAATTAATTAGAATTGATCTTAAGCCCAAATAATTATCACAAATTTCTCAGCTAAAGTAGACATCCATGCGATTCATCCTTTTCTAAAGTTAAAAAAAATTGTGACTATCAGAAAACCTTACAAAAATGACTTACTAACCTACGTTTCCCCAAGAACACAGCATTGACACCAGCAGTAAACGATCAGTAAACTGGTAATCAAATTTTTCCCTTCGGTATCTGACCTTTTCTACCTACTATACTAATCAGCACTCTTATTGGCTAATTGATATTACAGCTAATGTGATTGGTTATTTTATGATGCTCGCGGCGGGAACGTCAACTCTCAACGCTGGTTAATTTACCTGTTCTGTTTTGACACGCATGAAAGCTCTCTTTATCCTCGCTACAAAATAAGAAGCGCTGAGCCTAAAACATTTCTAAGAAACATGTTTGGATAATTTTTCTCATTGCGTCAAGACTCAATGAACTGCAAGCGATCGGTAGGGCACTAGTAGAGATTGAAAATTGGCAGTAAAAGAGATAAGCCGAACTGAATTACTGATCTGCGCACTCATCAGGTTTTATTTTCAAAATATGTTAAATATTTAACGCTATAAACTTGAAAATATCTGGAGCCTTCTACAGTCAACGGTATTGAAATACAGCCATGAAATCGAAAATCAGCCTCATACCATCTGGGAATCAGAGCTGTGACTAATTCAGAGCGAGAACAACCTCACAGTTAGCTCTGGAGAGTCACGGCTTTTTTTCTCAGAACCATTTGGAAATATTTCAGTCCTCAGTAATCACTTGATCTGCAGTTCTTCACTTTTCCGTAGGATCATCGTTATTACTTAGGAACAAAGACAGTGACCGCCAAGGAAGGTGACAGGAATACCTGATCGTGGCTTGACGGCACTGACTGGGTGAACAGAAAATGAGACGAATTGACCAAAAATAGGGATAAATATACTTGTGCAGAGTACGGAGTGTGTCAATGTTGCAGTTTTGCGTTCTTTTGATAACGTGTAGCAAATCATGAAAATGACATAAAATCAACTTTAGGTAGACTCACCACTCGAGGCTTCCAAGAGACCATTTAAACGAGTTTTAGGCTTTTTTTTTTCACAAGCTTTTCCCTCATCAAACTTTCGCAATTTAAAAATCGAAAAATCTCCTTTTTGTGTTTGGAAAAGCATAATAAATGCAGTGAATTCTTTTGTTATACACCTGTGGAATCACTTTCCACTTCACGAGTTATGGAAGGTTCAGGATGTTCCTAGCGCCAGTTGAGGGCTTAAAAGTATTCTAGCTTTCGAAGCAGTTTACTGACCAGTGAAATCTAAATTATGATTGGTAATTTAATTATGCAATAAATAACTCAGGACTCCACGCCAAACCTTTCTCAGAGTCATAAAATGGTCGCCAGAAAAAATGGCAAGTAATTGTTTCTGTCGTAAACGATAAGCAATAAAAAATTACAGCTTGCCACTTTACCACCGATCAAAAGTCGCCAAATTGTCGTCTTCAGCTATGAATGTCGTCGCCAGATATTTTTCCTACTCGCTAGAGCGACCAAAACGGCTGCAGCTAATGATTTTGTAAAGTCGAATAATATCGGTCTGTCTTCGTGATAATCATCTCTTACTCAGAAACAGGTAATGTTGTGTATTAGTACAGTTTATGATTTTCTTAATCCTGGACATTTTTGGACGGGTAATCGTGAATTAATAAACGCTGATTCTTTCCTTTCAAAGGTTGCTAGGTGTACCGTCACCTCTCTCTTTAACGCCCCTTCGAATCGGAAGATCTATGTAAATTTTACCGGAAGCTTAACCGTTCATTGTGTCTGAAGCGCTTTCACTTCTGAATATCGACTACTAAGCTTTACCAAGAAGCACTTAAACCATTCTACCTCCCCTTTCCTCCCTTATGCCGGCTTTAATCTTACGCTTAGCAGAGTACTGTTGGGTTTTGATCCTGTTTCGTAACTGTTCTGTAAGATGCCATTTGTCGAGGAGATTAACGCTGAACTAAAATAAAACAACAACGTTAACATCTCGACTAGAGCTGTTGTCAACATCCCCCCAACTCGGCTTAGCAGAACGTATACCGCGGGAATATAAAGAAGAGATAAAACAGAGACACTCAAACGATACCTGTTCTACTCAGTGTTTATTTGACATGAAATTTTTTAGGCTTTGGTCTGTAGCAACTGTCGCTGGGTTAACTGATCAACATAAATAATCTCCCTAAAATCAGCTGATCTTCAATAATTCTAACAGTTTGAAGTGAGGAGAACCTCAATATATATTAAAACAATTTTTCTAATTTCATTTACCAGAATTAATGAAATTTAAAAACTTGCTTGACGAGAAATTTAGGTCGATGCTGCAAAAGGTTGTTTTTCCTTCAAAAATATAAAATTTATTTGTTTGTTAAAAAAGAGCAACATAATGAAGAAATGTAAACGTAGCCTGATGTAAACACGCGGGAGGTTGGGAGAACACGAGATAAGCGTAGGAAACCACGACGCGAAGCGAAGTGGTTTCCAGCTTATCGAGTGTTCCCCCAACCTCCCGCATGTTTGCATCAGGCTATGTAAACACGGAAACCATTTTACATTTCTTTTATAAAATAACTAATGAAAGAGGAACGAAAACCGTGTTTACATACGCTCATGTAAAATGGTTTTATGGCCAATCAGAGCGCGCGTACTATTTGAATTATTTTATAATAAACCTTCTCAAGCTAGAACACATAGAAGAGTACTTCTGCAAGGGCGTAACAAAGAAAAGGGGAGGTGGAGTGATCTCATCGTGTACACGTCGTCGCCAAGTTTTAGTGAAAGTGACGTTTTGTCCAATGAGCACTGAGTGGTGTATGCCTTGTGAATTCTTCGAATTGGTCCTTTCTTGCCACCTAATTATAAGGTTTGTATGTTGTTAACTCAAAATAAAAAACAACAAAAGAAAGCGATCAACCCGAAATGGGGAGAGGGTGAGGTTTAATGGCGCTCCAGGACCACCCCCCCCTCCCTTTATAGCTACGCTCCTGTTCTCATCGTAACATTTTAAGACTATACCTATCAATCTGTACTAAACAAATTTAAAATTTGTAGAATGTCCTGAGAATGGAAAGAATAGTAGTTACTCCCCATGAAACTTATAGCAACGCAGCTAAGAATTAGCAGTGTAACAAAGAAATATTCAGCCTTCTTGCGATACAAAATCGACCAGCAATACAGTGACAATTCTAAATATATTACGTAAATTTTTCTCTTTCAGTCAAGAAACATCTAAGTCAAAGTTGTGAAATAAATTATTTCTGAGGCTGTGCTCGGCAGTTTAAATTTCTACTGACATTCATAACTACTCAATAAATTAGAATCTTGCAAATAAAATAATTCAGTTAAAATTAAAATTTTACTATGTGCATATATTACAGTCTACAATTAGAAAGAGTAAAACGTTTTGTGACGAAAGAAATTCAAAGATTAGAGAATCTTATTTCCATCTATGTTATTAGCTTACAAGTATAGTGCTTTTTTTCGAAATTTTTCTACAGGGAAAAGCACTTCCCTGTGATTTCTAAAACCAGACTAAATTTCTAAAACTGTACAGTGATCAGTGAGGTGTTTGTGTCGTTGTGTGCGTCATATAGTCTAGACATAAACAAATCATTCGGGAAAACAAAAAAATAGTTCTTTAAAAGTGGAAGTCATAGGGGTAAAAAACCGTCCATGCGTGTAACAAACACTTCAATTGATACGTAATATGGACGTTATCTCACTCATATCAAAGTCTCTTACAAAAGCTTCGCACGCTGCCTTTCACTCCACGAGAAAAATTTCCCTCCCCGCCCCCACCCAACATTGGAATATTAAGTACGTAAACTTCAAAACAAGTTCTCATTACAGGCTGCATCATCATGATACTGGCATCAAAAGTAAGACCTTAAATAGTTTCGTGGTGTTTCGTTCTTGAAATCGAACTACTTGTAACCCCAAATGAACAAAGCTCAACTGAAGTTATCAAGGCCATATGCACCATGAAAGCAAAGGAGCACTCCATATGATTAATGAATGTCGTCTCAGGGATATGACCAAATTCCACTCGCAACAACTAACAACACCAGAAAATTCCGCTTAGAGAAGGGAAGAGTGGAAATGATTCAGGAAAAAGCTTCTGTTGGATTATTCAGGTTATTATGGACAAGAAATTATTGAACTGTGTTATCAATTTGACATCGCGCCACTGTCATAAGAAAAAACTGCGGTGATTTTTTTTTAAAACAAAAGTGAAATTAATTCCTTTCGACAAAGGCTGAGTACTTACAAAATGTTGATAACGCACGAAATAGACCCGTTGAAAGCCAAAACCCTTTTAAGGTTAGCTTGTAAGAAGTTTGACCAGTTTTTTTTTTCCAGTTAATAACTATTGCTGTTACTTCCCGCTTTACTGTAAAGACGACTTTGGTCGTGAGCGAGACCTTCTAAGCGAGGTTCTCATTTGTACCGCAGAGTAATCTGAGTTTGACAAATCATCGCCAGTACTACTTGTTCTTGTCGGTCTGTTCTTTTTATGAGTCATGAATGAATCCTAAAAATAGAAACAGAATGATAATTATTAAAATTTCGCAAGCAGAACCAGGAAGCCTCTTTGAGTCTTTTAAAAAAAAGCTAGAACACCGTAATATCTGACATATTTTATAACAAGGTGCCTCGAAAAGAAAAAAACCTCACACGCCATGAAGTTGTCTGAACTGATTATCGTACTTTATCTAAGGTGATGTTCAGACCACTTTTGACTGAATTTGGTTTACGTATCAAAGCCATGATTTCATTTCAAAGCCATCCACATATTTTTTTGCTTACCTGTGTATGCTGCCAGACGAATGAAAACCCATAAGATGATGTGAGGAACTGTCTCGACAATTCTACACATGTTACATTTCACACAAAATTGGGGTACGGGGATAAATATCGTATCGCTTTCCAGGGTGTTAATGAGTAATGACACCCCCTAACATAAGGTTTGAAATAATTCTACAATCCCATTACCATCAAAATGGATAGGACTAGACACTCGCCTACAGTCTCTTGATATATCTGATTTCTTCATTCACCACATTGAATAAAAGTGCATAGGAAGTGAAGATTGAATATTTTAAATCAAATTCAGGCAAACGATGTTAGCATTACACACTTTACAAAGTTATCATATCTAGAGAAAAATGAGACAAACGAGGATTGAGGGTTGGTTAAGATTTCAAATTAACTAGTATTTTTAAAATTTCCTCAACTTCGACTGTTTTTTGGCCCTGTTTAAAGCTGCCTGGTTTAAGAGAGACCCCTCAAATAAAACTTTTGTACCAGGCACTGATAGATATTTAACACAAGCTTTCATCATGAAAGCAAAAAGTTAAATTAGAAGAACTGGAAAAGCAAAACACATTTAGAGTGATGCTAGTCGGGTTTGGTAAGAGTGGGCTACAACACAACGTCCAGGTTGACACTTTTGTATAAGGTAGATATTATATGGACAAGGTATGGCTTGTGAGAAAGACAGTCAGGCAAGCAGGTCGACTGGTATTGTAGGTAGCAATAAAAAGATAGGTGGCTGAGTAGGTTGGTAGGTAAGTATGTGGGTTAGATAGGTAGTTAGTTAAGGGGGTTGGTAAATGCAATGTATGGAGGTATGTAAATGGTAAGGTAGCAGGTAAGGATGTATGTTGGTTACAGCTTTCTTAAATTTGAACCCGAAGGTTGGTAGATAAGTAAGTCGATAGGTAGGTTGGTTAAAGAGAGCTAGGTGGGTAGGTAAGAGCTTGGTTGGTACATGTTTGTAGGTAGGTGGGTTGGTTAGGATATGTTTGTAGCTTGCTAAGTAGGTAGGTGGGTTAGCTGATTAGTACATGTATGTAACTAGGTTGGTAAGTAGGTAGGTAGGTAGGTAGGTGGGTAGGTTGGGTAATATATGTTTGTAGCTTGGTAGGTAGGTGAGTTGGTTGGTTAACACATGTATGTAGCTTGGTAGGTAGGTGAGTTGGTTGGTTAACACATGTATGTAGCTTGGTAGGTAGGTGAGTTGATTGGTTAACACATGCTTGTAGCTTGGGAGTTGGTTGGTTAACACATGTATGTAGCTTGGTAGGTAGGTGAGTTGGTTGGTTAACACATGTTTGTAGCTTGGTAGGTAGGTGAGTTGGTTGGTTAACACATGTATGTAGCTTGGTAGGTAGGTGAGTTGATTGGTTAACACATGTATGTAGCTTGGTAGGTAGGTGAGTTGATTGGTTAACACATGCTTGTAGCTTGGGAGTTGGTTGGTTAACACATGTATGTAGCTTGGTTGGTAGGTGAGTTGGTTGGTTAACACATGTTTGTAGCTTGGTAGGTAGGTGAGTTGGTTGGTTAACACATGTATGTAGCTTGGTAGGTAGGTAGGTAGGTATGTTGGTAGGTGGTTAACTTGGTGGATGTTCACACAGCTGTATTTCATGATGAGGATAGGGGTAAAAAAAACATAAGAGTATAGTGAGAGTATGTAGTTACATATATGTAACAATAAGGTCATACACAAGTGAGTGACAGTAGTAACGTCTCATACCAAGCATGCACATGCAATAAGAAATTAAACAGCTACATATAAAAGAAAAGAAATTAGAAGAATCTACTGATGTACTTAAAAGTACATCAGTGGATTCTTCTCCTAGACAAGTGAATGCTCTCAATCATTTCAAAGTTTAAAGACCACATTTACAATTCTCTTATTTTAGAGAGAAACCTGACTTTTTGTTATACTATAGATAAAAAGGACAGATCTTTTTAGGTGCACAAACAATGACTACACCTTTCCTTCAAAGTTAAGTAAAGTCATCTACAGTTGGCGAAAGTCTCTACCATTTGTTATTAACAAATTATTGTTAATTACATTAGTTTCCACAAAAATCTTCAATTCAGTTTCAAATCATGTGTGTTGACAGGGCTTTTAATGCTATCTTGAGTATGCCAGAATTGAGTATTTAGAATTTCAGGAACCAAGCAAAAAAATGTGACAGGTCTATGTTTGCCTCGCATTTTTATCCTTCTTAACATTGATGTCATGACCCAATAGTTTGGTTTTAAATAATGGCAATTTGTTGACTAACTTTATCCAGATGAAATAATTATTGATGATAACTGAGATCAATTTGAAAGAAATTTAAAAATAATTATTGACAGAGGTACATAAAAAGAACATCTAGCCATTATTTTATAGCCAAAAGAATGGACTTAAGACTTGGAGAAAGTTTGTGACCAAATATTTCATTGTAATGCAGCATCAAGGAGAAATCAGAAAATTACAGCTCTTGTCCACACCACTGTCATGACAGACCATGTTTGGTGGTACTTTAACAGCATGATTCAAAATCAAACAAACTAATTATGAGAACAAAGTGCTTTATGATGTAAATAATTTTTCTTAACAAATGAGAATGTAAGAATCAGCAGAATGAGACAGTGTACAGTTTAAAGGCTGAAATGAGAGCATTCACTAGCCTTTAGGAATTTTCAATAGTATTTACATTTAACTGAAGTAAAGTTGGTCTGCAGCCAGCTTCAGAGATGAGTCTCCATAGTTGATTTAGCACAGAGTGTGACCTTCTACAGAGAGAGGTTAATAAAAGAACAGTTACAGTAGGTTGTTCAGTAGCATATTTCAAGGGAACACATGTGCTTCATAAGAAAAATTGCACAAAGTGGTTAGGAAAAGTACAGAATTAGTTATCAGTTTAAGCTGTAGCTAGTTCATTGATCCATTTTTAAAAAAATAAGGAATGAGTTTAAAGCTAGGGGGAAGAAGCAATTCATTTAAACAGAACCATTTCAGTATTAATCAATTAACAAATAGAGAAGCCTTGACTGTGCTTTGTTCTGTTGTAAAGCATACAGGAAGCAGCTAGAACACAAAAGAAGTGTAGGGAGAAACTTAATTAAACAGATTACGATTTTTTAATTTTGAGATCATGGTTATTTGGAAGTTTGGTTATTATAATTACAATTTAGATAATTCAAATTTACTAAGTTAAGTATTTCCACTGAAAGAAAATAAATATTAAACTATGACCTAAAACAGGGATATAAATCTTCCCTTCAGGAAATAACTTCTTTTCTTTCTTTGATAAGACAAGGATCAAAATCTCTAAGACCTACAGTCATATTTTCAAATATACTGTATGACATAAACATTCCTATCATGCATACTAAGTTTTCCATCACAGGTCTCATGATGAAGTTTTTCTTTTCTTTTCTTTTCTTTTTTAATACAACCAGACAAAAATTTTATCATATTAATTCATAGGTAAATTTTAAGAATGCACAACCTTAAGTCTTGTCTGTTTTACCGTACAGTGTCCCAAAAAAAGACATGCATCGTATTTAAGTTCTCTTTAAACTATTATGTAGGCAAATGAATAGCATCATTTCATTATTTAGCATGTACTGAACTGACTTACTCTGAAGCTGTGTCTTTTGATATCTGAATTCATACTGGTTCGGCTGCCAGAGTTGAAACTCAGTGATCGACGTGTCTTCTGTTTCTCCTTGTTTTTGATTTCAGTTTCACTGGGTGCCACTGCAGTTCTTATTGGATTTTTAACAAATTATATGTAAGTTCCCTTTATACATGGTGTGACCAAGGGAAGGATTGATCAAATGAAACACAAAACAATTTGAATTATAACATTGTATGCAATTTAAAGGTAGATTTCCCTATTCACTTGTGATTTTTGCAAATAAAAAATATCCTACCTTGCAGGGATTAACACAGATAACAGTTCAGAGGTAAGATGCCTCCTGATAATGTTCTTGGATGAATGAATGCCAAGAGCTTGAGCCAGTTCATCTGCTCCAAACGATTGATCAAGGACCAACAATGCTCCATGGACACCACTGTCCCTCAAACTGTCTGCATATTCCTTAAATGTGAAATCAAAACAAATCTATAATTATACCCAATATTGAGTAAATAACTGATTGTTACCCCTGAAAGTATCCAAAATGTTTTCCAATTTTTTATTTCTTAGTTATCTCACTAGAATCCTGAAGCATCACTTGAAGTTCAATTACAAAGTCTTAAATCTTCTTTACAGGGCATAATCGCATTTTCCTACCATTAAACTCTCAACTTCCAAACAGTTGATTTAATTCATAACTGAGTGCATGTTCTTGACCTAATTTACCCACCCCCAAGTCCACAGAACGGCACCACTTAGCAACTCTCTCATTTGTCCAAACTAGAGGATCCAAGTCATTTTCTTCACTTTTTCTTCTACGCTCCATTAGCAACTGCACAAAGAAAAAAAAATACATTTATGTACATAGAAAGAGCAATTGCTTGCTCCAATAGGAATGTCTACAAGTTCCTAAAACAACTAGTTAAAGGTCAATACCACGTGTCTGAAACTACACAATTGACAAACCTCTTTGTTGAACTCCATCATCCGCAGCAACTTTATACCATGAAGAATACTTGACTTTGAAACATAAGAGATACACTCCATCAGTTTGTTAGGTTTTCTAGACATCACAAACAAAAATCAAAGAGGGATGGGGATCCACTTTGGATATTGAACAAATGGGTGAATAAATATCTCTGAGGTCTTTATTCTATGTCAGTTGAAAACATCATAGTCTTCAGTACAAATAATAAGCTATCAAACCACAGGAACAAAGGGAAGTGGGACTTGTATAAGAGGTGGTTGTTGGAACAAGGCTGGAGTTAAAATAAGATTGAATCGATGAACTGTTCTCTAAGAGTTATGAGAAGGTGGCCCCTTATGAGAGGTGGGTGTCATTGGAAGTTCCATTGAGGAGAGGGGGGGATATAAGAAGGCTCACAATAGGCCATTTTACAGTTGTGTACTTAGTTGCCAAGCCTTTGATTTGGAGTGAGGCTAAAAGTGACCTTGTTGTGATGGAGACCAGTATGATAACAAAGTAATTTGCATTTGAAAAGCAGCAAAGTTTGTATAATAACTAGGTCACCCTTAGCCTTGCTCCTGTTCAAAGGCTTGGCAACCAAGCACACAACTGTAAAATGGTCTATTCCCTTCAGTTCTACTATCTTACCTGATGAAATTTTTTGCTGACATTGAGATGTTTCTCCATATCTTTTCTTGTGAGCACATTCAAAAGCCTTCCATCAATCATCTGAGCTTCAAATGCTGAGCAATACTGACTGAGACCCAGGTCTCTAATCCATATGCGGGACACCCAAAGGTGATCTACAGAGGATATCTCTGAAAATTTTCTAAAAAATAACCAGGATCACACATTAAGATCACAAGAATCAAGGAATTGATCACTAAATACAGAAGTTCTCCATTATTTAACAAACTTTCCTTGTCAGCCTAATACAAAATGTTTAGAGAACAGTATGAAAAATGTGCATACTGATCCAAGGATAAAATTCCTCTGTCAATCACCTTAATTATGAGAGAAAAAAGAAATCTGCATGTAAAGAGGAGATGATAGAGAAGCACTTACACAGAAGAGGGGTCCCTGTAATCCTCAATAGCTAATCTCAATTTCCTTCGGTGCATTATGTTACCCATACCAAGTCCAGCTTCAAGCTCAGTATCATTAAGCTCCAACAACACTTTGCCACTTTTAATGTTGTCATAACACATCGGTGAATACATAGGCATTTGGCACTCCACCTCTAGCCAGGCTAAAACCATATTGGCTTTCCAACAAACCATTGGGATGTCTTTGTGTAGTTCCCACACACGCTTTTTCTCGGCATAACTCATGCTGGTTGGAGTTTTGTCCACATTATCAATGTCTGGAAATTCTGTACAAAATCAAAGAAGAGAGGTACAAATGTGGTCAGATTTGGAAAAATGAGTAACAGGAATATACTGGTATGATTGCAACCTGATACTAACAAGCACTAAGGAGGGCTTTCCCATCTTTTGTTGTTCATATTTTTTCTTCCAACTCTCAACATTCTTTTCTCATGCTGTTATGTACTAGGTTCTTTCTAAACAGAGGGTATTAATAAATCCATTTTAATTTACAAAAAAAATAATTTGCAAATTAAACATGTTTCAACATTCATAAGCCATCTTCAGTTGCAAAATTTAAGGTTCAATGTACAATTAGAATTCTCATTTAGTTTACAAATAAGTCATGAAATTGCATCATAACAAAATGGCCACGGCCCCATTACACAAGTTAAATGAGATATTTATAATTAATTAACTAGAAATTGTGGAGTTTCCGAAAAATCATGATATGGCCCCTTTATTCAGCTTTTTGTTGAACTGAAACTGGGTTAACAGTAACTATAGAAGTAAATTTGAAGGACAATAGATTTTTATTTAACCAAGTTTAGTTAATTTTAAACCACCTTCCTGCATAGTGAAACCCAGATTAGTAGTCTCCTATCAGTGCAAGTTATATTACTTAAGCCACAATCAAATTTCCACATGAATCTCCATTGTTATACTACTGCTTGAAGGCAAGAGTTTCTTTTTGTCATAAGTAGTGAAAGGATACATCAAGGCACTTGAAAGGACTCAATGTTCATTCAAAAGTGCTCTTTACAAAGGCCAAAGATGGCAGAATTAGTGATTCCCTTAAGCCGTCACTGATTTCTTTGATAGACCCAACCAAGGGAAGATTCATTTGACGGCCATGGAGAGCACTGGCATCTAAGTAATATCAACATCATGTTTGAAAGACCTGCCTTTCTCCCATGATATCAATAACATTCACCCATTTATAACCCATTTCACTGCAGTAATTAAAAAAATTTAACCCTGTTGTTTCATCTTAACCAACCTTTCACCAAGTGAAGGTTTTTGGAAATTTTGCACAGGTTTCTAAAAAATATACCTAGTTAACTATCTGAGTGCAGCCACAGCCAATGCTACACAAATTGGCAAACAACTTGAATGAAATGCAAACCAAGGAAGCACAGAAGAGCTATAGACTGAAGTGTTATGAAGTAACCCAGAAACAGCTAAACAAACCACTACTAAAGTATATTAAAGTATATTAAAGTTCACATGGCCATTAGTAATTGTAATAACAATTAAAATAAATTATAAAGAAATAGATAAATCTGCAGGTAAGTGTTTTAAGTCTTCCTTTAGAGTTGGATTCTTTCATTTGATGTAAAAAGTCTTTTTTGTGGCAGAATCATTCCCCCCCCCCCCCCAAAAAAAGTGTATTTTCTTCAGGATGAGAAACAGGAACACTTCACCTGCAAAAAGTATTCCGACTTAAGTTTATCAGGAGTTATCATTATGGCTGGAGAAAATCAGTCATTCCAATAGAATTTGACCAAAACAAACCTATTCACAGTTTTCATTTGTGATGCAAACAGAATTCTGAACAAAGGAGAGAGTGTAAACAGCAAAAAAATTCATCAGTTATAATAATCATCATTCTTTTATGACAGTGTCTACACACAGTCCTATCTAGAAAAAAAGGTGGATTTCAGAGAGGTCCTGTTTATCAAAGTTAGAGACAAACATACATCTAAGTACTACTAAAATGGTGAAAATCTATTCAACACATATTCTAAACTTATGATAAAATAAAATGGACTTATAAATTTAAAAAAAAAAGGCGAAAGAAAAAAATACAGTAAATCTAACATTTCGGTTCAAATGTAAAACACATCATTCAAGTTCTTCAAAGCAGTACACCCTCAGACTCACTTGGACAATAAGTGGTAAAAACATTTAAAAACAAGATATTGGCTGCTTACCTTTAACTAAAGGCTTGAAGAGAGGCTTTCGTTGCCTTCCTAGTGAAAAAAACCTAGACAGTGAGGATGAACGTCTCTTGATTTTCTTCTTATTTGGGTCATGTTGTTCATAGTTGGTTTGAACACCAAAATCAAAGACTTCTGAGTCATTTGGTGTAGGGGCTTGGCTTAAATCAGACTGAGAGTCTGATGAAACTGACCCCACTGGTGATCTTGGGACTGGCACAGGACAATGATCTATGAAAAAAGAAAGAAAAGGATAAAAGTAAAAGTACAGGGCTAAAAATTAACTCCAGTGCTTGGTGGCCAGTTGGGCCAGTTTCCTTGAATTCTTAGTGGCCTATCCCAAAATGAAGTAGCCCTTGATTTCCTCTATTTTAAAATGAAAAACTTGATTAAACGCCCCATGGCTTTTAATGGAGCGTCAACTAAAAGGAAAGAACATATCACGCACAGAACTCTTGATACATCCAGAGTCACATGGCAATCACAAAATCAAAATGGCATCTATATGCTGTGAATGTGGATCACTCGTGAAATCATTGTAAAAGCAGCTCAAGATTTCCAACTTCAGAACTAAAACTTCACCAAAATGGATGATCTTAGAGTCCAGGCAAAGAAACGAAGAGAAAGGTAGTCCAATTAAATTACATATTCAGCTTTATTTTTAACTTTGTACTTTGCATAATTTACATTGCAACTTTTCTAAATTCTGCAGCATAGTCACACATCGGGCATTCAAACCTTAACTTTTGGTGGCCCTGGTCAGTTTTAACTCGCCACTGGCGACTGTGCAACCGCCATTTTTTAGCCCTGAAAGTAATCATTATTACCAATAGTAAAACAGGGAAGTACCAAATTGACTATTCCAAATACATAAGTATGACAAAATCATGAAAATTCACCTTCCAGGAAATAACTGTAATTATACACCAAGAAAGAAACAATGCAACAATGAACCAATACTTCATTTTGCAACATCAGAATTTGAATACTATCAGTAAAAGTGATAGATAATCTGGCATTGGACCACACAAAAAGTTCTATTACCATCTGGGGTTCAGTTTTCCATGTGGTGGCATAGCATGAAAAGTCTCATCAAATGATTGATGTGCATAATTAAAAATAGGATGTAAAGGCATCTCTGCAACATTTCTGTGATGATAAAATGATTCCACGCAGATAGGTTCTCAGAGTTTCTGTTTTAGTGAATATGGGATGATGTTATGTTCATGGAAAGTAGATACAATTTATTCCTGAATTTCCAAACAAACAAATTTACAATTGAGATCAAGGCTTTTTTTTTTTAAATAGCATCTGTCCAACTACTTTTTGCTTTCACTTCTATCCTTTTAAAAGGATCAACCACAGCCAAAAAAACCTGTTGCTGTAAAACTTCCTTATATAACCACAACTCATTTCATTGACCCCTCAAAGTATACAAAACCTAAACACAAATATCAGCTAATGATGATTCACAACACTTCAAGATACCATGTAAAACAGAAAATTATCATGAGACCCAACCATGATGATAAGTTGACAACAATATTGTTCAGAAAAAATTGTCATCTGGCCATAAAAAATAAAACATGCAGACTTCTCTAACATCACTTAGCACAATATAACTAATTATGTCAATTAAATGTGACTAAACTTTCAACAATTTTCCCACAATATTGAAAAAACAAAATTTATCAAAGAAGCCTACAGTCAAACCTGTATTGAGCAGAAATGTATTAAGCAGTCACCCTGTATTAAGCAATCAGTTGTCAAAGTCCTGAATTTGTTTCCTCTCAATCAGTGTAATTTAGTATCTCTTAAGCGGTTGTGGTCACCCTTTACCAAGTCCCAGTAGCCTCTTTTTATTGTCCTAGACCTGTATTTAACAGTCACTGAAAGTGGGAGCACTTTAATAAAAATATGAACAGTCTTTCAAGTAATTTTTAATCCATGTTCTCTTACAAAATAAAAGTAGGTAGTATTTTCAAGTAAGATTCTGTACATTAAGTGGTCAATTATGGCATAAAGTGGCACTGTTAATTATTATTATTTTTTAATTCCCCTAGCCTGTGAGACCTGTATTAAGGGGTCACCCTGCCATTCCCCATAGGTGACTTCTTAATACTTGATCATGAACTAAGATCCCTGCCTGTGGTAAAATTGCATTATCTATATAGAGAAATACACATATCTATGAGCAAGCACAAAGAGAACTGTTTAAATTTACAATGAAAAAAATTAAACCTAAACTGTTTGAGTGTGGTCATAAATCCTATAAAATGGTCTTTGACTAATATCAAATTACTGTCATCAATAGCTTCAAAAATGATAATTTAGCTCAAAACAGATCAGCATGGCTCTTTTGCCCATACAATAATGAACCAATAGCAAAAAAGATCCCAAATCCCTATTGTTTGACTGTGGAACGCCCTTAGGGCAAACTCATTAATCTGTCAGATAAGCTTTTTTGTCTAGTGATTATGAAGACATCTGAAAACCATTGCTACATTTCAAAAACAAACGCGATCGACTTACAAGCCTGTCAGAAAGAAGATCCATATCACCTTAATCAAGTGGTTTAAAAATTAGAATAATTTGAAAACGAATGATACAACTGTGCCTTTGTGACTGTGTCTGCGACTCAGAGATGATGTAAATAAAATTTGACAGATTGAATACTCTTAAAAATGTATCTAAAGCTGAAGAATGGCCTAGGAGTGGCATAATTTTCCAGTTGAGAGTCTTCAGCAAACATCCGGTATTCGGGTTTTAGTAAACCATAAACATAGGGTAGATCTACATTTTTAATGAAGAATGGATGTGCGCTGAGTGAATATCTTGGCGAAATTATGTCCAAGTTTATGGAGATCACAATTAAATTTCTGATAGTAGCGTGCTTGTTATCACAAAGCACCTGATTAACTATGAAATCAATAGTCTGTCTTGCATATCCAAGGTCTGGAAAAGATCGTAACGCAATCGAATTAGCGCTTTCAACATCGATTGATTTTAAGGAGATTGTCAAGTGAAGATTGTAAAATTAACACAGATTTCCTGAATTACCAGCAAATCTTCGCCAGGAAGGCTGGCTATTTTGAAAGTCTTTAAGCCTTTTCCTTCTCGTACAAAAATAATGAGAAAATAAACAACGTAATGTACATTACACAAAAATTTGAAATGAGATCGAGATCACGCAAACAAACTTACCTCCGTTTTTTAGCGGGGATCTTGGTGAATCTTTCAAGTTTTGCAGGGAATTTATCTTCTTAATATTCGTGGCATTCGTTCTACATGTACGTTTGCCTCCTGCGGTGTCCACATTTAAGTTGTTCGTTTTAAAAAAGAACTGTGAATTGTTCTCGCTGAGCGAAGATTGCAGAGCCGTCAGATGTCGTTTCACTTCGAAAAAATCAGCTTCCAATTCCTTCAGCTGTACGTCTTTCAGTTCCAACTGTGATTTTAAGCTATCGGTTTCTCTTAATAGATCGCATCGCTCCTTATCCCAAGTCCGCTTTTCGCTCTCCAGGCGCTTAATTCGTTCTTCACCTTCTAACATCCGTTGTTCATAATTCTGAATAAATTCTCTAAGTTCTGTTTCCTTTACCTCCAATATTCCATAAACCTGCTTCATTTGATTAAGTAAATCCATTTTTTCCGTTTTCAAACGTTTCCTTTCCATTTTCATACAAGAAATCGTTTCTTTAGCTCGAGCAATTTCGAGTTCACAAGAATGGAGCCTTTGCCGAAGCTGATCTAAGTCTGTGTTTCCATTTCTCCATTCATTGAGTTCTCTGGTTAAAAACTCGTTTTCACACCGTAATCTATCATTGTCTTCTTTATAATCTTCTACTATACTCTTAGACGATCCAGCACCATCAGTTTTCGTTTCAGTAGTTAATTTATTGCTCGCCAGCTCCGACAGCCTCTTGTCTTGATCTCTAAGTTCTGCCTTCAAATATTCCACCTCCCGATTAACCGCAGTGAGAGAACTGTTGATTTTAGAAGCAATAACAAGTTTTTCCTCCCTCATTCGTTTGCTCTCACCCTCTGCCTGTTCCATCAAGCGCCGCATAACACTCAAGCAATCTATTAAATCGTCCTGCTTTTTCACGAGTGGTCGTGTGACGGAACTGCCACTGTCAGTACTTTCTCCGGAGATCGTACTACTAAAAGATAGGGAGCGAACCCTTTCTTTGAGCTTGTCGACTTCAGCCATGGCCTCTATCGGTGTCAAAGAAAACTTGCGTTCCTTGGCGGGAGAGGCATCTGTTTTTCCCTCACTGTTTACGTCCGCCATATTTGATTTGTGTGACACTAAGCACCAGAGGTCACAAAGACGAAATTTTTGGACGCCAGACGGTAGCCTCACTTCGATGGAACAATGTTTTATTCCACCTACCCCATCCTTACTGCACTTTAATCTTTCACGGTAGTATCAATTCGAAAATTCTTCGTTGAATGGCATTGTGAAAGAAGTTAAAAAAGTCTTCCAACAATTTCATCCTCTGTCATTATTTTCTTCACATTGCTTACTATGTAGACTGATGAAAGCGACTGAACTCTATTCGCGAGTATTTCCTCCCAAAAGGTTTCCATATGAGACTTTTCTTATATGCGTCCTTTGTTATCAGTTTACAGCATTGTTTTTTTTCTTCTTTAACTTGAGTTATGGTAAGCGTTAATCAGGGTTTAATTTTATTTGATTCCCCTCATCATTTATCAAAAAGAGGAGGTGACAATCATAATTTAGAACGGCAGAATAAGGATTTTCATGAAATAACGACAATCTCTTTATTGCGTTTTCCTTTTGGGGAGCAAAAATTAGTAGACGAGTCACTATTCATCATAGGCATAGAAATTTCAAGGAATTTTTGTTTAGATCTTATTCTCCGCCAGTCCAGACCCTGTGTGAAAATACTCGACCCTACAAAAGGCAGCTAGTGAAGGACCCATAGAGAAAACGCGCAGAATAAAATGTGCTGTGGAATTATCACCATTGGATATGCAATGGGCGACAGAAAGGAAGAGAGATATTAACAGATTTAGAAGACTTATTCTTTCCAACCAGAAAAAGTTGAGCCAATAACGGCAGATATGCCGAAGAGAAATCTACCAGTAGTAACTTTAGATCGCAAACAAGGCAGTTGTTCAAAAGACACTTCAGTTGTTAATATACGACATATGACATTTCAATAAACTTTATTTATTCTAATTCTGGCTAGATGATAATCATGCTTCACAAAGTTACCTTACCCACTCCCACTAGAAAAAGACAAAATCCCATTCAAAAGAGAAAACTGTTGTCCCTTTCCCCGTCCCCAAGTCCCTATTTGACCGGTCTAGCTATTTCTTGAGGTGTTGATTGAGCTTCAGTCACATCCACCCTTCTTCGGGCAGCATCTGTAGCGGACCTAGAACCAGAAAAAACATCGAAGTTATTAAATCTAGAACTCCGCATTCACCTGGGTATTTGTTTTCAAATATAGTACGAAAGGAGAATCCCTAACTACAAAGCATCTTTCCAAAATCTTAAAGCTTAGGCGATTGATTGAAAGAGGTCGCTTAATTAACCATTATCGTTTACTTATTTTCTTTTGATATAATGTAGGTGAAAGCATATCGGTTTGCTCTTCCACTTTTTCAAATTCAAAATCAAATATTTCTTTATCAACCTCTAAATATTTCTTGGTACCCCAGCAAGCATCCCCAAATTTGGCGACAGTGGCATCAAGAAGGCAATGTTCCTTGTCTTGACAATATTGCTTGGCAATAGCCTTGGAGGCCACTTGATGCTGGCAGGCTTGGTTCCAGGAAAATATTCCAAAGAAACCGTCACCACAGATGTGAGCACCCTTGAGACGGCCAAAGTTTGCCCATACGATGTCGATATTGCGTCTCTCAGGACATTCGAGTGACATTTTGTGATTTTCACATACGCGAGCTCTCTTGGTGTCATCTGGTATAATCCGGCCGATACACCTGTATTTGACCAATGGGAACAAAATGTATACAATGCGTTTACTGATGCTATCAATAAAAACCTCATCATCTAGTTTTAGGTCTCTTTTTGAAAAGTCCATGATACTCAACTTGTTCTGAGTTTCTCACTCCGCAGTGATAAATCGAAATGTTTTGTTCAGGTTCCTATGAATTCTTTTTGGTCTGGCCACAAACATTTTAGTTATCTAATAACGTTTACGCGTACTGAGCCGGAGGAGTTTGCAATTTCTTAGGCGACACTTTTACAATGAATAAATTCGTGTTCACTAAGTTCAGTCCACAGAGACACTTCTAATGTACAAGGCACATGCACCCTTGAAAAAATATTTAGTAAATAAACTGGTCTCTTAAGGCGACTGCTATGTCGGCTGATAATGTCCGCGGTTAAAAGATTGTCCCGAAAATGAATATTTGGCAGAGAAGCGAAGCTTGAGGGCAAATGTGAAATTGAATGTGCAAATGTTTTTTTTGTTTTTTCCAGAGTAGTATTTGAGATTAGCTTTATTTGAAATGGCTCTTTAACCCTTTGCGTACCAAGTGGCCATATATGGCCACTTAAATACAGACCCCATTCGGGCGGCCTGAAAAGAGCACTTTGAGGGGCTGGAAACTAATACTACATTTCAATGTATATTACATATAGTCGTTAATTAGTTTTTTCGAGGATTTCTTCCATCGAGCTTGTTTTTGGGCGAATTTTGAGGCTTTTTGTGATTTAGACGTTTTGAACGGGGAGATTTAAAAATGGCGGCTCTTGAAGGTGATGCTGAACTACATTTCGACGATCAAAACAATGTTGAAATTCAATTTATCGACGAAGAAGACTTGCCTTTAGCGAATTTCATCGAGCATCGAGCCTCTGATGAGGAATTTTACTCTAGTGCATCGGAATCAAGCTCTGACGATTCTAGCGAAGAGTTGGAAGAGGAAGATCACACTGACAACGAAGTGGAATTGGATGAAGAAGATTGGTCTAGAGAAATTGGACGCAGAGTAGATATTGAGTTTAGTGAAGAACCTGAAATAAATGTCACTACAAGAAACCTGAAATCGTGTTTGGATTTTTTGGAGCTGTTTTTCACACAAGAGGTATGGCAGTTGTTAGTTAGTCAGACTAATTTATATGCAGAACAGAAGAGAGGGCCAACAGAAAGCTCTGTTTGGTATCCAGTCACAGAAAGTGAAATGAAGGCCTGGATTAGTCTGTACCTAAATATGGGGCTGGTTACTAAACCGAACCTTAGTTCTTACTGGAGTACTGATCCTGTCCTAAGTTCTCCTTTCTTCCCATCCGTGATGTCCCGAACTCGATTCCTACAAATTTTGCGGTATCTGCACTTTGCTGACAACACCCTTGCTCCCCCACGCGACTCCGCAGACTACAATAAGCTGTACAAAATCCAGCCTTTCCTAGATTTGGTCATAGCAAGGTTTCAGGAAGTGTACACCCCTGAGCGGCAACTTGCCATAGATGAGACTTTAATTAAGTTCAAAGGCAAAGTGCATTTCAGACAGTTTATCCCTATAAAGCCAGGAAGATTTGGAATAAAGGCTTTCACACTTGCAGAATCCACCAGTGGCTATGTGTTGAACAGCAAGATTTATACTGGCAAGGAGAATAATGAAGTTCAGAAAGACTTAGGAAGGAAGGCAGTTATGTCTGTGTTGCAACCTTATCTAGATAAGGGATTTTATGCCTTCATGGACAATTATTATACTTCTGTTGCTTTGTTTGAAGAGTTAGAAGAAAGAAAAACCCTTGCATGTGGCACAGTTCGGGCCAACAGGGTAGCCTTACCAAGAGAGATTTGTGGTGTGAAGGAAAAAGCAGTGAAAGATCTTAAAAGAGGAGAGGTACAGGCAAAAGGGAAATTTGACTTGCGTGACATGGCGTGACAGGAAGCCAGTTAGTGTGTTAGCTACCCTTCCCACCAGTACAATGGACTCGAGCCCAGTTCAGCGGTCAGTAAAAGTAAATGGGAAGTGGGAGAAGAAGCAATTTTCTAGACCAGGTGTTATTGACCTCTACAACACCTATATGGGTGGTGTAGATGTGTCTGACCAGCTTAACTGTCGCATATGCCAGACTTATGAAGGGGTCAGTCTGGTATTACAAAGTGTTTTTTTATTTGATAGAGGTGTGTGTATCAAATGCACACATTCTCCACACCAAATCCCAGAATCATGCCAGTCTAAGAGCACTGCAGTTCAGAAAGGAGCTGGTCAGCACATTAGTTCAAGGCAAGTGCTTTCAAGAGAGACACGGGATTTGTGGAAACTCCTGTTGCTATCCCTGACATAAGATTCAACCGGATCATTTCCATTACCCTGTGAGCAATGAAACAAGATTAACTTGCAAGGTCCATATCCAGAAAGTGAAAACAATATACAGCTGTGCAATTTGTGGTGTTAGAATGTGCCCTGAGCCTTGTTTTCAAAGGTACCACACGTTCGAGACTTTTACTATGATGATGAAAGTCGAAATGGTCCCCGTCGGCTAAAAAAGAAGGAAGAGGGAGGCCATATCAAAGAGGAAGAAGAAGATCATTAAGAAATTAACTCTTGGTTAATGTGAGAGCATAGTTTTGTGCAAGTGTGGTACATAACTATTGGCTATATAACCGATAAAGAAACTGTTTGCATCTTTTGAATATTTCTTATTTCATTTATATTTTACTCAATTTTTACTTTATGAAAGGCAATTATTAATCTGTCTTAAATTCTCTAAAAGGAGGGTTATTGCCCTAATTAATATTTCTTACCTTTTGAAATTGTGTTAAAAGGTGATTAGAATTTCCAGTAAGAAACCAAAAGTTGGAATTGTTTGTTTAGAGCTGGTGATTTCAAAGTTCCTTTAGAAATTTGCATAATTATGCAAATTATGCTTATTGTGACGTCACAATTTTGACATGTGTCAATTTCTATAATTGTTGTGAAAGTATATTTTTAATGCACTTCCCAAATATATATAGTTTTATAGGGTTTTGTTGTAAAGAGCAGGCTTGACAAGCATTCTTGTATAATGTACTCATTTTTGTGACAAATAAATACCACCCCCCTTGGTATACAAAGGGTTAACTGGACTCTACAAAACGAGTTGGTTTTTCTTCCCTGTAAAGTAACAAAGATGAAAGAGTGACACTCAAGCTGGCTTTTTCAACTAGGTTTGTTTCTATTCGAAGAAGAGTAACGTAAATGAGGGCTCTTACGTCATAAATATCTAGTGATTTTGTTCCACGTGACGTAAAGTAGCCAATAGAGTCGTAATAACATTAATGCTGAGTCATAAACATAGATAAAAACATAAATGCATATACAATATATATATATATATATATACACACGAGAACAAATGTGTTGAAAGTTTGTTACGAGTGCAGAACAGAAAAACACTTCTTAGTCCTATTTAAAGAGATAAATCACAGACATTTGGGTTTAAGAGCAAAAAATTATTTTTTCGAAAACCGTACGTAAAAATAAACGATTATTTACCGTGAGATATTTCTTCGTTCCGAAGCACGGGTCTCCGTATTCTGCGTTGTTGGCATGCAACTCGCATTCGGACAGGGTTTCACATTCATTTTTAACAATAGCCAATGTATTAGCTGCGCGGCAGTTGACATTCCATAACCAAGCAACCGTCCAATCCAATCCCCACTGACACACGGAGCGGTCTGTTCTTCCATAGACTGCAGAAATGATCTGAATCTTTTGATGTGTGCACCTGATTTTTTGCTTCCCTCCTTCACAAACAAGGGCGCTTCTTACTGTGAAAAACAGGAGAAATACATATACCAGCTACAGACTGAGATTGTATAAAAAAGCCCCTAAAGGTCAACCAAGCTAAATTGCATCAAAGCAGTCACTGCTTTGATGCAATTTAGCTCGGTTGACCTGCGTTTCTCAAACTGACCAGCTTCATTCGTAACTTAACGCGTGTTGCTTGTCCTTGTCTTCAACGTTTACTGTTAGTAATTTTGATGTCATGTTCCCGGTGCCATCACTCTCCTCTCCATGGTGGAAGAATATTATGATTATCTCTGGCGACTTACATCAAGATTGACACGCTCATGGTTGATCATCTTAGAAAGTCTTTTTGATAAAAACTTCTTATTTTCGTTACTTGGATTGAAACTTGCGCACAAGTCCTTAAGGATAATTACGTAATCAAACCGTGATCTCAATATTTGAAGAGGTCCTCATAATTTTCTAATAAAAATTATTTGACGGAATCAGTTTAGATACTTTATGGGTTGACTTTATAACACGTACAATAGGAAAAATGTTCCATAACTTTGCACAGGCATATGAGGGCCCGATAATCATAGGTGCCCGATGAGGGTTAGTAATATTAAAGGCGAGATGCGGGATGAAAATAGGAAGGTACGAACGGGATATGCTCTGTTTCGAAGCGGGATAGGATGGTCGTAGCCGAGATCATAATTCAGCTCAAGTTATTGGCTACACGACCTAAGATACATCAAAAAGTATTTATTTGCTTTATAAACGGGCTTAAATTAGTAATCCCAATAAACCGCGTATGAAATGACACAGCCTACGTGTCGCTGAGATTTTCTTTGGCTTCAACACGTATTTTAACGCATTTTAAAGCTCGGTTTTGCCTCATGAGAGTTATGAGAAATGAGAGTACATTATCAATATTATGATGACTATAATTTGTCCACCAGTTTAAATACGGCGGTGAACTTGAACAACATGGGCAGGGATCGGCGGCATAGAATAAAAGGCGGGATCGGGATGAAAATGTTCATTGCGGTGGGATGGCGGAATGGAATGAAAAATTGCGGCGCGACACGGAATTGACAAAGTCTCTTTTGGAGCCTCGCATATTATAACTGATTTAGATCCTCCTCTTCGAATGCAGCTAAGATATAACATATTCAAGTACTTGCCTTCTTGTGTAGGCCAAGCTTGTGTATAACAGAAGGTTGAAGACAATAAGAGAACTGCTAAGTACATCCTCATTGCAGTAGTAAATTCGACCTATAAGAGATGAAATAAGGTATGATTGATCAATTTTGCTTCAATAGAAATGATGACTCACGAAAATCAGTTCAGTGGCCACGAGTTGTTCTTTACTTGATAGGATAAAGCAGTTGATATTCAGAGATACGTCTGTTTGGTTACCTGACCAGAGTGAATCTGTTCCCCTTACAGAGTCTCTCTTTACTATCTTTGTTTTTTTCTTCCAATGATTTTTGTCCATGCCTTAATAGGCATGGACAAACATATTCATATTCAATATTCATATCATGATTAATTATTGTTCTCCCTGCTGAGCGCATTGAATTTTGTTTATGTTTAAATTGTGCATTTTATGTTTAAATTGTATTTGTATTTTTAAAAACAAACGTCTGTCGGCTTTCTTTTTGACAAATCACTTTTCCACAACCATGTGGTTCAAGAGAAGTTTCCTGCTAGTGAAATGTACAAATTCTCTGATCTTACCAAATTTAACCATAGATAGTTAGAACTGACTCGTTTTTAGGATTCGTCGCTATTGGCAATCCTTTTCTGTTTGGCTTGGTTCATATTTATCATTCACTGATCACCTTCTCTCTCCTGCCATGTTGAGTGACATGTTGTTATACCTGGTTTGTAAGGACCTCCTCACTTTTGATTTAATGAAAATTGTTTCTTGAAAGTTACCACATTACTATGGAACTCTTTCGTTTTTTATTTTGGCAGTACACACGATTATACACGAATTAATGTTAACTGATGGCGATATGTACAAATTTTGTAACGTAACTGAAAAACAATTTGCCTTTGATGGTAACAGACAGGTAGCTCGTTCAATTTCTTTCTCCAATAAATTTATACGTCCTGAAATTATTTGTCATAGATCACAGTTCACCTTCGTCCTACACTGCGCTGAGTGACATACATGTTGTTTTGCCTGGTTTAGAGATGTTTGCAGACTTAGTTTCTTTACTATGCAATTAGATTAGGTATGATTATGAAGGAAATTGCTCTTTGGGAGTCGCAATTGCTATTGAATGCTTTTACTGAAATTTCTTTCGAATTTGCAATTGATGAGGATATGGAGCAAAATTTGAACCAAATGATAAATTTCAACATGATTTTTATTCAGTCTGGTGTAGAAATAACCTCTATTTTTAGATCCTTAGACAGTGTGGTCGTCGGAAAAATTTTTCTACCTTCAACTTAAACTAAGACCTTACATTAGCCTTAGTTTAGGGTAAAAGACAGAAAGAACTGAAGAGATTTACGAAATTGAACGTTCTTAACCCAGTCTTCTGTTCATGTCTACTTCTGATAACAAATTATGTCGACTATCTCATCTTTTGGTTCATAGAGAAAGTTGTCCCAAAATATTTTAATATTACTTTTTGTGCTACCAAGTATGGGCACTTATGTCGAACTTGCGGTAATCATGGATTAGGATATTAGTTTTACAACGGGTGAAACATACCACTCGTCAGGGAATCAATCAGAGTTTGAATTTTAAAAGAACTAAAAGGAACACTGCTGTGATAAACACGATTTGGAAATACAATTTTGTAAAATTGACGTTAAGAAACGTAAAGTTTAATACTTCCAATCAAAAGCTTTCAAAACTAAGGCATGAAGAACAAAACTTATGAAAAATGAAAATGTAACTGCCGTAAAATTTCATAACGTAAAAATGAAAACAATATTCTATTTTGAAAGAATTGAATATCAGTTGCTATGACCATATCTACATCTGATTCGTTTGTGTAGGTAGTGTTAGATCTTTGCCTGTCACTAACGCATTCCCAGAGTCAGTAATAGGGTTTGTGTGCGGCATGCACCACGCGTGGAATGAGATGTTCGAACCCTTTCCACAGAGTTTCAAGTGGCTTACATGTACTTTCTTTCTAGCTGAAAAGCGTCTTTCAGTTTCCCCAATGAAGCTCGAAGGACAGGGTGTGCGGCAAGGAAATGCTTTTTCAATTTTAGCTTTCAGTGTTATTAACATAGACTGGAAACCGAAAGCTCCTCGTTTATTAAAAATTTCTTGAGGAAGAACGGGTTTTTCGCAAATATAAACTTTGACTAGGTTGCTGACCCACTTTTGAGTTTTTCATTAGACTCAAGGCTGCGTCAAAGGCTGACTCGAAGGCTGCCTCAAAGACTCTAATCCGGTTACTTAGATTCAATATGGATCTATTGAATAAAATTACCAGTGGCAATGATGTTTTGCGAAATGCTCGTTCCTTTTGTGTTACGCAAATAATGTCCATGGAAAAGGTCCATAGCAATCACGAATTTCTAGGAAATATTTGCTTCATGCTAATGAATGAAATTGTTTTTCCCTTACTGGTTACGTCCGCCATATTTGATTTGTGTGATACTAGAGTAAGCACCAGAGGTCACAAAGACGAAATTTTTAGAAGCCAGACGGTAGCCTCACTTCAATGGAACCATGACTTACCCCACCTACCCCATCCTTATTGCACTTTAATCTTCCACGGTGGTCTTTAAATTAAAAAATTCTTCGTTAAATGGAATCGTGAGAATCGTTCAAAGAATCTTCACAACAATTTCATCCTCTGTCATTACTGATTTTCTTCACATTGCTTACAATGTAGGCTGATGAAAGCGACTAAATTCTATTCGCGAGTATTTCCTCCAAAAAGGTTTCCATATGAGACTTTTCTCCTATGTTTCCCTTGGTATCAGTTTACAGCATTTTTTTTTCTCTTCTTCAACATTTTTCTTCCCCCTTCATTTTATTTGATTCCCCTCGACATTTATCAAAAAGAGGTGACAATCATAAATTAGAACGGCAGAGTAGGGATTTTTATGAAATAACGACAATCTTTTTCGTGCGTTTTCCTTTTGGGGAGCAAAAATTAGTAAACGAGTCAGTGTTCATAATTGGCATAGAAATTTCAAGGATTTTTTGACTAGGTTTGATTCTTCGCCAGTCCAGACAGTGTAAAAATACTCGACCCCACAAAAGGCAGCTAGTGAAGGACCCATAAGGAAAACGCGCAGAATAAAATGTGCTGTGGAATTATCATCATCGGATATGCAAAGGGCGACAGAAAGGAAGAGAGAAATTAATAGATTTAGAAGACTTATTCTTTCCAATCAGAAAAAGTTGAGCCAATGACGGCAGATATGCCAGAGAGAAATCTACCAGTAAGTAAGTTTAGATCGCAAACGAAGCAGTTGTTCAAAAATGAGACACTTCAGTTGTTAGTATATGACATGTGATATGTCAATAAACTTTATCTATTCTGATTCTCGCTGTATGATAATCATGCCTCTTAAAGTTACCTTACCCACTCCCACTAGAAAAAAACAAAAACCCAGACAAAAGAGAAAACCGTCGTCCCTTTCCCCGTCCCCAAGTCCCTATTTGACCGGTCTAGCTATTTCTTGAGGTGTTGATTGAGCTTCAGTCACATCCACCCTTCTTCGGGCAGCATCTGTAGCGGACCTAGAACCAGAAAAAAACATAGAAGTTATTAAATCTAGAAATCCACATTCACCTGGGCATTTGTTTTCAAATATAGTACGAAAGGGGAATCCCTAACCACAAAGCATCTTTCCAAAATCTTAAAGGTTAGGCGATTGATTGAAAGAGGTCGCTTAATTAACCATTATCGTTTACTTATTTTCTTTTGATATAATGTAGGTGAAAGCATATCGGTTTGCTCTTCCACTTTATTCAAATTCAAAATCAAATATTTCTTTACCAACCTCTAGATATTTCTTGGTACCCCAGCAAGCGTCCCCAAATTTGGCAACGGTGGCATCAAGAAGGCAATGTTCCTTGTCTTGACAATATTGCTTGGCAATAGCCTTGGAGGCCACTTGATGCTGGCAGGCTTGGTTCCAGGAAAATACTCCAAAGAAACCATCGCCACAGATGTGAGCACCCTTGAGACGGCCAAAGTTTGCCCATACGATGTCGATATTACGTCTCTCAGGACATTCGATTGACATCTTGTGATTTTCACATACGCGAGCTCTCTTGGTGTCATCTGGTGTAATCCGGCCGATACACCTGTATTTGACCTATAGGAACAAAATGTATACAATGAGTTTACTGATGCTATCAATAAAACCTCATCATCTAGTTTTAGGTCTCTTTTTGAGTTTCTGAGTTTCTCACTCCGCAGTGATAAATCGAAATGTTTTGTTCAGGTTCCTATGAATTTTTGGTCTGGCCACAAACATTTTAGCTATGTAGTAACGTTTACACGTACTGAGCCGGAGGAGTTTGCAATTTCTTAGGCGACACTTTTACAATGAATAAATTTGTGTTCACCAAGTTCAGTCCACAAAGACACTTCTAATGTATAAGGCACATGCACCCGTGAAAAAATATTTAGTAAATAAACCGGTCTCTTCAGGCGACTGCTATGTCGGCTGATAATGTCCGCGGTTAAAAGATTGTCCCAAAAATGAATATTTGGCAGAGAAGCGAAGCTTGAGGGCAAATGTGAAATTGAATGTGCAAATGTTTTTTTTGTTTTTTCCAGAGTAGTATTTGAGATTAGCTTTATTTGAAATGGCTCTTTAACTGGACTCTACAAAACGAGTTGGTTTTTCTTCCCTGTAAAGTAACAAAGATGAAAGAGTGACACTCAAGCTGGCTTTTTCAACTAGGTTTGTTTCTATTCGAAGAAGAGTAACGTAAATGAGGGCTCTTACGTCATAAATATCTAGTGATTTTGTTCCACGTGACGTAAAGTAGCCAATAGAGTCGTAATAACATTAATGCTGAGTGATAGACAGATAAAAACATAAATGCATATACAATATATATATATATTATAAGTTTGTTACGAGTGCGGAACAGAAAAACACTTCTTAGTCCTATTTAAAGAGATAAATCACAGACCTTTGGGTTTAAGAGCAACAAATTATTTTTTCGAAAACCGTACGTAAAAATAAACGATTATTTACCGTGAGATATTTCTTCGTTCCGAAGCACGGGTCTCCGTATTCTGCGTTGCTGGCATGCAACTCGCATTCGGACAGGGTTTCACATTCATTTTTAACAATAGCCAATGTATTAGCTGCGCGGCAGTTGACATTCCATAACCAAGCAACCGTCCAATCCAATCCCCACTGACACATGGAGCGGTCTGTTCTTCCATAGACTGCAGAAATGATCTGAATCTTTTGATGTGTGCACCTGATTTTTTGCTTCCCTCCTTCACAAACAAGGGCGCTTCTTACTGTGAAAAACAGGAGAAATACATATACCAGCTACAGACTGAGATTGTATAAAAAAGCCCCTAAAGGTCAACCAAGCTAAATTGCATCAAAGCAGTCACTGCTTTGATGCAATCTAGCTCGGTTGACCTGCGTTTCTCAAACTGACCAACTTCATTCGTAACTTAAAGCGTGTTGCTTGTCCTTGTCTTCAACGTTTACTGTTAGTAATTTTGATGTCATGTTCCCGGTGCCATCACTCTCCTCTCCATGGTGGAGGAATATTATGATTATCTCTGGCGACTTACATCAAGATTGGCACGCTCATGGTTGATCATCTTAGAAAGTCTTTTTGATAAAAAACTTCTTATTTTCGTTGCTTGGATTGAAACTTGCGCACAAGTCCTTAAGGATAATTACGTAATCAAACCGTGATTTCAATATTTGAAGAGGTCCTCATAATTTTCTGATAAAAATTATTCGATGGAATCATTTTAGACACTTTATGGGTTGACTTTATAACACGCACAATAGGAAAAATGTTCCATAACTTTGCACAGGCATATGAGGGCCCGATAATCATAGGTGCCCGATGAGGGTTAGTAATATTAAAGGCGAGATGCGGGATGAAAATAGAAGGGTACGAACGGGATATGCTCTGTTTCGAAGGCGGAATAGGATGGTCATAGCCGAGATCAAAATTCAACTCAAGTTATGGGTTACACGACCTAAGAAACATCAAAAAGTATTTATTTGCTTTATAAACGGGCTTAAATTAGTAATCCAAATAAACCGCGTATGAAATGGCACAGCCTACGTGTCGCCGAGATTTTCTTTGGCTTCAACACGTATTTTAACGCATTTTAAAGGTCGGTTTTGCCTCATAAGAGTTATGAGAAATAAGAGTACATTATCAATATTATGATGACTATAATTTGTCCACCAGTTTAAATACGGCGGTGAACTTGAACAACATGGGCAGGGATCGGCGGCATAGAATAAAAGACGGGATCGGGATGAAAATGTTCATTGCGGTGGGATGGCGGAATGGAATGAAAAATTGCGGTGCGACAAGGAATTGACAAAGTCTATTTTTGAGCCTCGCATATTAGAACTGATTTAGATCCTCCTCTTCGAATGCGGCTAAGATATAACATATTCAAGTACTTGCCTTCTTGTGTAGGCCAAGCTTGTGTATAACAGAAGGTTGAAGACAATAAGAGAACCACTAAGTATATCCTCATTGCAGTAGTAAATTCGACCTATAAGAGATGAAATAAGGTATGATTGATCAATTTTGCTTCAATAGAAATGATGACTCACGACAATCAGTTCAGTGGCCACGAGTTGTTCTTTACTTGATAGGATAAAGCAGTTGATATTCAGCGATACGCCTGTTTGGTTTTCTGACCAAAGTGAATCTGTTCCCCTTACAGAGTCTCTCTTTACTATCTTTGTTTTTTTCTTCCAATGATTTTTGTCCATGCCTATTACATCATGATTAATAGTTGTACTCACTGGTGAGCGCATTTAATTTTGTTTATGTTTAAATTGTGCAAATAAGTTATACCTTGTATTTGTATTTAAACAAACGTCTGTCGGCTTTCCTTTTCACAAATCACTTTTCCACAACCATGTGGTTCAAGAGAATTTCCTGCCAGTGAAATGTACAAATTCTCTGACCTTACCAAATTTAACCATAGATAGTTAGAACTCACTCGTTTTTAGGATTCGTTGCCATTGGCAATCCTTTTCTGTTCGGCTTGGTTCATATTTGTCATTCAAAGATCACCTTCTCTCCCCTGCCATGTTGAGTGACATGTTGTTATACCTGGTTTGTAAGGATCTCCTCGCTTTTGATTTAATGAAAATTGTTTATTGAAAGTTGCCACATTACTATGGAACTCTTTCGTTTTTTATTTTGGCTTTTCACACGATTATACACGAATGAATGTTAATTGATGGCGTTATGTACAAATTTTGTAACGTAACCGAAAAACAATTTGCCTTTGATGGTAACAGACAGGTAGCTCGTTCAATTTCTTTCTCCAAGAAATTTATACGTCCTGAAATTATTTGTCATAGATCACAGTTCACCTTCGTCCTACACTACGCTGAGTGACATACATGTTGTTATTTCTGGTTTAGAGATGTTTGCAGACTTAGTTTCTTTACTATGCAATTAGATTAGGTATGATTATGAAGGAAATTGCTCTTTGGGAGTCGCAATTGCTATTGAATGCTTTTACTGAAATTTCTTTCGAATTTGCAATTGATGAGGATATGGAGCAAAATTTGAACCAAATGATAAATTTCAACATGATTTTTATTCAGTCTGGTGTAGAAATAACCTCTATTTTTAGAAATGATTATTCAGTAAAATGTACACGCCACACTCGACCAAACGCAAAACGGGAATTCGTCTATTCGTACTGGTATATTTTCCGTTGAACCACTTTTGTTGATCACGGGCTTTAAGGGGAAAAAACTGAGGCAGTTATGCTTTGCGGGAGGTCCTACGCTGATCCAAGGTAATAACACGGGTAACAAAGAAGACGATCCTCAGGCGGCGTGGTCGTCGGAAAAATTTTTCTACCTTCCATATTCCTTACATAGTTATTCTATAGAAACACAACTTAAACTAAGACCTTAGATTAGCCTTAGTTTAGGGTAAAAGACAGAAAGTACTGAAGAGATTTACGAAATTGAACGTTCTCAACCCAGTCTTCTGTTCATGTCTATTTCTGATAACAAATTATGCCGACTATCTCATATTTTGGTTCATAGAGAAAGTTGTCCCAAAATATTTTGATATTACTTTTTGTGCTACCAAGTATGAGCACTTATGTCGAACTTACGGTAATCATGGATTAGGTTATTAGATTTACAACGGGTGAAACATACCGCTCGTCAGGTTTGAATTTTAAAAGAACTAAAAGGAACACTGCTGTGACAAACACGATTTGGAAATACAATTTTGTAAAATTGACGTTAAGAAACGTAAAGTTTAACACTTCCAATCAAAAGCTTTCAAAACTAAGGCATGAAGAACAAAATTTATGAAAAATGAAAATGTAACTGCCGTAAAATTTCATAACGTAAAAATGAAAACAATATTCTATTTTGAAAGAATTGAATATCAGTTGCTATGACCATATCTACATCTGATTCGTTTGTGTAGGCAGTGTTAGGGTCTTTGCCTGTCACTAACGCATTCCCAAAGTCAGTAATAGGGTTTGTGTGCGGCATGCCCCACGCGTGGAATGAGATGTTCGAGCCCTTTCCACAGAGTTTCAAGTGGCTTACATGTACTTTCTTTCTAGCTGAAAAGCGTCTTTCAGTTTCCCCAATGAAGCTCGAAGGACAGGGTGTGCGGCAAGGAAATGCTTTTTCAATTTTAGCTTTCAGTGTTATTAACATAGACTGGAAACCGAAAGCTCCTCGTTTATTAAAAATTTCTTGAGGAAGAACGGGTTTTTCGCAAATATAAACTTTGACTGGGTTGCCGGACCCACTTTTGAGTTTTTCATTAGACTCAAGGCTGCGTCAAAGGCTGACTCGAAGGCTGCCTCAAAGACTCTAATCCGGTTACTTAGATTCAATATGGATCTATTGAATAAAATTACCAGTGGCAATGATGTTTTGCGAAATGCTCGTTCCTTTTGTGTTACGCAAATAATGTCTATGGAAAAGGTCCATAGCAATCACGAATTTCTAGGAAATATTTGCTTCATGCTAATGAATGAAATTGTTTTTCCCTTACTGGTTACGTCCGCCATATTTGATTTGTGTGATACTAGAGTAAGCACCAGAGGTCACAAAGACGAAATTTTTAGAAGCCGGACTGTAGCCTCACTTCAATGGAACCATGACTTACCCCACCTACCCCATCCTTATTGCACTTTAATCTTCCACGGTGGTCTTTAAATTAAAAATTCTTCGTTAAATGGAATCGTGAGAATCGTTCAAAGAATCTTCACAACAATTTCATCCTCTGTCATTACTGATTTTCTTCATTGCTTACAATGTAGGCTGATGAAAGCGACTAAATTCTATTCATGAGTATTTCCTCCAAAAAGGTTTCCATATGAGACTTTTCTCCTATGTTTCCCCCTTAGTATCAGTTTACAGCATTTTTTTTTTTCTCTTCTTCAACATTTTTCTTCCCCTTCATTTTATTTGATTCCCCTCGACATTTATCAAAAAGAGGTGACAATCATAAATTAGAACGGCAGAGTAGGGATTTTTATGAAATAACGACAATCTTTTTTCGTGCGTTTTCCTTTTGGGGAGCAAAAATTAGTAAACGAGTCAGTGTTCATAATTGGCATAGAAATTTCAAGGATTTTTTGACTAGGTTTGATTCTTCGCCAGTCCAGACTCAGTGTAAAAATACTCGACCCCACAAAAGGCAGCTAGTGAAGGACCCATAAGGAAAACGCGCAGAATAAAATGTGCTGTGGAATTATCATCATCGGATATGCAAAGGGCGACAGAAAGGAAGAGAGAAGTTAATAGATTTAGAAGACTTATTCTTTCCAATCAGAAAAAGTTGAGCCAATGACGGCAGATATGCCAGAGAGAAATCTACCAGTAAGTAAGTTTAGATCGCAAACGAAGCAGTTGTTCAAAAATGAGACACTTCAGTTGTTAGTATATGACATGTGATATGTCAATAAACTTTATCTATTCTGATTCTCGCTGTATGATAATCATGCCTCTTAAAGTTACCTTACCCACTCCCACTAGAAAAAAACAAAAACCCAGACAAAAGAGAAAACCGTCGTCCCTTTCCCCGTCCCCAAGTCCCTATTTGACCGGTCTAGCTATATCTTGAGGTGTTGATTGAGCTTCAGTCACATCCACCCTTCTTCGGGCAGCATCTGTAGCGGACCTAGAACCAGAAAAAACATCGAAGTTATTAAATCTAGAACTCCACATTCACCTGGGCATTTGTTTTCAAATATAGTGCAAAAGGGGAATCCCTAACCACAAAGCATCTTTCCAAAATCTTAAAGGTTAGGCGATTGATTGAAAGAGGTCGCTTAATTAACCATTATCGTTTACTTATTTTCTTTTGATGTAATGTAGGTGAAAGCATATCGGTTTGCTCTTCCACTTTATTCAAATTCAAAATCAAATATTTCTTTACCAACCTCTAGATATTTCTTGGTACCCCAGCAAGCGTCCCCAAATTTGGCAACGGTGGCATCAAGAAGGCAATGTTCCTTGTCTTGACAATATTGCCTGGCAATAGCCTTGGAGGCCACTTGATGCTGGCAGGCTTGGTTCCAGGAAAATACTCCAAAGAAACCATCGCCACAGATGTGAGCACCCTTGAGACGGCCAAAGTTTGCCCATACGATGTCGATATTACGTCTCTCAGGACATTCGATTGACATCTTGTGATTTTCACATACGCGAGCTCTCTTGGTGTCATCTGGTGTAATCCGGCCGATACACCTGTATTTGACCTATAGGAACAAAATGTATACAATGCGTTTACTGATGCTATCAATAAAACCTCATCATCTAGTTTTAGGTCTCTTTTTGAGTTTCTGAGTTTCTCACTCCGCAGTGATAAATCGAAATGTTTTGTTCAGGTTCCTATGAATTTTTGGTCTGGCCACAAACATTTTAGCTATGTAGTAACGTTTACACGTACTGAGCCGGAGGAGTTTGCAATTTCTTAGGCGACACTTTTACAATGAATAAATTCGTGTTCACCAAGTTCAGTCCACAAAGACACTTCTAATGTATAAGGCACATGCACCCGTGAAAAAATATTTAGTAAATAAACCGGTCTCTTCAGGCGACTGCTATGTCGGCTGATAATGTCCGCGGTTAAAAGATTGTCCCGAAAATGAATATTTGGCAGAGAAGCGAAGCTTGAGGGCAAATGTGAAATTGAATGTGCAAATGTTTTTTTTGTTTTTTCCAGAGTAGTATTTGAGATTAGCTTTATTTGAAATGGCTCTTTAACTAGACTCTACAAAACGAGTTGGTTTTTCTTCCCTGTAAAGTAACAAAGATGAAAGAGTGACACTCAAGCTGGCTTTTTCAACTAGGTTTGTTTCTATTCGAAGAAGAGTAACGTAAATGAGGGCTCTTACGTCATAAATATCTAGTGATTTTGTTCCACGTGACGTAAAGTAGCCAATAGAGTCGTAATAACATTAATGCTGAGTGATAGACAGATAAAAACATAAATGCATATACAATATATATATATATATAGGAGAACAAATGTGTTGAAAGTTTGTTACGAGTGCGGAACAGAAAAACACTTCTTAGTCCTATTTACAGAGATAAATCACAGACCTTTGGGTTTAAGAGCAACAAATTATTTTTTCGAAAACCGTACGTAAAAATAAACGATTATTTACCGTAAGATATTTCTTCGTTCCGAAGCACGGGTCTCCGTATTCTGCGTTGCTGGCATGCAACTCGCATTCGGACAGGGTTTCACATTCATTTTTAACAATAGCCAATGTATTAGCTGCGCGGCAGTTGACATTCCATAACCAAGCAACCGTCCAATCCAATCCCCACTGACACACGGAGCGGTCTGTTCTTCCATAGACTGCAGAAATGATCTGAATCTTTTGATGTGTGCACCTGATTTTTTGCTTCCCTCCTTCACAAACAAGGGCGCTTCTTACTGTGAAAAACAGGAGAAATACATATACCAGCTACAGACTGAGATTGTATAAAAAAGCCCCTAAAGGTCAACCAAGCTAAATTGCATCAAAGCAGTCACTGCTTTGATGCAATTTTGCTCAGTTGACCTGCGTTTCTCAAACTGACCAACTTCATTCGTAACTTAAAGCGTGTTGCTTGTCCTTGTCTTCAACGTTTAGTGTTAGTAATTTTGATGTCATGTTCCCGGTGCCATCACTCTCCTCTCCATGGTGGAGGAATATTATGATTATCTCTGGCGACTTACATCAAGATTGACACGCTCATGGTTGATCATCTTAGAAAGTCTTTTTGATAAAAACTTCTTATTTTCGTTGCTTGGATTGAAACTTGCGCACAAGTCCTTAAGGATAATTACGTAATCAGACCATGATTTCAATACTTGGAGAAGTCTTCATAATTTTCTGATAAAAATTATTTGACGGAATCAGTTTAGATACTTTATGGGTTGACTTTATAACACGCACAATAGGAAAAATGTTCCATAACTTTGCACAGGCATATGAGGGCCCGATAATCATAGGTGCCCGATGAGGGTTAGTAATATTAAAGGCGAGATGCGGGATGAAAATAGAAGGGTACGAACGGGATATGCTCTGTTTCGAAGGCGGGATAGGATGGTCGTAGCCGAGATCAAAATTCAACTCAAGTTATGGGTTACACGACCTAAGAAACATCAAAAAGTATTTATTTGCTTTATAAACGGGCTTAAATTAGTAATCCCAATAAACCACGTATGAAATGACAAAGCCTACGTGTCGCTGAGATTTTCTTTGGCTTCAACACGTATTTTAACGCATTTTAAAGCTCGGTTTTGCCTCATGAGAGTTATGAGAAATGAGAGTACATTATCAATATTATGATGACTATAATTTGTCCGCCAGTTTAAATACGGCGGTGAACTTGAACAACATGGGATCGGCGGCATAGAATAAAAGACGGGATCGGGATGAAAATGTTCATTGCGGTGGGATGGCGGAATGGAATGAAAAATTGCGGCGCGACAAGGAATTGACAAAGTCTATTTTTGAGCCTCGCATATTAGAACTGATTTAGATCCTCCTCTTCGAATGCGGCTAAGATATAACATATTCAAGTACTTGCCTTCTTGTGTAGGCCAAGCTTGTGTATAACAGAAGGTTGAAGACAATAAGAGAACCACTAAGTACATCCTCATTGCAGTAGTAAATTCGACCTATAAGAGATGAAATAAGGTATGATTGATCAATTTTGCTTCAATAGAAATGATGACTCACGACAATCAGTTCAGTGGCCACGAGTTGTTCTTTACTTGATAGGATAAAGCAGTTGATATTCAGAGATACGCCTGTTTGGTTACCTGACCAAAGTGAATCTGTTCCCCTTACAGTCTCTCTTTACTATCCTTGTTTTTTTCTTCCAATGATTTTTGTCCATGCCTATTACATCATGATTAATAGTTATACTCACTGGTGAGCGCATTTAATTTTGTTTATGTTTAAATTGTGCAAATAAGTTATACCTTGTATTTGTATTTAAACAAACTTCTGTCGGCTTTCCTTTTCACAAATCACTTTTCCACAACCATGTGGTTCAAGAGAATTTCCTGCCAGTGAAATGTACAAATTCTCTGACCTTACCAAATTTAACCATAGATAGTTAGAACTCACTCGTTTTTAGGATTCGTTGCCATTGGCAATCCTTTTCTGTTTGGCTTGGTTCATATTTGTCATTCAAAGATCACCTTCTCTCCCCTGCCATGTTGAGTGACATGTTGTTATACCTGGTTTGTAAGGATCTCCTCGCTTTTGATTTAATGAAAATTGTTTATTGAAAGTTGCCACATTACTATGGAACTCTTTCGTTTTTTATTTTGGCTTTTCACACGATTATACACGAATGAATGTTAATTGATGGCGTTATGTACAAATTTTGTAACGTAACCGAAAAACAATTTGCCTTTGATGGTAACAGACAGGTAGCTCGTTCAATTTCTTTCTCCAAGAAATTTATATGTCCTGAAATTATTTGTCATAGATCACAGTTCACCTTCGTCCTACACTGCGCTGAGTGACATACATGTTGTTTTGTCTGGTTTAGAGATGTTTGCAGACTTAGTTTCTCTACTATGCAATTAGATTAGGTATGATTATGAAGGAAATTGCTCTTTGGGAGTCGCAATTGCTATTGAATGCTTTTACTGAAATTTCTTTCGAATTTGCAATTGATGAGGATATGGAGCAAAATTTGAACCAAATGATAAATTTCAACATGATTTTTATTCAGTCTGGTGTAGAAATAACCTCTATTTCTAGAAATGATTATTCAGTAAAATGTACACGCCACACTCGACCAAACACAAAACGGGAATTCGTCTATTCGTACTGGTATATTTTCCGTTGAACCACTTTTGTTGATCACGGGCTTTAACGGGAAAAAACTGAGGCAATTATGCTTTGCGGGAAGTCCTACGCTGATCCAAGGTAATAACACGGGTAACAAAGAAGACGATCCTCAGGCAGTGTGGTCGTCGAAAAAATTTTTCTACCTTCCATATTCCTTACATAGTTATTCTATAGAAACACAACTTAAACTAAGACCTTAGATTAGCCTTAGTTTAGGGTAAAAGACAGAAAGAACTGAAGAGATTTACGAAATTGAACGTTCTTAACCCAGTCTTCTGTTCATGTCTATTTCTGATAACAAATTATGTCGACTATTTTGGTTCGAAGAGAAAGTTGTCCCAAAATATTTTGATATTACTTTTTGTGCTACCAAGTATGAGCACTTATGTCGAACTTACGGTAATCATGGATTAGGTTATTAGATTTACAACGGGTGAAACATACCACTCGTCAGGGAATCAATCAGAGTTTGAATTTTAAAAGAACTAAAAGGAACACTGCTGTGACAAACACGATTTGGAAATACAATTTTGTAAAATTGACGTTAAGAAACGTAAAGTTTAACACTTCCAATCAAAAGCTTTCAAAACTAAGGCATGAAGAACAAAATTTATGAAAAATGAAAATGTAACTGCCGTAAAATTTCATAACGTAAAAATGAAAACAATATTCTATTTTGAAAGAATTGAATATCAGTTGCTATGACCACATCTACATCTGATTCGTTTGTGTAGGCAGTGTTAGGGTCTTTGCCTGTCACTAACGCATTCCCAAAGTCAGTAATAGGGTTTGTGTTCGGCATGCCCCACGCGTGGAATGAGATGTTCGAGCCCTTTCCACAGAGTTTCAAGTGGCTTACATGTACTTTCTTTCTAGCTGAAAAGCGTCTTTCAGTTTCCCTAATGAAGCTCGAAGGACAGGGTGTGCGGCAAGGAAATGCTTTTGCAATTTTAGCTTTTAGTGTTATTAACATAGACTGGAAACCGAAAGCTCCTCGTTTATTAAAAATTTCTTGAGGAAGAACGGGTTTTTCGCAAATATAAACTTTGACTAGGTTGCTGACCCACTTTTGAGTTTTTCATTAGACTCAAGGCTGCGTCAAAGGCTGACTCGAAGGCTGCCTCAAAGACTCTAATCCGGTTACTTAGATTCAATATGGATCTATTGAATAAAATTACCAGTGGCAATGATGTTTTGCGAAATGCTCGTTCCTTTTGTGTTACGCAAATAATGTCCATGGAAAAGGTCCATAGCAATCACGAATTTCTAGGAAATATTTGCTTCATGCTATTGAATGAAATTGTTTTTCCCTTACTGGTTAAGTCCGACATATTTGATTTGTGTGATACCAAAGTAAGCACCAGAGGTCACAAAGACGAAATTTTTAGAAGCCGGACGGTAGCCTCACTTCAATGGAACCATGACTTACCCCACCTACCCCATCCTTATTGCACTTTAATCTTCCATGGTGGTCTTTAAATTAAAAAATTCTTCGTTAAATGGAATCGTGAGAATCGTTCAAAGAATCTTCACAACAATTTCATCCTCTGTCATTACTGATTTTCTTCACATTGCTTACAATGTAGGCTGATGAAAGCGACTAAATTCTATTCGCGAGTATTTCCTCCAAAAAGGTTTCCATATGAGACTTTTCTCCTATGTTTCCCTTAGTATCAGTTTACAGCATTTTTTTTTCTCTTCTTCAACATTTTTCTTCCCCCTTCATTTTATTTGATTCCCTCGACATTTATCAAAAAGGTGACAATCATAAATTAGAACGGCAGAGTAGGGATTTTTATGAAATAACGACAATCTTTTTCGTGCGTTTTCCTTTTGGGGAGCAAAAATTAGTAAACGAGTCAGTGTTCATAATTGGCATAGAAATTTCAAGGATTTTTTGACTAGGTTTGATTCTTCGCCAGTCCAGACTCAGTGTAAAAATACTCGACCCCACAAAAGGCAGCTAGTGAAGGACCCATAAGGAAAACGCGCAGAATAAAATGTGCTGTGGAATTATCATCATCGGATATGCAAAGGGCGACAGAAAGGAAGAGAGAAGTTAATAGATTTAGAAGACTTATTCTTTCCAATCAGAAAAAGTTGAGCCAATGACGGCAGATATGCCAGAGAGAAATCTACCAGTAAGTAAGTTTAGATCGCAAACGAAGCAGTTGTTCAAAAATGAGACACTTCAGTTGTTAGTATATGACATGTGACATGTCAATAAACTTTATCTATTCTGGTTCTCGCTGTATGATAATCATGCCTCTTAAAGTTACCTTACCCACTCCCACTAGAAAAAACAAAAACCCAGACAAAAGAGAAAACCGTCGTCCCTTTCCCCGTCCCCAAGTCCCTATTTGACCGGTCTAGCTATATCTTGAGGTGTTGATTGAGCTTCAGTCACATCCACCCTTCTTCGGGCAGCATCTGTAGCGGACCTAGAACCAGAAAAAACATCGAAGTTATTAAATCTAGAACTCCACATTCACCTGGGCATTTGTTTTCAAATATAGTACGAAAGGGGAATCCCTAACCACAAAGCATCTTTCCAAAATCTTAAAGGTTAGGCGATTGATTGAAAGAGGTCGCTTAATTAACCATTATCGTTTACTTATTTTCTTTTGATATAATGTAGGTGAAAGCATATCGGTTTGCTCTTCCACTTTTTCAAATTCAAAATCAAATATTTCTTTACCAACCTCTAGATATTTCTTGGTACCCCAGCAAGCGTCCCCAAATTTGGCAACGGTGGCATCAAGAAGGCAATGTTCCTTGTCTTGACAATATTGCCTGGCAATAGCCTTGGAGGCCACTTGATGCTGGCAGGCTTGGTTCCAGGAAAATACTCCAAAGAAACCATCGCCACAGATGTGAGCACCCTTGAGACGGCCAAAGTTTGCCCATACGATGTCGATATTACGTCTCTCAGGACATTCGATTGACATCTTGTGATTTTCACATACGCGAGCTCTCTTGGTGTCATCTGGTGTAATCCGGCCGATACACCTGTATTTGACCTATAGGAACAAAATGTATACAATGCGTTTACTGATGCTATCAATAAAACCTCATCATCTAGTTTTAGGTCTCTTTTTGAGTTTCTGAGTTTCTCACTCCGCAGTGATAAATCGAAATGTTTTGTTCAGGTTCCTATGAATTTTTGGTCTGGTCACAAACATTTTAGCTATGTAGTAACGTTTACACGTACTGAGCCGGAGGAGTTTGCAATTTCTTAGGCGACACTTTTACAATGAATAAATTCGTGTTCACCAAGTTCAGTCCACAAAGACACTTCTAATGTATAAGGCACATGCACCCGTGAAAAAATATTTAGTAAATAAACCGGTCTCTTCAGGCGACTGCTATGTCGGCTGATAATGTCCGCGGTTAAAAGATTGTCCCGAAAATGAATATTTGGCAGAGAAGCGAAGCTTGAGGGCAAATGTGAAATTGAATGTGCACATGTTTTTTTTTGTTCTTTCCAGAGTAGTATTTGAGATTAGCTTTATTTGAAATGGCTCTTTAACTGGACTCTACTAAACGAGTTGGTTTTTCTTCCCTGTAAAGTAACAAAGATGAAAGAGTGACACTCAAGCTGGCTTTTTCAACTAGGTTTGTTTCTATTCGAAGAAGAGTAACGTAAATGAGGGCTCTTACGTCATAAATATCTAGTGATTTTGTTCCACGTGACGTAAAGTAGCCAATAGAGTCGTAATAACATTAATGCTGAGTGATAGACAGATAAAAACAGAAATGCATATACAATATATATATATATATATAGAACAAATGTTTGAAAGTTTGTTACGAGTGCGGAACAGAAAAACACTTCTTAGTCCTATTTAAGGAGATAAATCACAGACCTTTGGGTTTAAGAGCAACAAATTATTTTTTCGAAAACCGTACGTAAAAATAAACGATTATTTACCGTGAGATATTTCTTCGTTCCGAAGCACGGGTCTCCGTATTCTGCGTTGCTGGCATGCAACTCGCATTCGGACAGGGTTTCACATTCATTTTTAACAATAGCCAATGTATTAGCTGCGCGGCAGTTGACATTCCATAACCAAGCAACCGTCCAATCCAATCCCCACTGACACATGGAGCGGTCTGTTCTTCCATAGACTGCAGAAATGATCTGAATCTTTTGATGTGTGCACCTGATTTTTTGCTTCCCTCCTTCACAAACAAGGGCGCTTCTTACTGTGAAAAACAGGAGAAATACATATACCAGCTACAGACTGAGATTGTATAAAAAAGCCCCTAAAGGTCAACCAAGCTAAATTGCATCAAAGCAGTCACTGCTTTGATGCAATCTAGCTCGGTTGACCTGCGTTTCTCAAACTGACCAACTTCATTCGTAACTTAAAGCGTGTTGCTTGTCCTTGTCTTCAACGTTTAGTGTTAGTAATTTTGATGTCATGTTCCCGGTGCCATCACTCTCCTCTCCATGGTGGAGGAATATTATGATTATCTCTGGCGACTTAGATCAAGATTGGCACGCTCATGGTTGATCATCTTAGAAAGTCTTTTGATAAAAACTTCTTATTTTCGTTGCTTGGATTGAAACTTGCGCACAAGTCCTTAAGGATAATTACGTAATCAAACCGTGATTTCAATATTTGAAGAGGTCCTCATAATTTTCTGATAAAAATTATTCGATGGAATCATTTTAGACACTTTATGGGTTGACTTTATAACACGCACAATAGGAAAAATGTTCCATAACTTTGCACAGGCATATGAGGGCCCGATAATCATAGGTGCCCGATGAGGGTTAGTAATATTAAAGGCGAGATGCGGGATGAAAATAGAAGGGTACGAACGGGATATGCTCTGTTTCGAAGGCGGAATAGGATGGTCATAGCCGAGATCAAAATTCAACTCAAGTTATGGGTTACACGACCTAAGAAACATCAAAAAGTATTTATTTGCTTTATAAACGGGCTTAAATTAGTAATCCAAATAAACCGCGTATGAAATGGCACAGCCTACGTGTCGCCGAGATTTTCTTTGGCTTCAACACGTATTTTAACGCATTTTAAAGGTCGGTTTTGCCTCATAAGAGTTATGAGAAATAAGAGTACATTATCAATATTATGATGACTATAATTTGTCCACCAGTTTAAATACGGCGGTGAACTTGAACAACATGGGCAGGGATCGGCGGCATAGAATAAAAGACGGGATCGGGATGAAAATGTTCATTGCGGTGGGATGGCGGAATGGAATGAAAAATTGCGGTGCGACAAGGAATTGACAAAGTCTATTTTTGAGCCTCGCATATTAGAACTGATTTAGATCCTCCTCTTCGAATGCGGCTAAGATATAACATATTCAAGTACTTGCCTTCTTGTGTAGGCCAAGCTTGTGTATAACAGAAGGTTGAAGACAATAAGAGAACCACTAAGTATATCCTCATTGCAGTAGTAAATTCGACCTATAAGAGATGAAATAAGGTATGATTGATCAATTTTGCTTCAATAGAAATGATGACTCACGACAATCAGTTCAGTGGCCACGAGTTGTTCTTTACTTGATAGGATAAAGCAGTTGATATTCAGAGATACGCCTGTTTGGTTTTCTGACCAAAGTGAATCTGTTCCCCTTACAGAGTCTCTCTTTACTATCTTTGTTTTTTTTCTTCCAATGATTTTTGTCCATGCCTATTACATCATGATTAATAGTTGTACTCACTGGTGAGCGCATTTAATTTTGTTTATGTTTAAATTTTGTTATGTTTAATAAGTTATACCTTGTATTTGTATTTAAACAAACGTCTGTCGGCTTTCCTTTTCACAAATCACTTTTCCACAACCATGTGGTTCAAGAGAATTTCCTGCCAGTGAAATGTACAAATTCTCTGACCTTACCAAATTTAACCATAGATAGTTAGAACTCACTCGTTTTTAGGATTCGTTGCCATTGGCAATCCTTTTCTGTTCGGCTTGGTTCATATTTGTCATTCAAAGATCACCTTCTCTCCCCTGCCATGTTGAGTGACATGTTGTTATACCTGGTTTGTAAGGATCTCCTCGCTTTTGATTTAATGAAAATTGTTTATTGAAAGTTGCCACATTACTATGGAACTCTTTCGTTTTTTATTTTGGCTTTTCACACGATTATACACGAATGAATGTTAATTGATGGCGTTATGTACAAATTTTGTAACGTAACCGAAAAACAATTTGCCTTTGATGGTAACAGACAGGTAGCTCGTTCAATTTCTTTCTCCAAGAAATTTATACGTCCTGAAATTATTTGTCATAGATCACAGTTCACCTTCGTCCTACACTACGCTGAGTGACATACATGTTGTTTTTTCTGGTTTAGAGATGTTTGCAGACTTAGTTTCTTTACTATGCAATTAGATTAGGTATGATTATGAAGGAAATTGCTCTTTGGGAGTCGCAATTGCTATTGAATGCTTTTACTGAAATTTCTTTCGAATTTGCAATTGATGAGGATATGGAGCAAAATTTGAACCAAATGATAAATTTCAACATGATTTTTATTCAGTCTGGTGTAGAAATAACCTCTATTTTTAGAAATGATTATTCAGTAAAATGTACACGCCACACTCGACCAAACGCAAAACGGGAATTCGTCTATTCGTACTGGTATATTTTCCGTTGAACCACTTTTGTTGATCACGGGCTTTAAGGGGAAAAAACTGAGGCAATTATGCTTTGCGGGAGGTCCTACGCTGATCCAAGGTAATAACACGGGTAACAAAGAAGACGATCCTCAGGCGGCGTGGTCGTCGGAAAAATTTTTCTACCTTCCATATTCCTTACATAGTTATTCTATAGAAACACAACTTAAACTAAGACCTTAGATTAGCCTTAGTTTAGGGTAAAAGACAGAAAGTACTGAAGAGATTTACGAAATTGAACGTTCTCAACCCAGTCTTCTTTTCATGTCTATTTCTGATAACAAATTATGCCGACTATCTCATATTTTGGTTCATAGAGAAAGTTGTCCCAAAATATTTTGATATTACTTTTTGTGCTACCAAGTATGAGCACTTATGTCGAACTTACGGTAATCATGGATTAGGTTATTAGATTTACAACGGGTGAAACATACCGCTCGTCAGGGAATCAATCAGAGTTTGAATTTTAAAAGAACTAAAAGGAACACTGCTGTGACAAACACGATTTGGAAATACAATTTTGTAAAATTGACGTTAAGAAACGTAAAGTTTAACACTTCCAATCAAAAGTTTCAAAACTAAGGCATGAAGAACAAAATTTATGAAAAATGAAAATGTAACTGCCGTAAAATTTCATAACGTAAAAATGAAAACAATATTCTATTTTGAAAGAATTGAATATCAGTTGCTATGACCATATCTACATCTGATTCGTTTGTGTAGGCAGTGTTAGGGTCTTTGCCTGTCACTAACGCATTCCCAAAGTCAGTAATAGGGTTTGTGTGCGGCATGCCCCACGCGTGGAATGAGATGTTCGAGCCCTTTCCACAGAGTTTCAAGTGGCTTACATGTACTTTCTTTCTTTCTAGCTGAAAAGCGTCTTTCAGTTTCCCCAATGAAGCTCGAAGGACAGGGTGTGCGGCAAGGAAATGCTTTTTCAATTTTAGCTTTTAGTGTTATTAACATAGACTGGAAACCGAAAGCTCCTCGTTTATTAAAAATTTCTTGAGGAAGAACGGGTTTTTCGCAAATATAAACTTTGACTGGGTTGCCGGACCCACTTTTGAGTTTTTCATTAGACTCAAGGCTGCGTCAAAGGCTGACTCGAAGGCTGCCTCAAAGACTCTAATCCGGTTACTTAGATTCAATATGGATCTATTGAATAAAATTACCAGTGGCAATGATGTTTTGCGAAATGCTCGTTCCTTTTGTGTTACGCAAATAATGTCTATGGAAAAGGTCCATAGCAATCACGAATTTCTAGGAAATATTTGCTTCATGCTAATGAATGAAATTGTTTTTCCCTTACTGGTTACGTCCGCCATATTTGATTTGTGTGATACTAGAGTAAGCACCAGAGGTCACAAAGACGAAATTTTTAGAAGCCGGACGGTAGCCTCACTTCAATGGAACCATGACTTACCCCACCTACCCCATCCTTATTGCACTTTAATCTTCCATGGTGGTCTTTAAATTAAAAAATTCTTCGTTAAATGGAATCGTGAGAATCGTTCAAAGAATCTTCACAACAATTTCATCCTCTGTCATTACTGATTTTCTTCACATTGCTTACAATGTAGGCTGATGAAAGCGACTAAATTCTATTCGCGAGTATTTCCTCCAAAAAGGTTTCCATATGAGACTTTTCTCCTATGTTTCCCTTAGTATCAGTTTACAGCATTTTTTTTTCTCTTCTTCAACATTTTTCTTCCCCCTTCATTTTATTTGATTCCCCTCGACATTTATCAAAAAGAGGTGACAATCATAAATTAGAACGGCAGAGTAGGGATTTTTATGAAATAACGACAATCTTTTTCGTGCGTTTTCCTTTTGGGGAGCAAAAATTAGTAAACGAGTCAGTGTTCATAATTGGCATAGAAATTTCAAGGATTTTTTGACTAGGTTTGATTCTTCGCCAGTCCAGACTCAGTGTAAAAATACTCGACCCCACAAAAGGCAGCTAGTGAAGGACCCATAAGGAAAACGCGCAGAATAAAATGTGCTGTGGAATTATCATCATCGGATATGCAAAGGGCGACAGAAAGGAAGAGAGAAGTTAATAGATTTAGAAGACTTATTCTTTCCAATCAGAAAAAGTTGAGCCAATGACGGCAGATATGCCAGAGAGAAATCTACCAGTAAGTAAGTTTAGATCGCAAACGAAGCAGTTGTTCAAAAATGAGACACTTCAGTTGTTAGTATATGACATGTGATATGTCAATAAACTTTATCTATTCTGATTCTCGCTGTATGATAATCATGCCTCTTAAAGTTACCTTACCCACTCCCACTAGAAAAAAACAAAAACCCAGACAAAAGAGAAAACCGTCGTCCCTTTCCCCGTCCCCAAGTCCCTATTTGACCGGTCTAGCTATATCTTGAGGTGTTGATTGAGCTTCAGTCACATCCACCCTTCTTCGGGCAGCATCTGTAGCGGACCTAGAACCAGAAAAAACATCGAAGTTATTAAATCTAGAACTCCACATTCACCTGGGCATTTGTTTTCAAATATAGTGCGAAAGGGGAATCCCTAACCACAAAGCATCTTTCCAAAATCTTAAAGCTTAGGCGATTGATTGAAAGAGGTCGCTTAATTAACCATTATCGTTTACTTATTTTCTTTTGATATAATGTAGGTGAAAGCATATCGGTTTGCTCTTCCACTTTTTCAAATTCAAAATCAAATATTTCTTTACCAACCTCTAGATATTTCTTGGTACCCCAGCAAGCGTCCCCAAATTTGGCAACGGTGGCATCAAGAAGGCAATGTTCCTTGTCTTGACAATATTGCCTGGCAATAGCCTTGAGGCCACTTGATGCTGGCAGGCTTGGTTCCAGGAAAATACTCCAAAGAAACCATCGCCACAGATGTGAGCACCCTTGAGACGGCCAAAGTTTGCCCATACGATGTCGATATTACGTCTCTCAGGACATTCGATTGACATCTTGTGATTTTCACATACGCGAGCTCTCTTGGTGTCATCTGGTGTAATCCGGCCGATACACCTGTATTTGACCTATAGGAACAAAATGTGTACAATGCGTTTACTGATGCTATCAATAAAACCTCATCATCTAGTTTTAGGTCTCTTTTTGAGTTTCTGAGTTTCTCACTCCGCAGTGATAAATCGAAATGTTTTGTTCAGGTTCCTATGAATTTTTGGTCTGGCCACAAACATTTTAGCTATGTAGTAACGTTTACACGTACTGAGCCGGAGGAGTTTGCAATTTCTTAGGCGACACTTTTACAATGAATAAATTCGTGTTCACCAAGTTCAGTCCACAAAGACACTTCTAATGTATAAGGCACATGCACCCGTGAAAAAATATTTAGTAAATAAACCGGTCTCTTCAGGCGACTGCTATGTCGGCTGATAATGTCCGCGGTTAAAAGATTGTCCCAAAATGAATATTTGGCAGAGAAGCGAAGCTTGAGGGCAAATGTGAAATTGAATGTGCAAATGTTTTTTTTTTTTTTCCAGAGTAGTATTTGAGATTAGCTTTATTTGAAATGGCTCTTTAACTGGACTCTACTAAAACGAGTTGGTTTTTCTCCCTGTAAAGTAACAAAGATGAAAGAGTGACACTCAAGCTGGCTTTTTCAACTAGGTTTGTTTCTATTCGAAGAAGAGTAACGTAAATGAGGGCTCTTACGTCATAAATATCTAGTGACTTTGTTCCACGTGACGTAAAGTAGCCAATAGAGTCGTAATAACATTAATGCTGAGTGATAGACAGATAAAAACATAAATGCATATACAATATATATATATATATATAGGAGAACAAATGTGTTGAAAGTTTGTTACGAGTGCGGAACAGAAAAACACTTCTTAGTCCTATTTAAGAGATAAATCACAGACCTTTGGGTTTAAGAGCAACAAATTATTTTTTTCGAAAACCGTACGTAAAAATAAACGATTATTTACCGTGAGATATTTCTTCGTTCCGAAGCACGGGTCTCCGTATTCTGCGTTGCTGGCATGCAACTCGCATTCGGACAGGGTTTCACATTCATTTTAACAATAGCCAATGTATTAGCTGCGCGGCAGTTGACATTCCATAACCAAGCAACCGTCCAATCCAATCCCCACTGACACATGGAGCGGTCTGTTCTTCCATAGACTGCAGAAATGATCTGAATCTTTTGATGTGTGCACCTGATTTTTGCTTCCCTCCTTCACAAACAAGGGCGCTTCTTACTGTGAAAAACAGGAGAAATACATATACCAGCTACAGACTGAGATTGTATAAAAAGCCCTAAAGGTCAACCAAGCTAAATTGCATCAAAGCAGTCACTGCTTTGATGCAATTTTGCTCAGTTGACCTGCGTTTCTCAAACTGACCAACTTCATTCGTAACTTAAAGCGTGTTGCTTGTCCTTGTCTTCAACGTTTACTGTTAGTAATTTTGATGTCATGTTCCCGGTGCCATCACTCTCCTCTCCATGGTGGAGGAATATTATGATTATCTCTGGCGACTTACATCAAGATTGGCACGCTCATGGTTGATCATCTTAGAAAATCTTTTGATAAAAACTTCTTATTTTCGTTGCTTGGATTGAAACTTGCGCACAAGTCCTTAAGGATAATTACGTAATCAAACCGTGATTTCAATATTTGAAGAGGTCCTCATAATTTTCTGATAAAAATTATTCGATGGAATCATTTTAGACACTTTATGGGTTGACTTTATAACACGCACAATAGGAAAAATGTTCCATAACTTTGCACAGGCATATGAGGGCCCGATAATCATAGGTGCCCGATGAGGGTTAGTAAATTAAAGGCGAATATGCGGGATGAAAATAGAAGGGTACGAACGGGATATGCTCTGTTTCGAAGGCGGAATAGGATGGTCATAGCCGAGATCAAAATTCAACTCAAGTTATGGGTTACACGACCTAAGAAACATCAAAAAGTAGTATTTATTTGCTTTATAAACGGGCTTAAATTAGTAATCCAAATAAACCACGTATGAAATGGCACAGCCTACGTGTCGCCGAGATTTTCTTTGGCTTCAACACGTATTTTAACGCATTTTAAAGGTCGGTTTTGCCTCATAAGAGTTATGAGAAATAAGAGTACATTATCAATATTATGATGACTATAATTTGTCCACCAGTTTAAATACGGCGGTGAACTTGAACAACATGGGCAGGGATCGGCGGCATAGAATAAAAGACGGGATCGGGATGAAAATGTTCATTGCGGTGGGATGGCGGAATGGAATGAAAAATTGCGGTGCGACAAGGAATTGACAAAGTCTATTTTGAGCCTCGCATATTAGAACTGATTTAGATCCTCCTCTTCGAATGCGGCTAAGATATAACATATTCAAGTACTTGCCTTCTTGTGTAGGCCAAGCTTGTGTATAACAGAAGGTTGAAGACAATAAGAGAACCACTAAGTATATCCTCATTGCAGTAGTAAATTCGACCTATAAGAGATGAAATAAGGTATGATTGATCAATTTTGCTTCAATAGAAATGATGACTCACGACAATCAGTTCAGTGGCCACGAGTTGTTCTTTACTTGATAGGATAAAGCAGTTGATATTCAGAGATACGCCTGTTTGGTTTTCTGACCAAAGTGAATCTGTTCCCCTTACAGAGTCTCTCTTTACTATCTTTGTTTTTTTTTCTTCCAATGATTTTTGTCCATGCCTTATTGGACAAAAATATCATGATTTCATATATGTTAATATTGTACTGGTGAGCGCATTTAATTTTGTTTATGTTTAAAATTGTGCAAATAAGTTATACCTTGTATTTGTATTTTTAAAAACAAACGTCTGTCGGCTTTCTTTTTTCACAAATCACTTTTCCACAACCATGTGGTTCAAGAGAATTTCCTGCCAGTGAAATGTACAAATTCTCTGATCTTACCAAATTTAACCATGGATAGTTAGAACTCACTCGTTTTTAGGATTCGTTGCCATTGGCAATCCTTTTCTGTTTGGCTTGGTTCATATTTGTCATTCAAAGATCACCTTCTCTCCCTGCCATGTTGAGTGACATGTTGTTATACCTGGTTTGTAAGAATCTCCTCGCTTTTGATTTAATGAAAATTGTTTATTGAAAGTTGCCACATTACTATGGAACTCTTTCGTTTTTTATTTTGGCATTTTCACACGATTATACACGAATGAATGTTAATTGATGGCGTTATCTACAAATTTTGTAACGTAACCGAAAAAAACAATTTGCCTTTGATGGTAACAGACAGGTAGCTCGTTCAATTTCTTTCTCCAAGAAATTTATACGTCCTGAAATTATTTGTCATAGATCACAGTTCACCTTCGTCCTACACTGCGCTGAGTGACATACATGTTGTTATGTCTGGTTTAGAGATGTTTGCAGACTTAGTTTCTTTACTATGCAATTAGATTAGGTATGATTATGAAGGAAATTGCTCTTTGGGAGTCGCAATTGCTATTGAATGCTTTTACTGAAATTTCTTTCGAATTTGCAATTGATGAGGATATGGAGCAAAATTTGAACCAAATGATAAATTTCAACATGATTTTTATTCAGTCTGGTGTAGAAATAACCTCTATTTTTAGAAATTGATTATTCAGTAAATGTACACGCCACACTCGACCAAACACAAAACGGGAATTCGTCTATTCGTATTAGGTATTTTTCCGTTGAACCACTTTTGTTGATCACGGGCTTTAAGGGGAAAAAAACTGAGGCAATTATGCTTTGCGGGAGGTTCTACGCTGATCCAAGGTAATAACACGGGTAACAAAGAAGACGATCCTCATCCTCAGGCGGTGTGGTCGTCGGAAAAATTTTTCTACCTTCCATATTCCTTGCATAGTTATTTTATAGAAACACAACTTAAACTAAGACCTTAGATTAGCCTTAGTTTAGGGTAAAAGACAGAAAGAACTGAAGAGATTTACGAAATTGAACGTTCTCAACCCAGTCTTCTGTTCATGTCTATTTCTAACAAATTATGCCGACTATCTCATATTTTGTTCCCCAAAATATTTTGATATTACTTTTGTGCTACCAAGTATGAGCACTTATGTCGAACTTACGGTAATCATGGATTAGGTTATTAGATTTACAACGGGTGAAACATACCACTCGTCAGGGAATCAATCAGAGTTTGAATTTTAAAAGAACTAAAAGGAACACTGCTGTGACAAACACGATTTGGAAATACAATTTTGTAAAATTGACGTTAAGAAACGTAAAGTTTAACACTTCCAATCAAAAGCTTTCAAAACTAAGGCATGAAGAACAAAATTTATGAAAATGAAAATGTAACTGCCGTAAAATTTCATAACGTAAAAATGAAAACAATATTCTATTTTGAAAGAATTGAATATCAGTTGCTATGACCATATCTACATCTGATTCGTTTGTTTAGGCAGTGTTAGGGTCTTTGCCTGTCACTATCGCATTCCCAAAGTCAGTAATAGGGTTTGTGTGCGGCATGCCCCACGCGTGGAATGAGATGTTCGAACCCTTTCCACAGAGTTTCAAGTGGCTTACATGTACTTTCTTTCTAGCTGAAAAGCGTCTTTCAGTTTCCCCAATGAAGCTCGAAGGACAGGGTGTGCGGCAAGGAAATGCCTTTTCCAATTTTAGCTTTCAGTGTTATTAACATAGACTGGAAACCGAAAGCTCCTCGTTTATTAAAAATTTCTTGAGGAAGAACGGGTTTTTCGCAAATATAAACTTTGACTAGGTTGCTGACCCACTTTTGAGTTTTTCATTAGACTCAAGGCTGCGTCAAAGGCTGACTCGAAGGCTGCCTCAAAGACTCTAATCCGGTTACTTAGATTCAATATGGATCTATTGAATAAAATTACCAGTGGCAATGATGTTTTGCGAAATGCTCGTTCCTTTTGTGTTACGCAAATAATGTCCATGGAAAAGGTCCATAGCAATCACGAATTTCTAGGAAATATTTGCTTCATGCTAATGAATGAAATTGTTTTTCCCTTACTGGTTACGTCCGCCATATTTGATTTGTGTGATACTAAAGTAAGCACCAGAGGTCACAAAGACGAAATTTTTAGAAGCCGGACGGTAGCCTCACTTCAATGGAACCATGACTTACCCCACCTACCCCATCCTTATTGCACTTTAATCTTCCATGGTGGTCTTTAAATTAAAAAATTCTTCGTTAAATGGAATCGTGAGAATCGTTCAAAAAATCTTCAACAACAATTTCATCCTCTGTCATTTACTGATTTTCTTCACATTGCATTGTAAGCAATGTGAAGCTGATGAAATGAAATTGACTAAATTCTATTCCATTTAACGAAGAATTTTTCTTCTTCTTCCAAACGTTTCCATATGAGACTTTTCTCCTATGTTTCCCTTTAGTATCAGTTTACAGCATTTTTTTTCTCTTCTTCAACATTTTTCTTCCCCTTCATTTTATTTGATTCCCCTCGACATTTATCAAAAAGAGGTGACAATCATAAATTAGAACGGCAGAGTAGGGATTTTTATGAAATAACGACAATCTTTTTTCGTGCGTTTTCCTTTTGGGGAGCAAAAATTAGTAAACGAGTCAGTGTTCATAATTGGCATAGAAATTTCAAGGATTTTTGACTAGGTTTGATTCTTCGCCAGTCCAGACTCAGTGTAAAAATACTCGACCCCACAAAAGGCAGCTAGTGAAGGACCCATAAGGAAAACGCGCAGAATAAAATGTGCTGTGGAATTATCATCATCGGATATGCAAAGGGCGACAGAAAGGAAGAGAGAAGTTAATAGATTTAGAAGACTTATTCTTTCCAATCAGAAAAAGTTGAGCCAATGACGGCAGATATGCCAGAGAGAAATCTACCAGTAAGTAAGTTTAGATCGCAAACGAAGCAGTTGTTCAAAAATGAGACACTTCAGTTGTTAGTATATGACATGTGACATGTCAATAAACTTTATCTATTCTGATTCTCGCTGTATGATAATCATGCCTCTTAAAGTTACCTTACCCACTCCCACTAGAAAAAAACAAAAACCCAGACAAAAGAGAAAACCGTCGTCCCTTTCCCCGTCCCCAAGTCCCTATTTGACCGGTCTAGCTATATCTTGAGGTGTTGATTGAGCTTCAGTCACATCCACCCTTCTTCGGGCAGCATCTGTAGCGGACCTAGAACCAGAAAAAACATCGAAGTTATTAAATCTAGAACTCCACATTCACCTGGGCATTTGTTTTCAAATATAGTGCGAAAGGGGAATCCCTAACCACAAAGCATCTTTCCAAAATCTTAAAGCTTAGGCGATTGATTGAAAGAGGTCGCTTAATTAACCATTATCGTTTACTTATTTTCTTTTGATATAATGTAGGTGAAAGCATATCGGTTTGCTCTTCCACTTTTTGAAATTCAAAATCAAATATTTCTTTACCAACCTCTAGATATTTCTTGGTACCCCAGCAAGCGTCCCCAAATTTGGCAACGGTGGCATCAAGAAGGCAATGTTCCTTGTCTTGACAATATTGCCTGGCAATAGCCTTGGAGGCCACTTGATGCTGGCAGGCTTGGTTCCAGGAAAATACTCCAAAGAAACCATCGCCACAGATGTGAGCACCCTTGAGACGGCCAAAGTTTGCCCATACGATGTCGATATTACGTCTCTCAGGACATTCGATTGACATCTTGTGATTTTCACATACGCGAGCTCTCTTGGTGTCATCTGGTGTAATCCGGCCGATACACCTGTATTTGACCTATAGGAACAAAATGTATATAATGCGTTTACTGATGCTATCAATAAAACCTCATCATCTAGTTTTAGGTCTCTTTTTGAGTTTCTGAGTTTCTCACTCCGCAGTGATAAATCGAAATGTTTTGTTCAGGTTCCTATGAATTTTTGGTCTGGTCACAAACATTTTAGCTATGTAGTAACGTTTACACGTACTGAGCCGGAGGAGTTTGCAATTTCTTAGGCGACACTTTTACAATGAATAAATTCGTGTTCACCAAGTTCAGTCCACAAAGACACTTCTAATGTATAAGGCACATGCACCCGTGAAAAAATATTTAGTAAATAAACCGGTCTCTTCAGGCGACTGCTATGTCGGCTGATAATGTCCGCGGTTAAAAGATTGTCCCGAAAATGAATATTTGGCAGAGAAGCGAAGCTTGAGGGCAAATGTGAAATTGAATGTGCAAATTTTTTTTTTTTTCCAGAGTAGTATTTGAGATTAGCTTTATTTGAAATGGCTCTTTAACTGGACTCTACTAAAACGAGTTGGTTTTTCTTCCCTGTAAAGTAACAAAGATGAAAGAGTGACACTCAAGCTGGCTTTTTCAACTAGGTTTGTTTCTATTCGAAGAAGAGTAACGTAAATGAGGGCTCTTACGTCATAAATATCTAGTGATTTTGTTCCACGTGACGTAAAGTAGCCAATAGAGTCGTAATAACATTAATGCTGAGTGATAGACAGATAAAAACATAAATGCATATACAATATATATATATATATATAGGAGAACAAATGTGTTGAAAGTTTGTTACGAGTGCGGAACAGAAAAACACTTCTTAGTCCTATTTAAGGAGATAAATCACAGACCTTTGGGTTTAAGAGCAACAAATTATTTTTTCGAAAACCGTACGTAAAAATAAACGATTATTTACCGTGAGATATTTCTTCGTTCCGAAGCACGGGTCTCCGTATTCTGCGTTGCTGGCATGCAACTCGCATTCGGACAGGGTTTCACATTCATTTTTAACAATAGCTAATGTATTAGCTGCGCGGCAGTTGACATTCCATAACCAAGCAACCGTCCAATCCAATCCCCACTGACACACGGAGCGGTCTGTTCTTCCATAGACTGCAGAAATGATCTGAATCTTTTGATGTGTGCACCTGATTTTTTGCTTCCCTCCTTCACAAACAAGGGCGCTTCTTACTGTGAAAAACAGGAGAAATACATATACCAGCTACAGACTGAGATTGTATAAAAAAGCCCCTAAAGGTCAACCAAGCTAAATTGCATCAAAGCAGTCACTGCTTTGATGCAATTTTGCTCAGTTGACCTGCGTTTCTCAAACTGACCAACTTCATTCGCAACTTAAAGCGTGTTACTTGTCCTTGTCTTCAACGTTTACTGTTAGTAATTTTGATGTCATGTTCCCGGTGCCATCACTCTCCTCTCCATGGTGGAGGAATATTATGATTATCTCTGGTGACTTACATCAGGATCGGCAAGCTCATGGTTGGTCATCTTAGAAAATCTTTTTGATAAAAACTTCTTATTTTCGTTGCTTGGATTGAAACTTGCGCACAAGTCCTTAAGGATAATTACGTAATCAAACCGTGATTTCAATATTTGAAGATGTCCTCATAATTTTCTAATAAAAATTATTCGATGGAATCATTTTAGATACTTTATGGGTTGACTTTATAACACGCACAATAGGAAAAATGTTCCATAACTTTGCACAGGCATATGAGGTTCCGATAATCATAGGTGCCCGATGAGGGTTATTAAAAGAAATATGCGGGATGAAAGGAAGGTACGAACGGGATATGCTCTGTTTCGAAGGCGGGATAGGATGGTTGTAGCCGAGATCATAATTCAGTTATTGGCTACACGACCTAAGAAACATCAAAGAGTATTTATTTGCTTTATAAACGGGCTTAAATTAGTAATCCCAATAAACCACGTATGAAATGGCACAGCCAACGTGTCGCCGAGATTTTCTTTGGCTTCAACACGTATTTTAACGCATTTTAAAGCTCGGTTTTGCCTCATGAGAGTTATGAGAAATGAGAGTACATTATCAATATTATGATGACTATAACTTGTCCATCAGTTTAAATACGGCGGTGAACTTGAACAACATGGGCAGGGATCGGCGGCATAGAATAAAAGGCGGGATCGGGATGAAAATGTTCATTGCGGTGGGATGGAATGAAAAATTGCGGCGAGACAAGGAATTGAAAAAGTCTATTTTGAAGCCTCGCATATTAGAACTGATTTAGATCCTCCTCTTCGAATGCGGCTAAGATATAACATATTCAAGTACTTGCCTTCTTGTGTAGGCCAAGCTTGTGTATAACAGAAGGTTGAAGACAATAAGAGAACCACTAAGTATATCCTCATTGCAGTAGTAAATTCGACCTATAAGAGATGAAATAAGGTATGATTGATCAATTTTGCTTCAATAGAAATGATGACTCACGACAATCAGTTCAGTGGCCACGAGTTGTTCTTTACTTGATAGGATAAAGCAGTTGATATTCAGAGATACGCCTGTTTGGTTACCTGACCGAAGTGAATCTGTTCCCCTTACAGAGTCTCTCTTTACTATCTTTGTTTTTTTCTTCCAATGATTTTTGTCCATGCCTTAATAGGCATGGACAAAAATATTCATATTCAATATTCATATCATGATTAATGATTGTACTCACTGCTGAGCGCATTGAATTTTGTTTATGTTAAAATTGTGCAAACAAGTTATACCTTGTATTTGTATTTTTAAAAACAAACGTCTGTCGGCTTTCTTTTTGACAAATCACTTTTCCACAACCATGTGGTTCAAGAGAAGTTTCCTGCTAGTGAAATGTACAAATTCTCTGATCTTACCAAATTTAACCATGGATAGTTAGAACTGACTCGTTTTTAGGATTCGTCGCTATTGGCAATCCTTTTCTGTTTGGCTTGGTTCATATTTATCATTCACTGATCACCTTCTCTCTCCTGCCATGTTGAGTGACATGTTGTTATACTTGGTTTGTAAGAACCTCCTCACTTTTGATTTAATGAAAATTGTTTCTTGAAAGTTGCCACATTACTATGGAACTCTTTCGTTTTTTATTTTGGCATTACACACGATTATACACGAATTAATGTTAACTGATGGCGACATCTACAAATTTTGTAACGTAACTGAAAAAAACAATTTGCCTTTGATGGTAACATACAGGTAGCTCGTTCAATTTCTTTCTCCAAGAAATTTATACGTCCTGAAATTATTTGTCAGATCACAGTTCACCTTCGTCCTACACTGCGCTGAGTGACATACATGTTGTTATGTCTGGTTTAGAGATGTTTGCAGACTTAGTTTCTTTACTATGCAATTAGATTAGGTACGATTATGAAGGAAATTGCTCTTTGGGAGTCGCAATTGCTATTGAATGCTTTTACTGAAATTTCTTTCGAATTTGCAACTGATGAGGATATGGAGCAAAATTTGAACCAAATGATAAATTTCAACATGATTTTTATTCAGTCTGGTGTAGAAATAACCTCTATTTAGAGAATTGATTATTCAGTGAAATGTACACGCCACACTCGACCAAACACAAAACGGGAATTCGTCTATTCGTATTAGTATATTTTCCGTTAAACCACTTTTGTTGATCACGGGCTTTAAGGGGAAAAAAACTGAGGCAATTATGCTTTGCGGGAGGTTCTGCGCTGATCCAAGGTAATAACACGAATAACAAAGAAGACGATCCTCATACACCTTTATTCAAATTCTATATACAAATAAATTTATATATAAAAATTTGAAAAGGGGAGTTTGGAGGTTAGCCCTATATAACAACTCCCCTGAATAAAAAATAAAAAGTAACAAATGTAGAACTATGTACAGAAAAAAAAAAAAAAAAAAAAGAAGAAAGGAACTATCTAATGTTTACAATTTTAAAAATATTTTTAATCTTAATTTAAAAAGTTCCAGAGTCCCTGCCTCTACAACATGCTTTGGTAAATTGTTCCAATCGCTAACTACCCTAATAAAAAAAGAATTTTTAAAACAATTTATCCTCGAAGATTTGAAGTAAAGTTTATAAGAATGATTAGCCCTTGTGGAACGCACTTTTGTAAATTCGAAAAATTCTAATCCTATCCTCAGGCGGTGTGGTCGTCGGAAAAATTTTTCTACCTTCCATATTCCTTGCATAGTTATTTTATAGAAACACAACTTAAACTAAGACCTTACATTAGCCTTAGTTTAGGGTAAAAGACAGAAAGAACCGGAGAGATTTACGAAATTGAACGTTCTTAACCCAGTCTTCTGTTCATGTCTACTTCTGATAACAATTTTGTCCCAAAATATTTTAATATTACTTTTTGTGCTACCAAGTATGGGCACTTATATCGAACTTACGGTAATCATGGATTAGGATATTAGTTTTACAACGGGTGAAACATACCACTCGTCAGGGAATCAATCAGAGTTTGAATTTTAAAAGAACTAAAAGGAACACTGCTGTGACAAACATGACTTGGAAATACAATTTTGTAAAATTGACGTTAAGAAACGTAAAGTTTAATACTTCCAATCAAAAGCTTTCAAAACTAAGGCATGAAGAACAAAATTTATGAGAATGAAAATGTAATTGCCAAAAAATTTCATAACGTAAAAATGAAAACAATATTCTATTTTGAAAGAATTGAATATCAGTTGCTATGACCATATCTACATCTAATTCGTTTGTTTAGGCAGTGTTAGGTCTTTGCCTGTCACTATCGCATTCCCAAAGTCAGTAATAGGGTTTGTGTGCGGCATGCCCCACGCGTGGAATGAGATGTTCGAGCCCTTTTCACAGAGTTTCAAGTGGCTTACATGTACTTTCTTTCTAGCTGAAAAGCGTCTTTCAGTTTCCCCAATGAAGCTCGAAGGACAGGGTGTGCGGTAAGGAAATGCTTTTGCAATTTTAGCGTTCAGTGTTATTAACATAGACTGGAAACCGAAAGCTCCTCGTTTATCAAAAATTTCTTGAGGAAGAACGGGTTTTTCGCAAATATAAACTTTGACTAGGTTGCTGACCCACTTTTGAGTTTTTCATTAGACTCAAGGCTGCGTCAAAGGCTGACTCGATGGCTGCCTCAAAGACTCTAATCCGGTTACTTAGATTCAATATGGATCTATTGAATAAAATTACCAGTGGCAATGATGTTTTGCGAAATGTTCGTTCCTTTTGTGTTACGCAAATAATGTCCATGGAAAAGGTCCATAGCAATCACGAATTTCTAGGAAATATTTGCTTCATGCTAATGAATGAAATTGTTTTTCCCTTACTGGTTACGTCCGCCATATTTGATTTGTGAGATACTAAAGTAAGCACCAGAGGTCACAAAGACGAAATTTTTAGAAGCCGGACGGTAGCCTCACTTCAATGGAACCATGACTTACCCCACCTACCCCATCCTTATTGCACTTTAATCTTCCATGGTGGTCTTTAAATTAAAATGTTGAAGAAGAGGAAAAAAACATGCTGTAAACTGATACCAAGGGAAGCATAGGAGAAAAGTCTCATATGGTAACCTTTTGGGAGGAAATACTCGCGAATAGAATTTAGTCACTTTCATCAGTCTACATTGTAAGCAATGTGAAGAAAATAATGACAGAGGATGAAATTGTTGTGAAGATTCTTTGAACGATTCTCACGATTCCATTTAACGAAGAATTCTTTCTTCTTCTTCCAAACGTTTCCATATGAGACTTTTCTCCTATGTTTCCCTTGGTATCAGTTTACAGCATGTTTTTTCCTCTTCTTCAACATTTTTCTTCCCCCTTCATTTTATTTGATTCCCCTCGACATTTATCAAAAAGAGGTGACAATCATAAATTAGAACGGCAGAGTAGGGATTTTTATGAAATAACGACAATCTTTTTCGTGCGTTTTCCTTTTGGGGAGCAAAAATTAGTACACGAGTCAGTGTTCATAATTGGCATAGAAATTTCAAGGATTTTTTGACTAGGTTTGATTCTTCGCCAGTCCAGACTCAGTGTAAAAATACTCGACCCCACAAAAGGTAGCTAGTGAAGGACCCATAAGGAAAACGCGCAGAATAAAATGTGCTGTGGAATTATCATCATCGGATATGCAAAGGGCGACAGAAAGGAAGAGAGAAATTAATAGATTTAGAAGACTTATTCTTTCCAATCAGAAAAAGTTGAGCCAATGACGGCAGATATGCCAGAGAGAAATCTACCAGTAAGTAAGTTTAGATCGCAAACGAAGCAGTTGTTCAAAAATGAGACACTTCAGTTGTTAGTATATGACATGTGACATGTCAATAAACTTTATCTATTCTGGTTCTCGCTGTATGATAATCATGCCTCTTAAAGTTACCTTACCCACTCCCACTAGAAAAAAACAAAAAACCCAGACAAAAGAGAAAACCGTCGTCCCTTTCCCCGTCCCCAAGTCCCTATTTGACCGGTCTAGCTATATCTTGAGGTGTTGATTGAGCTTCAGTCACATCCACCCTTCTTCGGGCAGCATCTGTAGCGGACCTAGAACCAGAAAAAACATAGAAGTTATTAAATCTAGAACTCCACATTCACCTGGGCATTTGTTTTCAAATATAGTGCGAAAGGGGAATCCCTAACCACAAAGCATCTTTCCAAAATCTTAAAGGTTAGGCGATTGATTGAAAGAGGTCGCTTAATTAACCATTATCGTTTACTTATTTTCTTTTGATATAATGTAGGTGAAAGCATATCGGTTTGCTCTTCCACTTTTTGAAATTCAAAATCAAATATTTCTTTACCAACCTCTAGATATTTCTTGGTACCCCAGCAAGCGTCCCCAAATTTGGCAACGGTGGCATCAAGAAGGCAATGTTCCTTGTCTTGACAATATTGCCTGGCAATAGCCTTGGAGGCCACTTGATGCTGGCAGGCTTGGTTCCAGGAAAATACTCCAAAGAAACCATCGCCACAGATGTGAGCACCCTTGAGACGGCCAAAGTTTGCCCATACGATGTCGATATTACGTCTCTCAGGACATTCGATTGACATCTTGTGATTTTCACATACGCGAGCTCTCTTGGTGTCATCTGGTGTAATCCGGCCGATACACCTGTATTTGACCTATAGGAACAAAATGTATATAATGCGTTTACTGATGCTATCAATAAAACCTCATCATCTAGTTTTAGGTCTCTTTTTGAGTTTCTGAGTTTCTCACTCCGCAGTGATAAATCGAAATGTTTTGTTCAGGTTCCTATGAATTTTTGGTCTGGTCACAAACATTTTAGCTATGTAGTAACGTTTACACGTACTGAGCCGGAGGAGTTTGCAATTTCTTAGGCGACACTTTTACAATGAATAAATTCGTGTTCACCAAGTTCAGTCCACAAAGACGCTTCTAATGTATAAGGCACATGCACCCGTGAAAAAATATTTAGTAAATAAACCGGTCTCTTCAGGCGACTGCTATGTCGGCTGATAATGTCCGCGGTTAAAAGATTGTCCCGAAAATGAATATTTGGCAGAGAAGCGAAGCTTGAGGGCAAATGTGAAATTGAATGTGCAAATGTTTTTTTTGTTTTTTCCAGAGTAGTATTTGAGATTAGCTTTATTTGAAATGGCTCTTTAACTGGACTCTACAAAACGAGTTGGTTTTTCTTCCCTGTAAAGTAACAAAGATGAAAGAGTGACACTCAAGCTGGCTTTTTCAACTAGGTTTGTTTCTATTCGAAGAAGAGTAACGTAAATGAGGGCTCTTACGTCATAAATATCTAGTGATTTTGTTCCACGTGACGTAAAGTAGCCAATAGAGTCGTAATAACATTAATGCTGAGTGATAGACAGATAAAAACATAAATGCATATACAATATATATATATATATAGGAGAACAAATGTGTTGAAAGTTTGTTACGAGTGCGGAACAGAAAAACACTTCTTAGTCCTATTTACAGAGATAAATCACAGACCTTTGGGTTTAAGAGCAACAAATTATTTTTTCGAAAACCGTACGTAAAAATAAACGATTATTTACCGTGAGATATTTCTTCGTTCCGAAGCACGGGTCTCCGTATTCTGCGTTGCTGGCATGCAACTCGCATTCGGACAGGGTTTCACATTCATTTTTAACAATAGCTAATGTATTAGCTGCGCGGCAGTTGACATTCCATAACCAAGCAACCGTCCAATCCAATCCCCACTGACACACGGAGCGGTCTGTTCTTCCATAGACTGCAGAAATGATCTGAATCTTTTGATGTGTGCACCTGATTTTTTGCTTCCCTCCTTCACAAACAAGGGCGCTTCTTACTGTGAAAAACAGGAGAAATACATATACCAGCTACAGACTGAGATTGTATAAAAAAGCCCCTAAAGGTCAACCAAGCTAAATTGCATCAAAGCAGTCACTGCTTTGATGCAATCTAGCTCGGTTGACCTGCGTTTCTCAAACTGACCAACTTCATTCGTAACTTAAAGCGTGTTGCTTGTCCTTGTCTTCAACGTTTACTGTTAGTAATTTTGATGTCATGTTCCCGGTGCCATCACTCTCCTCTCCATGGTGGAGGAATATTATGATTATCTCTGGCGACTTAGATCAAGATTGGCACGCTCATGGTTGATCATCTTAGAAAGTCTTTTTGATAAAAAACTTCTTATTTTCGTTGCTTGGATTGAAACTTGCGCACAAGTCCTTAAGGATAATTACGTAATCAAACCGTGATTTCAATATTTGAAGAGGTCCTCATAATTTTCTGATAAAAATTATTCGATGGAATCATTTTAGACACTTTATGGGTTGACTTTATAACACGCACAATAGGAAAAATGTTCCATAACTTTGCACAGGCATATGAGGGCCCGATAATCATAGGTGCCCGATGAGGGTTAGTAATATTAGAGGCGAGATGCGGGATGAAAATAGAAGGGTACGAACGGGATATGCTCTGTTTCGAAGGCGGAATAGGATGGTCATAGCCGAGACAAAATTCAACTCAAGTTATGGGTTACACGACCTAAGAAACATCAAAAAGTATTTATTTGCTTTATAAACGGGCTTAAATTAGTAATCCAAATAAACCGCGTATGAAATGGCACAGCCTACGTGTCGCCGAGATTTTCTTTGGCTTCAACACGTATTTTAACGCATTTTAAAGCTCGGTTTTGCCTCATGAGAGTTATGAGAAATAAGAGTACATTATCAATATTATGATGACTATAATTTGTCCACCAGTTTAAATACGGCGGTGAACTTGAACAATATGGGCAGGGATCGGCGGCATAGAATAAAAGACGGGATCGGGATGAAAATGTTCATTGCGGTGGGATGGCGGAATGGAATGAAAAATTGCGGTGCGACAAGGAATTGACAAAGTCTATTTTTGAGCCTCGCATATTAGAACTGATTTAGATCCTCCTCTTCGAATGCGGCTAAGATATAACATATTCAAGTACTTGCCTTCTTGTGTAGGCCAAGCTTGTGTATAACAGAAGGTTGAAGACAATAAGAGAACCACTAAGTATATCCTCATTGCAGTAGTAAATTCGACCTATAAGAGATGAAATAAGGTATGATTGATCAATTTTGCTTCAATAGAAATGATGACTCACGAAAATCAGTTCAGTGGCCACGAGTTGTTCTTTACTTGATAGGATAAAGCAGTTGATATTCAGAGATAGGCCTGTTTGGTTTTCTGACCAAAGTGAATCTGTTCCCCTTACAGAGTCTCTCTTTACTATCTTTGTTTTTTTCTTCCAATGATTTTTGTCCATGCCTTAATAGGCATGGACAAAAATATTCATATTCAATATTCATATCATGATTAATGATTGTACTCACTGCTGAGCGCATTTAATTTTGTTTATGTTTAAATTGTGGAAGCAAGTTATACCTTGTATTTGTATTTTTAAAAACAAACGTCTGTCGGCTTTCTTTTTGACAAATCACTTTTCCACAACCATGTGGTTCAAGAGAAGTTTCCTGCTAGTGAAATGTACAAATTCTCTGATCTTACCAAATTTAACCATGGATAGTTAGAACTGACTCGTTTTTAGGATTCGTTACTATTGGCAACCCTTTTCTGTTTGGCTTGGTTCATATTTGTCATTCACAGATCACCTTCTCTCCCCTGCCATGTTGAGTGACATGTTGTTATACCTGGTTTGTAAGGATCTCCTCACTTTTGATTTAATGAAAATTGTTTCTTGAAAGTTACCACATTACTATGGAACTCTTTCGTTTTTTATTTTGGCATTACACACGATTATACACGAATTAATGTTAATTGATGGCGATATGTACAAATTTTGTAACGTAACTGAAAAACAATATGCCTTTGATGGTAACAGAGAGGTAGCCCGTTCAATTTCTTTCTCCAAGAAATTTATACGTTCTGAAATTATTGAGGATATGGAGCAAAATTTGAACCAAATGATAAATTTTAACATAATTTTTATTCAGTCTGGTGTAGAAATAGCCCCTATTTTGAGAAATGATTATTCAGCAAAATGTACACGCCACACTCGACCAAACACAAAACGGGAATTCGTTTATTCGTACTGGTATATTTTCCGTTGAACCACTTTTGTTGATCACGGGCTTTAAGGGGAAAAAACTGAGGCAATTATGCTTTGCGTGAGGTTCTGCGCTGATCCAAGGTAATAACACGAATAACAAAGAAGACGATCCTTAGACAGTGTGGTCGTCGGAAAAATCTTTTTACCTTCAACTTAAACTAAGACCTTACATTAGCCTTAGTTTAGGGTAAAAGACAGAAAGAACTGAAGAGATTTGCGAAATTGAACGTTCTTAACCCAGTCTTCTGTTCATGTCTACTTCTGATAACAAATTATGCCGACTATCTCATATTTTGGTTCATAGAGAAAGTTGTCCCAAAATATTTTAATATTACTTTTTGTGCTACCAAGTATGGGCACTTATGTCGAACTTACGGTGATCATGGATTAGGTTATTAGATTTACAACGGGTAAAACATACCACTCGTCAGGGAATCAATCAGAGTTTGAATTTTAAAAGAACTAAAAGGAACACTGCTGTGACAAACATGACTTGGAAATACAATTTTGTAAAATTGACGTTAAGAAACGTAAAGTTTAATACTTCCAATCAAAAGCTTTCAAAACTAAGGCATGAAGAACAAAATTTATGAGAATGAAAATGTAATTGCCATAAAATTTCATAACGTTAAAATGAAAACAATATTCTATTTTGAAAGAATTGAATACCAGTTGCTATGACCATATCTACATCTGATTCGATCGTGTGGGCAGTGTTAGATCTTTGCCTGTCACTATCGCATTCCCAAAGTCAGTAATAGGGTTTGTGTGCGGCATGCCCCACGCGTGGAATGAGATGTTCGAGCCCTTTTCACAGAGTTTCAAGTGGTTTACATGTACTTTCTTTCTAGCTTAAAAGCGAGTTTGAATTTTAGAAGAACTAAAAGGAACACTGCTGTGACAAACACGACTTGGAAATACAATTTTGTAAAACTGACGTTAAGAAACGTAAAGTTTAACACTTCCAATCAAAAGCTTTCAAAACTAAGGCATGAAGAACAAAATTCATGAAAATGAAAATGTAGCTGCCATAAAATTTCATAACGAAAAAATGAAAACAATATTCTATTTTGAAAGAATTGAATATCAGTTTCTATCACCATATCTACGTCTGATTCGTTTGTGTAGGCAGTGTTAGGGTCTTTGCCTGTCACTAACGCATTCCCAGAGTCAGTAATAGGGTTTGTGTTCGGCATGCCCAACGCATAGTATGAGATGTTCGAGCCCTTTTCACAGAGTTTCAAGTGTCTTACATGTACTTTCTTTCTAGCTGAAAAGCGTCTTTCAGTTTCCCTAATGAAGCTCGAAGGACAGGGTGTGCGGCAAGGAAATGCTTTTTTAATTTTAGCTTTCAGTGTTATTAGCATAGACTGGAAACCGAAAACTCCTCGTTTATCAAAAATTTCTTGAGGAAGAACGGGTTTTTCGCAAATATAAACTTTAACAAGGTTGCTGACCCACTTTTGAATTTTTCATTAGACTCAAGGCTGAGTCAAAGGCTGACTCATAGACTCTAATGCGGTTGCTTGGATTCAATACAGATCTATTGAAAACTGACGGAGAAAATCTGGTTTTTTTCCCTTGGACAGGTAGCAAGCAACAAGTCACTTCTCTCGTACTTTCCAATTAAGTTCTTGCGCGCATTCATAACTCGATATACGCATGGTGTAAAGCATGAATACTCTTTCAGGTTCTAAGTCTTCTGAATCACTATTGCCATCTCTCTCAACGTGACATGTATTTATTGATGAATTCGTTAAACCAATCGGTTAATTTTTTAAATTCCCTCCTTGGATGGAATGAACGGAGATACTTAAAGATATCAAACGAAATATTTCAATACAGATTTTAGGTGTTACTCCCTCTCCATAAAAGTTGATCTACCTTTTTCGGCATTTTGTAACAAATCAGACTTCGTAGCATCTCTGGAAATCTTCGATCAGTTACCACTTGTTTTCAATCCTCAGAATTGCAACCATAATTCTCTGAAATTCTTCGTTTCGTAAAATTGAGGAGTCTTCGGATGATTTTGAGTTTCTTTTCACTCTCAACTAAGCAATCGAGTACAACCAAGTATAAAATATAGGAAACGTACTTTAACTGTGCTGTATGTGAAATATAAGCGAGCGTTAGCCCTTCGTCTGTTGGAAACTTCCGCTTTAAAAATTTTTGCAGTGGCCTGTTACATTATCAACTCAGTTCGTAAAAACAAATTATCCTGTGGAACCCCCCTTCCTCCCCATCGACGCATATGTTAGCATGTAGAGTGGTATGTTGCTCGCACCAATATAATCATATAAGCTCATTTGGCAAGTGTTATGATTGTAGCCTTTGCAAGAGCCTCGTCGAGTGATTTCAAGATTTATCGGGATGTGAAAGGTTCGCATTTATTTTTATTGTATAATTTTTACGTTAAAATGTGTTTTTTCCGCTCCTTTTCTCACAACGCACGCACCAAACAACGTACTATGAAAACAACGTCTAAAGTATAATCAGAAAATACCCAATCATTGCACTGCATGAACATTGAGCAATTTTTCACGTGCTTGTGTTCTACCAATCAAATTCCATTTTGCCACTTTAGACTTCGCTCCATCACTCGCCATTTCCTTGTAAAAAAAACTGCATTTTATCACGTATTCTAACCGCATCATCCAACACCACTAAAAAAATTCACAGGAAACTTTATGCTACTGATAGTGAATTTTACACGCATTCTCCCTCGTCTTGACTTTTTCTACGAATAAAATTCGCATTTGGCTACCTTGGAATTAACCCAGTCGCGTGTAAATTCCTTGTAAACAACCTGCATTTTATCGCGTATTTCACACACAGAGGGCAAAGTTCAGTTAGGCAACAACCAATCAAACAGCCTTCTTTGAAATATTATCCTTTTCTCTTGCTCAGTGTATCTTCCCTCGTACGAGATGTCTTTGGTTAGGGTCTATTGAAGATATAACAATTTCAGTCTGCTTTTCCCAGTAAAATTACCTGGAATTAAATTTTTGAGGTGACTAACAGTAGGCGAATAATTTTAAATTTCTCTCTGTTAGAGGAACGGCTGTAAGCGTAGCCTCTTTCGCAACTGTTATTTGGTCTCGTCCAACGGGAATTAGAGAGCGTTGTGCGACGAGACCAAACAACGGATGCGAAGGAGACTACAGTCAGCGTGGCACCGATGCACGTTATTTTTGCTTAGTAGTTAGAAAATAGAGACAATAGACCAGAAAATACCTGTGTGAGCTCAGATAAATTATGTTTTTTCTCTTTCTCTTGAAGTGAATTGATGCGATATTTTCGTTCTTGTGAAAGTTATTTTAAAAAACATTAGGAACACAAAGTGTCCTATTTCGACCTACTCAGCTAAAAAAAAAACTCTTGCATGCTAGCATGCCTATGTTTAATTTGTGCAACAGTATGATTGCTTCTATATGGCAGTAAATCCTTATGATTGTACCAACTAGTCCTAGTGCGGAGTCTGGCCTCACTTTGCACCACGGTAAAAAGTCTCGTTTATTATTTCATGAACAATCAAATTTCGATGGCAAACACCCATTGGGTAAAGCGTTTTAAAAAGTTGTAGCCTTAAAGAAAATTGGTAAACAACCTTCCCTTGTAAATGACAGAGATACAATTGTGATTTGAGATCCTTTCTCGAGCCATTTTGATTTACAAGTGCACTTTTATGATGATGGAGTCAAGGGATGGAAATAAGTTTGATGATTAGTAAACTAGATGATCAAACAATACGAGCTTTTACGGTATTGGTAATTAAACATAAGACAATATTAGAGGAATCACCTGGTCAGAAAAGAACACAAATCCGGAAGGTGTGATTTTTATTGTTATTTTAGGGGATAAAAATTATGACAGAGAGGAGGATAAAGTGATGTGTAATATAAATCGCTTTGTTTTGTGATTATTACATCAAATCGTAGAAATACGATTGGCAGCAAATAATTTTCTTTCTATACTTGTCTGTCACTGAAGACAGAAAGATCTCTCCAGGCATTTTTAATGAATTCAAGGGCATACTATACGAGAAAGAAACTTCTTCTACTTTACGTACTAATGACTGAAAATAAGTAAATTTTCAGATCAAAAGTAATCTCCGAAAAGTTCTGGGTAACCGAAAACATTTTACATTAACTTGCGCATGGCAAAGATGTTTTTATTTTTGATCAACGTTTGTGCACTGGTCCGTTTATCTGTGAGTTCAGGTGAGACACATTCGTTCACACTCTTTTAGGTATTGACTCTGATAGATACAGGAGAATTGATTTCAACCGATGAATTCAAAATAAATCATATATATATAAAACCCTGAATTTTGCTATCTTTCCAAATGCGCTGAATACAGGTTTGATTGGCAGGCGTCAATTGATTGACGATTATATGATTCCTCTTTACAAAACTTACACTAATATTTTCTTTCATGTCGTGATTTTAAACCTGACAAAACATTGGTGCCTGAAACATTTTATGATCATTTCATGAAAATGTTAAATTGCAACGAGAAACCAAACTAAGATTGACCGCTCTTTAAATGGTCACGGGATATTTGACATAAAAAGAGAAAAGAGGAGAAGGAAAGAATCAAGATAAAAATGGGAGATAGCTCACAATCTCACCCGATGCAAATTCTTTCACTTTAAGTGTAGGAAAACTTGAGATGCAAATGAAAAAGAAATACCCGCTTGTTGTTTACTTTTTCCTTGCAAACACGTTCTTCCATCGTTCTAGAAACAAAAGATATCTGCTCACTCGGAAAGCATACCGTCGTTTTGGAAGACTGCATGAGCGGGGCTGTACAAGTCATTTGATAATTGCGGCTGATTTTTGTCGGAAATTCAAGAGATATGGTTTTGAAATACACGCCGCCTTAGAATCAACACTTCCCTTGAATAAATGCGAAAAACTTGTTAAACGTCGACGCGTTTAATGGACGATGCAAATACTGTAAAATTGATCCCCTTGCTATTCAGAAACAATCAAAATTTGCTACACTTCGCCCAATATTTGTTGAATATCCACTGGATGCCTAGGCCTAACGGAATTTCATCTTTTTTTTTTACGCCTGCTGCTCGTCACTAATCGACTGATGTGCTGGTCTACAGTTGATGAGTGGGAAGCCATTGGATGTTATAATAACTTTGATCACTCTGCTCTTCCTGTCCATTTCTACACCCCAACTGACCTGGACGTTAATGAACTCTGGCCAAACCTAAAACCACTGGCAAAGGCTTGCAGCAAACAGGCAGAAATCAGAAATTACTCTTGTTTTGGAATACAATATCAACATGAGTGTTGGGGAGGTAACTTTCATTTTCAAATGGAACAATTGTGTGTGTTTAAACTACTCTGGCGGACCTAAGAGTGTAAGAGGATGCAGTATCCCACAGATTAGTAGTTAAACTTAACAGCAGTTAATATGGTGCCGGCATGTGCAGTTTAACTCAGCTTCGTGATACTCGTTTTTAAAGCTCTCTATCTATAAGTGATCTCTTTGCTGCAGTCAGCATTTGAAGAGAGTTAGTAGGGGCTTCTAGATACTTAAAAAAATAACTAACTGAAGGCAAATAGGCCTATCATTATATTTCCCTAAACTGACTGTTGCCAAGCTTTAATGAATGTTGTATTTGGTATGGACCTCTATGGTACAAAAACCTACAAGGTTTTTAAGCAGAAGCTATTATATGCCATTTAATACAAGAATTTTGCCAAATGCTGAGTCGCTATGTCGCTCAAATGAATTTTTTTTTCGCGTGGTGTTCTTTTTTGAAAATTTGCCCGGGGAAGGGGAAGGAGAGGAGGAGAACTTGTAAAGCATTCACAGTATTTGATACTTTCGAACTAATTCAATGCCAAAGGTTTTTTTTTTGTCTTCAAGTAAAGGAATCCACTCTGCTATGACTTTGTGATACACACAAAACTAACATTCACCGTATGAATAGTGAAAAACTCTTCTTCGGTTGATAATAAGATTCTAACCTGCTTGGTGATGTTCTTATTTGGAATGTAAAGCTTTGTTAGATGCCGAAAAAACTGATTGGAAAAAAATATAATATAGACGAAGAAAATATTTCTTTTCGTATAGGAAGGAATGCGTCACTTACCTACGATTTATCTGGTAAATCCCGCAACTGTAGGATTGGTGTAAATAACTATGGGGTTGGAAAGCTTTACACAAGCTTCGTTTACAAGCTTAAGCCTGGTAAGTATATACCAAGGAGTATATTGAACGGCAAAAAATATAAGAGCCATATTAAAAGACAAAGGGTTAGACGATAAAATTAGAGCGTATTATTACCTTTGGGATGGGCCTAAACAACCAAACAAACAAACAAAAAAAGACAGGAGTCTGCCAAGTATCATGATTTGAATCTTCTTTCGATTTATTATGGTTTCTACCCATTAATAAGAGCAAAGCATATAGCCCTTCCAAGCAACTCGATTTAAAATAAATGATGTTGCACGTTGGCTGAATGTTTCCCTCCTTACCCGCTGACCGAACGTTTAGCGCGCACCTTACGGTTCACGGCTGTGATGCTTTTATACAACCTCAGTCAGATATTTTTTTAACCAGAGCAAGTTTATTTCCTGATTCCCAAAATTGCACCATCGCGATGGTCATTATCTCATTAACCTTTCTTTGTCCATTTTGATAGTGAATGGTAATTGGTCGGCTTGGTCTAAGTGGTCTTCCTGTTCAAAGACGTGTGATGAAGGTTCCCAGAAGCGCACACGTGGTTGTACAAATCCAGCGCCAGCAAATGGCGGCAAGCCCTGCCAAGCGGGGGTTTCCATGGAAACTAAAGCATGTATTCTGCTACTATGTCCAGGTTCGAACTGAGTCAGATGAAACCACAAAATGTCGTTTTAAGTTATCCTCTACTCAAAACATTTCTTTCCAAGATATTCACTTTTCTTACATAAATCATCTTCGTATTCAGTGAACGGCAACTGGTCTCCCTGGTCCTCGTGGGGTTCCTGTTCGAAGACATGTGACGAAGGCTCTCAGAAACGCATGCGTGACTGCTCAGATCCAGCACCAGCACATGGTGGAAAAGTTTGCATGGGAGAGGCCATAGAAACCAAAAAATGCAATCTTAAGTTATGCCCAGGTTTGCATTTAAAAAATTAAGTTGCAGTGATAAGGTTCTTTGATCTTAATTATCAAATTGACAGGAATTCAGACACGCACAGAACACGTGTAAACAGCCTCACAAGTCGACTGACCGACGGACTGATTACTAATTGGCTGGATTAATTCTCATCTTTGTTTAGTGAACGGCAACTGGTCTCCCTGGTCCTCGTGGGGTTCCTGTTCGAAGACATGTGACGGAGGCTTTCGAAAACGCATGCGTGAATGCTCAGATCCAGCACCAGCACATGGTGGAAAAGCCTGTATGGGAGAGGCCGTAGAAACCAAAAAATGCAATCTTAAGTTATGCCCAGGTTTGCATTAAATGGATTTAAATTTTAAGTTGCAGTGATAGCGTTCTTCGATTATGATCATCGAATTGACGGCAGGAATTCAGACAATCACAGTACATCTGTTAATAGCCTCATAGTTTAGCGATCAAAGAATGATTACCAATCAGTTGGATTAACCCTTGTGTCGCTGTTTTTATCTTTGTATAGTGAACGGCAAGTGGTCTCCCTGGTCTACATGGTTTCCCTGTTCTAAGACATGCGGTGGTGGTCTTCAGACGCGCAAACGTAGTTGCACAAATCCAGCGCCAGCAAATAGTGGAAAACCCTGCCAGGGGGTTACCAAGGAAACTAAGGGATGTAATGTTAATAAATGCCCAGGTTTGTTGTGAGAAGAAAATGCTAATTTGTAATTATCAGGAAGTAAAACAATACGTTCACTCTCCACCTTTTGAGTTATTTGTTCCTCTGGCCTACTGTTATGATGTGTTTACTTTCTCAGTGAATGGAAATTGGTCTGCCTGGTCTGCTTGGTCTTCATGTTCAAAAACATGCGATGATGGTTTACAGAGACGCATGCGTAAATGTAAAAACCCAGCACCAGCAAACGGTGGTGACCCATGTAAAGGGAATGCCAGTGAAGTCCAGACTTGCAGTTTACAATTCTGCCCAGGTCTAACCACTTCTATGTTAGATAATGTTGCTTATATTCTAATTCGCTACCCCGCTTAAACGAATATAAAACATTTATCATGTTATAAGCAACCAAAGTTGGGGTGTGTCGACATGAGCTGTGTGCGACCCTCTTTATTATGTCTTGCAAGCAAAATTACAGACACTCTGAAAGGCTCAAAACATTACATGCAAACAACTAATAATACAATAAACGCACTGACTCTTATGCAGTATTTTTTGCATACCATGCAACACCCCACACACTAGGTTACGTAACCACGATAAATTCATTTTCTTTCACCCAACCTGTGCCGGTAAGTATATACCAATGTAGTGATCTCCAAGCTGAAGTTGAAAAATATAGCTGGGCGTTTGTGAACATTATATAATGATAGTAGCTGCATTAGATAACGAAAAATAAAATTTAGGTTGAGGAATAATATAATGACGGCAAAACCTTCGATAATTCTCTCGTTTGCTACCAAACAACTGCCGAGAATCTTTTCACCGAGAACACTGTTGCCCTTTTTTTAGTTCCGTTAGATATAGTTCACTCAGCTTGAAATGATTATAAGCAATAATCTCATTTGTTTTACTTCATATGCAACGTAAATGAGAAGGATAAATCCCAAGCTTGTGTTGCTTTGGTTTTCACAGTGAATGGTCAGTGGGGCTCTTGGCAAGCCTGGAACGCATGCTCTGTAAGCTGTAAAGGTGGCGTCCAGAGACGTAAACGTAGCTGTAATAATCCCTCTCCGGCACATGGTGGCACTGACTGTGTCGGGGTCTCTATGGTGACACAAAGCTGTAACTTAAAGCCCTGTCCAGGTATAGCCATTTCAAAATTTATTAATAGAACGAACGAAACGGCGAGTAAGTGAGGCAATGAGGTTAGAAGCAAGAAGGGCACAAATTATATGGATTACGTTTGTGTAATAATAGTCGTAATTGCTATTTACGCAGTTAATGGTGGTTGGAGCCCTTGGAACAATTGGAGCAGTTGTCAGCGAACTTGTGGTGGGGGCACTCAGCTTAGATATAGAACTTGTACTCACCCTCTCCCACAGCATCATGGGAAGCCATGTATAGGACAAGGCTCAATGTCCCGGAGTTGCAACACGTTCTCATGCCCCCGCGGTATGTTGGATTTTTTATTCAGTTCAGGTCACTTACGACGAAGTGGCAAAGCGGATGCAGAAAAGTTTCCTCTTGAGCGCTTCATTCTCTGGCTGCAAACTCTCCAACCCTGTTTACGTTTGCGTTCATTTTTCAGAACGGAAATGAGGAATGACGAGCATCTTGCGACATTGTTTACTGAAACTCACGCGAAATTGTTATGTTTTCAATCAATTTGTGAGAAAAATAGCGCTAGTACCTCGCTTTAAAGAAAGCACATTGTCTATCAAGCATTGGGATGTTTGAAGTGAATCGCTTTTTATCGCTCTTTGCAAAAAAAATATTCATAATAGACTTACATCATAACATGCTACTAAGTGAACTTTCCTGCGTACTATTGACAGGAAAGACTGAATAAATGATTTGGGGTTTGAAGGTTTAAGTCTGAAATTTAAAAAAAATGGAAAATTGGCTGCAGGGCATCTCCAGTACAAGTCAATTTTCTTTTTGTTTTAATAGAATAGAAAACAAGAATGAAATTCACTAGTTTCTTTTTCCTTCTATCAGGAAAACGTTTGGTTTTGTGCGAAAACAATATGGGCAGAATAGTTAAGTGCGGTCTTTTTCGACGGATCCGAATTCACTGGGTACACTATGGGTACATTGAGGGTGACAGAGCTTGTGGAAGCACATACAAGGACACTTGTTCCTCGCAAAAGGCTGTTCGTGTTCTGAAAAGATGGTGCGAGGGGAAGTTCTTTTGTGTGGTAAAACCTTGGAACAGGTTTTTTCGGGCTCCATGTGGGAACAGGAAGTACTTAAAACTCTACTACTCCTGCTAATGGCGATTAGGAAAAAATAATGTGCAATTTGAAAAAATCACAGCCAATACTTTAAAATGCGTATCCTTTATTTAAAGACTAGGTATAGATATTGGTGATGGTAATTATTGTTAGCAATGCTACAAGCTAATCAATAAAATTCAAACGGCTGGCGAAGGACGTTTCCAGGATTTAAGTGAATAAGTTGGGTTATCCTTCGTATGCATTTCCCGTTTACGTTAAGTCTAAATGACCTGACAGAAGGGAGTGCCTATTACTGTGCGAGTGTGACTGGTTGTAAGGTACATGTCAGATTTCATCTGTCCTATCATTCTGATTCACTGTTTCTTGGAGAAAGCCTCCTCCAGCATGGCTTTATTTTCCCTAACCCACACGTCAAACCTCTGAGTTTCTTCATTCAGCTTCTTAGTCAATCTTATGTCACGGTCTGGGTTTCCTCGTTTATAGAACTCAAACATGTTTCCAAGTTCAATAGCGGCAGGATTGTCAGGCTGAGCTCTGTACTCATCTAACGTAATCTTTGAGTCCTGAAAAAAAAAAAAAGAAGCTTTATAACGCCTTTCCATAAAATGCAGGAACCCTAACATTCAGAGCCAAACTTGTGATTTAATTTCATGCAACCGGCAACCGACAATCAACGGCTACACAAAAGCAAACATTCTGGATTAACTGTAGAATATCACGCTTTGAATATTCGTAAACATCGCACATGTTTAAGAAGGGGTTCGAAATATGATCGACAGCAGTGCATAACACATAAGGAGATCACACGAATGAAAAACGCGTAGCGGTCCCAATATACCGCCCAATGAGCATTCTAGTAGCTTAGACGGGCATTTTAGAGGCTTATACGTCAGCATCTCCGACTGCTGTGACTGACTTGTGACGTATTTGTGACGTAAGATCTAATCTATTTAGTGTGGGAAGTGGTAACACCAATGTTAATTAGTTCTTGCCGCAGTAGATGATGCGGATTCAGTTGGTCATAGACAGCCTTAGATAGGTCTAGAACTACAGCATTTAGAAAGCTACTGGCTTTTTAGTTTTGGAGGATAGTCCGTGGAATGAGTCAAGGTTGTCCCAGTTAATCACCTCGGTGTGGACCCAATCTGTAAGTTTTACTAGTTCCATTCTTAGTGTTTACAGTTGATGTGAACAACTTCTTCTAAGATTAGACTCATCTTCAGCAGGATGAAATGGGCTGTAATTGTTTTAATTGCAGTGATTACATTTTTTCGAATGACGCTGTGACTTTTCCAGACTTCAAAGTTAAGGAGTACCGATGCTGTGTCTTTCCACAGGCGCACAGATCACAATAAGAGCAAGCCGTCGGCCTCAGTGTCAGAAAGGGGAGTTCTTTCCTTGTGAGATGTTATGCCACTAAAAGTCTTCCAAGATGTACATGGATAGGGTTTAATTCTTAACATCTCTTGATCTCACTATTCCTGGCGCGAATTAAATGATAGGTGCGCAATGCGTACAAACCCAAGGAAACCCAACATGTTTTACTATTGAAGCCTCCCTTATATTAAATCAGACTGACATTTCAGCTAACCTCAAATTTTAAGCCTTTTTCCTCTAAATGTTTGGTCAGTGTCTCACAATATTGCTGGATTGTAATCTTGTCTCCACTCAGACCAATGGTTTTGAAATGGTAACAGTCCGGGCTCTCCAAAATGCCTGTGACAAATATGATGGATCAAAAATCAAACTGCAAGAGCGCGAGTAGTAGGAAAAAAAAGGAAAACAATGAACAAAGGAGTTTCTTTTACCATAGACACATTCTCCGCCTTGTGTGACGTCTATTCCATCCATGGCAACACCTTCCATCGGAATATCGTATAGTAAAGTACCATCGTCCTTTTTCCGAGGTGTAAAGAGCGATACCAGGTTGTTGTAATAGAACGGGAAGCGTACTATGGTAAAAGGCAAGCGTTCTTTGAGCTTTTTTGTGTGGAGGTATTCTTCAACCATGCCTTTACCATCAAAGTGAGCTGAAAAAGGAGAAGAAGAAGGAGCAAATAATGGTTGTTATTTTTCAATAACGACTAAGTCATCATTTCGGTGAGTCGCGTGGCCCAAGGACCGGATGAGAGCATACAAACTGCCTCAGCCAATACAGGCATCTGATTTGCCTTATTGCTTGCTGCTCGGTAGATGTCTGGATAACCGGCTTCCAGAGTAAGATAGCAAATTTCATTTGCATTAGCGATGACGAGTGTGATCTCGTTCCCAGAACCTCCATTACCCCTGTCCACTACGAAGGGCGCAAGGGAACGCAATCGTAATGCGGCAGTGGAGGAAGTGACAATAGGAGGCAAAGAGAGTTGTTACACCAGAAGGTTTGTTTGTCGCAGGAAAAACTTTATTTCGACATTTTACATCGTCAGAAGATTTCGGGCGTCGTGTTGTTTTTTTCTTTTCAGTGCCATAAAAAACTACGCTATATCAGTGGCAACACGCAGTCTAAACTACCTATTTCTCTGTTTTGTTGCGTAGCACTCCCGATTATTAATCGATTCAGGGCTGTGAGTGAGAAGACTCAATGTTCATTTGCGAATGAAATATGGTCGGAGTAAACATGATATTCGTTCGTAAATCATCAAGGAAAGTACGTATATTCAGGCTCATATCAAACCTTTTTTCGAGGGCCGAAGAAAACAAAAGTAACGAAGTACTAACAACCTCTCTTTTCTCCCTACGGGCCATTAATTGATAAGTCAATCAACCGGAACACTATGAATGAAGGGGGTAAGTTTCTAAGGAAACTGTAGTGCTGTGTCTGTGAGAGAGTATAAAAGGTCATTTAGTGTCATCAACTGAGTTAAAAACCTTACTTGGCCAACGTAAATAATCTAAAGGCTGATGTTTCAAACGCTTGGCCCTTCGTCGGAGCGATAGACGAAACGTCAGCCTTTAAACTCTTTACGGTGGCCAATTTACGTTTTCAACTCAACCGGAACACTGTTCTCGTGCGCAGAATATGTCAACACCAAGCTTCTTTGCTTTAGCAAATACTCTTGGGAAACGCGATATTCGTTTTACTTGACCAAATGAATCATCTTGAAATAAAAAAAGAAATAAAAACACGATGTCAAATGTCCTTGATGTGACATACTAATTACAAAAACTCAAATAACAATAGAATCGAGGACCAATTTTTGCACCATGACAAAGCAGATTCTCTAAATTTTTGCTCGCCCGTAACAATTCATTTAGTTAATTTTCCGGTACACTACAGTTCTTCGCTCCGTCCCGTAGAATTTTGAAACAGATTATAACTGCCACCGATATTTATCTGCAGGAAATGTAATATTTTTTTCAAAAACGAGTTTGTCGGAGCACCACCCAGATCGCTCGGTTGATATTTGTATTAATCACAACTTCACGGTGCTCAGCGGGCCACGAATTTTGAAACTCACAACATATTACTCACCACACTCAATTCCAATCGCTTTCTTCACATTTTCCAACCCACTGTAAATCAAATGCTTCACTCCAAGCGCTTCGCACACGTCGATGACTCGTTTACCTTGTTCTACTTCTTTCTCCATACTAAAATGTTCCCAGTAGTTTGTCACCAGGAAAACTCCGTAGGAGCCTTTGATTGCCTGTTCCACGGATCCTTTGTTGTCCATATCACATACCACAACCTCACAGCCTTGAATCTTCAGTTGTTTAGCCTTTTCTCCATCTGGCCTCCTCGTCACGGCGCGGATAGCGTAGGGTTCTCCTCTAGAAATTGCTTTGAGCAGCGCAGAAACTACTCCTCCACCTTGCCCTCCAGTAGCTCCAAAAACAGTAATAATTTTTGCCATTTTCGTTGCTTCGAATCACGCCTCTGCAAAGCTTTAGCTGCCTATGTTTCCTGTCGGAAAGTTAGCTCGTTAATCACGTAAATGCAAAGCAATATGCTAAATAATTAATGCAAACTCGACTGATATTGGATAATAGCTTGTCACGTTTTCCGTCACGTTTATTAAAATCCTCTCTGTTTGCTCTTGTTCATTGAAGTAGAATCAACAAAGACGCAGTTTATATGCAACGGACCATGAGTTGGATCAATCAGTGACAAACACATCTACTGTTCACTCTTATTATAACTTTCATGTTGCTTTTAGTTGTTGCAAAGATGGGTTCTACTTGCATCAAACCAAAATAAATTGACTATTTTATATGAATCTAAACGTCGATAACGGAGAGGTTTAGACTGGGCACAGGCGGTTTACATATAACTCCTCCTCCGGCGCAGCTATGAACACTACTGAACTAGTAGTTGAAATAAAGCCTGAAAAAAATTCAGGCCCACACGGGATTTGAACCCACGACCTCTGTGATACCAGTGCAGCGCTCTAGCCAACTGGGAGCTTTTTACAGGCCTTATTTCAACTACTAGTTCAGTAGTGTTCATAACAGCGAGGATCGTTTCTTCAACCGCAGTGCACACATATGATTTTCATATGTTTACAGCATTATTCAACATAATGACCAGCTCGCATATAGATCGATTCTATATTTCTTTCTTCGACCGCATTACACGCATATGATATGTTTACAGTCATGTTAGTCATCATTTAGGATTGAGCAATACGTTCAGCAAGCAATTCATCAGACTTGGATAGAGCTAATGGCTATGCACCACGCTAGCACGTTTTAACTGCAAAATTTCTTTAGTATATTACCGCTTAGGTGCACGTGTTATTAACAATCCAGCAAGCAAGGAAAAAGTTTTCTTTAGCTTCTAAGAAATTTTTGTTTCTCTCCCAACCACATCATAGAAAGTTTTGATTGTTTCTATATTTCATCATTGGTGTTTGTAATTTATTCCTGATAACTTGACTGTTGTTTTAGAGTATCCATCGAATACCTTTGATGTTTTGGTCTAACGATAAACTGTCTGGTCCCGACACAAGCTTCAGTTTGTTGTGATGTTTCAGTAACGATTCTCGTTATCGAAACCGAAAAATTTTACAGTTTTAAAAAATTTCTCTCCAGATCCTCGGGTCAACTTGTGAAGTGTACGTACAACCACTTCAGTCCCATGTGTTAAGTCCTAAACGTATTTTAAAATTCAAGTTTGACTCGTCAGTAGATCTATGAACGACTGTCGGGGATATTCTTTGGTTGATAGTCTTTCTGTTACTTGAAGACCAACGCGATTAGTTATCATTTCTTCTTTTGTTTCTAGCGTGCTTTTCTTTTCGATATCCTGCATGACGTGTAAACTTGACGACTTTCCTCCGTTTCAGGAGGTGATCATTCAAATACAACACTTTTTCAATCTATTAATTGCATGGCTCTGTCCCACGGAGTCGTGTGAGCTCCACAGGGCCGGTCCATGTGACAAAACTGATTCCTTGTGTATGCTAGCTAGGTACCAATGTCCTTCATCACGACTGCGAAAATCTCCTGACTGAGTTAATGCCAACAGTCCACGTTTAAGATGCGATAAAAAATATTTCAAAAATAGAGATCTTCTCAAGCGTGTTTCTTCGGAAAAATCTGTGACTCCATTTCTGATCTAGGGTCAAATGGATTGCGCCTTACGACCTTGTACGTTTGTTATAAATTTTGGATTTTAGAAATAAAGATATCTATTTCTTGATCTTTTAGATTTTCTTAAATATACGCCTGTTGAACTGGTTTCCGCCGATTAACTATTCTTCATTGCATGCTCTTTTTCTGCTAATTGTCGCTTATTTTCCTCAAAAGTCGATTTAATTTTCCCCAGGAGAAGCGTTATTCCCCTTCTTGTAAAACAGGATATTGCTCCGGTAGGTTTACTTCCGTCGACAGCTGTGTAAGCTATTGAAATCATTAGACACGTGCGAATCAAATTCAGCCACATAGTGATGTAAGCAGATAATAGTCCTTTGACAGATCGTTACTTTGTTACATTGTTTCTTTCCGATCTTTAAAATCCTCAAAGGATCAAATCATGAATTACTTCAGCAGGCAGCGATGGTCACAAAAGCTTACAAGTATAATTTTGGCCGTTCGTCCGTGGTCTTTCTCGGCGTCTATAACAAGTACTTTGCTTGGACTTTGCCTCGTGTGGAAAGAAAACAAAAGTATCGACATTATCCAAGCGATCTTTACCATCGCGACAGTTTTATTTATTCACGGCGCTGGGAATTTGGTGAACACTTACTATGACTTTATCAACGGTTTTGATACAAAGGATTCTGACGATAAAACTCTGGTCGATAAATTGCTTTCACCAAATGATCTTGTCGCTTGTATCACGGAGTTCTATGTAATGGGAATCGTGTGCTTTATTGCCATTTATCTCCGCTCAGATGAAGACACTGTGCCTTTGATTGCACTGTTTCTATGCGGTGTGCTGAGTTCGTTTATTTACACCGGAGGAATCGGCTTAAAATATATGGCACTTGGTGATATCCTGATCTTTCTTACGTTTGGTGCTCTGGCTACGGTGTTCGCTTACCTAATTCAAACCGGTGAAATTTCATTCGGAATTATTGCCTATGCATTACCCTTGGCACTGAACACAGAAGCCATTCTACACGGGTAAGTAAATAGTTACAGGTTATTCAGGTCCCATTCAATTCAATTGTACGTTTTAATATACTCAGAACATGACTATTACGTCGTGTACATGACTCTATTGTCGCGTTCCGCGCGCGAGGCGAACGCGAGACTCGTGCACACGAGGCAGACATGTACTTCATCAGAAAACCATCTATTTGCCGTTTGCCACTTATGATGTGTATATGGCAAACAGCCGAGCTATCTGTAAGTCATTTAGTGTTAACAACTGGGTTGAAAACGTAAATTGGCCATCGTAAAGGGTAAAAAAGCTGACGTTTCGAGCGTTAGCCCTTCGTCAGAGCTGACGAAGGGCTAACGCTCGAAACGTCAGCTTTTTTACCCTTTACGGTGGCTAATTTACGTTTTCAACCCAGTTGTTAACACTAAATTACCTGCTATACTCTCCCACCGACGCAGCACCACAGTATCTTTAGAAACTTGCCCCTTTATTTATCTGTAAGTCATACCTGACAAAACTATCATTATGCACGACATCGTACATGAACGCAATTCCCTACCCCCCTCACATGATTCCTCATACCAATTGTATCTCCGACACGAGTTGTTCTTAGGCTGAAACTCAATTGTATTTAAAATTGTCCTTTCCCTCTCTTCAGGAACAACACACGTGATCTGGAGAGTGATAAATCATCAGGAGCTGTGACATTGGCCATTCTACTTGGCAAGCAGTATGCTTGCGTTCTGTACTGCTTACTTCTGATTGGTCCATATGTTGTACTGTGTATCCTGGCCTTGAATTCTTCTTGGACTCTACTATTCCCTTTCGTAACGGCCCCACTGGCTGTTCATTTCTCGTCTCTATGTCTCCATGGAGATATGATCATGATTCCTCAAAAAACCGCTCAGCTCAATCTCCTGTTTGGCTTACTTTACTTGACTGGGCTGATTATTTCATAATGAATTGAACTGAAGATAATACAATATGTTGAGATGTAACTTGTTGTGCGGTTGAACATACTAATTCCCTGAAGCTCACTTTCACAAAGCGCAATTAAGATTGCTGCTGAACTTGCCTTTACCCAGCTGATTGCTTCAGACATGCGCTTAAGTGCGCTCTTTGAACGTACAGTGACCACGAGGTTGTTTCAGCCGTATTTTCGAATCCACTCTACGATCGTCTCGAGGACGGGGAAGAAACGTGGCAATCGAGCCAGCTGAGCAAATCTTACCGAGCCCGCCACAATACAGTTCGTTACCTTTCAGTTAGCTTTATTGGGATTATTTTTCTCGGGCTTTTGATTATGTAAAGGCTGAGACATCTGTAATGAGTTTCTTATCTTGGTGTCACGATATAATTTATCATACAATGCATCGTTGGTTGCCTTTCACAACAACATATAATAGTATAACAATGTCAGGCGTCTGAGTCAGTGGAGTGACGGCAATAGAACTGTGATATTCTTAACCAGAAGTTCTACACCAGTTTGCTCCCTCACAACATCTCGGTTACCTACAACCGCCGACAAATTGTTGACACATTGACCTTTTAAACCCCCTTTCACTTCAAATGATCTCTTTAGCCCTCGTTAAGTCAAACTATACGTCCCTCCCCCCCCCCCAAAAAAACAAAAAAAAAAAAAGGAAAAGAAAACAATGTTGTATCGTGATTCCATTAACTTTTAGTTACATACTGGAAACATTGAATAGAGGAGGGTGATTAGGACCGTGGTAGAAACAGGAGTGACCTTCTACACGTAAATAAGACTCGGCAAACATGATGTGTCAACTAAGTCAACGCTGATTGTAGTTTCAAATCTTAGAAATACCGAATGGCGGCACAATGAAATGGTATAAATGGCCAGAAATAAAGATCCACGGAGGAATGAATTAATAAATAACTGAAATTAAGGGAAATTTGCTACTAAAGCTAATAAAATAGCTACGATTCATTTGCTTCCACCAAGTACTTGGGGTACTTTGTACATTGTTAAAAAACACACCCTAGCGACGCCATTCAGAGCCTATCAGAACCTGTAAGGGTTAAATTAAAAAGACCGGAGACCGTTCAATCTCTTAAGACCTCTTAAGAAAATATTTGTGGACCAAAATAGAAGACGGTTCCTTTTCGGTTGCTGTGGTCACAAAGATGGTGAGTCTTGTGAACACGTCATAAGCAAATCATGCGGCATTCCTGATGCATGATTCATTGTTTGCTACAGCTTTCTCTATTCTTCTACATTTTTCTTTTCTCTTCAAACGTTGTGAACTATTAACTTGTTTCATGCAGCATTTTCCACTGGGAATTGATGCCAGCTTAGCTTTGTTAAATATGTGATAAACTGGACCAAAGGCAAGGTGGATCAAAACTGATTCAATTTTCTTCTTTTCCTCGAACATCATCCTCGTGTCTTGAATGAGACTGATTAATTTCCATATAAAAATAACCCTTAACCTTGTAAACAGCGATGTAAATTGATGTTATTTTTATCCACTGGACATTAGCATAGGAATTTGCTAGATTATCATTGTCTTGCATATTGATTACATTTTCCACCCACATTTCGCTTCAAATCCATAGACTAGAGAGAACTTCACTCTAAACTGCGTCCAAATTTCATTATAGTCACCGAAAAAAAATTGTTCCTTTCGACCTTTGCCATTTTCACCGAATTTTCTGACGTTTTATCACGTGACATTTAAGCTGTAAAAAAAAAATAACAGCTGACCATGTCTTTTAACTCAAACAAACGCAACATATTTATTAAATCATTGGAGCCATGGACCTTCCCAGCGTCGATTTTGTCATTTCTTCTGGGGACAGTTCTCGCCTGGAAACATGACGGCAAGTTTGATGTTGTGAAATGTTTCCTCACAGCTCTTGTTATCCTCCTCACTCACGCGGCAGGGAACTTTGCAAACTCGTATTACGAGGCCGAAGACCGAAGGTTTTTCATTTCGTCTACCACAAGACGAGTCACGCTCGAAATCAGCGCAAAATGGGCGGTATGGAGTTATGTTCTTGCTTCAGCAGCGTTTTGCTGTCTAGCTGTGGTCTCTGAAGCAGAATTCAGGCTGGAATTTGGCCTGTACGCTACTGGTTTTCTCACTTCAATGTTACATGGTGGAGGATTGAAGAACATTGTAGTCGGCGACGTGTTAGCCTGTGGGATATTCGGTCCTCTGTCTCTTGTGTTCAGTTACATTCAACAGGTTGGAACCGTTCACCGGCAATTGTCGTATACTTGGATGGTAACTTACTCTTTGCCTTTTATGCTATTCACAGAAGCTATATTTCACAGGTAGGAAGTTGCCTCTTACTTTTTTTAACTCATTCGTGACACCTCAAGCGCGAGACATGTTTACTTGTCTCTTGAATAATTTAACCCTTACCACTCGGGTTGCCTCCCACGAGATCGTCAAGTCGACGAAAGCTAGTCAAGTGTGACCGAGGTTACAGGGCTAAGGACATATTCTCGTTTCTACTATTGGTTCTTAGGCTAGCGATGTTCTTTCGTGACTGAGTTACTCAGACATCGCAATTATGAGAAAAAGCTAACTTCGTGTAATGAATCTAATCCTTACACCTGTTACGCTTGGCTGCACTACGCACTACGCACTACGCACTACGCACTACGCACTACGCATCTTATTATACCCGCGGAAGTTTGTGTTTATCGTAACAGTGGCTTCAATCAAACCATTATCAGGCAGAATAATGAATCGAAATTAAATTCCCGCTTCTTAAGTCAAGGGCTGTTAATCTCAAAGTTCGTGGTTGATCTGGATAAAGGAAAAATCCAATACACAATATTTTTAAGAATATAGATTATATATAGGATATATATATGATATAGATATAAAGATTAATTTTGACTTTACGTAAGACAGTGCTCAATGCATAGGAGTAGAGCGATGTATATATTGTGGGAAGAAAAAGACAAATAAGCTACCAGTTCATCCTTACAGACCTGTTTCGTGGTTGCCCACTCATCAGGGGACTTAATGAGAATAGATCTTTACCATCGCTACCATGGTAAAGATCTATTCTCATTAAATCCCCTGATGAGTGGGCAACCACGAAACAGGTCTGTAGGGATGAACTAGTAGTTTATTTGTCTTTTTCTTCCCACAATATATAAGATATAGATCTATATAAGAATATAGAATATATATATAGGACCAGCATATAGAGCACCGATTACCAACGTCGAAATGCTGGGTTTTTTTTCGCACAACTGAACGGTCTCAAAAAAGAGAAAAGTAAAAGAAAGGCAGCAGAACAACCAGCACTTTTACGGACAAATCGACCATTTGCGAAACCTTTCCGTGGACACCGATGACACAGGTTCTACACACATGCGTACGGCCATATAGTTTGAGCTTTCGTAGTACTATTGATTCATGTTCCCAGAGTCCCTGTTCCTCTGGGTCAGATATTGGGAATAGACGACTTAAGGGTCATAAATTGTTCCTATTAATACAATGTGACGTTTGACGTGTTTTTTTCCCCCTAGTCAAAACACACGTGATCTTAAGACAGACATCAGAGCTGGCTACAGGACACTGGCAGTACTTGTTGGACCACAGCGCGCATGTTATTTTCACACTTTATTTATGTTGTTCCCATATGTAATAGTAGGTTTACAAGCTGCAACTACCTCGCTGTATTTCGGGTTAACTTTGCTTACTCTACCTTTCGCCTTTAATTTAAGTGTAGCGTGTTTTGAAGGGAAACATTTCACTCTACCACAAAAAATTGCCGTCTTATATGCTTCATTTGGAATTTTGTACGTTTTTAGTATGTACCTATCATAGAAGTACCAAAAAATGTTTGCTAAAAATATCTGTAGAAGCACAAGGGAGAGCTTCCTGATTGAAATCTTGAGCTCGTAGTCTCCTTATTAATTACCCTTATCTGATTTATCAACCTTGTTTCAACCACTATTTAACAAGCGGCAGCAGGAAACAAGAAATAATGCCCTTCCTTTTATTTGGGCGCGGATGCGATGATCTATAATTTCAATTTCGCAGTGATACCATTAAACTGGAAGTTGCAGTCAGTTTATTCAGGTGGTGATTATTTTAAAATGAGGACTATTTACGGTTAATTGCCATATTTACAAGTTGTAAGCAGAAGCCCAAATGTACTTCGACCTTGGATAAAGGGAGTAAGTTTCTAAAGAAACTGCGGGGCTGCGTCGGTGGGAGAGTATAACAGGGTAATTTAGTATTATCAACTGTCAGAGCGATAGATCGCTCTGACGAAGGGCTAACGCTCGATTCGTCAGCTTTTAAACTCGTTACAGTGGCCTATTTACGTTATTAACTCGGTTGATAATACTAAATTATCCTGTACTTCGACTTTCTTACGTCGATCGCTTGTACAATGGGAACATCAACGACTCTCGTGTTGGTAAGGCAGCCACGTTGTACAGAGCAGCATTAGCACCCTTGATGTTGCGTCGTAACGTCATATATGTGGGTCGTGCCGAGGATATCGTCGGGTGCAGTGTCCTGTTCACTCACCAGACTCACCAAATGGGAGCAGAGGTCTGGTTATTCTGTCACGTAGCAACGACAGCACGTGACTTCCTAACTCCTCTTCCTGGAAATGAAAAATATAAAGTCATTACATCTGTATTACAGTCAAGTCATTCAAGACACGAAATTAAACAGTTGATACAAACGTAATCGTCACCTGTAATGTCCATGAAACCAAAGCCGTACAGTTAGAAGCCTCATGAGTTACGTCATCACTACTTCCTGATATCTGTAATGTAACACGACTTATATCAAGTGAAGGAACTAAATTACTTCATTGGCGAGATTGATGGAGCACAAAATACAAAAGGAACGAAAATAGACAGTATCATAATAATAGTGCTGGTGATAGCTTGAATCCGGCAAAGGTTTTTTAGTTTCGTTCCTTAAAGGGACACTACAAAATAAAGCCTTTATTTTTCACCAACGAGGTCAAGCCGATCATTTCAGTGCGCCTCTACATCGCCATTGCCATTTCTATAGTCAGTGTCCTTGCTATTGTCATTTCCACTTCTGAGCAGCTCTCTATCCCGTGTACAATATGTCTGACAAATCAAATTGAGGATCGGCACAAAGCAGTTACAAAAAAAAAAAAAAAAAAAAAAAACAGAACTACAGACAAATACAAAAACAACTTCCAATAGCCAACACTAACCTTGATAAGAACAGAGTCGTCCACTGATAAACAACCTTCCGCCACTCGTTGGACCGAGTAATTTGGAAGAAGTCTTCAATTATCCAAACATCCACGAATTAAAAAAATACGTCAAATAAGTCAATTACAGTACGATTCAAGGTACCGGAGTACACTTATTATACACAAAACTGACCGATACGGCGACAGGAAACGAGTTGTGAATGCTATCTCTAGTCTTTGTCACTTTTACTTGCCTGATTTCTAAGCACTGATTGGTAAAATGTAACATTGTTTAAATCACAGACAGTTTTCTGTACTGTGATTGGTTGAATGATCCGGGAAACAGTTATTTCGTGACATTGTGAAAGCAATCGACGAGCTATCGTGGGAAGCACGCAAAGTTACCCTTCGAACTGTTTTTTCTTCATTGCAATCGTATGACTTCCATTGATAAAACACACACTTCCGAAAGAGTCCGGAGTAACTAAAATAATGCGAGAGAAGTACCACTCAAGTAGGCTAAAGAATGTTTAACATATCCTCTAATGGTTTTTAATGGAGGGCAGAATATGTCCAACACAACCTACCTTTTTAGCTGAGACTGCAACTTTTCTATAAACATGTGGTATGGTATTGTAGTCTCTAAAGTGACTGATGATGTAAAACGAAGCTTGTGTTCAGTCATTCCCAGTTCCTTCATGGCTTGAGCTGGTTCCACTAATCTTACAGACTACAAAGACAGCAAAGAGAGGCAGTTAAAACTGATCACCAAGACTAAAAATAAAACCACTGATACAGCATGTAGGTTATGAATTGCATAGGTTATGAAGTTCGACCGATTTCTTTACTACACATTTTGCTAAATGTCTTGTATCTGAACATGCACAACGTTGAACGGCATACCAATCATATCGAGCTTGCTGGTCAAGGGAAAACATCTCATTAATTTATTCTGTTCCTAAGTTTGAAGAAGAAGAAAAAGTAAAAGGCTGTGCACGGTTACGGAGTTCTCGACCTGAAGTGTAACACCATTGCTTTAACGATTGCTGACCGTCATAAACGGCGTCCTCTACTAAAAACTACTGCACAGCACAATGAGGAAAAACAACAGAACAACCTACCGTGTCTTTCATAACTAACACTCCTTGGACGGGTAAATGATTATTGTGTGGAGTGAGTTTGGCTCGTTTGGCATCTGGAAAAAAAAAAAAAGCGGTGTATAATGTGAAGAGGACTTTATGAAATGGAAAGCGACTATATCTAGTATACTTACTCTAGATTTCATTGACATAACCGAAGAGATAAAAGCACAAATATATTTTCGGCAAGTGAAACTGCTAAACATCATTCATGAATGTTCTCTACTCATGAAAAATGGTAATGGCTCCAGGCTAATCATCATAAATTCCACTTAATGTCAAAAATTTATCGTTACATCAGGACTAAATCCTGATCGATGAATCGCTCAATTCTCAGCATTATTCACCCTGAAAATCTACCGCTATTTCCACGACAACTTACATCACGATCGTTCCAGAAAGGCCGGGTCAAACGGTTAACCCAGAAGCCAACTTTCTCTCGTTGTGATTAGGATCTAGAGCACTGCAGCGCCAGCTTACCACTATCAATAAAACTGAACGTTTGGAACCAAAAGTGGAATTGTCTTTGTATGCAATTAATTGTTTAGGATTTTAATTTTCTCAATTCTGTCTTCAGCGCATCACACTACCCAACGAATAAAATGGCGAGTTAACTTGCTACTGCTTTTGAATTTTCACGCGCACATGAACACGCACGCACGCACGCACGCACCCACAGACACAGACTCACAAATACAAAGAACTAGACACTTTCACAGACAAACTTTATTAAATGAGAAAGAAAGTCAGTGCTTACACTTGAACCCAGACTACTGCCTACTGTCATTCCTACCCACTCCCTCCTTTGTTTAAGTGACCAATCACTTCGATCAGTCACTTACCTTTCTTCTCTAGTGACATAACTTTTCTCTTGAGCAGAGCTAGTGACATATCAACTGCAATAGTGGGAATGGTCTCCATACACACTGTTTCCCCATTTGCTGGTTTGAAGCATCCAATTCCTATCAAATGAGGTAAAAAAGCTCATTTATAATTGAGAAAGCTTGATTCCTATCAGAGGTTCTTCTTGCTTCTCTCCCTCTGGCCTAAGAATATGATGGGCACATTTCGATTGAGGCCAACATGGCATGGCCAAAAACCCACATGAGTGAGGGAATGAGCATGCAATCTAACTATGCTTAAGCCCTTGGAATGATAAACAGATGTGGTGCTAAATTTGAAAAAAACACTTGCATTGTATTACATTTTGAAAGCCAAACAGCTGAATTCTAAATGCACACAGTGCAAATTGAAATCAGCTCTGATGTTTCACACTGTAGTCTTTGATTCATCAACACAAAACTCATTTCATCATCGCTTTAAACTTAATGGTCCATTTCTGCTGAAGTGCTTTTTTTAACTTACCAAATTCTTTCTCGATTTGCTGCTTTAGGAAATCCATTTTGCCTGCTTCTCCATGAACCAAAACAACATTCTTAGGTTCAGCCTGCGCAAAAAAATAGTTATAATGTGAGAAAACTTGGCACAAACGTTTTTCCCTTTTCAAGCAGTGTCTCTAAAGGCAAAAAATTATACAAAAGTTTAATTGGGATGCCACCGACTTTCTTTTGTCTATTATATCTACATAAGATAAATAAAACAAGTATGACGTACTTGGCTGACAAACAATGAAAAAGATCAAGGAAAAATAAAATCACTTCATGTACAGACTGAATGCAGCCAACAGGTAAGGGAACTTGTCTAACTAAATTGACAAGACAAACCTGGCGAATGAGTTGCATGATTCCTTTGGCATCAGCATGTGCACTGAAGGACATGTACTGAACTGAAAGCTTCACATCAATCTACCAAAAATATAACATATTCACATTAAGTACCATTAAAAAGCTTTAGGGGAAAAACTATATTATTTGATGCACTCATATTCAAGGTTAGTCACCTCCTTGTGGCACACCTGAATTTAATTGTTGGAAGTTAAAAACTGCTTGACAAACAAACTGTAATCAATAAATGAATTAAGGGGGCAAATCTCTAAAGAAACTTTGGTTCTGCATTGGTGGGGGGTAAAACAAGATAACATCAACTGTGTTTTGCCATTTGGCAACCATGAAGGGTTTTTTTTAAGCTGATTCTTCAAGTATTAGCCCTTCACTCAATATAACCAACACACCCCAACTAAAAAGTAAACAAAATCTATGATCATAACATAAAGTAGTCCAGAAGTACATAATAAATACAGTTTTTTTTGTTATCAGAGTCATTTAATCAACATTTTAGAGTCACTCAATATGAATTTTGTGTGTATGTGAGTATGATCACTTACAACACTTTTCTTGTCTAATTCAATTTTCTTCTGTCCTGACAGCACCTTGTGACCAACAGTTCCAGCAACACAGTAACCAGGAATTACAACCTACATCACATCACACAGGAATAACATGACTCAGTAACAACTTCATGCACTGTACTTAATGTATCAGAGTAATACTCTGCAGAAAAGAGAAATAAAAAATGATTTACAACAACCAAATACCATGTTCTTCTCATCTGCTGCCCACTTCTTGAAGATCTGTAATGACAATCCAGCATGAAGCATACCAGGTGTTGCAAACACAACCTTAAGAGAGAAAAGAAAGAAAGTTAAACACAATGCAAATCACTATGCATAAATTGATCATGTGATTGAACTGCAATACAAAAAGTTATTTCATTCAAAATAAGGTACAACACAGTAGACAAGCTGCTCACGCAAAACTCCAATGTGCCATTTACCGTTTCACTCCCAAGATCTCTTTAGTAATTCTTCTTACTGCCAGCCATAAATTGCTTATGGTTCTAGTTCTGAGAATTTAGTATTTGACCAAATGAAAATCCCCTAATTGGTATTTGTCTTAATTCTCATCACTTGTCTGCTTGATATTGTAATAATATTTTAATGATATTGTAAGCCAAGGACAAAGTATGTTTTGGTCACTGCTGGGAGTGAAAGGGTTATCAAACAGCTGATGTTCTGGTTATCTTTAAAAGTTTATTGCCTGATTCAAGAGTGCCTTTTTCTTTAGTGCCTACACTAAGTGTTCAAGCAGATCACCACGGCACAGAAAAAAAAGAGTAGTGAGGCAAAGGCAATTGGACAAATTTGTTTGAAAGAGTCAGAATGTGTCTCGCCTGTAATCAAGTTTTTTTATGCACATTTGAAGATAATTTTCAAATTATTTAAAGGTACGCTAATCTCTATAACATGAAATTACTTTTAAGTTTCCAAGAAAAAAAAATCATGGTTCCTACATGTAAATATCCTTTTCCTTTGATTCCAATGCAAAGGAAAATAATATTTTAATTGAAGTTATTTACCATAGGTCCTGGATTGTCAATATATGACCTGTCAAAAGGCTGAAAGGAAGAAAGGAAAGAAAATGGTCAGACTAAAACTGGCAGCACCAAAACAGGCTGCAGAGAAGGAGATTCTAGATCCATCAGGAGTAGGTGCTTCAACTTTGCCAACAGCTCAAGAGTCTCTATAATTGTAAAAGACAGAAATTATATCTACCTTTTAAACCTGTTTTTAAGAAGAATAAAACCTACAGTGTAACTTCTCCTTGCTCATTATTAAATTTACACTTACCTTGATATGTTTGAAATCGAACATGTTCCTTTGGACAAATGTGTTCTTTATTTTTTGGTTTGTCCAGGTCACAAATAACTTGTAGTAATGGTTTGCCTAAAGAAAGTTAATTTATTGGTCAATGACATTATTACCGGCTGACAATGAGCTATCAAATTACATAACATTTTACAATGCAAGAACACAGATACTATGACTCTGTCACAATTGATAAACTTTATTGACCAATGTCTTTTTGATCCTTTGAAGAGACTGCTCAACATGGAGCTTGATGCTAACTGGTTGCACACCTCTAGAGAAATTACTAATCAAAGATGATCAAGTGTCTAATCACCAAGAATCATCTTTTCAAGATAGAGCCCAAAAGAAATGTTTCTTGTAGTTACTCCACAATTACTCTGATACTGTAGTAAAAGTAAATTCTGTAATTAACAACACACACAACAAAGTAAAGGCTCTAAAAATATATTATGGGCATTTTTCATTGATGGACAGTACCTTTTCAGTGAGTCCTGTTGAAAAGTATATTGGTGCCTTTAAATTCATTCTGTCCCTAAACGGAAGAGCAAGCATTTCACCATTTTACATGATTCAGAGCAGAAAATGTATACCTCATCTGGTGGCTTTACATTAAACAAACAACAACTGAACCATAAAATTGTTTCTGATCAGCCCTGAAAGGAAATTTTATGATGAAATAACGAGTCAAAGGCTCCTTGGAGCAACCTTGTGGTATGATATTAATAACAATTCTATTAAATGGTATCTTCTGCCAATTTTTCAACTAATAATTAAGTGTCCAACTTGGAAACTGTTTTTTGTGAGAAAGTACATCACCAGTGAGTTTCTTTATAACAATTAGGCTTCCTAACAAAGTTGTCAAACAGATCAGAGAACAGAGAGTGTGAGTGTGTGAATTTTTGGTCCATGCAACCCCTAAACCTCATAGTGTGACTGACGTCATACCATGAGGAAAAAATAAGCAATGAGGATTAATGATCTTAATTAATGAATAACTTTTTTGACAAGTTTGGGTGAAAAGTACAGCAAAACCCAGTGACAATTCATTTTTTTTGTAAAACATAGGGCACAGACAAATTTACTACATTGACAGAGAGAGGAACAATAGGAAAATTCACGAGAGCAGACAAAGCAAGTCACAATATGAACTTGGGTGCCCCTATAAAATAAAACATAGTTAATATTCATTATCCTACCAGTATGTTTCCAATAATATACAAAGTTCTTGAGCTCTCCCCAGAGCAAACACTGGGATCAGCACCTGTTAAGTATATATTAATAACATCAAACTACATCTATACTATAGCAATAGAGTTTATGTTCATGGGCATAAATATGTTTATTTTCTAGTATCCACTCTATCCTTACAATATTCTTAAGGTCTTATTGCTACATGTAAAGTTCTATGTTGTATCATATGTAAAAAAAATGTAATAATAGTAATCATTACCACCACTGGCATTATCATTACATCAAAAATTATTACCTGACGTTGTATAGAAATGTTCAAATATCCCACTTATCACCTGAATATAGAGGTTAAAAAAAAAAAAAAAAAAAGAGGCCCCTAACCTTTCCACCCTTGTCCATGGATTCATGAACCTTTTTTAAAAAATCTCTCTCCCTGCATCTGTTTATAATGAAAGATTTATATTATGTTATTCCTCAACTTTAACAAAATGATTCAAAAGCAATTATGCAGAAAGTATTCAATCAAATTCTAACCTTTTTGAGTCTCGTATTGTTGTAGCATATGTCGACTCAGTTATGAGTACATCCGGTCTGCACTTGTCAATCCAAGCTGCACTAATGTAAACAATATTTTGACAGATTGGATGATTTTAACTCCCTATAATGGTGGTGCATTTTTAGAGTAAAGGTCCTAACTAAGGTACACATAATGGCATTGATCTATCTACACTCTGTACTGGAACTTAGGGATTAATTATTTTTCTCCTGCATGGTCAAATATTTTTCTTGTTTTCATTACCTCATAAGACTAGATAACATTGTGATCATGGAGGATTACAAAAACACAAAAACCAATTAAAACATTCAAATGAACAGACTAACAAGAAAAGCAGTATCTGAACTTTGTTCCTAATCCTTAGAAAATGTAAAAAATTTCTCACCCCAAATGTCTGTCAGGTGTCATATTGTAGTCACCCTGTAAGAAGGAGAAAGATAATCAATCAGTTATATGAAGGAGAACTATGTAGACTTCTCACAGACTCAGACAAGCCAGAAAATAAAGGCAATTTTGCAATATTGCTTGACACATTAAACCTTTGACCATGCCCCTGGCCTATGGGGTAAGTGAGTGATATTATTTGTTTTTGGAGATTCATGTCATACATATTTATTTGAGGCTTACATGTAGCCCACTAGTATGTCAAGAAATTATGCCAATTTTTTTTCTGTGTTGTCTGAACATAGACCTAATGATGATGATAAGTACAGAGAACTGATATCTTTCCAAAGAAAACTCAAACTCTTTGTTTTATTTTGGCAGGTTTCTAACATGCTACATGATTGCCATACATCGTGTGACATAGCTGCAGGCAGACACCTCATGAAAAGCAACCAATATCCTGGGTCATTAAATGCTAGAAAACAATCACAAACATATTGATAGCACTTACAGTATATACCAGTGATTCAGTCCCAACTTTCATGTGAAACATGGCTGCTCCTAGAACATGACCTGCATAGTATGCCTTGATTTCCAGTTCATCATCAACCTGTTCAACAGAAAAAAACCCACAGCAAATGTAGTTATGCACTATTGACTTACATTTCCATCCTTTCATCCAGAACATCGTGAGCATTTCACAAGTTGATTACATCTTTTGCTACTTCTACCTACACTTGGGAATTTCTTGGCCTATTTTGTACTAAAACAAAAGAGATTAAAGCCATTCCAACAAAAAGACAACTATCACTGAATAGGAAAGCAACAAAACTTAGTAAAAATAATCTCCAGAGGTTCTTGTTTTAATCTATCTTGAACTTATCAGTTACATACATGTATGACTCATATAAAAAAGTGTAAATCTTACAGTTAGTGATATCACCAACATACGAATTGTTGAAAAACTAAAAAATGTTTGGGATGGTGTGGGTATAACTGGCTAAAGTGCTATGAACAAAAAAAAAACTCTAAATGATTAATTTACCTTTACTGTCTGGTGTAGATTGACAGTTATGACCTTTTTCATGCAATCCTTGATCATCTAAAGAAAAAGAAAAAGTTTTATTTTACATATATGGTGACTACATTGTGAAAGAATTATACCTCCATTTTATAATAGCAGCTTGTCATTTACAGAGTATGCTTGTCATAGGCATGATTCTTATCCAGAGAAATCCAAGACTTTTTGAAGGGAACCAAATTATATCTGAAGACAGCCATGGATTTCCACAAACAAACCGAAACTTTCTGAAGACATCAAAAAGAAATCCATCCCTTGAACCACCTAGTTTAAATACCAGCAACTGTGCAATGATGCATACTTTCCTTTCTTACACAATCTAAATATATGCAAGACATGATTCCCATTAAATTTCTTTATTGAGACTGCAAATAACTAATAATGCTTGTTGAGTTTTGAATGGAGAGTGAACAGGGATTTTTAACAGAATGAAGTTGTGGAAATTATTTACTAAGGAGCTTAGAGCCTGTCAGTGACGAAAATCACTTTAAAAATAACCTAAATAATTCACATAAAACAAACAAGCAAGAGGAAAAAATAAATTTATGGGTTGAAGTCATCCATTTAAGCACTCACCAGACAAGTACAGCACCTGAAGATCCTTTATACACATGTCTGTGCAATTGTTTTCAGTATTTATGTAATTATACTATGAACATAAATAATTCCATACAATTTCAAAAGCTACCCTTAGAACTTGCCTGTGAAGTGAAAAAATTGGTTTCTCCTTTCCTTTCAACTGTAATTTTTCTATAGTCTTCCTGATAATAAATAAAAGTAATATTTTTAGTGGTATTTCTAAGTGAGAAAGTGTCTTCAATGAATTTTGAACTATTTAGAGTGCCACGTAAGTTACCAAAGGGAAAGTAAATTAGATCATAACATGTAAACTAAAAACAGCATACTGTAGAAAGATGGAATCAAATAGCTGCTTTGATAACTCTGATCTATATTTCTTGTCAAAGGACCAACAAACTGTGAGAATCACTCTTCTTTATACCCTTTATATTTGGTAAGAGTTCCTAATTGAAAAAGTATTCTGGACAGCAAAAAGGAGACCAGAAACATTACAGCTTTTGAACTCAGTCACTGATTTATATTGATCTATAAAAGTGGGACAAAGATAGAATGTCAGTTAGTTAGAATTTGAATACTTTACTATTATTACAAGGGTTCAATGAAAGATAAAAGCTTACTTTAAGAAAGGTGTTTTGAGACCTATTGAAATTCAGATCTCAATAGCTCTGTTATGTGTTTAACATTGTTTCAGCTTACCAGAAGAATAGGACATATTGCTTTAGTTGGGTGAGTCATGTAAATGGGACCATCATATCCAACCATCTCTGAGAAATATGGTAAAGCACCACAGTGGTCCAAGTGAAAGTGGCTGTTACAATAAAAACAACTACTGGTCATTATGAAGTCATTGCCAAAATGCTGCACAGTACAACACCAGCTTCTGTACCACCTCATGAATATAATCAGCATATGGATGCTATTCTTCTTTTTTTTAAGGTCCTGTAATGCACACACTGAGATGTTTTTAAACTCTTGCAACTCAGGAAGACAAAGCCCCAATGTACTACTTTGTTACACCCTTTCCACAGGTTCAAAAAGCTCTCACCCACTTATCCAAGACAAACCCTCGATCATTATCCTCATCTTCAAATGCAAGTTTTCTCCCCAGTTGCCTGACAGGCAGAAGACCAAGTGAAGTCTTTCACATTTTACTTGGGCAAAACTTTCCATGCCCTGAAATGTCAACCTTTATAATAACCTTAACACATTAATTAATCAGTAATTTTTGCAAGAGACTTTGGTTTTCTTTAAGCCTCATGGGCTATAGCAAAATTACTGACAGAGGTAAAGAATACCCACTCTACTAACCTGATAATCACACAATCCAAATGTTGTGTTAAGCGCCCAGCTCGAGTGATGTATGAGAAATCTGGGAATCTCCTCTGTGAAAAATTGCAATTTGTTGAAAGTAATAGATTCCATCATATCAAATTGAGTAATGACATAGAGTATTCAAATAAGAATACCTTGGGAAGGTTTGGCAGGTCAAAGAAAGGAAACAACAAGTGAATCAACTTTCCTTTACTCATTGAACATTACATTGAACTGAAAACCGCACACACACACCTCATCATTATAACCCATGTGCATTCCACAGTCAAGCATGATATTCTTCCCACCAATAGTAACAAGGATACAGCTACGTCCAACATCTTCAAAATAAACAATAACATAGCTCAATTATCAAACAATATAGATGGTCTATGCACTAGTGTTTACCACAAACCTACAGACTCACATAGTTACTTACTGTATTCATCTTCACATCCATCACACATCTAGACTTCCATACCTTTTTCACAGTTCCTCACTTCAGGCTTCGTTGTTTTTGTGGTGACAACTCTGATTTTTCCAAAAAAATCAGTGGCAATGAGCCAGTTTTTTGATAAATGTAGCTATCCTGTTTCTGTTGTTCAAGTAGGCTACCAATGTGCCTGCCAACAAATTGAGTGGCAGGTACAGAAAGAAAATACTGATTGCACTCCATTCACTATTATATCTCACCCTCGCAACCACACAGTTAAATCTATTATTCTTAAAAACTTTAAATTACTTCAAAATGATTTAGAGACTGGTACTATATTTTCACAACCTCCACTAAGTTCATTCAAACTTTACAAAAACATAGGCAACTTTCTGGTCAGAAGTTCATTTCAAACCATTGACCAACCTGGAATTTTCAGATGCGCTCACTCATGATGCAAAACTTGTCCTTTCATTCACATTGTAGAGAAAATGTTGAGAACTAAGAGACCTATTAAGATCACTAATCACTTCACATGCACCTCCATCAGTGTCATTGATTGCATAACTTGCTCTTATTACAAGAAGTAATACATTGATGCAACAGGAAGACAACTAAGTGACCGATTCTGAGAACACCTTTGTGATATACAAAGAAATGACAAGGACACATCCAAACCAGTAGCTAGACACTTTAATCTCCCTAATCATTCTAAGCAGCATATAGCAGTTTGTGGCCAAATAACAACTAACAACACATGACATTACATTAAATTCGTGAATATTGATTTATTTTTTATATCTAAAAATATTTAACATTGAACAAAAGAAAAAAAAATGTCATAAAGTAAATTCACAAGTAGATATTTGGGATTATTTTTTAGGATAATAGCAATATATATTTCAGCACATGGGTTTTTTCATTATTTAGTAACTACAGTAACTAAAAAAAACCTATGGTAAAGTGCTACATACCTTGCCCAGCTCCTGGATGGATGATTCCCATAAATTGCAATACCAATAGAAAAAACAGTTAGTTACAGTTAAAACACAGCTAGACAGTCTTCTAAAAAAGAAGGGAAGGATACTATATAAAATATGCCTGGTGCACAGCCCTTTATGACATCCCTGAACATACTAATCAAGTAGAGGCAATTGTTTATTTTTTGCCTTAGATCCCCACAAGGAAGACAGAGAAAAGTAAGTAGAATTTTGGACAGCCACAAGCTTTTATCAAGGCACCTCAAAGGAACACAGTCATCTAATCAGGGGGACATGACACTTTTCTGTGCTGAGAAGTCTCAGCTTTAACACCATTCAAGGGATACTTTAACTAACGAAATGTGATTGACTCCCTAGAGTGTTGTCAGTTAAGATCAATAAGTGTATACTGATTCAGTACCAGGAAATGGGTCTTGTCTAACCTTGTGCTAAGGCCATGCAACAATTTGCATGAGATGCCTACATTGAAACTCAGTCTAATACAACTTCAAATCAGGTCCACTGATAGTTTGTAAAGGTAGAGAGAATCTTCTCATTAGAGAGGAATTGTGTATGTCATAACAGTGTTCTAAATGAAACCAGTATACTCTATTTTAAGACTGCAGATAGCACAGACATTGATATATAAAAATGTACTGAACTTTGCAGAATTTAAGGCAAAATAGCTCTGATGCATGATAATGTTATTTACTGAAATTCACCCCAAGCTTTGTTTGTACTAAAATATTCCATAGTATTTGTTGCTTTCTTGTTGTTTTCATGGTATTCTTTTGATTTAAGTGTTTAAGTAATACTCTCTGATTAAAATCCAACAGTCAGTGCCTTGAACATGAGGCTTGGGAGTAAATGTAAACATGCATTAAAGGCCTATTGCCATACAGCCCCATTCTCCATTATGCATACAATTCTTGAAAAAAAAAGACAATGGCGAAAATAGTCTGAAATAATTGACTGCCTTTGGGATTACAGCTTTGTCTTACAAAAGTATAGGGTTAGAGAGAAATCTTACCAATCCTTCAAAACAAAGGATAGTAAAGGTTTATGTCGAACTTTTTTCTTTACATCATCTTACTTCTTGAAATAAAAACTTCTGTAGATTCCAAGCCAGAATGATATAAACATATTTTTATAGCCAGTTATTTTGTCACAAGTGTTAACCCAATTCAACCCCTATTCCAAGGCAAAGGAACACTTGCCCTGATCACGTGGGGCCTTCTGAAAGGAGGTACCGCTGAGCGAAAAATCTTCACACGAAAGAAATATCAAAAACCTCACTATACATACCTAACGGAACTACTTTAATCTCTGGCATTCTTTTAAAATAGGGTTCAAAACTCCATGGTGTCACATCTCATCGTGTGAGCTCAGCCGTCAGCTCAGTCGTCCAGCGATGTGGTCAGGGTTCTCCCCCCTTGATATATGCGCAGTACAGGGGTAAGCTTGTTTTATAGAGATGAAACCGCAGGTTTAAAATGGCTTATACGCGTCGAAACGGCCTCAGCCGGCGGTATGAAAATAGCTCATAAATAATTTGCGTAGTAACGACAAAGAAGAGATTACCCTACTCAAAGGTCTATAACTTTAATTATTATGACTGAGAGAAAGTTTGAACTCGCCATCGTTCTTGATGCCTTCAAAAAAACACTTCAAGAAGACGGAAGCCTTGTCATGGACGAATACATACGAGGATATGGAGAACTTTGTATATTTTTCGATATGCTTGGGACTGTGTTTGGATTCATTACATCGGATGTGAGAGAAAAAATGGGCATTCTTCAAGATTATCGAAAGTCAAAACACGGAGAGAAGTATGTGTTCATTCAATCAATGCTTGATTTTGAAATCGAAAATGATTTGACACGGAAAACAACGCACCCTCTGTCAGGATCAAGAACTTTTCTAAGATTGCACCGGGCTCTTGCTTTCACTATGCTCTTCATGAGTAAATTAAGCCAATCAACAGACGACGATTCCTCTTATTACATGGCTAAAGATGCTTATAATGAATCTTTGGCTAACTTCCATCCGTGGATAATTCGAAAGGCGGCATTATGGGCTATGTACACATTGCCGAAAGTCGGAGATTTCATCAAGAAAATTGCACAGCCAAACATGGATAAGGGCAAAACCAAGCAGTTATTGAAAGAAGTTACAGATGCAATGAAACAAGTTTACGATTTTACAGAGGAACTTTACACCAAGCATAATCTACACGACCTTCCTTAATGGAGAGCAACCAGATTAAAATGTTGCTATAATGGGATTTTTGATATTACTTGTGGTTATTCTCCCTAAAAGTAGCATGTATCTAGTAAATATTTTATGAAAAAACTAATTATCATTTTTTTGGCTCAGATTGCATGTTTCGAAAGAAATTGATAAGTGAATGTTTATCACCTAAAGTATCCAAACGCTCCATGGCACTGTTTACATACTGAAGGCATCCATATAGAATTTAAGAACCACAATTTAGAGCAGATTAGAACACTAGAAAAAGCCACTGAGACTTGAATGAGAATACACCTAGCCACCTGTAAGCTTTCCTTTTGCTGTTGGCTGTTTTTCAGGACTTATTGGCAAGAAAAGGTGTTCATCAATATTCACAAAGGATTTTGTTTGCATCAAACAAAGTCAAGTGTTCAATTTATTATTTTCAAAATAGAATTCTCCCGTTATCTCCTTGCCAAAATTAATGCATTGTGTTTTCTCCCCCACAAAAGGTCAATTAAAAATATTTGCCTTCAAATTGGATGCCTAAGTTTTGTTTTCTTGTAAGGCCCTTCTTCTTTGCATTTTGTTCTGCACTTGCCACCAACACTCAATGAAAGTTTATAATTATGTTTTTTATGTGCGTAACAGGACAAGTTTTATTTGACAAACTGTTCTGTGATTGTTCAGGTTCAAGAGGTCCATCATAAATTGCATAGGCAGTGTCTGTGGTGGTACCCCTCGCTCTTGTCTTTGGTTTAGCTGTCTTTATTCTTGTTTAGTGCCCCAAAGACCCTAAAGCTTGGCAGGCCAGCAACAAGCATGTATTACTGTGACTGCTTTGATTGCACTAATCGGTTTAGATATGGATCTGTTTGGTTAAGGAGATTATATTACTTTCCAAAGCTACTCCCACAGCTTATTAGTTGATAAAATCTAAATAAATCTTGAATTGTACTCAACATTCTAACAAAAACTGCTGTGTAATAAGGGTATATTTGAAATATAAGATACTAATTATGATAATATTTTTTTGGGAGCTTTCTGTTCAAATTAGAATTATCAGTATGACAAGTTTCCCTCTTTATTTAGAATTTATAGCCATAAAGTCATTGTGCTGGGCTTGTCATTTTCAAGTTTTGTGCACCCTATACATACTAGATAACTGTGAAGACAAATTTATCTTATTTTTTCTTAGTACAGTGATAAAACTCTAAAACTAACTCCTCGCCAGCGAAAGATGAGGAGCATTGGCTAAACCCATTTTATATGTCTTAAGTGGAAAAGTGGTTTGTATAATTTCCTGTTCTAAATTTGGAAGAATTTTTTAAAGGATTTAGTTACATAGTACTGGTAACTTCAGGAGTAATTCATTACTTTGAGAGGAGAATTACACTTCCTCATGAATTTGTTTTGGAAAAGGGCCTTAAGGATTTCTTGATTTCTCCTTGGATTTTTTTTTAATAGTCTGGTTTTCCTCCTAGTTTTTTGTATTTTATAGTTGGCTTTCAATTGAGCTTTCAAGAAAGTGTTGCTGGGAGTATTTAGTAATTCTAACAAAGAAATAGATGTATGAAATTTTTTAACCTTACTATTTTTTCCTATCTGCATTCTACTACAAAATAAGTGCCATGTGACTTCCATTCTGAAAGTTGTCAGAAGAGAAATTGAAATGTTTTTGTCTCACTCAATTCTAGCCTTCTAAATTTATTGAGACCGCTTCACCTCAGTGTTATCCCAACTGAAAGTTGCTAAAATGAATTTAAATAATCAAAAACAAAGAAATATTTCAAACAAAATACAATTATTTATCAATTTTGGACAGAAAACCAAATTATAATTTAATAGCAATCCAACTTAGTACTTGAGACAAAATATCCAGATTGATTTCTCTCAGAAAGATTTTAAAGACCTAGCTGAAACCAAGTTTTTATCAAGCATCTGTTGAGATGAGATATCTCCAAATGTCAAAAACTAGTACCTTGACCATGACTCTAAGAGTTCAACTGTGAGATGATATTCTCAAGTTTCAACCACCATCACATACCTACTGTGACAATGTATTACTACAACCTGATCACAAAACCATCGCTCTGCTATACAATAATTACATATTCAGATAACTGTCACATTCAAGTACATTTAAGAAGCATTTTATTTCCACCCACTCAATAGCATATTACAGACACTAATTTGTAACAAATAAAGCTACCTGGTAGCAATATGAAGGCAAAAAGTACAGTGCTCACTGGTTCAGTGTAACAATAATTATTTATTACTTTAAATTGTGTATAGAAATAACTTTCAAAGATATGGCAAATATTTTTCAACTTCCTAGGAAACAGACAGATTCATCATTCCTTTTAACACCTGAGTGAGCCTTGGATTATGCAGCTCATGCCCTAATGTAAATATTGAAATTATGTATTTTTTACAATATTGATGTAACTATAATCATAGCATTTCATGCCAGCATCCACAAGACATCGCAAGACCTTCAAAATGGCAAAGAATAAAAGGAAACAGATTTCCTTTCATTCGTCTAAATATATCTCACACTTACAAATACAATCTTTTTATTTTCACAGGGCACATACAAAGTATGCAGTTTATTGCAAATCTTGCAAAGAAAACCATCCAATCCCTCTGGGCCCTTACCAAATTTGATGTGGCAGAGTGATTGCACAATTTACTTCACAACATTTGCTTGGATAAAATCGATACGATTTATAAATCATTGGGCTGACTACCACATAATCTGCTTGATACAAGCTACAAAAAGTGTCACAGCAATAACAGTAACTGCAATAACAGTAACACAACTTAACGTTACATAACGTTTTGGGTCTCAACATAAACTGTAAGAATTTAACTATAAAGTACACTAAAGTCAAGATATCCAGCAAGAAAGCTATCTTCAACTGAAGGAGCAACATGTGGTGTATCATTGACTTCAGGTACAGCTTCTCCACATACAGCATCATCCACAATGTCTTCACATTTAATGGCCATTGGATCATAGCCAAGAATTTTGGGGATATCACACAAGAACCTGTAAACATATCTTTTTCCATGAACCTTCTCAATTACTGAATTTCCATAGTAGTAACGGATACCGCGGCTCAGCTTCTCATAGTTCATGGTTGGTTTATTTTTCTTTTTCCCCCACATCCTGGCCACTGTTGAGGGCTGAAGGATCTTGAACTCGTAGTCCTCATCCTGAGTCCACTTGATCAGTTTTGAACATTTAGGATCAGTGACTAACTCCAGTAGGAACTGCCACAGTTGAATTGGTCCATCACCTAAAAGATGGAAAAACACAAGTTCCTACCTTAAAATTGGACAAATTGTGTTATTGCACAAGAAGGAAATAGAGATGAAAAAGAACTAAAAAGGTGTCAAACTTGCAATACTTATTGCACATACCTCGATATTTGACCAGTGGTCTTGGCCCACGCTTTCGTCTCCTCACTGGCTTCGGCACAACAGCTGACACAGTTGATTCTGTTAAAAATTAGAGTTAATAGAGTAAAAATCAAGATATCAATTCACAATACTAAAGATACTCAAAATGAGAATAAAATGATGATACCTTGTTTAATATTGCATGTGACAGCTTCACCATTTACTGATAAGGGTGACTCCGCAGATTGACTCACTCTATCCAGAAAAAAATCTAAAACAAAGTTTACATGCAGAAGAAACAATTCAAATGGTTATCATAACACAAAATATTCTAGAATTCACACCTATGAGTAATACCCTTTAAGAAAACAGGTTTGAATAAAGCAGTCAAGTCACTGGGCTGTTCTTATATGTCCAATAGTGTCTGTATGTTTTGGTGAGGTTTCTTTTCACTAACCATCAATGTTTTCAAGGTCACTTTGAATCCCTTCATCAGCACTGGTGTTTGAACCAGATTCACTGGTAGGTGGACTGTAGGGAGGGCTGCTGCTAGCAGGTGAATTGTACACTGAATCACCACAAACTTGGAACTTAGCCTCCTCTTTCGAGACGAATGGGACAAAACTGGGTGTATATGGCACAGTGGGTACTTCATCTAGCAGCCCATCAAAGACTGCTGGGTCTGGTAGGTGATCAATATCTGAAAAATGAAAGGAATGTTAAATAAACATGTAATATGATTTAACATGTGCGAACTTGATATTCCTTTGAACCAGAACTGATCCACATACCTTCTCCATTCAATGTGTACTGATTTTTAATCAACTGAGTGATGAGAATATAAGAATCAAAACATGAGGAAATTTAATTTTGAATGGTTTAATATCACAAGTTCATGGCTGAAATTAATAAATTTTGGGAGGTGTAAATAAGATGTGGGGAGAAAAAGATTAAGCAGCAACCGCTTAAAAAATAATCACCTCCTCTTTTAATTTTAGACATGATGCAACACTTCATGATAATGATAGAAAACCAATATGCATCTGTCTTTCCTTTATTCCCTTTAAGTCTGAATCATGCTATCAGTTTTTAAGAATGAGAATTTAATAAGCGGTCATACTAAAAAGTAAAAAACATAAAATTCAAAAAACAAAGTCAAAATTTGAATAATAAGGCTGACGATTTTGAAAAACGAAAACAGGAAGTCTTAAGGAATTGGACCAGGTGTCAATGAAGAGAGACTCGAAACCAATTAGAATAAGGTCGCCTTGGAAACAAGGAATGACGTTTTCAAAACGGAAAACACAACAATTGCAAACTGAGTAAAAATTAGGTCATAATACCTTTATATCTCTCTGGTTCGGGATTGAAAACAGAGTGGTCTGAAAAGCCACTGGCCGAAATCCCATTGAAAAGAGCATCCACTTCGTCGCCTTGAAGGGCATACAGATCATCCAAGAAGGACTTTTCTTGAGGAAACTCAACTGCAAATTAAAACACAAACAAACTCGAATATTTTCAAGTTATAAACTTTTTCCTCTTTCGATTTTTAAATTAGAACGCAGTAGGCATTCTGAAAACGAACGTTTTAGGTTGATTCAGGACATAAATATAGCGACTTCAAACCTGGTTGCCTCATGGTGTGAATTTTCTGATTTCGACTGATGTGAGGAGCACATATCAAGCGCTCAAATCCAGGTACCGGAGTTGCTTCGGGCACGAGTGGTTGGTTTGCATGAAGAAGATTCTGTGCAAACCGATCCATTTTACAGGTGGTTAGATAGTTGAACCACTAAAAGAAAAAGGAAAATAAAATTCAAACATCGCATTACCAACAGAGAAAACAAAATCGAACCATCTGCTGCGCGAGGGGGATTTCAAAGGAAACAGGAAGTTCTAACCACCTCGCGATAGTGACAAAAATAGTTATTTCTGTCTTTTCACCATATTGCACCAAGAATACCTTTGACGAAATATATATTCTGAATTTTGGTGTGAAACGTTCGAATCGAGGATGATGTCTTTTTTAACGACTTGATTTTTTAGGGCTGAGGAGAGCTTCACCTCGCCGAGCTGAAAGGAAGTTTGAATATATAATTAAGTTGGAAAACAGTCCGTAAACTCACCTCCATTTTATTCAGTAAAGCGCCATCAGAATTGAGAGTTTTAGCCATTTTCAAGACTGTAAAAGAGAAAAAGAGAAAATAAAATCATATATGCAATAACAAGAAAACAAATGCGTCCAGCGCCCTTTGGTATGCTACTTCTCGTCAAAGAGGAAGTCGAAATTTTAATACTGAAAAATAAGAGTAAAAAATATTCAATTAGGTGTTTTTGAGAAACTCAGCTTACCTTCTCGATTTTAACAAATGAAATACAACTTTCTTCGGTAAAGTTTTAACTGTGTATTGCCAGAAAACCGTACTTTTATGGAGAGATCTCTCGTGTTGACGGCGTACCCCACTTACACAAATAAGAAACTGTTGCACTCTGGCTCCTACCGGTCATATGTATTCCTTGAAAATAAGCTGAAATTTGATTGGCTGTTTGAACTTCTACTCAGTCTTTCCGCGGTCATTACTCACCCAAAAATTGAGAAGCAGCCTGGATTTAAGTAATTGAAGAGTGCGCGTACGTGTTGCCCCCTGAAGCCAGAGTACAGACTTTAATCAATGGAGAGTAATTTTTTTGCTGTTATTTGTGAAGCTATTTTCTGTGAAAGAAATTTTGTCAGTTGTACTCCGTGACCGGTAGTTACCAAAATAGCAAATAGCATCTCCATTAGCAAACCTTCCTTTGAATGCAAGGCCAAAGAAGAGATCTGCCTCCAGAGGAGATATCCTCTTCAATAATGTTCCCTTTATGACATGAGTACTTTAATGAAAATAAATGTACATGACACAGTTGGGGTGCTTACCGTTATTATTTTTTTAATCCTTCGGTTTTATGTTTGTCTCATCATCGCTTAAACGCATACTGAAACAAAATAGTGCAGTCCCCCACGTATGCTGAAACATTTGTCGAAATAGTTCTGAGGTTTTTCCTTGAAGGTGATTCATCAGAAAAAATAGGCATGGAACAGTTTTTCTTAAACTTTCCTTAAATGTTCCTTACCAATATCTGTTTCGAAAAATACAATTTAAAAGATAGGTCACGGTGCTTGTTTAGGAAATATAATGAGACAAACTTACCCCACTCATACCTGTTCTGGCACCAATCACGCGCGTCATTTCATCAGTTCACGGTACATTTTGAGGTTGCTGGAAGCAAGGGTGTTTAAAGTAACATAAAAAAACAAAATTGATCGGTAAAAAGAACCGAGCGTATGGAAAAATTTGTTATACAATTTTTGAAAATATCACGCACTTTTAAACTACATCTACTCAAAACGTTCTTCGAGTGGTTGCTTTTAAGGTCATAATTTGCATCAAGGGGGACTGCACCACAGTTTACTGTGGTGCTGCGTCGGTGGGAGAGTATAAAATGACAGGGTAAAGTTGTGTTATCAACTGAGTTAAAAAAGTAAATTGGCTATCCTAAAGAGTTTAAAGGCTGACGTTTCGAGCGTAATCCCTTCGTCAGAGCGATTGGAGGAATTGTGGGTTATGCGGGGGTTTACTTTTCCCATCAATAGCGTTGATCCATTTTCTGCATATAAACCCACAAGCAACTCACAACACCTCCAATCGTTCTGACGAAGGGCTAACGTTCGAAACGTCAGCCTTTTAACTCTTTACGATGGCCAATTTATGTTTTCAAGTCAGTTGGTAACACTGAACAATACCTTATTATATTTATTACCCCCCATAAATCTTCAATGGTGGTTGAAGACTTCTTTGAAGTTGCACAAAAATGTAACCTGATTTTTTCGCCTATGATGGTTTTAATTTGGTGAATGAATAAATTGCAATATTCCTTTTGCTAGTTCTTAGACAAAAGTGAACGTGTTCTCTCTTAAAAATTCAGAATAATTTTGAAAGAAGCTTATAGTGAATCCAATGCTGACAAAATATGTAATAACAATAACAAGAGACTAAAATGTTATTGCAAAAAGATAAGCTTTAAAGGTAACTTATTCTTAAAAACTGATAGCTCAATTTGGATGACTTTTCTTCTCATGTTCTGCAGAGGACATGGATGGAATAGTGGGAAAACAAATTTATTTTGGTTTTATTGTAACTCATAATTTTTTAATTATTTAATGCAGAGAATCAATGAGACTTCTTTCTAACTAACTAGGTAATTGGATTATTTTTACCAGTAGGTTTTCTTGAGCCAGAATCTACGCTTTTGGCAAGTTAAGAATGTCAAATAGCAATCCACATCTGAAGTGACCACATCGTGAGACAAACAAGTATATTTTTCTTTTGAGGTAGTGAATTGCAACCAAAAGAATCAAAGGAAAAGGATAAAAACCCAGAAAATTTCATTCGCAACAAACAATTCTTCAATTGAAAGCTTCATCCTAATTTCCTATACTGGTTACAAATTTAAACATTTATTAGTAAAGAATTTCAAGGAAAACAGTGTCAATTTAGTACCTAAAGAAACACTCAGTCTGATCCTATGAAATGTAACTATGGAAAAAGATCAGATTCAATTGTATCACCAATTACTGATAAATACATTTATGGTATTTTTGGTTGAGAGCATGTAGTCAATATACAATGTCAAGTTGATATTTGAACTCAATATCTGCAGCAAACATTGGGTTATCATGTCAAGTCCAAGCCTTCCCCTTTGCCAGATAACTCAGACCTCTGCATTGATAATTCATGATATCATACTCATCCCCATCCAATAATGATTTATTATCTAGGGTGAGGTTTAATACGATAAAAATACAAAGTCAACTTTTGATGCAATATAACATTTAATTTGTGTTCAAAATGACTTTTTCTTAAATACTATGAAAACCCAGATATCAACAGATTCTTTCTTAGGCTTGGTTGGACCATGGTATTAAGGAATAATAAGAGGTGTGAGTTGTTCAAGACCATGAATTCAAAGCAAAATTTTCCATTCCTTTATGCTTTTTTTTTTTTACATTTTTTATTGTTGGGTGTTGGTTTATTTTTGTTCTTCTTTTCTAAAACTGGTTTGTTCAGGCTGTGTTAAAAAAACACTTTATGAGGTTGGCCTAATTTACAACTTACAACCAAAGTTAAAAACTTTTTGAAGACTACTCTGTCCACTGATTGATTGAGGCAATTACATGACTATTGAAGAAATGCTACCAGTGGAGTTGCCAGGAACATACCCAATAAATCCATTTGCTGGATTGCAGAAAACCTGACCTAATCAATACAAACTTTCAATGCTACTTCCATAACCCTTGCATGCTTACACAAACATTGACTACAGGTCTACAGACTACAATGGGTGCCCCCAAAATTAACATGACTGAGGACCATGGACTGCAGTAACATCAGATTTATAAAGACTAATGGGTTGGTCTTGATCAACGAAAAAATAATAAATTCCAAAGAAAAAGGAATGCCTTAATATAAAACTCAGCAAAATTCTCTCACTCACTCCAATCAAACACTTGACATGTCCATTTTTCTAGCCCTACAAGCAGTAAAAGTGGCCTCCTTACTTCAAGCACATCAGTTAAAAGAAATTTTTTACCTGGTAGAACAATTCTTTTGCCTGTTGAATTCCAATTAAGTGATTTAAGGGAGGGGTGATAAGAGGTACCACAGAGGGGAAATTTTACCAACTACCACCTAAAAAAAAAAGCACACTATTATGGTCCTCTAATTGAACAGAGAATTAAAAACAATTCATTACTGGGGAGTCACAAGCATTCATTCACACAAAACAACAAAGAAACTTCAATCTGAAAAAATAGAACTCCCCCAAAAATTATAATGCTACACAGACTACACAGTCACTATCCAATCCATTTACCAATGTGCTAACCTTTAGCTGGGTAGACTTAGAGGGGCAACTGAACAACTTAAAGTGTACAGTAACCCAAACATTAAGTTCAATTTAGCAGTTTGTTGAGGAAGCAGAATAAGTTTTCCTTCCCGAAAGCTTCTTTCCAATTTGAAAGCCATTCTCAACGTGATAAGGGGTAAAAGGAAACGTACAGATAAGTTGACTGAGAGCACAGTACATATCATGTATGGAGCAAGCAGAAGGAGGCAATAGAGTACATATGAGAGCTGCTGGCCAAGAATGATAGCCAACGTTACTACACCGGCTTTTTTGTCAGTCTCCATATCTCGCGTGTTGTTGCTGTGAAGAATAGCTTCCGTGCTCAAAGCCACAGGAATGGCAAAGACCAGCGGAAACAACGCCACATTACCACATTGAGTCAGATAAGAAAAAAGGACGGCCAAAGGACCAAACGTGATAACAATAACAATATCACCGACACCGTAATATTTTAGCCCAACACCACCAGTGTATAAAAACGAGCCAGATAGTCCTCCGAAGAACAAGAACGACAAATGTTCCATTTTCGCTGATGATAATCCAACCAAGGACACAAGGGCAAGGGTGGCGAGGCCATAGGAAAGAACGCCCAGATTGACAACCTCTTTAGGCGTTAAAAGGTGATCAACTAGAGTACGATCGTCTGATACTTTGCTATCAATTCCTTTCATGTAGTCGTAATACGTGTTTACCAGATTGCCGGCCGCGTGGACTCCAAGAACAGCTATCATTGTCAATACGAGCAACGAGACACTGAAAAGACCAGTCGCCCTCCAACACAAAACGGCCCCTAAAACCACCGGAATAAATGACGCTGAGAAGGACCATGGCCGCAAAGCTAACAAGTAGACAGATAATTTAAAGGCTCTCGTCGACTTTTTCTGTTCTTGTGTACCATTCATAACAATTCAAGTGCTTAGAGTCAATAGACTGCGCGTACAACGACTCTACCTAAGATTCTTCATGTACGGAGCACATTTAGTCCCCTGAGCCGCGAACTTTTGGCCAGGCCTCCTCGCACCTCATTGATATTGGTAACAGTAGGACGTGTAACTCTTCTATTTTCAATTCTGTTCCTTCACTTTCGTCGGGTTAAAATCTTAGCACTGGAGAAGAGGTGGATCTTGAGGGATGAGTCTTAAGTCCTCACAATTTTTTTATCTTAGCCCTTTAACTCCCATAAGTGACCAAGACATAATTTCTCCTTACGATATCAAGACAATATCAAGCGGGCAAATTGATCAGAATAAAGAAAAATATCAGTTAGAGGATTATTAGCTGATCCAATACCAAATTCTCAAAACTAACATCACAAGAACTGTATGGCAGACAGCAAGGAGAGTTGCTAAAGAGATATTGGGAGTTAAAGGGTTAAGGGCCCTGAGGATACTCAATTTTCCCGCCCACTTTACAACAATAATTGTTCTTTTTTTTTTGACCAGACATACCCTTTTCCCACTTAATTGATCATAAACGACTACGATTCTATCAGTTTCGTGACTTTTCTAAGGGTCTTTACAATCTGATCCTAGTATTTCAACAGCGACAATGGTTTTAAAAACATAAAAACATAGCTAAGCATTTGACAACAGGTGTTAGGGATGAAAATGACGATTTCCTCGAGGCTTGTAAAATATACGGGCGCTGAATTGCATCTACAGAACAAGCTACGTACAGGGGAGCTTAAAAAGTCAGAGAGAAAAGTAAAAATGCTCTTTTTTGGCATTTTCATCGAGTTTCTATGGTTTGTTCTGGCATTTTCATAAAACCAAAATGATTATTTTGCATTTCCTCAAATGGGTTAAATCAACCAACTAAATTTTTCCAAAGTGTAGTTGTCGTGATATGAATAAGTAAAAAACAAAACAAAAAAAACCACTGGATTTGGTGACAACGGTAAACAATTCTTTTTCTTTAAACTTAAATTCATCTTCAACATGAAGTTGACTTGGGGTTAAAAACTGGTCAATTAATGCCGCTTTTGTTTTTTAACAGGGGTGTTTTATTCAGGAATCAGTAAAGCTTGCAATGTGCAAGCTCCTAAATGCTTCGCAGAGAAACGAAGCCAATCCACAATAATTAAAGCAGCCTGCAATGAAGCGGAACTACAATCCTTAGCGACAGCAAGTCATTATTTGACAAAATAATGACGAACGGCTAATGCTCGAAACGTCATCTTTAAAACTCTTTACGATGGCCAATTTACGTTATTGACTCATTTGATAATACTTAATTACCATGTAATTAAGTATTATCCACCGACGCTGCACCACTGTTTCTTAAGAAACTTACCCTTTTTATACTGTTCGTTCACCCCACCACGGGTCTCTTGCGCATGCGTTCTACACAAAAATGATAACCAGAGAATCGCTCCGGTAAGGTTGATTTGTAACTATTAGGTGGTTTGTTTGTTTGTTAGTTTTTAATTAAAGAATCGTTCAAGTTTTTAATTTACTCCAGTTGACAGAAAAAAAAAACTGAAAAATTGCTACTCGTAATGACCACGATGCCAAAGAAATTTGCTCTGATGAAGGGCTAGCGCTCTATGTATATGTCAGCTTTAAAAACTCTTTACGGTGGCCAATTTACATCTGACCAAATTATCATAGAATTGGGAAGGTTGTTTCCTAAAGTAGAAAAATTTAATAGTTTCAGTAATGAAGGGGCAAATTATAAGGTTTAACTTCAAATAACTGAAACAGATTTGAATATATTTTTGGTATTTATTTAAGTCAAAAGACTAACGCGGTATGATTTGCCGTGAATTTCAGTTCCAAGTTCAAAACCACTGGCCAGGCAGGAAAATCTCTAGTCCCTTTCTACCATCAGTTCTCTCGAAGCCTAACTTCTATCTACAGAAATTTCAACAAGAATTTCAACAAATCTTTTGTATTTTGCGCACAGTCTCGGTCACTGTAAACCGTGTTTATTAGAGGAAAGAACGTCTTTCTCTTTTATAACCTCTTCTGGAGGACAACGAAGAATTAAAGTCTTTAAACGGACAGTGATCACAGCTGGTTTTACCAGAGCTGAAATTTTTCATTTTATCACCTGAATAACACTCTGATCCGCAGCCGTGGAAGGGATACATGAGTTTCAACAAAGGCCGTTTAAAACCGACGTTCATGAGGCCTTAAAGGCCTCCTACCTGCTAAGATTTCAGTGGTAACATTTGAGAAGCCCTTTTCGTGGTCATACCGAATGTTCCACAATGGGCTTCCAATCATAGAAAACCCTCCATAGATAGATGCCCTTACTTTGGAAAACAGAGTAAGTTATCATATTAACCTCATTGTGGTATCCCGCCAGCTGAGAGTGGGCCAATGACTGAACGTGATGTCTCCCTAGTCGTACGTGACATTTCCTGTATTCCAGAATGTGTTTAGACGATTGTCTCTACTTGCGACAAAGAAGTCTCCTTTTCGTAGCTCTTTTGATCGTTTTCGTCCTTAACTGGGTTGGCATTTGCCAATCCATTTTGATGATCCTTGTTTGCGTTGGAATCTAAAGCATTATACAGCGTGTCAGGATAATTCACCGTTGCAAATTTTCGTTTTCTTTTTATTTGTACTGTATCATTGCCTCTATTTGTCCGACATATCTTTGCAGTACAATTTAATGAGATTTTTTTCTTTACATGTTTTTCTTTCTTTACTGGCTCATTTTCCTGTTCTATTTCGTCGTCTTCATCCTCATCATCCATGTTTGAATGCCTTCCATCATTCTCTTTCGAGTAGTAATAAGCGAAGTTCGAGACTATGACTGGCACTGGTAAAGCAATGGCTAACACACCTGTGATGGCACAGAAACAGCCAACTAACTTTCCACCTGCAGGATAACGTGAATAATAGTCGGAGTCAATCGCTAGTTCCCAGACAAACAGCCCTACACTCAGTAAGATGCCTTAAAAGGCTAATAATCTTAGGAGTTTTAATTGTACCCACTTCATTTTTCCTATAACTTGTTTTAAAATAAGAACTATGAAAACCCGATAAGATAGCTCTTTCTTAAAAAAAAAATATAAAAGAAGTCTTTATCCAACACGGGAACACAGGCCTCTAGACATGGTTGACTAGTAGGTGTACGCTGAATCAAGGCGCGCGCTCTTTCACCAGTGCGTCTACCTCAGTGTGCGTTTTTGGACGTTTTACATCATTGCGATATTTGTTTGTTATGATGAGGGGAGGATAAAAGATTTGGATTTTCTTGCGATATGACTGAGTTGCGGTTTATCAGACCCTCGATAGGCGACATCAAATTCAAGGTGAACATCCCAAAGGATGCTGCCTTGAGTCACAAACTGCGAGCAGTATGCTGGTTTTTTGGCGAGAACATTTAAAATACCTTATTTGTTTTTGTCTTAAAACGTACTTAACTAATGAAGTGCCCTGTTTGTAGAATGCGTCAGAATCGCTGATTTTTTACGCCTCATTCTGATTGCATTCTTTACCTAAAGCAAACACTCACTTTTGATAGATCACTCAGATGTAAGATTTTCATAGGATCCTTAATTAAGTGAAAGTCACTTATCAGGCTTATCGCTGTATCAGATACACGGCTTTCTGCAAGACTACTGACGAGCACTGTTTCCATTTGCAGGGGTTCTTTTCTTAAGAATGTCATATCCCACAGTTACATAGTCAAAATAGATGACATGGAAATTAAATAATGCATTGTTTCAAAAAATCCTATAGCGCCAGGTTTCGCGTGAAAATCATCGACGCGTGAATTTTTCTAAGAAAAATTGTCTCCTACCAAAGGCAGGAATTTTTGACTTGCAATTTTAGGCTTCGGTAATTCTTACAACTGTTCTGTTTTTACACGATTGCCTTTTGATGATCTACAAATGAAGGTCAGTTTGATTTCTACCCACAGATGTAAACAATGGATTAAAACAAAGTGTCATCTAGAGATACCTTGATTTCTATTCAATTCTCGTAAGTGTGTTATTTCTTGATTCGTGACCAAAACTTACTTATAGTAATCAGTTTCGAGAGCCACGAAATATTCAATAATGAGAAAATAACAAACTTTAAGAGCAAATATTTAAAACCAAAGTCATATAGGATACATACCAAGAGTCTTGGGTGTTATGTCTCCATAGCCCACAGTAGTCATGGTTATAATCGCCCACCAAAATGAATGAGGAATACTCAGGAAATCATTTCCATCCTCATTGCTGATTTCTGCATAATAGACAGCACTGGAGAACAGAACAACTCCCATACAGAGGAAGAAAAACAGAAGGCCTAACTCTCTCAAGCTCGCCCTCAGAGTGTGACCCAGAATTTGAAGTCCACGCGAGTAACGCGACAGTTTGAAAATACGAAAGACTCGCACGAGACGGACGGAGCGAAGAACTGCGAGTGACGAAACATTACCTGAATCCTCCATAGGCAGAGTTATATAGAACGGTATAATGGAAACCAAGTCAATCATATTTAGCACTGAAATGAAGAATTTCCACTTGTTTGGGCTAAAAATGAAACGAATTACATACTCCAATGTAAACCAGGTGATGCAAAATGCTTCAATGAGGAAGAATGGGTTATCTGTTTTCTTTTTCGATGTAAACGAAGTGACTGTTCCATTTACTGTTTTAACTGGCTCCTCCTGAAACTGCGGCAAAGTCTCGACGCAAAAAAGAGCTATTGATAAGATAATTATGCAAACGGACCAAATGGCGATTCCTCGTGCAAAATTCGAAGTGTCTGGATGTTCAAATAACTCCCATACTTTTCTCTGTATTTTGTTCTTTGGTAAAAGTCGTTTATTTTGTTCGACAGGCTGTTCCAATCCTTCACCAGCTTGAACCAAAGCCTTTGGTCCGAGATCAAAGAAGCGAACATCGCTTATAAATACCTTCCGTGGAATACTTTGCGGCCTTATAAGAATTCCGTTTGTTTGGTAGTAAGCTAGTATCGACTCGAAGCAAATGCGGTTACGGTCGAAAAAAAATTCATTGTTAACCGGATCGTAGAAGTCCTTTCTTCTTTCTTTATCTCCAAGAAGTGACTCAGGAAATAATTCAAGCGTCTTTTCATAGGTCTCGTATCGCTGCCCAGAAATATTTATAACAATCCTTGGCCCTCTGTTTACAGCGTTCCAATCGATCTTCCTATGACAAGACTTGTCATCTCTGTTCATGACTGCTGCCACTTCTGCTTCATTTTCGTTGGAATTCTGGCCCATAATGCGAAGTCTTTCCATGTCCAACTCGTCCCTGGTGCTCTAATTATGCGTTTGTAATGCTCTCATTCCTTTACAAGCTAAAAGTCATTTGAAATTCATGAGCTCATTTCGTAATAAACATGTGTTTGATTGCACTGAACGCTTTTTTCAGATCGCTGAAACCGCTCCGTCAGAGTTCTACAGGGAAAAGCAAGTTATCTTACTCTTTCAGTTACAAAACAACTTGGTTTTTCACTGGTTCAAATCAGTTCTATGCTAAGAAAATCGATGTCCTTTTCAGCAACTTGCGGTTCACCTCTAAGACTTCACCCATTCTGTGCAAATAATTAATGGCTAATTATGTCAGAGTAATTGATAACAAAGTTCATCTATGAATATTTGAATATCTCCGTGTTCTCATGGTTGACGGTTCGAAGGCATACTCTGAAATTTCTCTCTGGCTATTGGTTTCTTGCGCAAATGCTGTGACACTTATTTGCTAGAATGTTTACTACGAAGAAAATTTAACCACATTTGTGTTCTGTAACCACCAGATTACTCACTAGACAAATTAAGTTAACAAGCTTAAAAACAGCTGCAAAAACAAATATGTTTCCTATTAAGGATAATTTCGATAGAAAATGTTTGTCACTCTCTTGAAAAAAGGAGCAGAACACTCGGCAAAGCTTGTTAGTGATTTGGTGCCTCAAAGATAATAAGACTCATTCTTATACTGCTGAGAGGATACAGGTCAGCGTCTTATATTGTGTAAACAACTGTCAACAGTTATCTTAAATTTTATGCAATAAATGTTCCTATGAATGGAAATAGATTAAATTTTCCAACTTTTGTCAAAGCTTTACTCAGCCTTCAACATTTACCGAAAACCTCGATCTTGCTTTTAAATTTTGTTTCTGACAGAAATTGTGTGACGTGAACGGATAATGAATGCAAAGGTTACTCTCTCGCCCGGAAGAATATTTGATCTTTGTTTTGTCAATTTTTTGAAGCCACATAAAGCTGTCTTGTACACCTTTCATTTCTGCAATTTCAGTTCCTTCCACAAAACAAATTTAAAAACTATGCATCGAAAGCAAAAATGTATTTTTCAGATGAGGGTTAATCAGGATGGGTAAATGGTCACAGAATTGTATCGAAAGAGCAGATTAAAATCGCTCGAGTTTACAAGATTCAAATGAGACACTCACCTTTTTTTTTTGCATGCCAAGCTAACCCGTTATCGTCTCCATCGAACAAATTCTTGAGCCAAATTACTTTTGTGTGAAATTTGTCTTTCAATTACCGAGTTTCAAAGACATGAACGATAATCTTTTTATTTACTAAGTGTCTCTGTCCAAAAAATAATAAAATCGATGGGAGTAAACAAATAATGAGGATATCAACCATAAGGTTTCACGATCGAAATTCCCATTTCCAAGTCTTGGCTTGAGATGTTAAGAAAAAATTGGCATACGTATAAAGACATTTGTTTTTGAAAAAATGATCGCTGAAGCTATAAAACATAACGAATTTAATACCAACATCACAAAAATTTACCAATAAGTTACCTATAGAGGAGTTTCATACAGTCATTACGTATTTGCAGAGTTTTCAGGTCTCATTCGTTAATCCATGTATCTTCAGAATAAGACATGGTGAGCTCACTGTCCAAGACGGAGACCATCGCCGTCTCAGTAGGTCTATGGAGTCTTATTCGTCATTGAAATTAATTATTTCTGCATAGCTATTTGCAATGACCATCGCCTAAACATTATTGAAATTATTAATAAATTCTTCCTCTGTCAAATGATCCCTCCATGTCATTCAGAAGATGAATTTGTAACTGTACAAGAATCATTCATCACAGCCAAGCTGACCTATCCTCAAAGACCGCCACCACTAGACACACCATAGAAGTTTTTCGCCAGCTTTTGAAATTGTTCGAGGAAGATAAACGTTAGAACAGTGTGCGGACCAAGACGAAAATAGTATGGTGTGAATCCTTTCCACAACGCGAAAATCCCTTCCTGACGGATCACTCTCACAAAAACGTCCTGAAACACAAGCAAAAGAAAGGAATGAATAGGGTAATTCATGGCGCTTTTTCTTTACTTCAGAGTCTACTTGTGGATAACTAGGGGGACTATAAACTTGGCGGCGATAGAGGGAACTTGGGTCTCTCAGCTAGAGACTGTGAAAGAAAGTTGGAAAAAGAAAAACAATCACGTGTGACGGACTTTGAACACCATAGTGGCAATAGTGCAGGCCATAAATAATCATATTCGAAAAGGGTTCGTCGCACTTTTGAAAACAATTAGCTTTAAAAGATTCTTACCAGGGCTCCACGATATTCAGGCTTTCCATCGATAATCTTCATATTTTGAATCCTACAAAAAAGGTTGGAACGATAAATACTGAACGGCTTAGACGCTATCAACCAACTAAAGTTGAAAGTTTCAATGTTATTCTGCTATCGAGGCCCATTAATTCTTTATTACACAAGTAGGTGGTTGCCATGCGTTGTAATTCTGTTGCAACTCTCAGCTGTACAAGTATATATCTCAATTTATTTAAATGAGAAAAGTTATTACTAACCTAGTTTTGGCGATATCAACAGGCATAGAAGCTAAAGTAGTCGCCAAACCACTTATCATGCTGGCTGCAAAGTGGCACAGCAAATCATCTTTAAAATAAGCTGCAAACACAAACATCAATGTTTTCAATTATTGCACAACTAATATGATCCTTTAATAATCGTGAGGTGCAGCGTGCGAAGTGTAACCTAGAATCCTACATGTGCTCATCTCATGTGGACCCGGACGTTTTTCTTCTACACACCAAATAAACCATCAGACATTTCGTCATGCATCTAAGATCTTTTCATGCATTTAAGATCTTGTTAACGACACTGTAAAGCAAGGAAAACATGGGTCTTAAATTCGTTTGAGCTAAAGACATGACCACAGTAAGGAGACATTAGGATATGAAAGGCTTCTGTAATTCAACAAACCTGTGGAGAGCAAGCCTTGTTTTGCTTGAGAGTATGTCGCCAGCTGCGCTGCATTCACTACAACAGCTCGAAAAACAGTTGGCCCACATCCCTACAAAAGAGTTCAAAATAAAGTAAAGCACCGAGACGCCTAGAGACCTGTCTGCCTGATATCTTCAAAAGAGCCTTGTTCACCAAAGAGTTTTCAACATTTTATAGCCCTGTGCTCAGTTGGATCAGTGGATACATAAACGGCTTGCCGGCGTTAATGAATCTTAAACTATTTTTATCGAATCATTCTTACCCTCCAAAGAGTCAGAATTCCTTCTTCCTTAGTTATTCTGTACAAGGCATTGAACACACTTGTATATTTGCGCTGTTGTTCTACAGGAAGCCTGTTAAATAAAACAAAGAATTTATGTTCAACACAATTAGTTCAGTTATGCCTATTAACGAGCAATTGCTAGGTAGGGTATTTTTAAAAATTATCTATTTTTGTGTATTGCTTATTAATGCTGGATCACAGCAAAACATCTTTACTCCAAAAAGAAGGGGGGGGAAGGCAAACAAACTGTCTGTATTTTTTTGTTGATTTTTTTTGAGAGGAGGTGAACGTACATGTACGAGGTTTCAGTGATTTCAAGGGTTCTGTGCTACCTGCCCCCTCCTTGTTTCCAATAGCGCATCTCTAGCGAAGGGCTCGTGCAAGAAACATCACCTTTCATAATTCATTTGAATGAAAGATAATACCAGTAAATATGTCACCTTAGCTTGCAAAAATCTACAAGAAAACGTAACCTTTAGTTTAAAAAGGTAGTTTAACAGCCCTCTGACTCCAATGAGCTAACGGCTTACTGTTTCTCACTACAAAAACATGGTTTCAAGCAGACAGGGAAAGATAAAGGAAAGATTGTCAAGTTGGAGTTGGATAATGTCTTAATACAATTGTAATACTCAGACCTAAGTGCACAATAAAGAGTCCGGTCTTATTGGGTGTGGGATACAACTCTTACTGTTATATGTGAAGTAATAAACATGCCAACTGCTGTGCTACAAGGGAGGAACAGATCTACAGGTATTGCTATCTTGCCCCAAGAAAACTCCACTTACAATACCACTGATTGTATTGTCTGCATCTAGATTTCTTACGACATATTACATCTATATAAATAATGTTGTAACAAACCTTCCATCTGAAGTCATTCTTATGAGGGATATCTCTGCCGGTGTACCAATAAATGAGCCTACAGCTCCAGCTGTCATTCCTGAATTAAAACAATGATCACCCTTCAATTTCCAAACATTTACTTTTACAAAGAAAAGTGGTTCAAGGTGCTCAAGTTGTTTAGAAATGTTGCATTGTAATAAATACACTCTTTATACAGAGAATGTCTTCTTGAAAGTGAGACTGCATGAGTCTTCCCTACATCAGTAACTGATAATTGTGGTCAACCCTACAACTGCAATTATGCATCAGTAGTGAAAAACAGTTAACTGTTTTCTACTTTTACAACTTCCAATCACTTGACCAATTTAAGAAACTTGTGCCACTTTCACCCTTGTTGTATATATGTTGTCAAAAACATTTCCACATTTCTACACCTTAAACAGGCTAACAGGGCAGAATCCATCAAATTTGATCAGATTTGATCAAAACTGTAGTAGCCTATCACTTGTGCTACTATTGTTAATAACAATTAGGTAGAAACACTAACCTAGAGCACATTTCATGAGAAAAGAAGGTGGAGTTCCATCAGGGCTAAACAAAAAACATAACAATCACAATTGAAGTGATTATAAAGATAAAACATGACAGCTAAAAATCTTATACATAAGTTAATATAAGTGTTTATCTAGATACTATTCCAAACCGTTAACTACATGTAGTTTATTTGCACAATATAAGATGCAAACTTTTTAAAATTAATTTCCTGTTAATAATTAAGCAAGGAAAGCAAACAATTAGGGAGGAGAGTTGAGGGTCCCCATCCTTGGGCCTAAAAATCCACCTAGCAGGTCCATTTGAAGTGGCTCAAAAACAATTTTACAATGTTCACTAACCAATTCACCTCAATGCACTCTCCCCACCCCTCTCTACTTCATGACCAGTGGATTGAGATGCAGTTCTCCTAATTTCATCTGGTCTACCAGCTCCTCAACACAGAGCATGTTTCCATTTATTTGGCTGTTGAGCACGTTTGTCAGTCATTTCAAATTGGATTTGGTCAATGCAGAAAGATTAGATTAAGACAGTTGGCACATTGGCTTATGAAGCATGGTCAGTAGTAAATGGTTAATAACCTTAGATGCTTTGTGGCATGAAATTAGAGAGCCAGACTCAGTTCTTTATGGATGATATGTGTTTCTATGCAGATCCTATCCACAAACTACTAAATAAGGCAGATTGGCAAATAATTTGAAAAGGCTTGCAAAGAATATTGTGTCATATACAGAATGCCAAATAAGACTTGTAAGTAAATAATGTGGCTTTCTCTCTCCATCCAGCTCACCCAATACATCTTACCTATAACATTACCTGATAACAGCTGATAGTTTAAAAAAGGAATTGTCAAAGCATAATAGTTAGAAAAGTGTTTTTATGTTAAAACTAAAGTCAGAATTTCAGAGAGCCACAATATCTTTTCATCATTTCAAGCTCTTTAAACAAAGATGTTACAATTGAAGTAGAAAATATTTCAATGGCAAGTCAGGCATAGATGTACAATAATCAGTGTAAAATGTAGCATTGTGACAGGCCTTTCATACAGGGGTTTCAAGAAGAGCCAGTGATCTGCAAAATTTGCCATCAGTCTTAAGCAAAATCACTGCCTATTTTCCCTGAAATCATCACCATTAGAGTACAGATCACTCTTCCATTAGCTGCTTACTTTGTAGTCTTTACCATCTACATCAAAACTTATTGAAACCCTTGTCAGGGTATATGTAGATCAAGGGACCCTTTACGGTAATATTTCAGATAGTTCTGACCATGCTCTAAAAATGGTAATTTCTATCACCAACCTCTTAAATTTTTCCATGAGCGAAGTAAACACACCCAGTCGTGTTGTTGTGTAAGTTGCTTGCCTTAACAGACCAGCAGATAATCTGTACAAAGAAATGTTAACTCATTCAAGCCCTGCAAGTCATTATGTCACAGAGAGATAGCTAAGTTATCGAACACAGCAAATACAATAATTACAAAAAAGACCACAAGTGCTCAATTACATGTTTGCATTATTCAACAAACTAACCCATTATAGACACCAAAAACTCCTTCTTGTCTCAGAATGGAGGCAATTGCATGTAGACTACTTTTGTGTGCTTTTGCAGCACCACCAACCCCTAAATGAATAATATTGAGACACATGTAATGTTGAAAAGTCTTCAGGCAATTGAAATATTTATAGACAACAGCTTCCTGTATGTGGGAGTATTTTGCATCAATATTAACCTCTCAAAGTCCAACTTTGTAATTGTTCAATGGTGAAATTATCTGTGCATGAAAACCTTGGATAACACTTAACAAAAATCATCGTTCATTCAATTAGCTTGCTAACAGCTACATTAATCCAACATAAACATAAAACTAAAAGGAATTAACATTCAAACAGTCAGTTGTTTTAATCCAGGGTAAACTTAAGTCCTGATGAATAAGAAACAACAGGAAATATCAGATGACATTGCGTGGGATGACATTAAGTGAAATTTAATGTAACTGATTCAGATTGTCATTTAACAGTTATTCCATGTGCATGCGTTAGATATGGCACCCTGTTGGCCACAGCCAATCAATCTTGTATCCAACAAATGCATATGGAATAACTGTTTTATTACATTAAATTATCCACAATGTACAGGAGAAGTGATTGTTTCCAGCCAAAAGTTAATCCAGCTTAGCAACACTTGAATAAAACATTTTCTAAATAAGGCAATTCTGTATAAGAGCTTTTAAGCAGTGTAGAGTGAACCAATCAGAACAACAGAAATACAATACCTGGAATTTGAAATTTAAAAATAACAAATAAATGCTCACCACTCATCTGCATCCTGTTTTTGACCAAATCTAGGGGCTGTACAAACACAGTTGCACCCATTCTAGTAAATAATAACAACAATAATAATTATGATAGTTTTGTATAATTGATTTCTGTTTAACTGTTCACTTGTTCATTCATTTTGTCTGGTTGATTAAGCAGGTTGTAATTTGGCAGTGATAATCTAATTTGGACCTGCTGCAACACAGACTGACTACTCAGTTACCACAGGCATAATTTCAATCACTAATCTTTAGAAATAGCACATCTACTTGGGTTCTTTAATCACTCCAGCTAATTAACTGATTGAATTTGAAGATACAAGAAAAAAGGGCCTACCCTTTACAGTTCTCATTCAAGAGTCTAGGATGTCCAAATATCTACTGAGGACATGCTAAGACTGCACATTCTCCTTTATTTTAAGATCCTATTTGCTGATGCAGTCATTCTGAGGCTGGAACTCTTAACCTCCCATAGAGCAGTCAAGTGCTCTCCCAATGGAGCAAACCAAGTGGCTGTAGAGACCACTTTTTCTGAGCTTTATAATATTTTTGTTGGTCCCCAGAAGCAGTAGTTCAAATATTTTTTAAATTAAAAAAATACCTAATCTGTATCTTTTAAGAGTTCAAACACATCATGACAATTATTGGGAACAGAAAAGCTAGTAGGTTCAACACTTTTCAAGTTGACTTATAGAAGTGAAAACATGACATTTTATCAAAAATAATAAATCTTGAACTTACAGTACGGGAGATAAGAAATGATCCCCTAAGCTACAATAAGAGCACCTCAGGAGGCAGCAGTTATCCTCTTGGATACAAGTAGTGCTCAATAAGGACGCACTATGGTTGCGTACTGACAGCCTCTACAGTGTACCTAACTGGGGTTACTTAAACACAATCAAAGGATCACATTAAGGGAACACAATGATTACAACTAAATTTGATAAGTCCCATGCTTGATAAAAATCAGTATGTCCAATTCTCACCCCTAGGTTCACTTCCAAGATGCAGACTGACGAATTTAAGCATTGAGATCAAAAGAATACCCTACGAAACAACAATAGGGTGACAAAGATTTGAGAAAAATTTGGTGCAAATGAGGCTTAGAGGTTGATTATTTGCAATAGCCAGGTTGCTCAGCATAGAGGTCAGATGTGGTTTTCTCTAACAGTTGCACGTCTGCAATTCCATCAACCTTAATGCTTTTATTTTCTACTCAACCTCAAGACCACTGAATACCTTGATAAAGTTTATACATGATATCAAAACTATCAATGTCTCATATATAACTTACTTGTTACCGTCTTCAAATCAAATATAAATTGATCTGTATGTCACTGGAAATCATGATTGCCTATCATATCCACTGGGGCTGTGTTTATGGAAACAATAGGTATCACAGGTCTCACTATCAGAGGCAATACCATAATACCATTCCACTTCTTAAAATGAGAAGGCTAATTAAAAGCCTCTTGGGTTTTCTATACATAAGCTGACCTTTTAACTCACAACCAAAACCCAGCAACAAAATTGGAAAAACTAAATGAAAAAATAGCATGAGTTGAGAGTTCTCCCCACTACAAAAGGAACAAGCTCTTATAATCTCCTTCATTGCTGGAGTGCTGCCAGGATGTATACAAGAACACAGACATGCTCCATGGAATTTAATCACAAATTTATAGTCAAAAGTGAGCGCTCTGTCTACTTTCAACAGATGACATCAGTCAAGCCTCTGCACACAGCCTACTGGAATGTTTAACATTTTAGGCTTAAAGTTCAAACATGAATTCCCTACATCCAAATGTTGATGAGGTGGTGGAAGCTTTTTGATAACTATAAATAGAAGCAAAATCGGTAGGTGATCTTATACACCAATCAGATAAACTAGTGAAGTGCCTTTTAAATTAATGGAATGTTCTTTGCAGTTATGCAAACTGCACATGGTAAACATTTCAGATTTCAACTAGTGAAACTGCAGTAACCACAAAGGTATCTGTGAGCACAATCACTAAAATACCTTGATATTAGTAATTTGCCTGCTACCTAATATCATTGAAAATCAAGAGAGAAAATTTCTTAGGTTGGACTGAGATAAGATTGATCCTGTGTTCTATATCCTTATAACACAAAGATCATCCATGGCTCCCATTACAATTTGACATGACACATAAATTTTCCACAGATACAAAGCCAGATCTTCCACTTCCATATTTAACAATGAAAATTTGCAAATGCTGCAACTTTTGCATATTCCGTTCACAACTTTTTTTGGTGTCATAGCACAAGCCATAGCACCATCTATCTACTTCAAATGGAAATTCTCCGCATGCGATTTTCTATCTTGTTTGTTTACATATTTCTTATATTGTGTTTATTTATACTTTGACTCAATAGCTCATACATGGACCTAGTAATAGCTTATTTCACTGCAAAGTCTGCTTGAGGGCTATTTTAAAGTTGATTGGCATTAAAGTTGTAATATATCAAGCCGGTCTTTGTTCAGTGAAAATAAATACAGGGCATTTTAGAGAAATCTATTCATGTCGGATTGTTCATATCCAGCGAGCAACAAAATCTAGTATAATTCCATTGATCAAGGAGGGTTCCCAATAGGGTTCTTCAATCCCATTATCCTGACTAAAATTTTCTTTCAATCCTGTAATCCCAATGGTTTATACCTGCCAATCCTGATCCCAATCATACAATTTTGTCTTAGCCCATTTCCTAAACTTAGAAGGGTATTTCTGGTGGGTGATGATTTTCTTAACCAGCATTGATCCATTGAAGTCCATAGTCACTGTAAAGCGTGAGTTTATCTCTTTTCACCAAAATGATAATATCGTTTAATTTAGAAGTTTTAAAAGTTTTAAAAGTTTTGCATGCATAACAAGTGCTAGTCACAGTATTGACTTCCTTTCATTAAACTTAAATCACAGACAAATGTATAAGTACAGACAGGTCATTATCAAAGAAATGAATAACAATTTCAACTAGTGCATAAAACACAAAAGGTCACAGCAATCCCATAGTTCCATAACAACGGAGATAAAGAAATTCTGCTGTTGAACCGGATATTTCTTCCAAAGTGGGAACCTCTTCCAAGGTAAAAATCAGCCTCTCTTTCCAAGGATGGAGTGGCAAACTTCGCATCTGATATAATTTTCATTCCTGCACAATAACTGAAAAATGTCACTAAGCAGCCCAACCGGCTCTTGAATGCTAGAGAACCTGTATGCCTGGTGCTTTTCGTGACTGAGAAGATAAATTTCTTCATAAATTTTCGTCAACAGACATCCCAGTTCTTGGTTCATTTAAGCGATTATTTCCCAAATCCCACTCCTCAAAATCGCCGATTCCCATGTCTCATTCATAATAGCAATCCCACATCTCGCTTCCTTCTTAGTTTAAATTCCCGGATCCCGCCTTTAAATGAGCCCAATCCCGGATCCCGAAAAACCTATTGGAGACCCTCATAAGCAGTGTCCATAATTTGCACGTCAATTTAAGGTCTCACATACATACAGCAAAACGTAGCAACAAGTTCAGAATCCTGTATTGGATAGCTTCTAAACAACACTGAGTCAGCAAGAAACAAAACCTAGCGCAGTGAAGGGTAGCGATGCGCAAATGTAACCACTGAGATTGCTATTAATTTATCCCAAGATTATCACGTGAAACAACTAGCAAATGACTGACAATTTCGGAATAACATCAAACAGTAGTTGTTGATCTCTTGGTCAGAACCTAAAATTTACACATGCAAGATGCGTTGCATGGTAAACCATGAAAACTTTGATATTGATACCAAACAAAAGAGAGTGCCACGTACATTTACTAAATATTCATTATGACTGGCGCGCGATTCCAAGTTAGTCGTGATCTTGTGGGTATTCACCTCATTGAAATGAACACCAATCAATACTCACCCGGCTGATCCACCCATGATGAATCTGGCATAGTTTGGAATGTACCCTAGCTTTTTTTCACCCATAGTTTCAGTGTTGATCAAAGTATTATTACTCGAATAAGCTCCTCTTAGAGTTACGCTCGTTAACTATTGCTTAGAGCAAGCAAGTACCGCTGACCGTTCATTAACACCGCCGTGAACTAACCAGCGGTCGACATGGCTCGGTTGTGACTTTTTGGCAGCTTTGTGGTTCAAACTGAAAACAATGTAGAATTAACTCTCTTTCGGTTATCTCCACTGAAAGTATACTTGACGTAGGGGAGACTCGCTCTTTCACGTGATTTCTAAAGATAATTGAGGTGCGAGTCAGTTTGGAGACGATTTCCTAAAGAAAACTTTTGTATGTTTAACTCTGGATAACTTTCAGCTATGTTTGGATGGCAAGAGTGGCAGCTTTGAAGTGTGCGGAATTATGCGCTCGCTCACGATGCAAAACTTGTCCTTTCATTCATAACGTAGAGAAAATATCGGGACGCAAGAGATCCATTAAGATCACTGATCACTTTACGTGTACCTCCGCCAATGTCATTTACTACATAACTTGCACCTATTGCAATAAGTTATACATTGGCGAAACAGGACGACGACTAGGTGACCGATTCCGAGAACACCTTCGCGACGTGGAAAGAAATGACAAGGACGCATCCAAACCAGTCGCTAGACACTTTAATCTCCCTAATCGTTCAAAAAACCCTATGGCAGTTTGCGGCCTTTCCTTACATCTAGGCAGTTCGGAAAGCCGCAAAACACTAGAACAAAAACAAATCGAAATCGGCACTCTTAATCCCCACGGTATCAACGAGCGCTTTTCAACTATTTTATTCCTGTTTTCTCGTCACCATACTCCCACCAATAGCGTAGCTCCACTTTTCTGCATATAAACCCACACACAACCCACAATTCCTCCAATCGCTCTGACGAAGGGCTAACGCTCGAAACGTCAGCTTTTTTTTCCCTTTACGGTGGCCGATTTACGTTTTCAACTCAGTTGTTAACACTGAATTACCTATTTTTGCATCGTTTTCCTGTTTTTTTTCTTTTTCTTTCAGGTCTTTGTTTTGTGGAGTAGGCAAGCGAATCGAAATGTCTCTAGAGAGCCGCAAGTCTTTATTGTCCTTTGGCTGCGAACGCAATCAACGGACCGCGTTTGCACCCTCACGTGACCGGTCTCTGTATACACAGACCAGGAAGACGACTCGATCTGGAGAAAGATTTCTAAAGCTTGATGAAGGGGCGTAGACAAACTTATTACATCGCAGCCCGGCATGTTGAATATCAAATTTTGGAGGGAAGAACTCAGGTGTTTTAATAGTCGGTTTCTTTCCTTTCCTGCAGATACCGCTTTTAGCAAGAAGTCCAAATTTTTTCGGCCTGTTGTTTTTGCTCTTTCTTTTCCCTTTCTGCAAGATACCTCGGGAAACGGCTTGATTGTCCGCCAGTACACATCAATTTCGTTCGCACATATCCCCCCCTTGCCCACCCCCTCTCTTCGATGTAATAATGATCCCGCTCCGCTTCCCCCAACCAACAACTTCTTTCTAGCGGTTGCCTTACAAGTTTATTGGCAGATTGGACAGATTCTTTAGTGCTAGTGAATCAGATTCTTTTTCATCGTAGATGTAAATTTAGATCGAATGCACACAACTTTTAGGCAATCCATTTTATTAGTCTCTGCTGTTTTGAACAAACGCGTGGATAAACTCATAAAGTGTTTTCTGGAGTGAATGCTCTCAGCAGTAGGAGTCGTTTTCGAAAACGGGTGCAATGTCACACCCGCTCTTTCCTCCAACGGCCTCTCGATTGTGTACGAAGTAAATCGAATTTATTTAGAGTGATACTTTGCAGGAGCCCATGGACTCCTGTACTTTGTCAATATCTGAGCTTTCTATGAGAACTTTAGAAAAGTATCGAGAAAGAGTGACAGGATTCACGAGAGACGTAATTGCTACGGAAGCCTGGGTGGCTAACGTCGTATGAAGCCAAAGGCCAGGTTAGTCTCGTAACAAGACCACGACCACAATTCCTTATTCGTGGGTTGAGAGCCGATACACCCATAGAATTGAGGTCCCTACAGGACTCTCAGTAAAGTATTTTTACGTGTGCTTCTCGACAATGAAGGTTAACTCCCAGCAGATAAGAGCATAATCCTTCATTATCGTGTAATCACAGAGGTTTTTAAAGACTTTTAGCCATTTTAGGTCTTAAACTGCATGAAAACAAAGAATTTAGAAACTCATGATATATGCTACAGATTGACTAACACGTTTGATTTTCTGGTCACGCAATGAAATTTGTCTCAAATGTACACTGTGATCTCAATTCAACAGCAACGCGCGAAATTATATGCCGACAGTGGCCGACATTATTTTCAATTTATTCAGAGCATGACCTCCTGATACAAACGATAAACAGGAGTTGCGTGTTTCGCAGCACTTGACTTCCTTCTGCTTTCCGTTCTATTTCAGTTTGCATGAACTAATTATATATTCAACGGTTCATTTATCGCAGTCATCAAATCGTTACACGCAACTAAAGTGAAAGTCACGAATTTGGTTTTGTTCATTGCTGTCTAAGATGAAAGCTTGTCAAAATAATGATACAGCCAGCATTATTCGATGAAATTTTGAACCCTGCATCGAACTTACGAGAAAGTACTTGAATGTCATGGAAACCGTGACCCCGATAAATATGGGATCAGTAGGCAAACATGACGGCAATCATGCAATGTCACGTCTCAATGAATTTTCTTGATCAAATCTTCGATCACGATCATGTAGGATTTTTCCTACCCAATATCTTGAACAATACGAACAGTAAAATGACATTCCTGGAAAATTTTAAATTCACGAGAAGTCTTCGCTACTTTGAAATGTTTCACGAAGCGGCAATGTTTACGTCCGGGCGGGAATTTCATCACGTCAACCGCAAACGCCCGAATGACGCAAAAAAGTAAACCCACGCAGAACGCGCGCGTAGCACACGCAATGCCACAGACTTGTCGTGGAGTTTGGCCTACAAATGTTGAAGGGGAGGGTTGGGACTAAATTGGCATGAAAACGAAAGGGAAGTGAATAGTGCTTTTGAAATTAAAATGCACAGCAATCGTCTCGACGACATTTATTAAGCCATAACCGACAGTTACTTTAGGCGCTGGAGCGTGCTTTTTCCTCCCTTTGGATTTCCTTGGCTCTGAAAAAGATGTCTTCTTCAAAAAAACAAATAACTGTAATTTTTGTATCATTTCACGAATTTTGGGCAAAATTTAAAATGATCGTAATAAGTGAAGGCTGAGGTAAGTGCAAAAGAGTTCTGAAATTTATCTTTCGATTGCGTGTGGCCCATTCATGCGTTCAGCACTGAAGGAAAATTTAACTGTTTTTAAGCCTTGCTCATCAGTTCGACAAAACCATGGATTATCAGTTCTTTATGCACTCAAAACCATCGGTCACGAAACAGTTTTTAAGTCATGATATAATCGATTGAAAATAAGCCACGCGATCAAGTAGTAGATGATTCAAAATGAAATTTACAGCAGTTTACTTTACTGTTTTGGTCGTTCTGTTGCACACAGCGAACACATGTTATTCTTATGCTCTATTGAACTTGTGCTAAAATCACCTGTTTCACTTAGAGTCAATGTCCTCCTTGCTATTGAACGATTAAATATTGATTGTCATACAACTTTGACGCTGATAACAGTTGAATGGAATTCGCTTCGGTTTCGAGCTTTAAAATAAAAAGAATATTTAAAGGAAATCTTGCTTTAACTTTCTCATCATTATGTTAAAGAATGAGAAATTTCATTTACTTATCTCGAAAATGAAAAATGCTTTCTTATTGAAGCGGTGAACACGGCAACAGCCATCCCTGTGATAATTCTCGTATCCGGGAGAACGTGTTTTCACGCAAACCGGAAGTCGGTATGAAGCTCGTGTGATACACGTTGTAATAAACCATTCACGCTTGACTGGTTATAACGCATGCGCGAGAGTCTCCATTCACTTGTTCGAGGATATAAATAACATTGAACTGAAAATTTTCTTAGCACAACAAAGGGCATTCATCGGTCGCTTGAAAGGAGTCTCAGCAAAAACTCTCATTCATTCTTAAGAAGAACTGGTAAGTTACGAAAGTCGCCTTCAAAGGTTTAGTCAAGACTTAACCACTGTCTTAGTTAAAGCCAACCACATTCTCACCGAGAAATTACGTGAGTCAATTCAGACAAGCACGCACGTATTTCATGCGAGTTTTGATTTCGTTGAATAGAACGTTCTTTTGAAACAAGTCGGAACGCTTTAAATATTTTTGGTCGGAGGAAAGGTTGTAAAATCTTGACTCAAAGAAAGTTTGAATGATAGGTAGAAACTGGGAGCTGTAATCACCTCGAGAAAACAACTTGAGAATATTTTCAAGAGTGCGTCAAGCCTCCACGTTGGATCCTTTACATCCCAGTTACACTTCTCTCTTCTACTATCCCTTTCTCGACATGGGATCAAGAATATCGGCCGTGAAAAGGAACGACCACAATGACAATAGACAAGGGGTTTATAAATCGCTCAATGTCTTTCAAGAAGAAGATCGGGCCAGAGACTTGGCGAGACCAGAAAAATTAGACATTTTACTCGATCGTCCACCTCTACCGGAAGAGGCTTTGTTAGAACATGCTTGGAACCCGAACGATCGATCGGTTAACATTTTCGTCAAAGACGACGACCCGTTTACCTTTCACAGACATCCAGTAGCACAGAGTACGGACTGCATACGAGGAAAAAAGGGTTATAGTCGAGGTTTTCACGTCTGGGAGATTCAGTGGTCAACCCGACAACGTGGGACACACGCAGTAGTAGGGGTAGCTACATCAAAAGCCCTTCTTCACTGTACTGGCTATCAATCCTTGGTCGGCAACAACGAGGATAGTTGGGGATGGGACATTGTTAGAAACAAGCTCTACCACAACGAAAAGAACGTTTCGTCAGTAAAGTATCCAGTTTTGTCTGACAATGATCATAGCTTTGTGGTACCTGACAAATTTCGCGTTATATTGGACATGGATGAAGGAACTATGGCTTTTGAAACGAACGATGGACGCTATTTAGGAGTCGCTTTCCGTGGAATGAAAGGGAAAACTGTATATCCTATAGTCTCAGCCGTGTGGGGACATTGTGAAATCACTATGAAATACATCGGTGGACTAGATCGTAAGTAGCACTTTTTCTTTTTGCCAGCGAATTCTCTCTGTGTTAGTAGTCCTTTGTTTCGTGCATGAACGCAGACCCATTGTTTACAGTTCTTTTTTCACTAAACTTGTCATATTGTATGTTTTGCCCGTCAATAGCTGTTGAAACAGATCTTTATTTTTTACTGATTCAGTTCTTCTATTCCTCATCCTTTTGACAGAGGAATTTAAAATTGATCGTAAAAAAATGTATTGCCATGTTTTGGGGTTGAAATATTCATTCCCATGTGATTTTAACTTCCCTTACGTCACATGAGAAAATGACCTCATCGATCTGCGTTACGGTTTTCGAGAAACAAAAAATTTCGCTTTTCCTTAACCTATCGTTTTCCAAATCCATTCGGTCAAATAGTTTCTAAAGAAGCAAGAAGATATCGAAACTGAAAGCCCATGCTTTTCTAGTAGTAGGAATAGTTTCGTTCGTCTCATTGATTCATGTGCCTCTTCTTAATGAGCGGATTCGTTTTGTTTATGTCTTGAATATATATTTGCCATAGTTTTTAGCGGTTTTTATCATTTTTTTTTTTCGCTTAAAGTTTATCTCAAAAGCTCAGCAAAATTAAGACAGTATCTTCGCTTCCGATTTTATTGTTTCAATGGGTGAATGGAAATTAATATTTCATTTGGAGCGAAGTCTTCTTATCCGTTGGGACCGTATTTGTCATTTCCGCCTGAGAGAATTTGTCAAGTTTCCACTATAAATGTTTTTTTCCATTTTAACAATATGGAAATAGCCTTTGTATTGTATCGGAGGCTTTGGGAAGTTGTCTCTCTCTGTAAGATTTTTTTATCCCTAAAGCTGGGTGCAAACAAAGGAACAATGAGATCACATCGCAGCTATTTTGGTGCAATGAGCGTGGCGCGTGCCAAACCACCTGTTGCATGTAGAGAACGTTGAAAGCGTTTGCCACAAAACCATTCAAAAGTAGGTCAGCTTTTAGAATTCAAAAATCATATCAAAGAATCGCACATTTTTCTAATAAGGCAGGGTATGAGAACATGAATTACCTTTCCTTACCAAACTTGTCAAAATTTCCTACCACAGGAAACCAAAATTCATTGCCGACAAAAAAGAAATCCTATACTGTTGAAATAATGATGACACTTAAGAATAAATATGAAGGATATTTCACATTTTTTTTGTGATCAAAACTTTTACCCTTATTGTTGTTTCAAACTGAGAAGATTTCGGTCTTAGTAATATAATGATTCTAGAGCAAATTTACCTCTGAGTCAAGTCGATCAAATCTATCAGTTTATATCCAGGTATTTACAATGAAAAAAATAAATTATTGTAAAACTCAACACAGTAAGAAATAGTTGGTAAGGCTGCCTGGTTACTAAGTGACTCACTCATGCTTTGGATCAGGACACCTGTTGCTATGTTTATGAGACAGTTCTTTTCTTAAGAACCTTTTTTCATGTTGAGCAGTATGCTTTCTGAAGGTTCTTTACTTTATAAAGTGCTGACTAATGTAGTTTTTTATAGAGGTATAAAATTTCCAGGCCAGAAAAAAATGACAACAGCAAAATGAATAGACTGATTTCGATAATCATGGAAAAATAGAAATATCTGTCAATAACTGAAAGTTGATAACTTGTGCAGTAGAGCTGAGGCAATTGGCTTTAGTATAGAATTTGCATGACTGTGTTTGCAATATTGGTAAATGTATATACTTGGAGATAATTTTTTTCCAACCTTGCTCATGATCCTTTTTTTCTTTTTTTTTTGTAGCTGAACCTCAACCTCTGATGGATCTCTGCAGACGTACAATACGCAAATCCATTGGAAAAGAGCACCTAACAAAAGGAAATGTAGACAAGCTTCCCATTCCAGTTCCGATGAAGAAATACCTATTGTACCAGCAAGGCTGGTGACAATCAGCTTCGTGGAATTTAAAAAAAGCATAAATTGTGGCTGTCCTTTTCAGTGTTAAATGGTGCATCTTGAACCATTCCTCTGTTAACGATCAAGAACCTAATCAAACTTGTTAAGATAACAAATTCTTCCGAGCTAGTTTTCATCCTTTTTCATGTGAAAGAAAAGCCATAAAATCATTCTTTAGATTAGGGTTGATTATATTTGATAAGGTTTTTTCCCCTAGGTGATTTTCCAGGGTAATTTAATTATGTTCACAAGACTATACAATTGTTTGGGAATTTTAAAACCAGCAAAGGCAACTATTGTTTGTGCAGTAGGTGTGTTTTATTCCAAGTGTAGGATGATCTTTTATGATACAGAAAGTGAAATAGAAATATGTTTTCAAATCAAAGACCATACCTACTCATGCATAAAAGATAAAACAGTCTTAATTTTTTAGACTTTCTTTTTTAAAAAAAGAATCTTAAAAGGTTGAAATATTCGGCACAGAGTTTCTTAATTACTGTTATGAGAAAATTCATTGCCACCAGTTAAAGATGCTCCTTTTTTCAAAGAAATAACTTTTACAGGGATTTGAAACAGCTCAAACTAGTGTAAATAGCAGCTAAACTTTTCTTCAAATTTAAACTTATTTATTGGTGAGGCCATCCCTCGCATATCACAGAATTTTAATTACATTTGCACTATTATGTATAACACCCTTAAAGACATCTAAAGAGTCAAATTTAGTTGCGAAAATTTAATTTATTTATGGAGAATTATACTTCACTACCCAAATTGTAGGGAGTGACTAAAGAATGTAAAAATACAAGAAAGAAGTGACCTAAATATTTATTTGCACTAATTTTGCTTAGGTTTAACTAAGCACCACTACAAATTGAATCTAAAGGATAATTTTGCCATTATTATTATTGACAGGAATTTGACTCTTTAGGTTGGTCTGTTTAACTTATAATTAACAGTTTTGGTTGATATAAACAGTGGTTAATTGATTTTGATATTTTTATCTTTTATCTTTAGTTTGTCTGACTCCCTGAGAGCAATAAAGTTCATATTAATAAATTATTGTAAATTTTGTCTCATTGAATTCAGATGGACTTTGTTTGCTACCTGAAATATTGAAGTTCTTTATCAAGATATGCTCTTATCACAGCAGTAGTTATTGTTCTGTTTCTAGCAAGGCTTCAACTCTTTTAGTTGCTAATTAAATTGAGTGATTTCATTTATTTATTATGTTTAGATATGGGGAGTTAAATAGTTAGTATATTTATAACAATATTCTATTGGAATATGTCCCACTTATACTTTGCGTTAAATGCAGTGTTACGTTATAAGCAATAAAATTCAAAAAATTTTAAAGACATTTTTGTGGTTCCAATTGTTTTTAATCTATTAAAACGGCAGTAAACAACTTTGTGCAAATTTCGAGGTTATAAGGATTGTTTTCCAAGAACAATCTGTTTGTTCGTAATGGAGGTCGGAAACATGCAATTTGGAATATTACCAAATTCAGGTTGACAGGAAGTAGTATCAAACCTTGCGGAAACTCAGAAGGGGTATTAATATCGATTGACAGATCATTACGGAAGAAAAAATTTACAAGCCGTGACACTGACTTAATTCCTGTTATGCTCAGACAGGGGTGAGCTTTGATTGTAGGCTATTTTTGGCCTACTTCCTCTGAATTCATATTGACCAAGTAATTAGAAGAATGTAACTACGTAGGGACGAAGAATCTCTACTTACAGGAAAATTACAATTTGAGCAAAAATCTGGGCATTTTACAGAATATAGACAATTTCCGGGTTGTTGGTACGTGCACAGATCTAGTTACCATCCTTTTAAATGGTATGTGAAAAAATACTCCTGTGTTTAATTTCGTCGTAAAGGAAGTGCAAAGAATTAGGCTTTTGTTACAAAATTATTCACAAACAACACAGGGTCATCAGCTGGGTCAACAGGATGTGGTAAGCCATCCGAAAGACCGACGCCTTTATTTAGAGCGTTAAGCCGACATACAAAGCATTCAAGAACAAAAATTACTCTCTTGGGAACCATTTCAGCTATACTGCTTTCCACCTCGTGTAAACTGTCAGAAACTATTAAGCACCATATGAATTTCAAAGAGTGAAATGACAATCATCGGAAAAGGCATCGTTCCAAAACAGTGATACGCAAGACTTTCTCCAAAGACCTCTGAAATACTAAAAAATACTAAAAAAATTTCCCGTCATGGCCCACGCTATTCATCCGAATGATCTTTTAGATATGTGCATTGATTTTGGTTGGGCGGTACCACTTAATTACATCGCTGGCAGTGCCCGGGGTAAATATGAAGCGAATCCTGTGTTCTTATTGGCTACCCGAGCCGATCTTGCCCGCTCGGGATTGCCTGCTTTGATCCCACGTAGGTAAATAAATTGCTTGAGAGCGGACTTATAAAGTCCGCAATTTTTTATCGACCACAACATCATCTCGGTCCATAAAAACGCAAACAAAGAAAAAAAAGGAACTCGGCCAATATCCAGCCATGGACCACAACAAAGTCTCGGTTCATAAAAACGCAAACAAAGAAAAAAAAGAACTCAGCCAATATGCAATATCAGCCATCTTGTTTGGTCACTTACGCATTTGTGCAGCTGCAGCTGCTCAAACAGCCTCATTTTCAACCCTTTTTCTCCCCAATTACTTTGGAGGAGGAGGAGAGGCCTGAGAACGAGATTGGTCGATCACTGCCGAAGTGTAGATTGTAAATGATCGTTGGCCGTTCGTGCAATGTTCGCTCCGTTTCCGTTCGTTTGGGAGGCATTACCCAGTAAGATCAGGTGGCATGAGGTCAGGATCTATATTTAACAAAATTGTATATCCTTGATTCACCTTACTTTAAACCGTACATCCAAACTTGGTTAACGGACTCCACGCCCTGATAATTTTGAAAAAAAGCCAAATTTGCTTGCAATGAGCTGTAAACAGGACGCTCGCCCACAATGGAGCAGTTTGCGTCGAACCTGGAAGAGTCTTGAAAATGTCAACAGAGTAGCAATGGAAATTCAAGAAAGAAGCAACGCGCGTGGAAACAGAAATTGTAGAAAAAGAGCAAAATCAGAGAGTGAAGATCCGAGTGTCATGAAACAAGGTGAAAAAAGAGATTTAGAGGCCATTTGTCACGCTGTTAAGAAACTCAGTGAGGCGTTCGGACGAGTGGACCGTTACGGTCCTGAGGTGCCATGCATTCGACCAGTGCGCGAACTTTGCGGTAAGATAAGGCCCCAGCTTAACAACGAACACGGCATGTTTAACAGAACATTACAGCGCCTCTGTGACTCCAGTGTATCAGGACATGAGAAAATCACGGACTGCGCCAAAAATCTACAAAATCTTGTCAATTCCATTGCGAGTGACGAAAGTGATTACATTGCTAGAATAGAGGACATCATGCAATGTCTTGGAGAGCTGATAGGAACACTAGAGACTGTCTTATACTTGGAATACCGGGAAATATAACCTGATAATTCTACTTATCTCAGACTTTGATAAAACAGTCAGTACAGCGTCTATTTGTCCCCACAATTAAAACTGATTAATTGTAAATTCGTAGGTCAGTTGTGGGTCAATAACTTAGATGAAAACTACAGGGCCGGTTTACTATCGTTTCAGTTAATTTTTGATTTTCATTTAAGTGCCTTGTGGAAGTGCCAGCTAAGCTTAGTTTATTCCCAATTAACTGTTAGATGCATAGATGACTATCTTCGGTTGAGATTGTTTGTTTACTGTGCGGTACCACCTGTTCATTCACAGTCACCTGCAGTGACGTATTTGACAACTAGGATGAGTGCCTTCAGTCACTGCAGAAATATTTGACTTCAACAGTACAACTGAAACTACAGCCTACTTTTGATCGAGTAGTAAAGATCAGCGACCAGATTACTTAGACTCTTGTTTTGCGGCAAAATCAATCTGAAAAATTGTGGTTTTTCATAGGCAATTCAAAAATAAAGCTAACTGTATCTTTCTGTCAACCGAAAAGATTTAAAAAGCCCTCTACTAACGCATTGTCATGATAGCAAAATTATCATTTACATTTTTCGATTATAGCGTAAATAAACATAGTCACGAAAAAAAGAGCCACTGATCCGTTTTATGGTCCACTGAGCAACTCAGAAAGAAACTTTCCAACCATGGCAACGGTATGAAATTCTCTAAAAACGTTTATCGTTGGTTTTCTTAGTAGGAGTCCAATCTGGAAACTAAGAGCAACACCTGTTCTTCTGCTTATGAAAGTAGGCAACTGAATCAGACTTAAACTCCCCGTGCTATTTGTTACTGATCTTTCCTGTTTATTTCGCCATCATCAAGCTTAAAAGATGACGTTCGATCTCCGTCTGAACAGAACAGGCATTGTAAATGAAGACATGATGATTATCTGCTTTCATAAGGCTGTTACCACAACGTTGACTATGATCACAGCCTGAAAGAGATTTCAGGATAAAGATAATTTCGAACAAGCAATTTTCCAATTGTGTTTCGATCGACGGAAAAATCGCTTTGTCACTTTCAGCTTGTTTTGCATTTTACCACAAAGTATTGGTATGTTGTTTATGGTATGTCGGTCGTCATAACAGGAGAACACCTAGAGGCCTCAAAATAACCCCCACCATGACCGCAATAACAACAAATCTATCTGATGATAGAGTGAAAACGTACAAAGCAATTCTCAAGAACGGGCGGATACCATGCAGGCTATCCTGACAATTACAAAAATTTAGAATTAAGACGAAGTTTAAAAATCCTTCTGTTGAACAGTATCGTGAAAAGTCTCCAGTATCTTCTTCCTTATCTCGTCCCTAAAGACCAAAATATGTGAAATCAAATATGACGCTTGGTAATGGATTTTCGTAAGTCTTGAAGTTGTGGTTGATAGTGTACTTTGTGCTAAAGAGATATTTTGATTATCTGGCAAGGCACTCTACAAATATGAGAAGAACTATTTGACACGTCTTGAATTTACTTTTCTGTGAATGCCAGAGGGCTACTCTTTATGGAAGGGGGAAAAATTCTCGTTCACATCCTGCGAATAGGATCACTGAAGTGAACAGAACATATCTCAATGACCTACCAGCAGGTCTAATCCTGTTAGACTCAAGTAGTTAGTTCGTTGAATGGTTGTTTATTGAATCAAAGCCGGATCAGGTTAGGCTTAAATTGAGCCTTAATGTACGGGTTCTCGTGAATGTTCTAGCGCTCTCAGCATATCGCTATCGTTATTATATCCCGTTCATCTCTTTCCAAAACATGAGGCACTGGTGTAAGTTATTCCACGAATATCAATTAGATGAGATTCCATTTTTTTTTTGTCTTGTTTAAAGTATGCTGACCTTTTATTTCTTTTTTGTTTACCATGACACTTAGCAACCTTAGATAACAAAGGGCTGAACGATATTCTACGAAAATAATCGCCCATTTTTTTCAAAGGTGGTCAAGAGATTATGGAATAAACAACAATCTTAAAAAAAAAAGACTGGAGAATGATTATGTTAGAACTTCCGAACTCATCATCGCTGGTAACTTATTCCCACATTGAAATACCGTTATGTTCATACAACCCAGTCTTTCTGTATTTAGTGCCAGACTCCTTAAAGACTTATCCCTCGCTCGCTTCACTCGTCTGCTCGAATCTCGCGCGCTTCTGCGCAGCACCAATGCTCACAGGCTAACAATAGCCAATCATGACAGAACTTTCATCCTTATTATTTTTCACGACAATATTACGGCTCCATTAAAAACGTAATGCAATTATAATGAGTTAAGAGATATCAGGCTCCCTAACTTTTTTCCCATAGGTGCTTTAAAATCGCCAATCACGGTCAGAGTTATTATTTCACTAACTTATTAGTGCACGTTAGAGTACTTTTGAGAGGGAATTGTTTACCATGTTGAGTATTCTACTTCCAGTGGGCTGAGCTGGGTCCTTACTCGACAAACAATGATATAGACCAACGTCAATGTACAATTTTTAGAATAAGATGCGTTTTCATAGATTTAGAGCTAACGACTTTATCTTTCGGACATTGCTTCTCTGTTAATAGTAATCCTAACGACAGGATGCTTTATTTGCCAAACGTTCCCTTAAGATTCATAAAATTGAGGTATCATTTCCTTCTACAATTGTCGTTTTCTGAATCAAGCCTTTGTCAGCCTCGAAATTTAAAAAAATTTGAGTACCATTCTACCACTCTGAGATTAGAAATAAACACGGCGTGGTTCCACCCTGTTGTTGCGTGTTTGAGTCGTCCAGAGTTATGACAGTTTCTGTTGTGTTGTGTGACAATCCCTTTAAGCCCCCTGGCGTCCTACAGAGCTCACAGTATAAGGTACGTGAAGTGACTCAATTTACTCTTGCCACCTTTTCGTATCTCTATTCAAAATGCTGAGATGAAAAATCACAATTTTCGTGGTACAGCATTAGTCGAGGTACTTTCAAATACGAGTTTAGCGCAATGAACAGATGTCTCTCAGCTTTATTTGCTCCTAAGACCTCGTTATAAGTTCTGTAAACATTTGCGCGTAGATTAAGGAACTGTTTGCTTTTCAGGTGAGGAAAATTTTCGAGTGACCTTATCGTCCAAGGCGTGGTTGTCTCTTTAGCTCTGTTAACGCCCAGGAGAAGTCAGTTTTTTGTGGCAAATCAAGTGCGTGAGATATTTATCACAACTCGGCTGATTAAGCGAAAACGGTGGGCCTTAAATTGTCAAACTCCTCGCGATTGCGGCTGCACCTCATATACCTGATCTGTAGCAAGAGGTAGTTCATTAGGCGGTTGATCGATATTTTAAGAGTTCGTGTGGAATCCTTCCAAGGCTGGTTGTTTCCATGAATTTTTAAACACTGAGTTGATATAACAACTTCTTGTGCTGATTATGTCGTTAGTAAAGGTATCATCACAGTCAGCGGACAAGAAGCGTAATCGTGGAGGTAAGTCAGAGAGATATATTAACTGCTTTCTTAACTTTGGTTGTGTCCGTGTTAACAATGTAATTTGTCTAAGAAAACACCAGGAAAGGAATTTGAGAGAAATGTCAAAATTTAAAGTTCTTTAAGTTTCGTGTTTATTCACCCTCTCATAACATAATGTCTCGATTCAAATATACCATGGCATTGTATTTTCTTCGTCATTGGGCAGACCAAACTCAGATAGGTTTGAATAAAAATGGATTTGATTCGAGCGAAACAAATAGGAATTGTCACTGAGTTAATATTACAACCTGCTCTTATGCCTTGTCATTACTTTCAATTCATAGAGTAAGGTTTGTGGAACATCACCCGCATCGGGCGGGAAAATGAATACTTTTCTATAAACTGTATCTGCATTTCTCGGTAATATTCCTATCTCTTGGTTTTCAATCAAGTTTTTTACTATAAGTTATGACAAATTCTTTTTGTACAAAAAGCAAAAGAAAATTTCCGCTTGTGGGTAAAATTTTGCGTCCGTCTAAGTTCCTAGTTCACAAGCGTCTACCAGTGGCGAAGGGCAAAAGACTCTCAAAGTTCAGAGCATTATTGCAGCGTTATCACCATCTTTAAAATCATTGTTGATAAATTGAACGGTGAGAGAAATCCCGCCCTAAACCTCATTTCCCTAACCCACCAAATTAAAAGAATATATGATGTAAGGTGTTTGTTATCAGGCGGTTGACAATAAGATAAACTCCACCCACGTTAACCCGCTATTTACAAACAAGTGGTAAGGGGAGCAATTTGTCACAAAATTTGCGGCTTCTTAAGAATTCCCACACGAGTAAAGTAAAGTACAGCAAGGAACTCGTCTTAACTGAGATAGAAAGGTATTTATATTTCCACAGCAAGGTAACGAGGATACAAATCCAACAGGTATTCTTATTGCCTCATTATGTCAATAATTTTAGTACCGCCTGCTGCAAGTTCGTTTTCGCTCGTAATCACTCTTCTAAACAAACTACAGTTTAATACATTTTGCAGCCGTTTCTTTGTTTCTTTCATATTAATCCTACATAATTTTTAATATCAATTACAGCGTTGTTTACACCTTAGTTTTATACTGAAGTTCTACTCACTGAGTCTGCCCTTGATAGACACACGTGATTAGTTGTAACACCTGTTACACGCTTGCACGATTTCACAAGCGACGCGTGATAGCGGGACAGCTGTTGAACACCTTCCTCACCGGGGACTTTTATTTCTTACAAATGACCAAAACCAGCATTATTGGTTTCTCTTTGTTGGTATTTATTTAGTTTAGAAATGGATCGCCTATCCATCAGTAGCTTGTAAACTTGTATATTCTCTTTTTCCAATTCAGTTTCCGTCTTTTAGTGTTTAGAAACATTTTCCTTTACCATTTTTTTTATAACTATAAGCCAACTAAGTTATGATTTCTTCCCTTAAACAGTTTACCTCGTCCTGGACGCATTTATTCGCGAAAATATGCTCCGGAGGTTGTTCAGCTTTCGCAAATCAAAACAGGAAGACGATGACAACGCCGAATCTCAGAAAGAAAATGTTGACCCAAACTCTCAGCTTCAGGTCAGTTTACATATTTACATATTGTAAACTACGCAATCCTGGAAGACACTTATGTTCATCTCTTGCTTCAGGAACTTGAAGCCGCTCAACCAGTCATGAAAGCAAACCAGCCGATGTCGTGTATTTTGAAATCTACGTCAGACGTAAAAGCGATTAGAGAATCATATGAGGGCAATTACATTGAACCAAATGTCCCTGACTCAGTCGGTAAACTTGACGACAGAGCCGAGGAGAGAACTTTGGAAAAGAAGCATGAAATATCCGAATTGTGTTTAGTGTTGGAATCTTCGACGCTTTCTGATACAGAGAGGTATGGCCACGTCAGTTCTTTTACACATGATAGGTATGATAGGTGCTGTGTTAAGCTTTCACCAAGCAACATGATTGGTTCAAATGCAAAAGGAAAAGCGAGATCAAAAGCAAATGAACAGGTGTATTTCAGCGGTCTGTAGTTTTCCACTCTTTCTTGTTTTATTTGATACTATTCTAATTGAATTTCAAAGAAAATAGCTGAAAGACTCTACAGCAAAAGCCTGTTCATTTTAAAACTAACCTGCTCTGCTCGTGGTAAGTATGCTTATGTTTCATTTTATTTCATGTGTCGTAGCGAGACGAAAGACAGTGAGAGTATCAAGGATGAACTCTCTGTTTTAGACGAATCTGAACGGTGTGACAGTTCAACATCTACAGAGGACAAAGAAGAGAGCGGCATCGAGCAAGACTTCGAACCAGCCATTGCGAACCAGACTTTAAGAACAAATACTGAGCAGTCAACTACAGAACTAAAACCAAATTCCGTCAGTCTGGATAAGATTGCCAATAGTTACCGGATGACTTTAAATCCCATAAACCTTAAGTCGCATCTGACACGAAACGATCGAATCAAAACATCATTGACTCGAAATTCTCAACGAGTGCCAGACGAGATGAAGCAAAAGAAGAACAGCTGTAACAGTTACCCTGAGAAATTTCCTTCTATTGTACCCTCCAAAGGGTTTCAAAGACAATTTTTTCCTCAAAGAGTTCAGCATTCCAGGGCACTCTCCGTTAAACCAGCTCCACGACAGGCCCGTCGAAATAAGGTCCCGGAATTGTTTGGGGACATAATCATAAAGGATCAACGCAGCGCCACGTCTAAGTATCAGTCTCCTATAAGGAAAGGTATTTTAAAATATCCCGGTAACTCTAAATCTTCGGCTGCAGGAGTAAGGTGCGCCGCAGCGATACCGAAGAAAAACAAAGCTATGTCACAGAAAGGTATGTCTTAAATTCCTTGTGAAAAGCTTTAATAAAGCTTTCATGTTAGATAAGAACTCTAATTAGGAGGGTGATTTATTGATTTTTGAGGTGGGAGATACATCTGTGACTTCTTTAGCCAAAGACAATATACAAAATACACTCTGATTGCAAAATGGCGAACCAAGAAGTAAGGATGCAGTGAATAAAGTAGTTTCGTCAAACCTCCTTCCTCACTTAGCCATGCTCTGAGGAACATTACCATAATAAGAAGATAATTCAGCTATGTAAACAAAAGGTTCGTCTTTACAAGACTTTATCTTACTCTTTAAGTCAATGGCTGATCCATTGAAACAATTAAATGACTTTTCTTACGAACTGGTATAATGAAAACCTGTATAAGTATAATTAATAGGATTGTATACCGATTTAAGGGCTGTCGATTGTTAGTTCGTTCTCAAAAATTGCTAACGTTGTAAAGTACTTGTCTCCTATCTCGTGCCTCCTTTGACTAATTTGTTACTGTGATCTTCATCCCTCTGACCACCCTGCAAGTTTCTTTTACAGTTATTCAAGCTTGATGGAGTCCGTTTGTTTGTAATCTTAAAATGTTCGTGCAGTAAACCATGGTGGTAATGTATGTGTTCACGTGTTTACTTTTGTCCTGTTGAATGCGTCCAATTGTCTGCACGTACTCTGTACTTTGTTGTCCTAGTTACCGATGAAGATGAGAAATACACTTTCTCAGACATTGTAGTCGTTTTAATTTCTTTAAAAAATTTTTGACAATAAATATGTTTCATCTTGCCATTATATCAGATAAAAAGATGTCACTGTCGTCAGATAGTGGGCTCAGTGACAACGAAGGTTCCAGCGGTGATGAACAAAAGCGCATACCTGTCAAGAAAATCTTCAGTAACCAACAGGCTCTGCGGAAGAGAATAGATGATTTAAATGGGATGTTGAAGACAATGGAGCAACAGAGGTCTGAACTGCAGTCCGTATTGCAGATAGTCAATGACTGGACCGAGGATTTACGCGCGGTTAACAGAACCAATTTAGGTGTCCCATACATACGGGCTATCAAGCAGTTGCTGGGTGAGTTTTCTACTTTCTTCCTCCCTTCCCTCCCTTTCCTCCCTACATCTACCCTTCTCCACTGTTAACAGAGGCCTCCATTAGTGAAGCAATTTGTTGTGAAACTGATGAAAATTTCTCTAGTATGAAGTTCTGTGAGAACAAATGGGAAACAACAACCAAAATGTGTAAGAAATTGGAAAGAATTACATGTTACACAGATCCTTGAGTTTCCCATTGGCTGTCGTTTTGGCTTGCGTGACGTCATATGGTTGGCTCTGTTATCACCAAGAAACAGCTCTTTTCTTCGCCAAAGTCCCAGGGGATCGTACAGATATCTGTAGCCTCCGTATAGCGTCACAATCGCCGCCAGTGGCGGCCCTCACTAAATTCCAGTTTCAAAATGGCATATATGTGTGACGATTCTTTCCTATAACATGTATTTCATTTCCTTTTATGCAAACAAAATTTGATTTTAAAGTTTATTTTTGATGAATCAATTTTAATTTCCCCCAGCAGTGAAGCTTTCTTGTAATTAAGTGGCGGTATCCATCAATCGGGTGTACTGAATTTCTATGCTATTGTCTTTCAACAGCCAAACAGCGCATTGCCTTGAGCAGTAGGAAAAGTGACTTTAATAAACGAATTGACAAGCTGAAGGACGCTGAAGTTCCCTTCACAGAAGAGCTGGGTACTTTGATTCAGCAGCTACGTCAAGAAGTCACGTGTGTTGTTAGAGATCAGCGAAAATATAGCGCAAGAAGCATTGAGAATATTCGTCAGCTCCAGGGAAGAATTATTGGAACCTGTTCGGCAATTCTAGCTGTCTATTATGAAGAATGACCGGTAAAACTATTTTCTGTAACAAAATGTGGTACGCACGGATCCCCTATAACACGAACATTTTGTAGATTTTTTTACCAGTACAGCGAGATATATAGCAATGATTGAGCCTATCTGGCCGGATTTTTTAGACATTTCCATTTCTTATTTTGCGCAGTAGTTTATAGTAACTGATCAGTTTTCAAGGCAATTTTTTAGTCCACCCACATGTCCGTAATTTCTTCAACAATTTTTCAGTTAATTTAATTTTGGTTCAATAAAGATTACAAAATCAAAACTAGAATCTCTTCTTCATGAGCTGGAACTACGATTTCGAGTTCGAGGCTGTTATGCAAACCCCTGAGTAGTTTTCTCGTAATTTTGACAAAACATCCAAACCCTCAAATGTTTTTATGAGCCTATATAACACGTAAAAAGTCCTCTTTTATTTCTAAATATGGATTCCCCCCCCCCTGCGGAAAAAAAACCACGAGAATCTCTATCGAACAACTTTGATTACATACTCTCATCAAAGTATATCTCTCAACCGATGAGAGACGTGCATCTAAGTTAGATCATTGATTGCTTTGCTATGGAGCAAATTTCAACACAGGCACGTCATTCCGTGTTTCTAACCAAATCTTTATGATACTGCAAGTCAGTCGACTTCTTCTAACGTATTAGAGACTGCAAAATTACATTTGTACAGATAAAAGAAGTATGTTTATTCGTTAAAAGAACAAACGAACAAAAAGAGAACCAAAAAACACTTTCAAATACCATAAACTAACTTCGTAGACAAGCGAATTTATTTGTTCATGAAATTCCTGACATGCACAAGTAAGGATTATTTAGGCGTAACCATTTTCCTGTCCTTTATAGCAAGTTTATATTGACCCTCATTTTACCTTCAGTTTGTCTTCCCTTTGGTTTCTATTCTCTTCCTTTGTTCACTTTGCTATCATTTCGTGGCCATTTCTTCCTTTCTTTCGTTGATCCCTGATTAATATGAGAATTTCTTAGTTCCTTTTATTTGCTCATCAAGAATGTATAATCTGACAATTTCACCATTTGCACAGGTTTTTTTTCTCATTGCAATCAAGAGAACATCAGCGGACAAATATTCAACCCGTCCCGTTTCGCCCCATATAAAGTAATCCGGATTCCGGAATCCAGGAAATTTTTGCTTGTGGAATCCGGAATACTGGGCATTCATAGTTAATGTCCCCTCTACTAACTATGTGGTCATTGGAATCCAGAATCCCGCTAGAGAATGAATCCAGAATCCATTTGCTGAAGATCATTTTCAAATCGTCTTAACGGCTTTCATGCGCATCCATGCAACCACGATCATGCTAAAACGTAGACTGCAGACCGTGCAGACCATATAGAGTACGCTTTGTTCGCTGCTGCAGAATTTTGACCGCTACAGCCCGCGTGACAACGACAAATTCAGTCATGACCTATCCACCAGTCGACTTCGATACTGAAATGGCCAAAGTTCCTTACTAGCTATTAATCAGTCTTCTAATCCGATTCAAAAATCTTATTCCTGGTAAAGTTCAATTTTAGCTTGCAGCACTTTCTTTACCGTAAAGTTCTTTGGGCTGTCTTGTGAAGATCCTGTTAATCATTTACTTCGTTCACACAGTACATTCCGTACCTCTAAATCAGCGTCACTGTCCACAAAAATAACATCTGCAATACATCTTGCCGTGTGGGGCTAATCTCCATGAGCTTGAGAAACTTGAGCCTGTGATTTTGCTTTGTTAGGTAACGAGAGTTCGATATAAACTCGTAAAATTTCGTCATGTGGTGTCCAAAACTTGGAAAAACGTTACCAAAAGGGCAAGAAAGTGGTGTATACAGCTTAATCATATGTAAATCACAGTCTAAAAGAAGCGAACAAAAAATTGCACAGCCTGCAGGGTCTGCGCGGTCTGCACAGTCTGCATGGTCTGCAGTATGCGTTTTATCATGACCAATGCAACCGCTGTGGAGTGCAGTTGACTCACGTGGTCAATGGGTAGGCAAATTTGAAGAGACAAAAGAAATTGTTTACGTGACAAAAGCAATCAAATTCCCCAGGGTATGCTTGGAACACCAACGTGGCAACGGACCACACATTTCCAGTTACGACAAACTTTGAGCAAACATATATATATATATATATATATATATATATATATATATATATATATATATATATATGGGAGCCGGAAGAATTTTCGCTATTTAAACGTAAACCGCTTTCTTTGATATTTGGCATTCAAAATAACAAATTTGAATGTTTAATAAAACATCTCATCTCAGTGCGAATAAAATAACATATTACCAGATTTTAGGGTCAAACTTGAAAAAAAAAAACAAAAACGACGGGCCACCTTAAACCTTTATAGAATCATTTTTCTGGAGAATTCATAGCCGAAGTAATGTAACTTGACTTGGTTAACCTTTTAAAGAAAAATGAAGTATAGATAAGAGGACCTGTTATGCTTGGAACATTTCTGTGTAAATGCAGATCTTTTGCGATTTTGCAAAGGTTTAAGTATAGTTGAGTTGGTTGAACACCGTTTTATAATGTCGAACATCATTTCTAATTACATGTAGGAAAACAAGCTTTCTTTGGTCATAGTCTGGGATTTATTTGCGACATACACGGGGTAGTACAAAACTTGTATTTCAGTTTAAAAGGAAAGTTAAAAAGTAATTTGAGAGGGAATCCGGAATCTAGCACCTGGAATCCGGAATCCACAGCGTGGAATCCAGAATCTAATACTGTCCAGGATTACCTCACATAGGGTGACCCGTTCCAACTTCGCTCAAACACTGCTCTTCCCTAGCTCACTGTTATTTTTCGTTGACGGAGCACTACTGGGTTTGACATAAGTGTCGCCGTAGCAACGTGAGAACGCAAATGCTGTCGGCCATGTTAAATACCGACAGAAAGGACCGAATGTTTACGATCGTTCGAAATCCATTACAGTTCCAATAAGAAATAATAGCGAGGTTATGATGAGATAACTCTACCGTCAATGAAAGCGTGTCTTCGTTCACGAGATGGAAGCTGTATTCATCAGCTTCGACAACCGCTTACTACCATCGGTTGTGAAGGCAGTGATGTTATTATCCAGGTGAGCGCACTCACCACAAGAGTTAGACGTGCTTTTTTATAACCCACGAATTACTTGAAAAAAAATTCCGAGAAAAAGGCTCTGGAGAGGAAGACGATATTCACGTTTTTGCTGTAAACTTTTGTTCCATATGTTTTCAAACTAAGAATTTGAACTAGAGTTAATGTATTAGAATTATTTAAACTTGATACGATTAGCGGCATTGTGAAACAAATTTAAACGATACCTAATCACTCCCTACTCTGTCGATCCCTATTCCGAGATAATTTTTACAATAGGGTTATATATTTAGAATTTGTATAACTTTCTCTGAGTCAATGGATTCTGTATTGTTTCAACTGCACACTTATTCTTCTTTTGAATCATTTTAACGTGCGCGTCTCAGAAACAGTACGTTGTTTCTATCAATAAAATAGTAAACACTTCAATTTAGAAGTATTTTTAACAGTATTCTCACGTTCATGGAAAACATTAATTGATTTATGTAAAAGGATGCTTACATCCGGCTCCTTCTATGTCAGTTGATCGACATTTAACAAAAAAAACAAGGCACTAACTAGTGCTTAGAGGAGCAAAATCTGCTGTTGCCGTGATTGTCCCTTAATTTTTCTTCTTAGTTCCAGAGACATTTTTTTATCCATTTTAACTTATTTAGTCACCCAAATATTATCAGTAGCTGAATATTGGGACTAGCACTAGCTGTCTTATTCGTGATCTGCTGTTTTGTACATACCATGGTTATCTTGCATTGTGATGTATTTGACCCTGACTGTTTTGTTTCCAAGCAGTGTTCCAATGTGGAGCGTCAGCATGCTGTTATTGAATATGATGAGACAGAAGGTTGTTTTGTAGTACAAGATCTTAACTCTGCGCATGGAACTTATGTCAATGAGTGCCGTGTACAAAATGCAGCTGTTAGACTTGCTTCTGGAGATATCATTAGATTTGGATATGGTATCCTTTTAAACTAGCAGTAATTTGTAATATAAGGAAAACTCAATACCAGAATTTCCACAGCTCTAATAGATGATTCATTATTTTTCCAAATGGTCCCCCATTTAGTGACATTATTTTTTAGCACAAGGGAGTCTGATGTTTGTAAAGCATAAATTAAGGCTTGATAAGCTTTTTTTCTGTACCCCTCTCCACACACACAAATTTTACTTAAGTCACTATTTTTGCAGTGTAGATCACTTGTCTTTTTTTCCTATTTGCCACTCTATAAGATTACTTGCATGTGTTTGAGACTCAGCATTTATATATATATAGGACTAATTTTGTTTTAGCTGTTATGTGAAGGTGGCAAGTGTGAAGATAAGCACAGTTATTGCCTTTGTTTCAGTAGATTTGTAAATTTTTTTACTTTTACAGTTACATTTCTTAACATGTGTGAAAATTTTGATAGAAAACACAGGATTTGAATTTCTTGTTGACTCCTCTGGTCCAATACACTACCCAACTTTGGCAGTATCAAAACCATGGGAATCATACAGGCTTCGTGTGTTACCATCTCCTGTGGCATCAATTCAATCTGGGGTGGTAACCTCACTTCCTTACATCAGCACTGGCACTACCTCTAGCAGTGAAGGGATGCAGTTGTTTTCAAGCTCTCAAGCTGTAAGTTTACCACCTGGCACTGGGAGCTCAATAACAGAGTTAAGGGGAACTTCTGATACCAAGGTAACAACCTTTAGATATCTTATAAGGTAATCGGTACGCGCTGGATTTTTTCTGTTTTTGGGTGATTATTCTGATGAGGCTACATTGGATGATATTATGCCTTTCTTTCATTTTGTCAACTTGGCAGTACCTGCAAAGCCTTTTATTTTTCCAGGGCAAAAATATACATGAATGTGTAGTCAACAACTCTAATTGCTATGAATTGAATACAATCTATTATTTAATTTTATTAACTGAATCATTCACTTATTTAATTGCATTTTTTGCTTTGTAATTTATTGTACTTACGACTACTTTTTATGACATTCTTTTGAAGTATTACTATTTCTAGCGCTTTACAAGCAAAGATCTTCTTCAGGAGATGCCTTATGAATAGACCAGTGTTTTGTTATTAATATAAGTATTATTATTATTATTATTTTAATTTCATAAAAAAGGCTGTGGTTATCCATCATGGTGAATAAAAATATAAGCTAAGCTTTTCGTTTGTCTCATGATGTAGTCACTCAAACAAGAACTGAGAAACTTTGTGCCACAAATTGTATTTTAACATGGACTGAAAGGTTTGTTTGCCAAATCAAGTCATCGGGTAGTGAGCTTATGCCTCTAAGCCCAGGTCATTTAGTTGAAACACTTTACACCTACATTGTCTATTACCCAGAGGATATACTGGGTTACATATAGAAAACATGCTAACTGAAAGTGACCTGCTGAATGGTGGTTTGGTGACAAATTATCGAACAAACTGTGTGAAATGTCAAAAAAATGTCATGTATCCAAATAAGATAATTTCAATCAGTAAAATTAAGAATGAAGTATTTTAATCCTTGACAGGTTAGTGTCATGCCCCACCCACCCCTGAGGTCACGCCCCACAAGTGCTGGTGCAACAAAGGCACGTCCAAGCTCTGCTGGAAGAGAAAGAACTGCTGCCCCCCCTGTCACAAGAGGTGAGGAAGTGGAGAGAATGTGGCTAAAACAAATAAATAGGCCTGACTTTGTTCCTTTTAATCAACTTTGTTTAAGCAAAATGAGAGAAAACATGTTCAAATAAGACTTAACAATATGATCCTTGCTGGTGGAGTGCAATTTGAACAACTGCAGGGAAAAAAAAACTTAAAAAATTAAGGCTTAAATGTCTGAGCCTGTATTTGTTGAAGCTTTTTTCTGCAGTTGCCTTAATTGCAGCTTTCATGTACAAGTACTTGCCAGGATCATTTCTCTCCTTGAGTTTCATTTGTTATTCAAATTTAATATTTTGCATAAAAATTGTGATCATTTAAGAAATAAAAAGAATTTTCTTTTACGTGTGGCAGCAAACTACTGACTGATGGATGATCACCATACAATTTAATCATAACAGTGGAGTGTACAAGTAGTGTTCTCCTGTGTTTACTTTTTAGGTGGCTGGGTGAATGGTGTAATGCAGACAGCAGGGGAAAACTCTGTCCAAGAATTGGTATGTTTCTGCCCTTGATTGTTCATACAACTTTTGTTTCATGGACATAACTAAGTTTACTATAACTGAAATAACACTGTCTGATGAATTGGCAAAGGAAGAAAACTAACTAATATAACACGTTCTGGTGAATTGGAAAAGGAAAAAAGCTGAATATGTCTTCAGACATAACTGACTCCAAGTAACTGAGTCCAAGACATCATGCATGAAAATATTTTTCTTTCTTTTTTTGATATTCATGTAAATTAGTTGTTACATTATGTAACAATTTTGTCAATTTAATCAGGAGGAGCGTCTGTTACGCATGGGTGATGAACTCAGCCGACTGGCTTCATATGAAGCAGAATGTTATCGAAAGGATGGAGTTATTGCTGCTCTTAGAGATGAGGTTGTTGATCTTAAGGGAGCTCTGCAATCCAGTGGTGGTTTAAGGTATGGTAAAAAGATGACACATCTAAATAACCAAAGTAGAATTTCATTTGTTTTTCTTGTGTCCCTAACCATGGATCACAAGTTTGATACCTTGGGCACCTTTTTGATGCTTTATGGTTTAACACCTTGTCTACTGACTAATGTTGAGAAGCTTAAATGAATTGTGCCTTTTTAACAGACAAAACTACAATAACCTTGCCAGAAAGTGTAGAAGTCACAAGCAATGTGCTTTCATTCACAGTTAATATTTATGATATCCTATTAAGGAAATTGAAAACAATTCATTTTTGACCCTCAGAGCTGGAGGTGAGGACTCTGCATTTTCAAACTCAAGTATTATTTTACAACTGCGAGAGCAAGTGTCACAGTTACAAGGAATTCTACAAGAGAAAGAAGAAAGTGAAAAGACAGCAGCACAGAAGTTAGCCATGTACCAAAACCAACTTCATGCCAAGAACAATGAAGTAGCCTCACTGAAAGACCAACTACAAATGCAGGTTTGTGAAGGAACCCATTATTTCTGCAAGGTACATGTGTAAAAACGTGTCAACTAGTCACACCCCATTTACAAGGTGACAGACCTCCCCACCCCACCCCACCCCACCCCACCCCACCCCACCCATCCGTCACAACGACTCAGAGCTCTTGCCGCGTATAACGAGTTTATCACTTTTCCTGGTTAGAATGCTTGTCAATTGCAGGAAACTAGCCATGACAGCTTTGCGATACCATTTATATTTACATTAGGGGGAGAGAGGTAGATTTTTAGTCATGATGACCCTGGCTAAAGCTTGAAATAAGTAGTATCTAGAGATTGAATGAAAAACATAAATGGAAAAAATACTTAAATGATTGATAAGTGGTTGGCAAACTGTTCTTGAACAAGCCTTTACAATATTACCTTGTAGACAAAAGCTACAAGCTGGGTGAAAACAGATCCGAACGCCACCACGAACAAGATTGCCTCTTTACGCACAGAAATAGCCGAGAAAGAGCGTAGGATTTCGCAGCTAACCAACGACAATGAAAAACTGAACAAACAGAAAATGCAGTCCACCACTTTACTGAATGGTTTACAAAGAGAGAACTCAGCAAAGGATGCACTGGTTCACCAGGCTAAGAATGAGATTGAAAAACTCAAAAAAGAACTCCGTGAAAAAGATTCAACAATTTCTACGATGTCTGCGAAGGTGAGTAGACTTTACATGTTTTTACGACGGATACTACTTCATTATGATTACAGAACAAACTTGGTTATCTGCTTCTGAAGTAAAAAAGGGATAACGGGAAGAAAGGCGAATTGTAGGGAGCTCTGGGGGCTCTGGGGGCTCTGGGAGCTCTGGGGGCTCTGGGGGCTCTGGGGGCTCTGGGAGCTCTGGGGGCACGGGTTATTTCCTTATATTGACTAAAAAACTCTCACTCTGTGGGGAGTAGCTTGTGTGTTAAAATAGTCCCCTTACTTGAGTAGTTTCTGCATCATACATTTTAAGTGTGCATCCTTATATTTTCTCTCTACTATTGTCAATAGACAAGGTACTTAACAGTCGGAAATTATAATGACTGGAAATATATGAAAATCATATATGTGCACTGCGGTGAACAAACAGATATAGGCGATTCTCGCAGCTATGAACACTACTGAACTAGTAGTTGAAATAAGACCTGAAAAAAATTCAGGCCCGTACGGGATTTGAACCCTTGACCTCTGGAAATATATGAAAATCATATATGTGCACTGCGGTGAAGAATCCAATGGATCCAACATAATGACCAGCTCCTAGTTGGCTTGTTAGCTTAGTTGGTAAAGCACTGCACCGGTATCGCAGAGGTCATGGGTTCAAATCCCGTACGGCCCTAAATTTTTTTCAGATCTTATTTCAACTATTAGTTCAGTATTGTTCATAGCTGCAAGGATCGCCTACATCTTTCGGAAATTACTTGTGTGAACGCGCGGAATCCTACGCAGGAAGGCAGACGTACATTGTTATGGATTTCCTGTTTTCATGGCATCGATTGGCTTGCTGTTGCTGTGATATGTTTAACCAGCACGATCCATGTATCTCTAAGCAATTCTACCGAAAATTTCTCATATTTTTCAGCTGGCGCGACAGAAGGCTGCTAAGGATGTGGAAAAGGAGGCGCAGAAACTACAGCAGGAGCTTCATGCTAATAAAGCGGTAAGAATCCAGTACAAACCAGGGACCAAGTTTGGCCGATCGATTACTTCTAACAGCTTTTTGTCATCCCCAATCCATAGAAGAAACGCCAAGAATTTTGCAATTTCTTTTTTCCATTTTTACTTTTTTTTTCTTGTTTATTTCCGCTTTTTTTTCAGTTATCTCTGATTTGCTCTCAAATGTTACGTGAGAACAGAATAGAAAATGGTGTTGAACTTCTAGTAAAATCTGCCGGTTGTTTACAATATGTAATGGATTGTTCTTTGTACTTTTGTGTTAATATTCTGTTTTTGTAAGAACAGACTGTGGCAAATGATCATTTAGGAATGTCAACATACTCAAATAGTTTTGTTTCCCTTAGTTTCTTGTTATGCAGTACCGCCCTTATTTTGGTTTCTGTTGATGAAGAATATCAATGGCGATTCGTTCTACTTACGTTAATCAAACATTATTTTAGTAAATGGTCGTTGCCACGCCGGTTTTGGACACTCAGTAACTGGGTTCGCTCTAAAATGACATCTTGACAAGTTTTGTTCATACCCATTAAGTCCAAGGTCTCTGTCAAAATTAAATACTTGAAAAGTATGTAAATTGCTTTCTACATTTATCCCCAACATTTCATCGTACGTATGAGGGGGCTTTAAGTGAAGCTTGCTTCTCCTGAAAGAGCTCTTCGGAATACCTCGGGTAGGCTAAGAACTTAGGTAGACCATAAAGAACATTTACTTTAAAAGTACAATCGCATTTCCGCCTCTCGAGTCTGCTGTCCGCCAGCATTTATTAGTGCTGGTTATTTCAGTTTACAACTTTAGCATCAGGTAGACTTTAATTTTTTCGCCGAAATTCCGACTCTGAACTACCAACGGCAACGGACACAAAAGAACATTGGTGAATGATTTTTAACTAATAACGGTTTTCTATCCTGCTCTCAGTTTGACAACTTGCAACCATGACGTGCATGTATCTTTAAAATTACTCATCGGAAGTTGGATACTATGTAAAGCTTGTCGAGCTGAAGTTGTGTTGGAAAAGTAGAATTTTCGTGAAAAGTTGCAATTGCACAATGATTTATTTTCTTTAAATGTTCACTTCTTTTCCTAGCAAAGTTTGCCAGATGGTTTCCTAACAGTTTCTTGACTTGTGTTAGTTGAAGCGTTTTGTACACTCCTATTATTTATTCCGTGTAGAAACTTCAAAGTACGGAGAAGCAGTTAAAGGAGAGGATAAAAACCATCGCTGATTTGGAGCACGAATTAGAGAAAATGAGAGATCACCTTAGCAATGGGCAACAGGTATGCTGCTATGGAAACCATGGAACTAGGGAACCATATTTGTTAACACAGCATGTTACACAGCCGGTAGTGTGCTCTTGTTGAAGTTATATCAGAACAATATCCTTAGTATAATTAACTGGTCTGCTCTCGTTAGCTGTCTGCTTGACAGTGTGTCGACATTGTAGGAGAATGAATCAAATGAATTCACCAGGGAGTGAAAGGGTTAAATAGAGATGCAATAAATTAAAGACAATTCATTAATTTAAAAAAAAGCAGATATCAGCATATCCTTTAATAAATCAAAGGATAAAATGCAGTACATAAAATTCAAACAGGGTCATCACACTTCATTTCAGAGGTTGTAGTTGTACCCTCATGGCTCTATTTCTTTCTTTCTTTCTCTTCTTCTTAAGAGTGATAAAGCAATTCAACAAGAGCTGGATCACGCCAAAGCACAGTGTCTTGACGCACAAAGAGCTGAAAAACTGCTCAAGGTTGACTTTCATCAGTTGGAGAAGAGAGTAAGTTGCTAACGTTGATCAAAACCTTAGTTCCTTGCACCAATTTTCATTTCAGATTGAACATGGAAGTTTGGAGAGTTTACAAACACATCAATGGACTCTACTCTTTGTTCTTGAAACACAATTATTGCAATGTTTGAAATGCTACTTGGTCTACTTGCAACTTGAAAGATAAATATGTCATGGGTTTTCGATTAGCGTGTTTTAAATAATTTTTTTACTGAACATCTTGACTCACTACTGTTGCCATGATTCCTCTCGTAGTTTGATCGTTTCCGGCGGAAATTGATAGAGTATACATTTAGCGGTGGGGTTCCGAGGACAGTTGATCATGAACTGGACGATGATGAACTACTTGATCACGTTAGACAGTTGACTCAAGAGAAACTTTCCCTGGTGGAAGAGATAAAGCAGTATGCCAGCTCAGAAAGCGAGGTAAACTGAATCCTATTACTTAAGTCAAGAACCAGACAACTTAAACCAGCAATCAAACTGATGAACCGGAAGAAAAAAAAATGAAAAACTTTCCTACTGCCTCGAGCTGAGGCCAAGAAAAATAGTAAAGTCCTGACTGGTTATTTCGTGGCAATTTACCATATAATGTATAATGGACGAACTAATCATTTCTTGATTTAAATGAATTTTTGATAATGGAGACGTTCCTGGTAGAATATTGCTGCTGTAACAATAATGTTTTTTTACTCTTGTTACGGTTTCAGTATTTTTTACCATTGCAGATAATTAGAGGATGCCTTTGCTACATGCACCTAGATTAGTAAAGCTTTACGCTCTAAGACTGAAGTTTTAAAACTGTATTTTTGTTTTATCCGTAACGAAATACTAAGGTAATTCTCTGTATATTCCAGAAACCTGCCATACTTAGAGTGCTAAGCTGATCTGTTTATCGCAACAGAGCTTGTCACGGATCATTAGTGCATTTTCAAAGAAATTTGAATCAGTCGTATTACATATATGATGTCTTGTTTTAGAAAGAAGCACAAGATAAGGATTTCAAGGATTCTATCGGAGAAATGCGGAAACATTTAGACGGCATGGCGGTAAGATGTTTTGACTTCAGTGTTCATTGACTTCATCGGCATGGCGGTAAGATATTTTGACTTCAGTGTTCATTGACCTTTACGTACCGCGTCAGATATGTTGAATATAGGGGTGGCAACCTGTGAGAAGAAGAGGTTCTGAAATGATTCAAATCACTCCGCACGGGGGGGGGGGGGGGGGGTTGGTAGAGAGAAATGGACTTAAACCTGTAGCTGGGTGGTTTCTGGTGACGTAAGTAATGTTTTGACGATGTTTTGCATTTCTCATCTTTAGAAACGGTTGTGGAAATCCGGTCGATCATGTAATTCTCTAGAAGAAGAGCTTACCTTAGTCGAGGAACTAACTACGCATGATTCTCTTTCTTGGATTAAGGTGCGATAGGTTATATAACACAACATATCGATTTTACATTTGTTTGAAAGCGTGTTGCCAAAATTGTAACGGAGTTCTCCGAGTTCTCTCAAAGTCTCAATGAAATTCTAACTGTGTTGCTGTTACTGTGGGTAGGATTTCGTTTGTAAAATGCTGTCCGATGAGTGTGCTTGGCAACAGAAGGCGGAAGAAGCTTTGAAGAATGCAGCAGATGATTGTGATTCTGGTGAGTACATTGCACTTTTGCACCAATAATGTTTAGTATTGCTTTGGGGTCCTTGTGCGCCTTAAAACTTAAACCGCTCCGAACCATCGACCAAAGAAAACAGTTATTTTCACGAATTTCAAACGATGATGTATTAGGCCAATTTTTTTGTATATGTAGAATATTATGAACATTCGTCTTGACAGTATAGAGAGTTGATATTTGTTTCGCATGTAATATGCCTATCATTTGGGTTTTATTTCTTTTCAGAAACCTCTGTTAGTGTAGAAGATATGTGTCGTCAACTGCGGGATCAGAAGGAAGAATGTCGAAAGCTCAAGGGAAAGTAAGGGCGATCTATCCCTTAATTGATGAGGAAAAATAGATATAAAGCTAAGACAATCTCTTTAAGTTTAGTGATAGTATCTGAACTATTAACCGGAACATCTTATGTTCGATTGCCGTGTGGAGCACTGAGACTCAGGTTGGTTCATCTGGATATGCCGGTGTCTTCGACAGAAATATTAATCTTTGAACACGTATTGTGAGGGTTAGTCGTGAATGTATGTGAATTAGTTTAATTTTATTTTTGATGTAAAAAGCTTCCATCAATATTGATTTTGTATTCCTCATAAAGGGGTAAGTTTCTATAGAAACTGTGGTGCTGCGTGGGAGGGAGAGTATAATCGAGTAATTTAGTGTTATCGACTGAGTTGATAACGTAAATTGGCCACCGTAAAGGGTTTAAAAGCTGACGTTTTGAGCGTTAGCCCAACTTCATAACTCGTTCTCATATACTTCATAATGATCTAAAACAAAGAAAGTTAAAATGAAGGTGGTAGTAAGAATTTCAAACTGGGAAAAACTTTGGGCCACAACATATGTACTTTTCCACTCTTGTGATGCTATTTCAGAATTGCTGAAATGGAAGAAACTCACCAAGAAGTGATGATTAAATTACGAGAAGACATGAAGAGAGAGGAAGAAAAACATATATCAAGGGCAGTGGCTGAGGTCAGGTCAGAAGAAGACGAAAAACAACATGAAATGATCCAGGAATACAAACTAAAGGAAAGGGAAAGAATACAAGCAGCAGTAGATGCAGAAAGGAGAATCATGGAATCACAGCATGGAAGCGTTACACAGATACAACAGGTTAGAAAGTTTCCACAGCGAGAGTGTTACTGCACGAAAGTGTGGGAGTTTATGAGCAACATACTGAAAACTGAGGGCGTATTCGTCTGCCTAGTTGGGTGCATTTTACATTTCCGAAAGATGAATTGTAATTTAAGCTAGATAATTGTAATTGTCCTTGCTTTTAGTAATGTCAACAACAACAGTCTTGGCAATTTCTTTCTGTTTACTTCTGAGTTTATGGTGTACGTAGTTTGCTTACAGTGCACACAGTATACTTTCCTGCATGAGGTTAGTAGCACGGCGCCTTTCTTTGTTTAATTGGGCACGGTCTCCTTGCAGCTACTGAATGATCGTCAGAAAGAGTTGGAAAATCACCGTGTTGCCTTAGCAACAACCAAATCTCAATATGAACAAGCGAAAGATGGATTACAGAGAGCGAAAGAAACAGAGGTGAGTGCCGTCATTCACGACTATGCCATGAAGTTCTCTGATGTGTTCGTAGCACTGAGTGAAATATTTGCCACTTCTCTTCTGTGTAGTATTTCTCAAAAGCAGGTCATGGTAATTTACGGTGTGTAATCTTAGGTAGAAACATAACTTCAGAATCTCCCACTTCACTTACATAAGACGGACGAAAACAGGAGTAGAGTAATAGAGAGTAGATTAGCCCATGCTCTTTCGGAAACTACTTTTTGGATAATTTTTCTCCTCTTGAGAATAATGAAACGTTGAAGCAAATTGTCGAGAGTTAAACATTCACAGCACACACACGCACTCGAAGTTAAGGTTCTGAAAACTGTTCAAAGAAAATAATGGATTTCACTCGCAGAAATCTATGGAACGTGAAGTCGCCTTCTGTTGCAAATCGCCTTCCTGGTTCCTAAGCACATGCGTGAGCACAAGATTAGGCATCAAGAACCAGTTGAAGAGCATGTGAAAACTCTCTTTGACAAGGATGACTTTTTGATGTGCTTTTCAAATGCCCTTGAAGAGTTAACATGTATATTGAAAAAGTGAAATTTGAAAACCGTTTAGATTTTACTACTCAAAACAATGGCGATTTTTCCACCAGAATCATTTGCGATCCCAGCTTCAAGAGCAAACCGCTGCGTACAAAGAACAGCTGGCTCGTGTTGAACGTGAAAAGGAGGAACTAACAAATTACAAAGAAGAAGAAGTTGCTTCTTTCAAGGTAACTTGGGTAATATAGACTTTCCATCAGTCCCAGAACTGATCTGTGTTTGCGGCATCACAGAAGAGCTTTACAATGCAACGTTATTTGATTTGGGTTTTTCTCATCACTAGTTGGCTTCCGCTTGCAAACTGTCATGTTTTAAATGTCTTTTTATTCCCACGACTTAACTTAAAAAGAGTAGGCCTGTTTAAGTTTTACTCCAACCGAGTGAAATTTACTTTGGCTTGTAGGAGCAAACTCGGCAACACGCTGTCACAATCGTGGCAATGGAAGAAAGATTGTTGCGTCTGACGAGGCAGAATCGACAGCTGGAGCAAGAGGCAATGTATGCCAAACAAATGACTGGTAAGTATTTACCTCTGTCAGTCATGATAAATTACCAACCAAAGCGCTAAAAATAGCGCTGCTAAATTTAGTTGCAAATAATTTTCCGTACTTTTGATGACTCTGTTTTGTTTGTTTTCGTTGGATGCCAGCTAAAAGCATCATCGTAAGTGTTTGTTCAGATTATAGTCAGCATTCCTTGATTAACCATGCGTTGCATTTTCTGATGTAGTCAAGAAAAAAACGTTTTACTGTGCGCTTTTGTCATCCACCTCGTAGTAATTGCGCTAGAAAGCTGTTTAGACACGAAATCTAGATTAGCTCGAGTGATCCTAAATTGAACTCTTCGAAAAGATGAAAATATCAAATTGGTTTCAATTAATGTCAAGGGTGTGTGAAAAGGCTGTACAATGTAGTTGTTAATCGAGATTTTCATTAAGGTGCCTACTTTTCTTATTGGTGAATGTGTTCAATGATCAGTCTTTTCACCCTGATGATTGTTGTTCCTGCTGCTGTTTTATTTTCATTACTGTCAATGCTGTGTTCACGTTTGCAGTCTTGGTACGTGAAATAGGTAGTGTTTGATGTTGTTTGCATTTCAATATCTTGGATTAAAAACGAACACATTGCCGACAGAAACAGTATCGAAATGTCAAAAAAAAAAATTCTCAAAGGTTGATTGAGCAACACACTTTATTTCTCGAACAGCTTTGTTCCGATCATGAGGACGCTTTAAATGAATTGAGCGAGGAGTGATAGGCAGGGAGGATAGTAGTTTTGTTGCTTTTGTGTTCTGCTCTTTCAGCTGAGAAAAAGTGATTTGAATTTTTTAGAAAAAGAAAAAAAACGGACGTTCTTAGGATTGGGAGTATAGTGTGTACTTTGTGTTTGGAGTATATAAAAGTCCCACAAGTTGTTCATATAGTCTGTGTGGCTAGTGTGACTAAAACAATTCATGAGTTTGTTTCCCTGTCCTTATTACAGGTAAGAGCCGACCATCTTCTCCACGCAAAGAAGCCTCTCGACCCAGCTCTCCAAAGAAAGAACTAGCTAGTTCCTCCAGACCTCAGTCTCCAAGAAAAGATCCAAAGCCACAGACAAGATCAGTTGAGACGGAGACTGTGCCCCAGACTAGTGTAGAAGCCACACTTCAGTCTGATGTCTATAAATTAGAGCAACTAGTTTTACTTCTGAGGTATCTAGATATCTATCTCTAAAAGTACTAATATGAAGTTTTTGGAGAACTGGGGAAGAAAAACCTTTGGAAGTTTGGGGCTGTCTTAATTTAATAACAGACATCTCTCTTGCTTCAGCTGAATAATGTTCGAGTGTGGAAACAGAAGGAAAACAGCTGAAGTCTTGTTGACTGACAGTTGTTTGTTCTGTGCATTGGAATTCTTTGAAATGCCAACGGAGTATAATGGCCCGAACCATTTATATCCTCTTGATAAAACTCTGCAAACAGGGTGATATTCATTGTAACAGGTTCATCTCCTGCTTCTTAAATGTCTTCCATCCTTTCGTAAAATGATTCAGATATTGTTTTTGGTGAAGGAAAGTAGATAAAATGTTAATCTCAAACATGCGTGCGCAACACATTTTGACTGTAATGCTTAGGATGTCGGAGGGCTCAATTATGATTTGTTTGGGGGCTAAATCGTTTTGTAATCATTTTCCAGACGTGAAGCAGCACAAACAAAGAAAGAAGCAGAGAGCCAAGGAGATGTCGTACAGGCTCTGAGGCGGGATCTTGCAGGAGCTGCAGCACGCATGTCAGACATGGCTGGCGAACTAAGTGACAAACAAAAACAAAAACTTGAACAATACGAGGAACGAATTAAAGAGCAGGACAACGAGCTGGAGGAACAGAGAAAACAATTAGTTCAGCTGTCTGCATTAGTGGATGAGCAGCAAAAAGAGATCAATTCAAGAGAGGATAAACTCACTGAACAACAAAAGGTTAGTGAGTGTCCGAGGGCTCGCGCCTTTGTCCAGCTTTCGCTGATCCATCGACACCGTTTAGATTGAAAGGTGGAATATATTATTTCTCTAGTTACCGGCAATCAGCTATCAATTTGAAAGCACTTGTATCAGCTGTATTGGAAATTTTCTAAAACCCGGTGTCTCCAGGTTTCATCCAGTGAATCCATGTAAATTCCGGAAACCAGTTATCGGGAAATTGCGGCTATGAGTAGTTCAATCAGATATTGTACAGTTTTAGTCACTGTTGCTGTGTTTCTCTTGTTCAACTCAGTTATTGTATTCACAGGCGTTATTAAAGCAAAAGCGAGATGCAACCAAGCAAGGAACTGAATTAGTGCAGTACAAGGAAAAACTGGGAACACAGATTGAAGAGCAAGAGAAGAAATTACAAATGATGGAGAAAGAGGTGACAACAAAACTGTCTAACGCTCCCTCTATTTATTGCGTTGCATTTGGTCTTCTTGTGTTGAGTTGCATGGGTTTTTTAATGTGTGTGTGTGTGTGGTGTCCTTTTTTTTTTTCTCTCCCTGCAGAAGTTTACTTTAAAAAAGCTTGCAAACCGATTTATATTAGCCCCGTTTATTTACTCTATGTCTGTCGTCGCAGGCAATGGTTGACCCAACGTCATGGTTTATATTGTTTATGTCAGCAGATTTCAGTGGATTTAACGTGTCACGCAATTTCATCATTAGATACGTGTAGCGAATCTTTGTTGCTTCTAAGCAAATATTTCATTCATTTCAAGATTTCGCTTTGACTTTCACTTTTAGTAGATGAACTCCGTTGAATTTCTCCGAAATCTAAGACGATTTTTACGTGATGACCGAAAAAGCATTTCATACATGAAATTTTATTGTTGTGCGGGTGAGGAAGGAGGATAATGTAGTACAGCTCATCGCCGGTGTTATTTAGACTGATCTTAAGTTTGCGTCCTTTGTCGTAGAATTTCAAGATAAGTGATTTACACGCCCAAGGTCTTCGTTGCCGAGGAGAACGACATGATCTGATTATAACTAGACAAAAGGAGGCTCTAGCGGACCTAAGAGACCGAACAAAAACACTGGAACAACTGAAACCACCTCGTAAGTGGCATGAAACACAAAATCATAATTTGTTACACATAATTAGGCTTTTAGGTGTTGTGAAAACAAACTTTTTCAGAACCGAAACAATGACAATCACCTGGATTTGATAAGAGCACGTGCTAAGAGATCAGTTATAAGCTGATCCGCGGTTGAATACCTTCAAAGCCCTTTAATTGATTAGAGAGAAAGACTTTTAATCGAGTTTCAGTATGGTCTATTTGACAATTGGTCTGTGGGTCCACGCAGCTATGTAAAGCACGATGAAAGAAAAACAGATAAACATTCCTCCCTATGTTGAATACAGATTTTCTAACTAATGTTGTTTCTTCAAAGTTCCAAGCCATGAGCAAGCTTTACAGCAGATTGTTGCTCTCAAGAAAGAAGTCAGTGAACTTAGAGCGAAACTGGCCTCTCAAGAGGAAGATTATCACAAGAGTGAGGGTGAAATGCATGCTGAGGTACGTGCTACAGACGCTTAAATTTGCTGCGATATGCTTCATTTTAAAACCAGAACATAGTATAATTTTTAGTTTCTGTTGGAGTTTTGTTTAGCGAAGTTTAATTTTTTTACTGAAATAGACCCACATTGCAAACCCTCTTTGCTGTTCTGGTTTGGAATAATTTTTCGAGGTAGACAGTGGATTATAAGGCCCTCGTTATAACACAACTAACTTGATGGACATATATAAAGGTTAAGACAAAGTCGCTATTACTCCCAGCACACGTCAACGAACAAACTATTGGACATTCGTTAACCATGTTTAGCAGTGTTGAATGCACTTTATCTTTATCATTATTGATTTTTCATAAACATCTTTCATTTCTCCACAATAGCTGCGTCTTCGTCGTGAGCAAGCTTCAGCCAGCTTGGCTGAGTCAGACGGAGAGAAAGGTGCTCATAGACAAACTAAGGAAGCGTTGGATCTCAGCGAGAAAACGGTTAGTTGATTTATTAGCAGGTGAAAGCTTGTTACTTTACTTGTACGTAGATGATATAGTAAACTTCCTCAAATGCCTTGACACTTACTTTGCATATGCAACTACCTTTGCTTATTTATTTAGATATTTGGTTTTTTTTATATATATTATTATTATTGTTTTTGTTGCAGTGAATGTGTTTTGAAATTTTGTTGTTATGGTGATATACTTCCAAGTTTATTTCGTTATATCTTACTGTTCTTAATGTCGTACTGCTTGTCCTAGTACCTTAAGCTGGCTCGTTCACTCGGAGCCCTTCTGGAGATTGATCCGGTCCCAGGCTGCCGCTCGATGGCTCATCTACCCGTGGAGGAACGAGAGAGATTGGAACTTGATAGGACAAAGGTATTCCAGAAACTGCAATTGAGTCTTTGCTATCTCGCCCCTGGCCTATGTTCTAAGCCTCGCTGTGTTCACGGGAAAGATATCTGTTGTGCGGTCTTATGTGAGCTAGGGCTAGTTATCAACTTCTCTTGAGGTGCTCTGTTAGCTTCTGACGAAACAACTGAGCCTGTGTCTCCTGACTTACGGGCAATTGTTCAAAGACTTATAATTATTCCTAAGTTAATGTTCTGATCTACAGCCAATCCAAATGTATACCAGCCAGGAAGATTAAAGGATAAAAGTTAGGCCCACACGACAGGGCTGATTCATTTTATTTAATCTACCAAAGCCAAATAGAAAGAGGAAGCAAACAATTGTGTCAATTATTAGGCTTTCCCGGGGGTGAAAACACAAAGGTGTTCACACTGAAATACAAGAAAACATAAGAGAGGACGTGACAAGGAGCACGACAGTAGAACTCACAGATTGTATTTTGAGTTTTTACCGATGAGATGAAGTGATTCTTGACTAAAGAACATTTTTTTTTATTAAGTAACCAGACAGTGTTGTGATTTGTGCTTGATTTTGTGCACCGTACGTTACTTTAATTGCAGTACATACTATCTCTCCCCTCCCCCTTTCAATTGGATCGTACGCATTGTCCTATTCTCACAATACAAACCTAATTAATCTTTTGTAATCCGTATAAGATAAAGAGGTTGGATTGGGTAGGAGTAAAAAATTTGCAGGCAACTTCATTGAGCAACATCTAACGTCATTCCATTTCTCTTTAGGCCGTGGAGTTGATGGTTTCTAAAATCCAACAAATGTACGAACGAATGGAGCGAAAAATCCAGTTGCTAGGGTCATACGAGGACGACCTTGTCCATCTTAGGTGAGATAAATATTCACTTCGAGGTTTTGAACGATAGCCTTTAAAACTTTTCTAAACTCTGAGTTCATGAACAAAGGTGAAACATACCTTTGCGTGTCTCGCTCTCGAGAAAAAAAAAATGGCAACAAACTTTTTTCGCGGTAGGAACTCATTTAATTAAATTTCAAACGGGTAATTTCTCATCAACCTCGTTTAATACTATTAATATCCTAAACCGTGAATACCCCAGATAAAGAGTTGGTCAGGTCAAATCATCTATGTTGCGGGATCTGTACATCTCAATGTTGTCTTGTTAACGAAGAGATTTCTGCTTTGTAGGGATAGTGAGACTGTTGCTGGACAGAAGACGGCAGAGGCATCAGGCTTGAAGGTAAAACCTCATTCTAAGTTACTTCCTCCCTTGATTACATACAGTTTGTAGCCCTTGTTAAAAAAAAGGACCACAATGCCTATTTCCATATTAAGATTGCAACAACTGATATGCAGAGAGATAATTCTCTCTGAGGTGGTTAGAGATTTACAAAGTTTAGATTTCGGATTACTACGTTGAGCAGTTGACATGTTGTCACTGCCGTGACCGTTATGGTGTACCCAAACAATCGCAAGTTAGCCATATTTTGGTTCTGTCAGTTGAGCTTTGAACTCTTCTCATTCCTTCCTTCCTCCACCTGCCCCCCTCCCCCCCCTCCCCACACTTTCCCTCCCCTCCCCCTCCCCCTCCCCTCACTCCCCCCCTCAAAAAAATTGAATTACTGCAATTACTTTTTATTTCAAATTTTGCAGATGGATGTTCGAAATCGCCAAGAAGAAATTTCTTATTTGAGAGCGTCCATGAGCAGACTAAGGGAAGATTTGGATCAACAACGGAGGCTAAATGTCTGTTTAAAGGAAAGAAAGGTAAGCTTTAGGTCGCAGAATTGACGGAAAAACAACTGAGCAACCTCTCTTTTAACTTCACCACAGTTTGAATGGTTATTGGACAAAAACATAGGACATGTAAACGAAGCTTAACACAATTTAGTTACTGGACCAACTGACATCATGTATTCTCCTTGCTAACAGAAATTTGCGATGGACATGGATGAAAGAGACACAAGGAAGTCGACGCATAGTTGCTATGTAGACGAGCATACGCGTTATAAGGTAACTTGACTTGCGTAGTGCTTGGAAATGACCTTTTATTTGATAAAGTCAGTGAGGTCTTAACTTTAAGAAAGCTCTTTAAATGTTTTAAAATGCATTAAGCAAGGTTATCCGATTCGAAGAACTCAGTATGTAAACTTTAAGCGCCTTTGACTATTTCGCTTTTAACTTTTAGTATGCTGTTTTCCTATTTGTAGGAAGAACTCAAAAAGAAAAAGGCTGCAGAGAAACTGAAAAGGAAAAATTACGAAATAGAATCGTTGAAAAAGGTAATACTGCAGTTTGTCTGTTTTCTACTTTAGTTTTGTTGTTGTCTTTGTTTCTGTACGCCATTTGCAAGAAACTGATTCGGGGCAAGTTCATTCATTTTGTCAAATCCGTGTTTAGAATTATTTTCGCAGTTCCGTTCAAATATACTTGATTATTAAGGTCAAAGTTAGGAAGCCGCCTTCAATTTCAAATTAGTGCTGATTATGGTGAATTTTCAAGTGCAGAAATTGCTTGATTTGAATGTAATTGTCATAAATGTGAAGTACACCATGTAACACTCCGAACACTGAATACCGAAGGCGAACATCTTTCGTACACACCAAATCACCCTCTGCGAGAATGATTATTAAAGCGTCTAATAAGGACTTCTGTTCCCAGAGAGAAAAAGATTAATACGCCTTTTACTTTGCGAATGTTGAAGAGCCTCTCTTTTCCTTGCGTCATTATTTTTCTGCTACACTGTATCATTGTATTTACTACTGATTTATTACAGGAATTGATGTCCGCTGACCGAGAATTGAACGAAACCGCTGTCAAGTTGCAACTGCTGGAGTCAACTCGGGTAAGTACTGCCGGCTCAGTTGTGCCCCACGGTTCATCTCTGTTCAATTTTTTGTAAAATTGTTCTTACCATGTCACATTGGCGAGAAGTGCGTGTTACAGCTATCTCTGAGAGAAATTAAGATTTTAAGCATATGAGATTACAAGCGAGGAACAAGAAGGAGGAATTCCACCGCTCATTTCCTCGGCTCCTGTGGTTTATTTCCATCTGTATTGCCACCTCATAGAACGGCACAGTGACCCTCATCCAAAGTGATCCAAAGTGACCCTCAAAGTGTGGGACAGGGTTGTAAATTGTACGAGAAAACTTAATATTGATGGTTTTATGCTGAGGTGTACGTGGTGGCAACAGGTAAATGAATGGTTTGGATTAAAGATTAACAAGAGAGACATCATAGAGAGACCCGAGAGAAATGTGGCATTGTCTTAGCAAGGGAACATCTCTTAAACATCATTTGTGTTCTGTTTCAGAATTTGACAAGTGCTCGAAGCGCTCAGAGTGAGGACAGCGCTATTTTGGACTATGATGAATAACGATCACACTAACTCTGATACGACGTCATGTTGTCCTGGTTCCCGTCGTAAAATGCCTCCTCTAGAACGATTGAGGCAATCCTGAATAAATTACTAATTGCAGGAGACACTACGCGGGGTATTGAATGATATAACATCTCGAAATCTAAGCGCAAGACAAGTAGCTCGAGTGGCCAGTTGGTTTGTTTATGGATGGTGCTATCGCCTGCAGGCGTACAAGCCTTACAGAGAATAGAATAATCCTTAGAGACATCACTCGCTAACGCAGGTCTGCCGCTTATCCTAAGCGGCTCCAAGAGCAGAAATACTCAGCCACCCGGGCTATAAGACAAGTTATTGTGTGACACAGTCATTATTAAGATATCTGACCAAGATTCTGCGAACCGGTAGACTTAGGTAAACAAACTTGAATGTTAACATTTTCGAACAAACAAACAACAAACAAGAAGATAAACAAAATTAACCAAGTTTAATTAACTTCACTGTTTCCCTTTCCAATGCGTCACGATCATGACAAAACCCACCTGACTGGAAATAACTGAGACTTGCGATGTAAATACTTTCTATATTTACCTATAAATTCATTCATGGAATGTCTTTATTAAAAGCCTGTAAATTTTACAATCAAAATGTTTTAGTTTTTGTCTTTTTCCAAACAAGGTTAAGAATAAGCTTAGGTTACCTATGTATTATTGTTCTCTTATTTATCTATTTATGTCCAAATGGATTTCCTTAAATTTTTTGGCAGTGTATCCCTGAGTTTTTAAGCATAGACAACCAAGATGTGATTGCTAATAGGAAGCAGGGGCGGCATAAGGTGAAAAGCCTTTCGTTCACGAGTTTGATATGGCCATTGACTTAAGCTTAAGCTTAAGATAACATTCTTCCAAAATAAGATAAGTCATCTGCGCAGCCATTAACAAAATGCTTGAAGTAAGAAACAAATTCCAAAATCTCAAGAATCGCAGATGAAAGAAACGTTCTTTGCGCTTGTAGTGCTTATCTAGCTTATATGTTAAGAATTGAAAAATTCCTCGTGACTTTTTGTCTTTCTTGTGACATAACGACAATTTGATAATACTACTGGAAGAACTCCATCAATGGGAAATCGACGTAGAAGAAAAAAAAAAGTGCTCCATTTGTCTTTAAAAGGAATTTCGCAGCCGAATTCCATGGCTAACCCGCCCAATCGTCGCACTAGATCTGGCCAGTTTGCACCATAGCAACACAAGGGTCTGGATAACTCAACGAGTTCATGCTCGCGCTAATTATATGCGTCATAATACATCGTTATATATCAAGCCGATCCTCTTTTCGCAACAAACGATCGCTCAATAAAGATAAAATTCCACATGAAGTTTAATTTGAGAGTGGAGGCGAGCTACCTTTCCAATGGAGATCCTACCAGATGACATTTGGCTGGAGGTTTTTACGTTTCTCACTCAGAGAGATCTGCTTAGAGTTTCACCCGTTTGTCGAGCGTGGTATCGCTTGTCACGTGATAGTTCGCTTTGGTCGTGTCTTGATCTTGAACCATTCTGTAGATCATTGCAAGGGGAAACAATACTGAGGTTGATTAATACTTTATTTGCACCGAGCGGAAAGCATCTCATTCTCAACAAGAACCTTGTAACTTCCGAGATGTTACAAAGTTTGTTTGAAAATTGCCGCAGATTAAAAAGTCTCAGTCTCAACGACTGCAGGTTCCATTCCGCTGGACCTTGGTATGAGCTGACGTTTGATCAGGTGGAGACACTAATCTTTTTAGACTTGAGAAACGCCAGCGGATTCGCTGCAGGTGTAGAAGATATCTTGATACAAGCATACAATCTCAAATACTTAGGTAAGCACGTCACCTTTATGCGTTTTGTAAGTCACTCTGTCATAAGAGGTTTTTGATCAAATAGGACTCGTGCTCTTGAGACTAAATGAGGAGAGATTACAGAGAAAAATGGTCACAGGAAAAGGGTTGAGAGAACTCCCCGAGAATTACATACTGATCATGACATAAGCATATATGTGTAGTTTTCCATCTTGTCGAGGAAATGACTTGTCAGGGATACATTCGGTTTGAGAAAATTACAGAGGGTTATAAAGTTGACTTGATCAGACTGTATATCTTCATTTGTTATGTTTGAACCTCTTGTAAACGTTTTAGGCATTCGGTTACTCTCACCGGCCAGATCAACAGTGAACGTTAAGCCGGCTAAGTTGCATTACTGTCCCGAAGCACCTAAGGATATGTGGGTGAAGTCACTAGCAAACAGATTGTTATAAGGCCTTACTGTAGCCCAAGTAGCTGATTTTTTTGCGTAGAAATCTAATTTTCATGTTAGCCACGTAAAACCCGGAAATAAACTTGAAATTCTGTTCAGAGGAAGTAAAACATAAAACAAATAAAGGAAGATACCATTCGTCTTGTCACGAGCTTAGGACAAAGGAAAAAATTTGGTTCCACACGAGGAGGTGAAACACTAGACCCTGGGATTCCGCTCTCTGACTGATGCTATACCCCTGAGCTACAGAATAATCTGTAGCGAACCAGAGCCTTACTATGTTCATCAAATTGTTCCATGACATAGGAAAAAGACATCTTCTTGGTTTCTTCTTGATTTCATTACCGAGTGCAAAATTTACCATCTCTCTTACCTTATCTAATATTCAAAAACACGAGGAAGGGCCCCGCGCAATAGAACTATCGTTAGATTTTCAAGTGAGTTTCCGCTACATGATTGAAAAATCAAAGAAAAATGATTGTGGTTGCATTGCCTAGAGAAAGTGATCAAGTTTGCTGGGTGTTTTCTCCTTCTTAGAGAAGGTGCTTCAATTGCAGATCGATGAAATAACATAATATAACGGCAACGTAGCTCATAGTAACAAACAAGTATTCCTGTTAAGATACCGTAATTTCATTATGTCAAATGAGCCTTAAAGAGAAAATCAATTTGTTTTACGTACTGACTTTGTAATGTTTGCTTCATTGCTTCATGCAGGTCTTCACTGTTGTATCAGTCCTCGACTGCTGATCAGAATGTTTATTACAAAGCACAACCTGCGCATGATTGACTGTACACAGTGTGACTGGGTCACAGACGACAGTATTCAAACTATTGCAGAAAACTCTCTATTTTTGGAGGCAATTTGTGTCGCAAAGTGCCGAAATTTACAAGGAAGAACGCTTAACATATTGGTAGAAAAATGTCCGCGTTTGAAAACGCTTATTTTAGAAGGAACACAGATAGTAGATGAGTATGTCAGACTGGTGGACTGGAGTCAAACAAACATTACCGAGTTGAATGTACTTCGTTGTTACCGCTTGTCATTTTCAGGCCTGTCAGAAATACTCCCTAAATTAAAGCGCTTGCGCTACCTCAAGTGCGCGCTGACCGACGAAGTCCTAAAACTCATTGCGAATGGTTATCCATTGTTGGAAGTTTTATTCCTTCATCGGCGCTACCCAGTGACAGTAAAATGCGTCAGTGATTTACTGTTCCATTGTCCAACTTTAACCTGTCTTGATCTTTCATCCATTCCTTTGGCTTTTGTCTACTTTGAGAGCTTTCTTCCCAGCATGCCTCGGCTTCGAATGTTGAGTTTTGCTGGCAATGAGCTTCTGGGCACTGAAAAAATTATTCGTTCGCTGGCTAGAAACTGCCTAGATTTGGAAGTTGTCTGTGTCAACTATTTCCATTCAACTAACAACTTCGAAATTGAGCGTGCTTTCGTGTATCTGTTACAGAGGTGTGAGAAGCTCAAAGAGCTTATCCTAAATGGTTTATTTGTTAGAAATTTGATCTTATCCATCAGAAGTTTGGCATATTATGTGTGCAACAAGGAAGATACATCAATAGTAGAAAATAAGCCCTTCTTTCTTCCCGGGCCCCAAAATTGCCTAAACAATGTTAAAAATAGAAAGCTTTAGTACTTATATAGCATTTATAAACGATAGCCATGCATGTATTGTTGAAGAGTGTGTGGGAGAAAAATGTAGTTGATTATTTTTGTGGCAATGAATAGTGGTTTCATTGAGTTTCTTCACTCAGAGGGTCGATAAACGGTTTGTAGAGATGCGTGATTGTTCCAGCGATAATCTCAATGGAATCCTTACTTTCCTACATGTGTGGCCTTTTCTAGTCTAAGTTTGCAACATAGCTCGAAAGACACCTATCAATTTAAAACACATGACTGATAAGATAAAAGTAGAGAACACAAAAAGTAATTAGCAAATTAGTATGGTATCTACGTTTTATCAGGACTCAATAAGCGTGGAAATGCAATATGTGTCAACCCTTTCTGTTAGTTGGACTCCGAATCCCAACCAAACGTGGCTGATTAATTCTGTTTTCACCGGAATATCATGACAGACGAACTCAATATGTCACAGAATATATCTGCTGAGTGTGTCTGCACTAAACAACATCATGAAACAGTTCTTCTCATGGCAATATCTAACACACCCACTAATTTACAGGTTCTTTTCATAGATGTTGTTCATGGAAACTGTTTGATGCTTAGGAGAGAGGAGAGTAAATATTTAATGTTTTTGTTCATTCGGCAAACTAACAGTTAGAAAGGTGTTGAGTTTATCCAGGTAAGCGTTCATTCCTATCCGGCAATGTTTTTTACTTTCAAGCTGACTGTCTACCTCTACACTGCCGCTCGTTTTAGCAAACGTTGAATATTGTTATTTGAACGAAAATTGGATCTCCTGCACCAATTGGCACGCTGCTTTTATCGAGGAGACAAAAAGTTCAGCCTCTCTCTGAAAAAAAAATTTGCTTGCACAACATAAATATCTCCTTTTCCTCGGCAAGTACCTAGTCATCGTTTATAAACTACATGCGAAAGTTTTAATCCACAGTTAAAATCTGCGGGCCTTTTTGTGCGGGGATTGCCATCTTTTGTTAAAATAAACAATATCCAACGCTGTTCATACATGTTGGCAGCACGCAAAACCGTAAGGTGTTCCTGATGACTTTCTTAATTTGATTTTCGTGTTGTGGTAGGACGCAAGAAAACACTCCTAATGAATGAACCCAAGGAAAGCTATAACTTTCAACAAGGCTAAAGATACAGTTATGCACTTCTGGTAAGAATATACCATCTATCTTGGATGAAGAGGTGGTTGTAAGTAGACGATATGAGACTTTGACCTGATCACGAAAGCAGTAGCGAAGGTTACCGCCCAACAATGAAAACACGGGTTCACATATCGTCACTTCAATAGCGTGAACTAGCAGGGCGCTGTGATTGATTGATTGGTATGCTATTTAAACTGATTCTTTTTCTTTTTTAAATAGATTTAAAGTTCTAAGGCGACACAAACAATTTTGTAAACATACCACTCCAAAGAGTGTGGGAGAATTAATTTCCGATATAACACTCTTGAGGATTAAGCTAAATAATTCAGACTGATCATCATCGTCATGTAAGCTACTTCAAACTTTATCATAATTCTGTATCACAGCCTTTAAAACCTGAGGCTTTATTTCTCAGCTGCTAAGGCAAGAGCTGGACCTCCACAAAAACAGAGACACTCATGAACCATAAATAATTACAAAATACAATTTACCGCATACTTAGTTCCTTTTTGGATTTGCCTCTGCATCCGGCAAAAGGCACGTGTGTCAAAGTCCAGTGATTTCAACTTTCACCCACTTCAGTTACGCGCTGTTAAAAGAAGAATGTAGGGGAGCGTTGTTTGCAAAGTTCAATTGGGTCAGAAGCCTCAGCCTCTTCGCTAGATTTCATAATAGATAGAGGTTGTTGGGCTATATGAAAATATTTAGTCTAAAACCATTACTTTTCTTCGAACTAGCTCGGAATCCCCCAAAGAAGAGGCCACGAGGAGAAAAAAGTCAAGAGTTCTTGGCCTCTTTGTATTCGAAGAATGATCACATTATTGATTAAAGTAAACATTGTAGGTCAGTGTCGCTTTAACTCCAAATACGGAGAAAAACGTTGCTAAAAATAACTACAAATATTAAATTTACAAGTAGTTTAAGTATTGGTTTTGCACCTGTTAAAATGTTAATGTTTATATCTGGTGAAGGTGATCAGCTGTCTGTTAAAGAAGCACTCATGCTTTTCATCTTGCCGTTATAAACACTCAATATGAGATCTTTGTATTCAAAAATGATATTGCTTCCTAGTTTTTGAAGTCAGCTTAGTCGATACTGCTGTTTATGCACAGGGGCATAACCCATTTAAACTAATAAACAGCTCGTCTAAGGTCCTTAACCCAGAAATCTCGAGTTTGTTGTAGTCGGTAAGTTGACCTCTATTTGATTTCGCACATCATTAAATTAAATTTTGTTGGCGTGCAAAATAGCACTTGCACTCGCATGCTTCATGATAAAAACTTACTCTTGTCTTTTTTATATTTGTGTATGGGCTTCAACCACGCAAATTTACTGACCGGATGTTTTGGTGTAGGCCATCACTCGTATTCAGCTACAAATGTATTCCTGGTATGTAATAATACGGTTGATTCCAGTCAGAATACGGGTAACATATAGGATGTTTCACTTTTCTTTTGCCGTCAAATTTGGGAAGGGTCACTATGGAGCTGCTGATGGTAAATGACAGAATAATTAAAAAGATGGAGTGGACACGATGTCTTGATCTGTGTTACAAACAGCCATAAATAGATTAAGAGTGATGTTGGCATTCCCATTTCTGAGAGTATCGGCTGTGCCCTGTTAAGAGCTTCTGTTGCTAAATATATCATTCGAAAATGAAACAAGATTAGAGCAGCAGACGCAAACGAAACATTGGAGCTGGAATAGAGCTGATTGAACTATTGCCTCCAAGGGTAATTTCAAGGTTAGTACTACCGATGGCTAACATAGGCAAGTATTCTTTGAATAAGATTTTATAAGGGTTCAAGGGATACCGTTTTTTTCTTTTATGGAAGGTTTTTTTGACACAATATTGATTATCTGGAACTTTTAGGATCGCTAAGATCGTCACTTCTCCTTCCATCTTCAAATTCCTAATCCTAGTATGTACGATGGTTCCTGAAAATGTAATTCTGATTTACTTAAACTAAATGAATATTTGAAATACTTTGGAGCGTTAGTTGATGGAGGACTTCCTTTAGCTCATCTGAATTCGAAGAAGGTATAGAATGCACGTGATCTATTAGACACAGAAGGAAGATTGTGAGGCCAGTTGGATGCACGCATTAGACGGGTTCATCAATGATTGTCCTAAGGACAACGAAAAACTAACAAAAACTAAGAGATGCCAAACAAGAGAATAAGCAACACATGATAGTATGTTGGTACCCTATATCTCAGTTCTATTATTGAAAATTTTTCTGATTGCGCGTTGGAACAAAATTTTCTCCTTTTGGAAGGAAACCTTCACGATACGCTCCAAGATAAGGAGATTTCATGGCAATGTTAACCTTAATAAAGAAGAGAGAAAATCAGCGGCGGCAGCAGTCCAATTGGCTGACCTCGCCAAAGGGAACCATTCCAGAAAGTGACAATGCACGGGTGATTATATCTAAGTGTTGAGCTGAGGAATTATCCTTGTGTTGATCCATCTGAAGGAAACACCCGATTTAACTCCCAAAATAATGATGTTTAGCATGAATTACTGAACCTTCTAATATAAAAGCAAATATGAAAGCTATCTAATATTTATCCAAAAATATATTGGATATTGTTTAATCACAACATAAATTGGAAGTTTGCGACGTCACAGAGGCCTTTTTATGACTAACTAGAGTTGAACGCACTCATTTGGTGTTCTGTCTATAGCCGCCAGCAGTTTCTCTTCACCGCATCAATTAATTTCCCGAAAAACACTGGAAGGTGTTTCGTGAGGGTAAGACGTTTGAATGAAAGAAGGTTTAAAATCGCTCTCAATAGCTTACATAACAGAAAAAAAACGTTTTTGACTTTTTTTGCAAATAAAGAGTTGCAGCTACCTTTGCAGCTTCGTATACATGGTCAAAATGTTGAATTCTTTTTAAGATACGACACAGTGAATCTGAAAATGTTTTAACTCTCTTTGCTTATTGCAGAACCTGGGAGATTGTGCGTTCAGCTATTTACCAGCGAAAACTAAAGAGCCTCTATACATCAAAAGACAAACATAAACCATCGAAATAGAGGAAGTAAAGAGGAAATCAAACAACTTCTGTCAGTTTATGCAAGATTCAAAATCTCACCCAGACCTTCTGTAATACTCAGAGAAAAGTAAAAGATAACGTTATTGTCGGACACATTTGATCTGGATATCGTGTCCCCGTAGCTGTTCGACCGACTGTCTGTGTCGAGTTATTTTGAGATAGAGACAGTTCCGAGAGAAGATGTATCCTCCGCTACCCCTGGCTATTAAATCAGTGCTTATTGTGGAGGCTTGTCTAATCGTCGCTTTCAACAGTATAATATGGTTCCTTTTCTTAAAGCGTCGTCACTTGCGAAACAAGTCTAACTATTTTATTGCTTCCTTATCTGCTTCGCACCTCCTCATTGGGCTGTTCGCTGTGCCTTGCTATGTATCATCCAGGAGAAAAACTAGATCTTCACTGACATTGTGCACAGAAGTGTTTTACTATTTCCTTTGTTCCTCTATTCTCAATTTGTACCTGGTTACTTATGAACGTTATTTATCGATAATGAAACCACTCTTCTATCATCGACGCATGGGATCCAGTTTTGTGGTTGGAGTGATCATTACTGCCTGGATTTTTCCAATCATTCCTATTACCATTGACACGTTATTCAGAACAAGAATGAAAATACATCGTTTCTCCGTTGGCTACCTTATTTATCACTGGACACAAACGCTTTTATTTCTGACAATATTTATTGTTCTCGCGGCGGTGAATATAGCCATGTTTCGAGTTGCCAAAAGACAACTGCAGGCAATACAGGCTGTACAATCCATGAACTCCACAATTGTTCGGCGACCAAGCGTTCAGTCTAGCAGACAGGAGAAAAGGACAACGTTTTTCTTTGTTTACATTGTTACAATATTTTTGTTATTCTGGCTTCCCAGGATTGGAGGTGAAGTATATGAGCTAGTCCATCACAAAGTTCTGGATCATACCAATCCTGACGTTATAACTTTATGTATTGCTCTTCTTACGCCGATATTTGACCCTCTCATCTATCTGTTTTTCAAAGCCGACTTTAAGAAGGCCATGCGAAAAATGCTTCGCAAGAGTAATCGGCTTCAAGCTCGTGTGTCTCCCTACACAAATACCCCAGGAGCTAAATGATTTAGGAGTAGTGGAGACAAACGCATTGTGGTCAGCTTGTGAACTTGACACTCATTAAAAATCCGGCAGCAAAGATATTTTTTATTTTCGAAGTATGGGGAAAATATTTCCATTGCATTTCTTTATAATGCAGAGCTCCTTTATTTTCCTCTCCGAAGCAGATCTGGGCAGTGGAGAGTTTTCGTGACAGGAAATGGACCTTATCAGCGCAAGGCTAAACGGCATTTGGACCCAACTTATGTCTAAAATGAACCGACTATTTATCAGTGGTGCAAGTGTCAAGTGTTCAATCCTTGTGAAGCAAATGAACCATGTCTTGTAAAACCTACAAGACTTAAGGCACACTGAACAGAAATTGTTGACTTAGATTACTTCTGTCTTATCTGAGAGTAATTGCGAATCTAATGGGTAAACGTACCAGTTGAATTGATGTATGCCGGCCAAACGTCGTTTAGGAACAGTTTACTAGTCAGAGGACCAATTTTATGGTGATTCTATCTCCAAGAACCAATATCTGGTCATGGAAATAACTCTACTCATCAATCTTAACCGCGAACATCTTTATGGAGCACGGAAATTCACAGAAGTTGGCCACAACTGACAATGCGCTGCTTTAGTTGTACTGAGACCTTAAATACCAACAGGCTAAAATAAATCTTGCATAATTGTAGTCTATTATCGAGAAATTAGATTCAACTGACTTTTAAAGACAGGGATCAACCATCATTTTATACTGATTGTCGTATATTTTGGCAGATATACATGAACTATTGATCCTAACAGGTCGTAAAATGTTCCTGAATATTATTAAAACCAAGTGATAACCAATTGCAGAGTAATATACAATCATTACCTGTCACAATCTGGTTTTCTTTGCAGACGCTGCAACGCGGCGGCTTATAGCAAAAACTTTATTCTTTATGTGTGAGCAATACTCAGCGTGTAAGACCAGAGGGTATCACTTGCGCACAACCTTATTTTTTTCATACTATGTACCCAGTATAAATACTATCAAGACGGCGTGCTGCCTTACGTGTTCGTGACTGCAAAATCATAAATAGATAACAAGTCCTTTAAGTATTGGTTGTTGTGTGGCAAGATGAAAGAAAAGTTATTTCACAGAGAAATAGTTCAAATTGACACTGGGAAAAACTGACGAACTGAGCTTTGCTCTGCAGGATGAAAAACCCTTTCACACTATATATCAGTTACGCTTAAATAACCTCTTTCGTCAAGAGTTGGCTGTCTTTCCACTTGACGGTAAAATATGGAATAAATAAAAAACATATACCAAAGCCGCAGCGATTATGTAAGTGGCTATATATTAACGTGTTGGAAAGAACTTTGTCAATTTTATTATCGCGCGGCGAAACGTTTCTCAGGTAGAATTAACATCGATGTGAATGCAATATATGTTATGAGGCATGTATACTGCAGCCAATAGCCTCTCAATCAGAGCAGCACCTCTATAAACTTGGATAGTGTATACGATAGGGAGTCTTTTTTCTTCCAAAGTGGGTGCTCGAACTTTAAAGCTGTTCGTAAGGAGAGAGGTACAGTTGCGTCTAACGTAGTCCTGACGAGTTTTCCTGTCACTCCGTGGTAGGTTACCTCTCTTGTAACGCCTCCATATTTTTTGAAGCAGCTTGTAAGGAACTGGAGCTTTTTCTTCGCGTACTGCATTTGATATCAGTTGCTCACAGTCTGCCCATGACTCGATCTGAGCTTTAAAAATAAGATACGTGAATAGCATCCTGGGCTGGGTTCAATCAAAGCTAAATCAAGATCAGCAAGGGTTAGTGTGAAATCCGATCTCAGGTATGAAAGCTTTAAAAGAATATTCAGTGTAATTCTTTTTATCTACAATTTGATGCTTGGATACTCTAAAAAGAACAGAGAAAACTATCTGAAAAAAGCTTTTGAAGAAAGTAATAAAGAAACCCAGATTAAATCTTAACCCTGGGTTAGCGCTAATCGGCCTTCGAACTGGGTCTGGGTCAATACTGAAAGTGATACATCATTCTTGACCTTGGATGAAACTTAAACTTTACAGCCGCAAACAGTCTAACAAAACGTGATATAACGCAGTAGACAGTCTTTTGCCACTTACTACTCATGCTATTCTCCTCTTCTCTTACCACATCAGGCATAATGCACAAAACCAGTTTAGGAACACAAAAACAAGGTAAAGTGGCAGCTTATCTGTAGGTAAGGTAAACGCGTTTTAGGGGATCATTCGCGATCAAGTTGTTGAGTAAGAATGTAAATGAATTGTTTTAATTCTTTTGACTCCGACCGGTAGAGGAAGGACTAAAAGGAGGGGATGTACGCCAGCTGACAAAGAAGGGCGACGGAAAATGAATTTAAAGTGGTGCCCTTACCATCTTAGACTACTAATGCCTATGAAGGAAAATATATCAACCAGAACATCAAAAGCTTAGTCTAAATGCAGTACAAGCAATTGTGATGCATATCATTTCTGCTGACTCCTCGAGACTGAACGTTAACTGACATATCAAACGAAGACCAATTTATTCAAAATATAATTATAAATATCAGAGATTCGACCATATTCGTAAAACTTCTAAGGTTAAGCTCCTTGTTTATTTATTGTGAACTCTGCTTTTGTATCTAATTCCCACAGAGTTAATGATAACTACAGTGTTTTCTTTTAGCCGGAAAACTGTCTTTTATGCACTCAATAGAGAGTAAGTTTCCAGAGCAAGAAAATGATGCCATGTCGTTGAATAATCAACAAACAGCTACTTTTTCCAACCTTGGGAATACACTGATTGTTACATATACGAGCTTGGGACCTCAGAGCAATCAAAACAGATCTTTGCGGGTTCGAGAAAATAACCTGAAAAGTTTTGCTCCCTTTGTTGCTGTTGTTGATAATTTCAAATGTTAGGTGTTTGTTAACCTCTCCAGGAACGAAAGTAATTTGTTGATCGCTTGCAGCCTTGAAGTGCACTGACAGAATGGCTGTTAAACTGGTCGTCGTGAAACTCAAAAAAAAGCAAATAATTATGAAAATGAGTGAGCTTTTATGTGCCTTACCATATTTTTTCAGACAATTTTCCCTTTGTAGTTTGTCGTCATGCAGACAATAGAACCGTCTAGCTAATGGGTAATACCAATCAGAAGTTTGGTTTCATAAAGAAACCAACGAATCTGAATTGGTTTGGGTTATTATTGCATGACTCTTGCGACAATTAGAACTACCTTGCATGACTCAAGGTTTGACATCAACGTCAGACTTTACCATTGCAAACTTAGCTTATCTAACAACAGACCAATTTTGAACACTTTCGATCAATTTAATTTCATAGAAAATGTTCAGGTAACTAAAATCCAAATTCTTACCATATACGAGATTTTCGGTAATTTTCTCCACTGGATAGAAAATATTCTTCGCAGTGTCATGACTTTAGTTGAGTGCGGATTACTACTTAGTCACATTTGAAGAAAACAAAGAATGGCTCTGTATTGCTTAAAATTGTTGCATGCCCTGTTTACAAGGAATATGCCAAAGGCCGAACCTTTGTTCTCCGACCAAGTTTAAATTGTTTTGTTTGTCTTTTTTTTTTCTTCTCAACGGCGTGTTGATGTTAAAATGTATTCTATTTTCTTTAATGCTTGAAGCACCTTTCACCTTTTCGGAAACTCAAGTTTCCATTCTTTTGAATTTCCTCGTCACTCAGCTTGGTTTCAAGGACTTTGAAATTGCTTGCATAAAGGCCTTTGGTGTTTCGCACTGAGCCAAGTGTTAATCGCGTGTTCCTGTCCTGTGGGTAGACATTGGAGGATATGAGGACGTTGGCCATTGAACCTTTCTGATAGAGCCTAACTGTTCCAAACATTGAATCTATTTGAAAAGTAAAGGCCAAACTATCCAGGCAGCCTTTGCCAGTAGACTTCCCATATTTATGTGGCTTTTACCGTAAGACACCATCACTTGGACTGATGATCCAACTTCAAGGGACCAATCATACTCATCACTTCTGCCATCTTTCACTCCAGAGTCAAAAATCTTTAAATCATTTAAATCTTTGTGGTGGCCACTGGTAGTTTTGAAGAGGAAAGACACAGTTAATTCGTTACAAAGAGTTAGATTGCTAATACAGGTACCGTTAAGGTCTCCAAAGTCGATTTTTTACACCTGCAGGCACAAACAACGCGTTGATTCCGTCTTCGAATTCCTTCACAGTTCGGACGCCATCTGGAATATAACTACTTTTAAAGGACTTGTTGGCTGCCTGATTGTAACCGTACAAAGACCTGCGTGCGACAGGGTACATAAGCCAAGTTTAGTTTACTTAAAAAAATTAGAAGAAAAAGACATTTAAATGCGTTAGTTACTTTGTGGTCAATGTGAGACAACTGAAGCGCGCTTGGCCTCATGCCCCAACCGAGTAAACGCATCACTCGGTGTGACAGTCACAGTTGAATGGTCTGACCGTCGATCGAGGTCTATGGTAGCAATTACCGTAATTCTCTTTAAGTCATAACCCTTTTTGTTAAACTGAGCTCTTTTTTTGTCTCTGATATTGTTATTACTGTCTGATAATTATATTGGCGGTGATAAGACTGACATTGCCGTGTTCACCTTCCGGTTGTGATCTTTGTCGTGATCTAGTTTTTTAATTTACACAAAAACAGTTGATAAACCATTTGAACGTGACATTGGACTTCAGACAGTGTCCAGGTATTAGGCCTTAGCCACTTTACATTAGCTTAAGTCTACATATAACATAAATGTTTTAACTGTCGTCCATTCAAAAAGCAGCACAGTGATACTCGTGTTGACAAAGAAGCTAACACGATCTTTGACTAAAATGAACAGTGCCTACATATGCTCCAAATATTACACAAAACAAGATGATACAAATCTTCATCGCGTCCTTCAGCTTCGTTGAAGATAACCTCGTAATTTAAGCCTTCCTTCGGATCGTGTGAGTCTGAACTTAATTAATTAATGTAATTTTCTTTTTTACGGTCAAATGAGGGCAAATGCGAAAGCAGAAGAAGATAAGCTTTGGCGAGAAGGGGGTGCACCCGAGACACACCCTGTTTCGTCCACAGCTCCCATAGAAAGAAAGGTTCTTGTTATTTCTCGAGAGAAAACAGACTTAAAAATCTAACAATTTATAGAAAAAAAAAAGCATGCAACAGTGAACTACACTACATACTAAATCTCCATGTTCTAATTTTGTAACTCTTTTTGGAGTTAATTAAGTATTTGCATCTCTTTCCTTCCAAACCTATGATGATTAGCGATTCTCGCTTAGAGTTTTGTTATAACACTCAGAATGACTGCAATCATAAGAGGGCCTAATTAGAGAACTAGCGCCCTTTCCAAGGACGATTCATTCTTTCGTCAAAAGTAACAAATCAAATTGTATCTTAGAAATAAAAGGGGGAGACGATTCTAGTATTTATAAGAGGTTCTGGGTTAATAAGGGAATGGTGTAAATTTTTACTTGCATTTTTCATACCCTTCCCCTCTCCTTCTCAGCACGCCTTTTGGCCGTTGGCGAGGTGGATAGAATTGTAGTCACATATGCCGGTTCTTCCTGCCTTTTCTTCTCTGGGCACCACCCTGTTGGTTTATCCTTTCTTAGTTTTCGTATCAGTTTTAAATCCACGGTTTAAATGAAGATTTGAAGATAGCTCAGCCTTTTCCTTTTAGGAAAATTATTAAGATCTCTAAAAGCAATAGATATGTATAAATTGAACCTGTGCGCATTTATTTGTTGGGTAGTAAAACGAAGCGGAAAGGCGACGTTTTAAATTTCATTTGGTGACTTAAATTAAGCTTTCTGAATTGAAAACTGTTAAGACACGTTAGAAATTCTAACTTCTTTAGAATCGATATGGCCATTAAGGACTGCAAATATGTACGTACCAGGTGTCCGATAGAATTTAGCAGTAGTTGTTAACTCTGATATACACTTATTAAAAAAGGGAAAAAAATGTTTTTGTTGGACAAAAAGGATCATGGACACACATCATTCTCTTAGAAAACAAATATGAACCAAAGGGGGCAACCGGGATTGAACCGGTGACCTCTCGATCTGCAGTCGAATGCTCTACCACTGAGCTATGCCCCCTTCACTGTTCAATGGTAGGGCTTCTTTGTTCTATAATTTGGCCGACAGGTATGATGGTTAACTGGTACCAGACATGTACAAAAAAAATGAAGAAGCGAACTAAAGCGGTAATTCAAGGCAAAGTCAAACAAAGCAGGAAAATAACTATGAAGAACACAACTGTTTAACATTCAAAAGCACCATGTTACGTTGGATTTGATCCGTGTCTTGCATTATCATCTCATTTTTCGTGTGACACGAATCTATCAAGCAAATCAAATAGCTGGTTGATAATTTCATTTGATTGAAGTTCTGTAATGAATTTTTTGACAATTCGGTCTTTGTGATAATATACCTTTTAAAAAAAAAATTACGCGCCTCTGATTTTGCTGAAAAAAATTTACTCGTACTTATTAGAAATAACGTTGTTACCAAATACTACAAATCATTTCGTCTCAGCACCTTCCTTCCGTCCATGATTATGCTGACGACACACATATCTATACCTTTCTTTAAAACCTGGCTCTCTTTACTCGGAAACCTACCCCCCCCGATATCTATTGATTCTAATGTTGTTGGTGACGCTGTCGCGAAGAAAGTCACTAGAAAGTATCCGGGACCTTGGGTCCTGGTTTGATGTTCATATGCGGATGGATGTTCACATCGGTAAGATCTGTACCACTGAAGACTTTTCGTGGACTCTACAGCATCAGAAAGGTCAGAAAATCCTCTCTGTGCAATCGTCAAAAACACTGGTACATCGGCTTTTGTATCTTTGCACCTTGACTAATTACTGTAACTCACATCTTTTTGGTCTGACCAATTATCAACTTGATCATTTATAGAAAGTTCAGAACACCGCGGCTAACTATGGGGTGATTTTCCAGATTACGAAATTTGACCACATCACACCGGCTCTCATTGACCTACACTAGTTTCCTGAATCATTCAGAATTCAGTTTAAGTTTCTTCGTTTTGTTTTATAGCCGTTAAATAATCTTAGTCTACTCTACCTTAAAGATCTTTTATCTCTTAAACCTGCCTCTAACTGTGCTCTTTTCTTGTCCACACAATCTCTTCTGTTTTTTCCACGGGTCAACTACCCTACACTTAGGAATCGTGCTTTCGCTAATACTGCTCCTAACTTTTGGAACTCGTTACCGTTACCAATTAGATCCTGTAGCAGCCTTGCTTCTTTTAAGAAACAACTCAAAACATTTCTTTTTGGCAAAACGTTCAGTACTAGTTCATTATACTTAATGTGATGAAAAGTGCTTTTGAATATGTGCATAGTTTTTAGCGCTGTAAACAGTGAAGATGACCGGAACAGAGACGGTGATGGTGACAGTAACAATACAATGAGCAGGATAGCGAGATTGACACAAAGAGTGACAACCAACAGTAATAGTGACCGAGACAATGGCAGTTACAGTGATGGACATAAGGACAGAGACAGACTGTGACAGACAAAGATACAGAGACAGAGAGAGACAAAGACAAAGAACATGTCAATGAAAATGACAGAGACAGTGACAGTGAAGTAACAGTCAGTGAGAAAGACAATAACTTTGACAGTGACAGTGACAGAGAAAGAGAAAAAGATGGTCACAGAGACAGACAGTTACTGTATTACCATCTCTAATTTTCTGTCAAAAACAGTATTATTGTTATTAGGTATTGAAGCTGAAAGATAAGATCCATATAAAAATGGAAGTTTTAAAGAACAATTGGCAACCATGCATTAAGTAAGTATTTTAGTCTGAAAAGTTAAAATCAGAGACGCAAGTTAATGTTTTATGTTTCATATTTCAGTTAAACGGGAGTTGTTTAGAGGTACTATATTATCTCTTCCTGTGTTTTCTTTCCCAGTGAAAACCGGCTAAAAGAACATGTACATGTAGTCTTAAGGGTGAGCAAATAACAGCCTCTTGAGAGTCACTTACCTACCTTTCGATACCTTGAGTGAAGCTTTGTTCGTGTAAAGTCGTTACTTCAGCTTACCTCAGCAAATTGAATGACTTGTACGTAACTCACGTATATAAAGTTCGAGGTATTAGAGGAAAAAAGATTCACATTCACTGGTGAGACAGAACCGCTGTCAATGACAAAACAGGTATTGGAATGTTCATTGGTTCCGTTGATATAAAGCTCAAGACAGTCTAATTTTGTGTAGACAAGTGCGACAAGATTCCATCTGTCTCTAGAATAAGTTGTGCTCGTTACTTCCGTCTAGTTTTGCCGGCGAGCCACAGTTGCAACATCCATGTAATGAGAAAAATTGCTGTGCACATTGAAGCGGGGAGAGAGTTTTCGTCAGTAACTGGAATCGGATGAATGGCATCTACTCTTTTATTTTCTGCTATCGTTTCGCTGATTTTAAAGAGAAACGAGACAGTAAAATTCTTGCAAACTTCAGCATCGGCCAGACAGTTAGCTGAAAGTTGTCCAAGATTAATCTCTGCTCCTGCTGCTCTCCATAAACCATATAGATTTTCTTCCATGGAAACACTTGGACCTCCAAGGACTACTTCTACTTTGGAAAGAGGTACCATGTGTAACTATCTGCAAGTAAAACTGAAGTATAGCGAGAGGTACCCATTCAACCTTACAGGGTCAGACACAAGGGCAAAATTAAAGAGCAAAGTAAACGTGAAGTATACTTCAATTTAGGTTTAAGTTTTTGGTTCTTCTTAAACCGCAGATACTCGAGTTATATTAAGTTTTATTTCAGGTTCCTCAGGAAACAACCAAACTTTAAGGCGTTTCCTGATCAGTTATTATGGCTAGTGCTTTCTTAAAATGACCGCCCTAAAAGATGATGTCTCACTCGAATCACTCAGTTAATAAATGAAATTTAAATGTTCAAGAAAGGAACGCCATTTCCTTATTTTAATGACACAATGGAAAATAAACAATTGACATTGCTAGAATATGAAACAAGACCATTGCAATTTTGTATGACGTCATTTGATCGTTAAAATTCTGCTTGAGTCCAACTGTTTCCTTTACTTTGTTTCACGAATAAAACACTAATAACCCTAAATTAAAGACCAACTGATGAGATATTTCGCGGATATTGTCACAACACTTGTATATTTACTTGGTAACTTAACGATCGCACAAAAGGTAACACTAAACTAACGAGAAGTCATTTTTCTTGTCAAATTGAATGCTCTATTGACAAGGAATAGTTTTTGTTGTGTTCATCAATAAAATACGAAATCGTGGTTTCTGGCTACAGTAAACTCAATTGTTTCTGCTCATTGAACAGTATTTGTGGTCATTATTGAGTAACACTTATATGACAAGCAAATCTAAGCACAGGTCATTTTGTGTTAGCAACTGAGTTGAAAACATAAATTGACCACCGTAAAGAATTTAAAGGCTGACGTTTCGAGCGTTAGCCCTTCGTCAGAGCGATTTAAACCGTCTTTATGGTGGTCAATTTATGTTTTCAACTCAGTTGTTAACACTTAATTACCTGTTATACTCTCCCACCGATGCAGCACCACAGTTTCTTTAGAAACTTACCCCCTTTATTCAAGTCTGAGCACAGTTTGTGCATGTGCCGCATGGTATGCTCACCTTCCAGCACTAATGGGTTCTTTGAAAAGCACAATTTAGAAGTGAGGTTCCTTTTGTATAATATGAGTTCCGGGCAAACCTGAAACACAATGTCGTGAATTTGGGATTGAGATTGGGAGGGCATTTAGGCCAGTGATGATATCTACACAAAGGTACGCTATTCAGAGAGATACGCGAGTAGTATTGAAGATTTTTCGCGTATGTACTGGCTTTATCTAAAGGTACTATTAAAACAGACCTAATTAGAGAAAAATTGAAAACAATTGCAATTGTAACCAAAGCAAACGAGATAGTCCGGTGCTGCCTGATTTATTGAGTAATCATGTATGTCTTCCTGTTTGTTTTTAAACTAGATGGATGAAGACACGAGGGGGAGGGGGAAGGGGGGTTGTGAAGACCGGAAGCCAATCAAGGGGATTTTGTCATATTGTTACTTAGTTCATAAAACAGCTTTGTCTGGAAAATCCAATCAAGCCATTGGACGTTATCAGTCCACTCACGAGTTCCACACATACATCAAATTCTAGTTACCATTGTTAGTGATATTTTGATAGAACTATGAAAAGTCTTCAAATTCAAATAAAGACGAACTGGAGGAGAAAATAATAGAAGGAAGTGAGTATTATTTAGTTAGAGCTAACAAGGCTGTTTCTATTTCCTTTCGCTCCCCAATGGGGTTGTATTTTCACTTACATAAGGGAAACTGAAGACCTTCAACGACCGGCAGTCCCAGTAGGCCGACCCACAACGGATCTCCATTTGATTTCAAAGAATCATAAGAACCTCGTTCCACGGCCTGCTACGGCTTAGTTACACTGAACTTAGAATCGCAACAGTCTCAATTTGAAATTCTTCTTACTGTAGATTAACAGTGACCCTTTCTGTTACAGGACATTTGTGGCAGTTGGACTGAGCGTTCACCACGAATATTATGTAGAAAACAGTCAGAGACATTAGAAGACTTATGTCATTATTATTTTTTTTTTATCTCAACTTAGATGTGGATTGAACGGCAAACCCGGACAAATATTATCTACCAAACGTTCATGGAATGTATATAAAACCTCCTGTACGCATGAAGCATGAAGAGGACCATGCATGAAAAGGCAAGGTGTTTCGTTCTTTTGGCAAAATTCACAAGTTCTCAATATGACGAGCAGGAAAAGTGTTCTAAACTTTTGCTGTACAAGAAAAAGCTGGAAGGACTTTATCAGCATAATTCAATTGCAAAGAAGAATCAGATAATCATTGAAGATGTGCTGTTTCGTATTCTTCAAATTCAAGAGGTTGGGAGCGTTGAACACTACCAGCTCAATGGCTCACTCATCAAAATACACGTCTTGGAGGATACGGATATTTAGTAACATCAATGGCATTTTTTAAAATGATTGAACAGATAACTTTTAAGCTTTCGTTCTAAACGTAGCTTTTAGAATTATTTAGAACTATTTAAAAAAAGCAGGAGGTAACGATATCGATATCGTGATACCAGTTCATGATATTCACTACCCCAGTACCAATATCTTGAGACTGAATACAGTAAGCTATATCTTTAATGTAACAGAAATGAAAATATTCCCTTGCTATCACAAACCCTTTCTTGGAGAAGGTCCGGTATTCCTACCGCGATAACATCATGAAAGACAGTAGAATCCAACGAAAATGACCGAGTTTAAATGACACGAACACATTTTTGAGTGTTGAATGTCCTTGCTGTGTAAAATTCTTAATCCGATCATTGGACCACCCCGTAACTACTAAATTAGATTGTTTTGAAATTCTTACTTATGTGTATTATTCCTCTTAAAACCTTTTCCTTCGTTTTTACGACGGGGAAACGTGGAGTACAATAGAACTTTTTCTGCATCTATATCTATATATATTGCTGCATCTATATCTAAAAGTCATATTTTCATCCTAAAGAAATCATTTTGTTTTTATTTTCTCACGACTAAGTTGAAAAGGCTTCCTAGGACTCCATCGCCTTATTTCGACGATATTTTCGCGGCTCAATGGTGATTTTTATCGAAGTTGTTGCGCTGAGAAATAGAAACGTGTATCGATAATCTTTCGCCGGTCTACAGTTGTACGGTCGTTTCAGCAAAAGTCGACTCGCAACGAGTCAAAAGTGATTTTCTCGGTCACGGATCAAGAGTCGCTTCGCGACAGTCTAAAGTTGTTTCGCTTTAACTTCTCAATGAACCTGAAACGATATAAAGCAAATGTTACATTTATCCAGTCCTCCGCATTCAAGATATCCATCTGATGACCGTCTGTTGTGTTTGCTCAGTTTATTTAACTTGAATGACAATGAAATATAGTAATGTTGATAATAACTAAAGCCTTGAAATAATGACTTTACCTGAAGGAACAATATCGCCTCAAAAAAGCAAAATCGACATTAAGTTTCAGCGGTAATAGAATGTTAGGGGAGTAAAATCCCAACCTAAGGCTTTATACCCCTGAGTAAGAGGCATGGGAAAAGTCTGCACTCGAGCCAAGTGGTCCATTCAGCCGGAGCTACTGCCACTGGATGAGATGCCACTCCATCGCGTGTTATATAGACACAAACACAAACGCGGTGCTATAAGGCGGCTGCGTCCCCCACTGAGCCGGGAAGGAAGACGGAGTTATATAGTAAACAATTCGCTATCAATACACAGAACTATAATTAAATCATTATCATGACGATTACGAAAAAAATCACTCGCTCGATGAGCTTATGGTATACTTCTGCCGACTCTGAAAGCAAACCTCACCTGCTCCACGTCAAGTATACTTGGTATTCACCGCGACAACTGAAAAATTTATTTCTCCGATGCTGAAATTTTCAATGGTCCCAATTTCGACACTCTAGATTTCATAAGGCCACTAAAAAATTTAAGTACACAAATTTTTATCTTGCCACCCACGTTACGCTAATAAGAGTTTTTTGAAAGGAGACATATTGCGCGTCTTGAGAACAAGCTCAGTCTCGTTAATTCAATCAAGGCTACCCTCGGGAGCTCTTTGACGAAACTATGTCTTCTCATCAAAGTAAAAAGATATGTAACCAAAAGACGTAACACCTAGGAATTTTTTGTCTCATGTCCTTTTTATGATAGCCATGAAACACTGACGGCTTACCGGAGACAACGCAAACATTGGGCAAATATTTTCTGATGAATCGATCGCCGCTCATCAAAAGGACGAATCACTCTAAGACCACCTCACTAGAGCCACACTCCAGGCTTATACTGCTATTTAAAATTTCTTTTTCGCGCAGGGGAGGAGTAGGACTCGTTCCTGTTCTCAAGTGTTCCAGTGTACTGATTTTCCAGAATTTCTAGAATTTCTAAAATTCTAGAGTCCAGGCTGTTGACGGTCATTGTTGGGCTAAATGGCGGAAGAAGAGTTTCCTGAGAAGTTAGTAACAGAGAGAATAGCAAAAATACATGAACTATTGGAAAGGTGCAGTACCTTAAAGAAAACAATAGAAGGTTTGACGAAGCTAAAGAAGAAGTTATTAGCAGAGTTAAAATTCTTAACATCCGTGAGTACTGACTGCCAACTGTTTCGGTGGGGAAATTTTATCTGTTGCTCGTTTTAATTTTAAAATAAAATTTTAATTTGTGAGGTAATTATATCGGTGGTCGTCCCGTGATTGTTTATTGAAAAGAATTTTTGTGGTGTCAAAATATATTTCCCCAACTTAACCACACCTGTAGAGACAGGGAGGCGTGTGTACAGGTGTAAAAGAAGCTATGAATTCAGCGTGATTCGGTGCTGTCTCTTCGTCAACTGCGCCGCATACAAATAGTGGTGATATGTATAATTGATCATACTACTTTTCAACATGTAAACAACGCACACATACTGTGTATATATATGTATATGTATCGTGTGTGTGTGTGTGATTGAGCTTAACTCTGTAACTGAATACTTCAAGATGAACCAGAGAGATTTCATTGATTTAATGATCCATTTATTAACACTGTTTGAATAATTTTTAAAAAAATTCCACAGTTAAAAGGCTCTGAGCTGACTTTGAAGCACCCACACATCAAAAGCACCAATCTTTCATTCCTTGAAGCTGTGTTAGAGACTGTGGAAAGTGAAAGCAATGTTACTGCTGTATTCAAGCCATTTTCTTATGTGGAAAAAAGCTCAATACAGTCAAATTGTACTGTGGATATTGTTGGCAGTAGTGGCTGTTGTTGGATTAAGGTCACTGCAAGAAATGCCTCTGCATTGCACAGGACATGGCAAGGTATATTTTTGTACATGAATTAAAATTACTTTTTAAAGTTTTTTTCAGGTCAAAACTCGAAATTTACTCAGCTTTTTATTTGACTGTGCAATTAATTATTTTTAATTGTTTCTCCCTACACTTCATTTGTACCCCTAGCTGCTTTGTGCATGCCTTTTGACAGAACAGAGCACATTCAAGGCTTCTCTATTCGTAAAACACTGCACTAACTTTGCATTTTTCATGGAAAAGCTCAAAGCAAGTTTTGCTGAAGTTTGCTCTTATTACTTTGGCATTTAATATTGTACTTGTTATTTACTATATTTACACATTTATTTTTTTAGGGCAAGGAAACTTTGGCGAAAAAGACATTGTCCAACAAGCAAAGGTGCTTACTTTCATTATTATTTGATGCAATCTTGTGCTTTACATTTTCATGAACTGGAGTAAAGGCTGTATCAATTGAGTCAGATGATGATACTTTGGTGTTATTTTCCTCATTTTTTTCAGGAATTATTAGAAGCAAGCAACCAACACCCTGTGAATTATTCACCTCCAGTTGTTATAATTTTATGTTGCCAGGGCATCACAGAATCTCTGGCAAGTGAGTTCATATATGAAAATGAAAAGGAGAATATAACTGAATCAATTTTGAAATAATTTGATATGTATAAGTTAAAATACTTTTCTTTTGAATGATATTAAATTTTTCCCAGGCTTTAGTGTGATTTATTACACTTGAAAAGCATGCAAACTCTTCAATTTATTTATACAATGGACAACAGCATGTCTTTGATATTCTCATTTGTATTAGAAGCCTTGAGAAGCATGGGTATTTGTGTCAAAGGAAAACTTTTACCTGACCCTGAGAAAGATGCTTTGGCCTGTACATGTGTTGATGACACATTCACAGATAACAGGATTCCTGTTGAATTTTATGAATGGTTTGTACATAATATCAGCATAGCATTAGCATTCCTTTGTTTCCTTGTGCGTAAAAAAAACTATATAAACAAGTTTATCTTACCTGTCAAACTGCAAGATCAAATTTTTAATACAGGGAATAATGGTAATAGAGTTGGGTTAGGTCCAATTTATAATCATTAATGTAATAGGACAGAGTGGAATACAATTTGGTCTGTAATCATACAAGTGATTAACAAAATCAGATGACCGCAAGGCAGGAATCCAGTTTGTCAATTACAAGGTCAGTATGATTACAAACAGAACTGGACGGTCCTGAACAAAGAAAGAAACTAGACATAGGTTATACATTTTCATAAAAAAACAACACTACTGAACTCTGCAAAATGAGAGGCAACAGTGCACACGCATGTTGCGTGCTGTCCATTTACACAGGCATGATGTGTTAACAGTCCCTTTAATTGTCTTATTTCAATGTCCAATAACAAGCATGACACATACTGTCCTATTAGTGCTAGTGCCAGTGCCAACCAATCATGTCCAAGAATCTTGTGATAGTTTTGATTATAGTCTGTAATTATACAATTGAATAACTAAACTGAATGACAAGCAGACCTGCTTTATTAGTGCTGGGCTGTGAAAGTGGCTTGTGAGAAAGATTTAGGTCTTGGGCAAAGTGAGGAAGCAAGCTCAGTGAGTGCTAGTCACCCCTTTCATACAATATAGCTTTAGCTTGTTGCGCTTGAGGCCTCGACTTCCTTGTGTGTGAAGAAACACCCTTGTTGCAGGGTAAAGAATGAGTTCTTCTGGGAGGCTGTTTTTATATTGGAGTATGTACACTACGCTAAATATTTCAGTCACTGAAAATAACATATATTTATGATATTATTTCATTTTATTATATAATCTATGGTAATATACAAGGATTTCCAGCCCTGAGAAAAGCCATAACAAAACACATAAAAAAAAATTGTATTTTTTCACGTGTGTTTGATATCACCAATCAGTTGCTGACACATCACTTGCCTTTTGGGCTACTTGCTCAAGTTGGTGAATGAACAGTAAAGCCATTCTCAATCCAAGGTAGTTTGTTGGCATTTTCTTAGATTATGATGGATATAACACCAAAAAATCTGTATTGCTTACAGACAGTGACATTCAAACTTTCCTAGAAGGGGAAGAAAACCAAATTACAGAAAGAAAAACTGAAAGTTATGTACTCAGTGGCTTTGGTAATGGCATCTCTGGCAGCTGAGAACAAGAATTGACAACTGGAAGATTTGTCACAGGCTGATTTTGGCCATGTACCTGAAATGTTTTCTTCTGCCAGTAAAGATCCCAAGTCAATAACTGAGAATTTTTTATTTTGAAAGTTATTCCCATTGTTTGTTTTTAAAAAGTTTCAACACATTTTTCTATCTTGAGCCTCAGTGCCAATGCACTTTACAACTTTTATTTGGGGATTGTTGATCCTTTTATTTTCATTCATTAATAAAGTTGACTTTTCTTGTCAGGAAAGGGCTTTTGTGTTTATATAATAAACAAACTATTACATGGTTGCTTGTAGATGTGAAATTTCCCTTCTTATGTTCAACTCCTCATCTCACTTGTTAGCTGTGCTTCCTCTCGAGCTATTGATTTGAACACTCAAAGAGAAATTCCACATCTATGTGCCCCCATGTATTATTCTCTCTTTATTTAAAGAGGTACTTCAAAATAAATGCCCCACAACTTTATAAATACTTAAAAGTTTATACTGTGTTATTCAGAATGGATTGTGTAAACGAAAATCAATTAAAGCTCCTTCACAAGTCAATGATACTCAAGTTTTATAAAAAGTTAACCTATCACAGATTGAGCCAAACAGATTTAGGTAGTTATAAGAAAGTTCAGGATTTTTTTTTAAAGATCCACTGAATAAGATTATTCACCTTTTAAAGTTATCTTTTATTGGTCTTCTTGTGTATTTTTTTCCACTATGGTTAAATGGGGCCCTTATTAGTTTCAAGGGGTGCTCCTATGTAGTTATTTTATCCTAGATGTGTCATTAAGTTACATCTTCAAGTTTAGAGTTTGCTTTTTATTTTGGCAAGGCTAAGGAATATGTTGTTATTTAAGGTACCTTGAATGATGATTGGTTTGATTTTCATTCAGTGCTTCTATTAATCTTGACGTCACCACTATGATTGCTTATGTATCTGCTTTAACCAATGGAGGCTGTGGATTTATCTTCAAGGTACTGGCAGCATGTTCTAAGTAAAAGATTATATGCTTCTTTAGTATCATTGCTTGTAATGAACTCTCAGATAAGTCTATCACTTAAGGATTCATTTGGTCTCTTTTAAAAGAATGAATTAGTCAGAATTCTCAAGTTGGAATTATCCAGTTTAAAACAATTTTTTAACTATAGCAGTCAACAAATGGAGTATCTTTTTTTCATTTTGTTCTTCATTTTTGAGTAATCTTGTTATTCACCTAGAGTGGGCTTTGAATTTCATGAGATATGAAAATCAACTTAGTCTGTAGTTGTTAAAGTTTTTGTTGTCCCTCACAGACCTATTGCTAATTTGTTGAATTTGTGTACTTATTTATTTACTCTATAGGAGGCCATTTTGACCACACAAGCAAGAGAAGAGCAGCATAATCCAGTGCTTCCAAAGTTGAAGGCCTTCTTTAAAGGTCATACTACAAAAAATGCATTTGACTTGGAATAGTTTTTTTCAATAATGTTTCATGTTTTAGTCAATCAGTACTTCCTATAACCAATCAAGTTTTTTTTTTTAGAAATGCAGAATAATGAGCACCAGAACTTTTTGCCCAGGGGGAGCAATAGTGTTGTTCTCTGATCACCTTTCTCCCTTGTAACTGATATCTCTTGTAGATTACAACTCCAAAGGTTTCCAATATTTTACTTAGCACTCTCAATGTCAGTTCCCTGCCAGTATAATTCTTGATTAGAAAACTTGAACAGGGTGTAAGTTTGGTGTTGCAAGGTGTTTCCTACACAACTTATTTTTCTTTAACCCTTTAACTCCCAAGATTTCTTTAGTAATTCTCCCTACTGTCTGCCATATAGTTCTTGTAATGTTAGTTTTGAGAATTTGGTATTGGATCAACTAATCCCTAACTAATATTTTTCTTTATTCTCATCACTTGTCTGCTTGATATTGTATTGATATCGTAAGGAGAAATTCTGTCTTGGTCGCACATGGGAATTAAAGGGTTAAACAGAACAGCAAAATGAACAGATTGTGTCCCATACAGAGTCTAGGTTTGAACACCTTAGTAAGAGTGCCTCCTGCAGCATCTGTTGACAAATGATGAAACTTACCTGATTAGTTCTTCTATCACATACTTCTGTTCTAAACATCTAAATGTATTTTCGTTTGTGATGTCATGTCTTGCTTAGCTTTGAGGTTAACACATGCACCGACTTTCAAACATCATTTTAACATTCCACTGCAAACGACTTGAGCTGCCATTTTATTAGCACATATAAGTTCCCAACTCACCACCCCACGATTCTGTTACTTCTCTCCACGTTCCTGCGCTATCCACTCTAACTTCGATTGAAAGGTCAAAATAGTCTCTCTTTCTTAACCTTTGCGTCCATTAAGTGACCTTTTGTTTTCTGATTAACATAGGGAGTCTCTTAAAAACTAGATTCCTTTTTTGGCCCAAAGCATTTGCCAATTATCTCTATGACCTGAATGCACTCTATCGTCAGAGATTGTTTTATGAACCGTGCTTGTCTTGCCAGCTAGACAGCTGACTTTGCGAGAACGAACAGGAGTTGTGATTATTCTACGTGTACCTGAAGTGTAATGATGAATACGTGGATACAAAAGTGGTACTCTCAAGGGTATTTCCTGCAGTATTGCAACCTAACAATTTATTTCTTTGATTGATTAACGCATGTTAGGGAAAAAGTTATTCGCATGTCAGTCAGCAGTAAGAGACTTCGACGCCATTTTACAAACAATTGGTGGTCGTAAAGAACAGGAGCGGGCCAGGTACATGAACATGTACATTGTTTGAATTGAAATCAGACAAAGTACAAAGTGCACTGTCTTAAAGTTAACTTGTTGATACATACTTCCAATGCGTGTTTTGTTTCTCTGAAACCTCGGCTTTGTCGGTAATTTATTTTAAAGACAATGAGCTCTGATGCAAACAAGATGAAAAACGGTTATTATGACAGATTGTTTTACCTTTACTTGCTATTTCAGCAAAATTTTCCCAGGAAAAGGACGCCTAATCTTATTTTTAAAAAAAATGGATGGAATCTCTAAACGTGGTTTTATATGTCTCAGTGAAAACCGAAAGTTTACCAGTACTATCTATTAATTAACCGATTGTTGACTGATACCAATCCACAAGGCCGAAAAAAGTGCGATGCATTTTGTTGACAATTTTGGAACTACCTTAGGTATACAAAACTATCTACGGCGAGAAGTACGGATGAAATATCATTAGCAAGCGACAACTATCGGTTTCGAACAGTGTGAAAATACAGAGTCAGTAGTGAAAATAGTCTACATAAGTCTGACTGTTAGTGTTTTTCAGGGCTCTCCTTGAAAATGTTACAGTTGTTGAAGATAATCCTTCAGAGAGGTCCCTTAGCGTGCGAACAAGTGGAAGTATCAAGGAACGATCAAAGGTTCCCTTTTAAGTTCAATTCAGGACTGAATATTTTAGAAAAAAAACTGCAAATCTTTTTCTCTCACCTACTTAATTTGTTCTTTAGATTATCTTTGGTACTGGAGACTCGTTGAAAGCCATAACTTGCACAGCAAATGCGGCCTTCACAAGAGCAGCAGCTACTCAGGTATGACATAATATGACTCTTTATTGAATTATACGCTAGCACATGTACGTTGAAGGACAACAGTACAATTTTTCACATCCTAATCGCGGCAATTACAAGAAGACGCGGTTACTGAATTGTTTACGCTTTCAGTTGACTCGAGATCAAAAGGAAAGTGATTGAGTGTATGCCTGTGTCAAGGTATTTTTTTTTTCTGACAAGTGCCTTTGTCATCCAAACTGCATAGGAGTGGGGGTGGGGCAGCGTTAGCCTCTTGGCTTCTTTGCTGGAACTCAATGACCGACGTGTATCATCTGTATCATTATGCACCAGAAGGAGCATTCGCTATAACGTTGTGATAGATAATTTTGTTTTGGGTGAGAACTTTAATATTTTTTTACCATGGTCACGATTACTTTTCTCAATGTCGCCTGCATTTATCCCATTTACTGCCTCCACCTTCATTAGTTTTAAACTTTCATACATAGAAATGAATATTCTAAATATATTCCATTTTTCACTTATGTACAGGGAGTCGAATTCACTGTTTTCATACACGAGTCACGCGCTCTAACTGAAGTGAAGGAATGTCAGGCCACAATGGTTTATCCTGAACGCGATGTTACGTGAGGAACAGCACTCGAGATACCAGCATGCTTTGAAACCATGGAGCATTGCGAACTTACATGATTATGCCTGTCTTTTGAGTTCAATATTGGCAGAAGGAAAAGTTGCAGTTCCCGTTTCTTCTTTACAATTCGAGAAATTGCTTGTAATGCATGATAAAGTGATGACATCGCCTCTTAACGCTCAATTGCTTAAGACAAGGATCGTGAAGTTTGAAGGACTTCATGTTCTGTTACCTCGTCAGACTCTAAGTAGGTCAACTGGTTACTCGTCACCATGCATCTTTTTTTTTTACAATATTTGATCATGCTTGGGGCATTTTAGATGATTATTGATATATTTAATTATGATTTGATTATTGATTATATTTGGTTATGCTTAGGGCATTTCAGATGATGCTCCAGATGAAAGCACATCATCTGTGCTTAGTACTCGTGCTGAGATTTAAGGAAATAACAATTTTCCTTTGACCCTTATTTGTCAATTCTAATGAAGTCACTTCAGTTTGACTAAAGTAAAAATCTTTTATATGCACAGGATTACATTTGTTTGAAGATTGGGTTGCTCTGCAAACCGCACTGATTAGCGTCGAGACTGGGCTGTCTAGTTTGTCTCTGTCTTTTCAAAACAACCTTATCCGTATGTGGAAGGTTATTGTACCTTTAAGTAACCATTTTGCTATTTTTCCTTGCTGCAATAACTGCGAGTAAAATTCTAAGATGTTCAAAGGTACAAACCATGTGGTTTCTGAGATTGCGATTGGGCAAGAGAAGCCCGCTCAGCCCACTCATGTAGCCAATCAAACCACATGGTTTGATTCATCTCGTCTGCTCACGCAACATGTGTAAGAGGAGAAAGAAAAGCGCGAACGGGAAGAAGTTTGGAGTGAAATCGTTATTACATGAATCCTGTAACATTTCTGGAGTACGGTCTTTCAAACGTTTGAAAGTAATGGGTGTGACCCTCAAGTGAAACTGCTGAACATTGTTACGTGATGACAGAAAAATAAAACTAAGCCTTGTTGCCTACGTGTTCTTTGGATCAGTTACGCACTGTCAGCTGTAAGCACGTACATGATCGTTCAAGAGAATTTCGTAAGAGGAAGAGCAAACGTTTTAGCTACAGGTGAGCTACTTTCAGCTTTGCCAAATCGAAAAGTTTGGAAATTTGCATTAGGCTAGTTAGGTCGACAGGAAAGATGGCGTTACACTTGATCGAAAAAGAGCTTGAATGGCTCGATTTACATGATTTTTAATATTTTTCAAATACTTGACATAAAGCGCCTTTCTTTGAGACGTAATTAAGTCACGGAGGGCGTATTTTATGTCTGTTCTGTTGGAACTAAAGAAATAGACTGCGTAACTCATGATAATTGACGCGAATAACCAAACACTTCAATTTGGATATTTTAGGAAGAGAAGAAAACAACAATCAACTCCTTATGAGGTGTGACGTTTGTAAACCCCTTTTTACTCCAAAGAAGTGTGAATGTACGTATTGCAGCTGGGGTCAACGAGAGTTGTTGTATAACATAATTAAACTCGCTCTGAATAAACCTTTTGGTCATTATATGCTTCATGTAAGAGATACCGTTTAGTCCCTCTCTTACATGAGAGTTATAATATGATATTGTAAGAGTGCGTCATCACGTTGCAATCCACAGGTTTCCAGTGGGGAAACACCAGTTCGTCGCCGAATGTGTTCGCTTTGATCGTCTGTAATATTATTGAGAGGGTGTAGGGTTCAACCTCCCGGATTTGCTTATTAAGACAACAGGAAATTCCATGTCGGTTATCATAAAGAAAAAGATATCAATGCACTGGTGGTCGCTGAAAACTAATCTAGCGTTTTAAAAGTAAGCAAACAAACAATCCTAATTCAAAGAACGTCAACGATGCTGAATCAAGGAAAATCCTCTATGACCAGTTTGCCCAATGGAATGAAAATATCACTTCATTTTATCTTTAATGGAAGATGCCTGATGTTTTTTCTACATATTCTATTCTTTCTTCAAAAATTAACCACCATTCTGGAGCTGCAACATCAAACCCCCAACAATAAAATTGTTTCCTCCTCACTCTGCATTGACTGTTTCAAGAAAAATATTGTCACAGCGGCTCAAACTAAAGCTAACACCTGAAGCTATCGTGAGGTGGGATGACCGACATATCATAACTGACGGATACACTCTCTGAACACGTGATAAAGAGCGCGGAAGCGCTTTGCGTACATAATACCTGTGACAGGTTAGATATCAGGTAGAATCGTTTGCCGTCAGTCATACATACACGCCACGAGTTACCTATGGTTTTACACTTTTGGACTCTTGATCAGACAATAACAGCAACAACAGCGATATAGAAGTGATCCAAGACGTTGGACAACAAAAGTTTGAAACTTTGGCGTTGTACGTTACACTACCCATGGATACTCCGAACTGTGATGGCTCGCGAAGCTTCGAATCGATTTATTCAAGGAGTGGTCAGTTACCCGGAGACAGAGAAGTACACCATAACGCCGCGTATGACTCAACTCACGATTATGAGGAATTACCAAGTATAGTGGTGGAAAGTAAAGAACAAGGCCCTAGACGTAAAGACAATGACTTATATGAACCAACCGGGCCTCTGAAGCAGCGCGTGAGACAAATCACTGAATGTTCAGACGATTTAAGCGCACTGTCAGTGTGCAGTGCAAGTGGCTTCCCTTATTGGAAGAAAGACAGCTGTCTAAGCAAATTAATACTCTTCCTTATTCTTGCCTTTTCTGTAGCAGCGCTTGTATTAGTGATTTTAATTATTTACGGCACATTGGGTCCAAAGTGTGGCTGCAAAGATTTCAACACAGGTATGTTAAAAACTACTGCAGGGGGTGTGTTCTTATTTCATATTTCTTCACCAGCCTTACTAAAACGAAGAATACGCGCATGAAAATAAATTTGCTTAATTCGTGCACTTGAGAGTAGCTAAAGCTTAATGGGGTATGTGGGCGCCAAATTTTGTGCATACTTCCACGTACCAACTTACAGTTGCTGGACACTATCAAATGGATTGCTATAAATGTCAAAACAAACTAGAAAATTGATCCTCTGAATGGAGTCGAGAAGGGATACTCTTTGTAGTGTTCACGTGGAAAGGTCACTCATTACGAACTCATTCATACTCACACATCAGTTTATTCATTCATTTATTCACCAAGGAATGTACTAATGTAAATAATTTAACGAGTCCGTGTATGATCTCGCTCCGGAAGTCTTACGTTTTTACGGCAATTTATCTTAAGACAATTTCTTAAGATTCTTCAGCGAAATAGCACCGAAGTCTACATAGTTCTCTCTGGAATCGATACATGTATATCAAATCGTTAATCGTTGGCTTGCCTAGGAAAAACACTGAAAAAATTGAGCGGCGGAAATTTGTGGAATGTCCTTTTGGCGCGTAAATCTTACAACCTCCTGTACCTTAGATCAATGAAATTCGAAAGTTATACAATTGTCTTCTTGCTCAAACGCAGGTAGTGGAAGATCATAACTAAGTTCGAGTTATAAAGGTATAACCCATGGCACCTTAGATAGTGAAAAGTTTATTTTGTCTCGCGCCAGCCAGATTGCGTGCGTAGAGAGCGGTGAAACCATGAGAGAATCTTTGATAACGAAAATATGCCGCTATAAAAGGTCACATTCCAGTAGCCCGCAAACGGAAAGAGGAAAAAGACTGTTGATTCAATTTAGAAATATAAACGCTTTCTTATCTTCGACATTATAGCCGCAGGCGAGCTGGAAATCAAACACACTCGTATGGGTGGCGGCGTTCTTTCCTACTCTTTGTTTATTAATTTGTGATGAGCACTCAACCCTTTGGTCACAGTTTTGCATTTCTATAAACAATGTTTATATTATATTTTGTTGTAGAAAGGTGACATCACGAAATAATCCGTAACCTTTTCCTACGCTTTCTTCATCCGATTATTCTCATTCATTTTGAGTTTCTACCCTTTGGCTATTTTCGTCTCAGGCTGCATTTTAGCGGGAAATATTGATTGTGTCACAAGGTCACGATTTAGGCGGAATTTGAAAGCCGCATGTCTCACGAAGAAGGGTCTATTTACCCACATCAATCAAATACTTCAATTATCATTTTTGAAATCTGAAAAGTATCTGTTTCCCACAAAAGTTCGCATTTTACATGAGCCCAAGCCATTCACGCCAGTGTTGGCAGAAGTTAAATAGTGTTTCAAACGTTTCCTTTTAAAATTAAAATGGGAATGATCAGTATTACGTCATTTAGTCGTTACCTTGGACATTCAAATCTTTCGAATTGACTTCCAAGGAAAGCTTACTTGGAATTTCTTTTCACTCTCAGGAACCAAGCCTGATACACCGAGACCAGAAATGCAGAGTTCTGTGCAGAGCTTGCTGAGCAGAATTGAGGCTTTAGAAAATGAGATGTCAACCATGAAAAGTAAAATGGTAAGATATAAGTTAATAGTGTGGGTATTTTTCGCACTTTCGTGCTCAAAGCCTGATCAAATTTAGCCGCGAAACTATTTTTTAGATGCTAAGCCTAGGGTTTCATTATTGTTAGAAAAGGAAGGCATATGTGGGATCAGAGTCCATTTAGTATTTAGCTTGCATGTGATGGATTGCTTACACAGTATTTCCGTTGCCGACATAACTTTTCCGCACAGAGGACTACCTTCTTATGGAGCATCGAATTACGCTCCACCGGAGGTTGCAGATCTTGTGTGGCCACGTATACGAACAGCGGGCCTTTGTTTTGTTTATACACTTCATTGAATTTTACTCCATTTGACTTGTACTCAGCTGAAGGCAAACTGTTGTCATTAATAAAGAAAAGAAATCTCATCACAAGTGAGGGCGGAAATTGTTGAATACAGAAAATGAAAGATATTTTAAAAGAAACTCCAACTTTACAATCCACCGCACAGCTCGCGGTCGGATACTGTGACCGTGGGAAACAAAAAAACTGTCTGCTGTCCAGCTGGCCAGCACCTAATCATTAAACAAGTGTTTTTACGCAAGAGCAGGGAGAGTAACAAAGCCAACTGAATAAACGTCCATTTTTCTTGACTTTACAGGAGGCTAAAGATAACGCATTGGAAAATTTTGTCACGAGACATGAGAGTCAGGTTCGAGTTGTTTTATTTTTTACTTTTATCAATATCATTGAATATTCTCTTTTTTAGTAGGGGGGGAAAGTGAGGCGATGCTGGATGGGAAAACTGTCTCTACTTTCTGTGCGCCTTTGTGACATCCCTATGAGACTGTTTTGCTACATGAGAGATAATCCTCAAATGTGAAAAAAATAGAAATGAGAAAATAAATATCTATTTATCAACAACTTCCCGCGCTAAACATAAATGGGGACTCGCGACAATCCAAAGAACGCTGTGATTAAGTCATCGTTGTTGTGACGCTTTAGTGAGATAGGGAAGAAGAGCCTGATTTCTCATATTCATTCCACCCACAGGTTGAAGTTCTGCAGGCCCAAGTCAACAAGACTGCGACCAAGGTATGTGTTGTCAACAACTCTGTTCTATTCAGCTTTTAAAATCTTTTTTTGTAATCTAGGCTCCAACTAAGTTACTGCTAATAAAAGATTTTCACTCATCAGGTTGCCACTGTGGATGGTGTTTGGGTGAAGATGCGCAGTTCACATGAAGCCTTTGAGAAAAAATTGGATTCTGAATTCAAACAACTAAACGAGTCCGTAAAGAAACTGAATAACCAAGATACTCTGATATCATCAGATGTGGAGGAACTTCGAAATAATCAGATGATAACAAAGAGGGTGAGCAGAAGGTTAGTGATCAATGTTACCAATGTCGAGTCTTCTGTTCGAGAACTGAAGAAGACTAATGAGAACATCAGCAGCCGGGCGGCGAGTCTTGAGAGAGGATATAACCGGATGAACAACGTGATGAGAACACTTCAAGCAATCGATACTGCGCAAAACGCTTCACGGCAACGACTTCATTCCCTGCAAAAACGTTTACGAGCCTCTTTGACGGCAGTGAACGCAACGTTAAATGACAAGGTGAGTTCACAATTTTCGTTTTTCATAAATTTCTATGTTACGAATTCAGGCCTTGGTAGCCAACAACCTCTTTGAGCTTTTGTTTCCTCAAGCGAAAGGAAATCAATTGTGTCAAGTTGGAATAAGAAAAACCACCAGCTAAATGTTCTGTTTTCGAAAAATGAGGACTGCCAGCTGTTTTTCTTTTTTTTTTTTTTTTTTTTAATTTTTATCGTAATCATGATTACGATAAGAAAGCTGACGTTAGAGCCAATCAGCGCATTATACGATGCGTAAATTATAGGTAATTTTCTGTCATATAATGGGGTTCTTTTTATTTAAGATTCAATTTTTTTATAATGGTTTTTCATAATTGTATTTTGATTCTAGATAAAAAAACTGGATGCCATTAGCGACAAGCAGCAAGGCGTAAACCTCAGCCTGTGTAAATACGAATCTTTTGAGAGTTCTCCGAACACAGTTACAAAGAATTCTGGTTCAATCTCAGTCTCCTACCTGTTGCCACAGGTACAGTACAAACAACAAGTAAAACTCCCAGCATATGATTATTCAAATGAATTAAACACCAAAAAAAAATTCCGATCCAGTTGATACTTATAGTCCTATAGACTGGTTAGTCTTTTCACATTTGTACAAATGCTTAGGGAACATGATCACCGCCCGTTCGTAACCACACTAGAAATGCCGCCTGGCAATCTTGGAGTCGATTTATTAACTTTCCTTTTAATATTTGCATGGTTTCTTTATTTCAACAGGGTATGCGAGTAATGGGTGTCACTTGTTCTACAGATAGGGCAAGATTTTACACATTAAAAGAGCTTCCGGGTAATGGCTTCAAGTGCGAGTGTAAACATCTGTCCCCTGTGTTTGGGATGACTGAAACTAAGATGCGGTGTAAAATACACGTATGGCTATGTCCTATATGAAAACTATTCCTGGAACAGATGATGTTCGAGGAAAAATACAACGGTGGTCACTAAGACCATGATAATACTAAACGAAATCACTGGATGAAGATTTTATTTTTTCTTATTCATTTTCGACAAGGATTATTATGGTCTGCAACAAGAAACCTCTTAGGTTCAATTTATTTTAATAGTCTTCAATCATAAACCAATTTGGCAACGTATGTTTTGGTCGTACATTGTCGGTGTGATAAAAATATTTAATACACGTGTTTGAGGTCCAATAAGAGCTTATAAAGAGCAGAGCTGTCCATAAGTCAGCTGGTCATATTAACGCTAGCACTAAAAATGCTTTCAGCATAACTGAGCGTCTCTTACAAGTTGGACTGCAGGCCGATAGATTTTAGTTTTTAGCTCGTCTTTTATAGGCCGGCTTTTTGCGATATTTTGTGATAAGTTCTGCTTTGATTTATATTCTGTGTTCAACACACCAGTGATTTTTCAGTTTTAGAATCCATAGTAGATTCAGCACTACCGATTGTCATCACTCGAAAACCAGCTCTTATAAAATACAACTTAATGTAGCTTGCTAGTAATCAGACAGGCCATGTTGTATGGAACCTGATATTTAATACCTTTGAGAGGTACATGAAGTAACATGTAAATTATACGACAAACAAATTCCAGGACAAAGCTCTCAAAGGAGCTAATAAAAGGTTTAAGATATCTAGCAGCCGCAAGATGGAGAATTGCAAACCAAAAAATTATGAGTACAAAATATAAGTAATTTAAAATTAGGATCATAATATATTTAATTAGTTTTACATGCCAATAATTTTATCTCACTGCTTGAGTAATAAAAAACGTCATGAGAGTGACAATGTATTTTACTTATGTAACATTTAAAAACGATAAATATTTGTTCAGGAACTGAGAGTGTCTTGGTGTCCTTCAGGATAACTCTTATAATTTACTTTCAGTCAAAAAAATCGCTACGATAATAAATGGATTACCTTATATTTTTGATAATGATCATGTACATATTTAATGCTAACTAAGTGAAGAAAACTACATTTTTTTAAATTAGGCTTAAAAAATTATACTGATAAACGAAGAATGCACTGAGGAAAATCTCTTATTTGAGATGCTTGTCTGAATCGCAGAGAGGGAAAGGATTTACTCTTATTGCTGTTAGTGATTTGTGTTTTTTGTTTGTAGTTTATTGTTGATAAGATTAATTCGGCTGTGGATTATTGTAACTGATATTCAGAAGTAGCTGTCAAAGTTTTTCTTGTTGTACTTATCTTTGTTGATAATTCATACAGATAAATTTATGATAAATACTTACGGGAAATCAATTAATATAAATGCTAAATAAACTGGATTTACAGTGAGCCTGAGTTGGGTGCTTACCGTCAGTGTTTACTATTTCATGATGGAAGTTATTTGAGTTATTTATCTTAGGCCGAACAATGGACTTACGCGACGCAATTTCGTAATGGAAATGGTTTTGGAGCCAAGAGACAAAAGAAATTAGAAGTGAGATAATACAACTCAGGCATAAAACCACTTGTCGCTCCGAGCTGGCGAGTTTTGTGATACAGGAAGTCGACTATTCGTCTCTTCGAATTACATTGAGTAAGGAGATGTACCATTAGTATCGAATGTTCTAACCCCTTGCGACCTAACATCAATATGCATATTGTCCACATTGTTCTTTTCACATTTCCTAAGATACTGACAAGGAGAATTTGTTTAATAATCAAGCGCTTCTTCAGTTGATGATCTCTTCCTTTATTCTCTTGGCCTTAATGTTTGATTCAAGGGTGATAATATAAGGAGAAAGTAAATGTTGGTCATCTTAGGGGTCAAAGGGTTAATACCATATCTAGGCTTGCGCAGCAAGTTTTCGAGTTGAAGTGGGGAGGGCTTGCGAGCGAAAACTCAACGGGATTCGGGATACCGCTTCCGGGAACACATTTACATATAGCTCGCGAATTCTTAGATTGCGCTGTCTCTATTGTACAGAAGTTGATAAAACTTCGCAATTCAGTCCTTAATTTGGCTAACACGACAAGCAAATCTCTTATACCACTTATGAAATTAACCGTTACAAAAGCCAGAAATCTCGTCCTTTCCTGTCATTTACGAATTGGTATACGCATCAAACCGAACGGAGAGTGTATAGTATAGCCCGCTGAAAAATATAACCGAGGCAGTGGCCGACATTTACTGTCCTTTTGGTTGCGATTTCTACCAAAAAAATCTGCCAGCATTGTTGAGAAGGGAAGATTCCCCCCATTCTCTGTTTATACATTGTCGGGTGGCAAAAACGATCTTTCACATTGATACAAATTTTGCATGCCACGGCAACAGCGCTTTCTTCCCTGGGATAGGCAACCTTCCGTATTAAGTACATACAAAGTTTTAGAAAAAAGAAAATTCTCATTCTGTCAGATGTGCTTGCACTTTCATAGATGCACTTTTTCTACTCTTTTGGCACAATTATTTTGGGTTCTTTCGTAACTGCATCATAAAACCAAATTCCTCTTTGCACAACTATCCAGGGGACCGACTCCTTAACATCCCAGTCCTAAAGAAAAAATTACTAAACTGAAAACCGCTGCTGTCAGTCACCACGTTTGGCAGTCTGAAACTTTTGACTGTAAACAAATGTCCAAAGTAGACCACGATAGGGTATCAATAGCTTCTTCAAACTTTCGGCGTTTGCCGACAAAAATAACCAACCCAACTGAGTTAAGAAGTCTTTAGCTACATGTGAAACCAGGCCTGATGTAAAACGTAGCTACAACGGGCGGAATCTTACAATATAACAAATCAAGTACGATGGCATCATGATTGCATCACCCAACAGAATGTTGTCGACAGTTCCTTTGCCGGGTAGCAAAAAGTTACAGCATTAAAATTGAAAGACCAAGCTTACTAGAAACCACCAGAAACTCCACAATTTGCAGTGATTCTCCGAGACAACCGTCTGACGAATGACGTCAAACTGGTTTTAAACAAAGAGAGATTTATTAGACAAAATATACGATGAATAAACTCAAGCAGGACGATGCTACAGGAAATTCCTATCGTTCTCCTCCTTAGATTTGACTTAAGAAGACTTTTAATATTATTATGTTTGACGTTAATTCAATAAATTAATCTCTTTATTTTTCAAAGTAGTATTATTAAATGCGTATCAACTTCTCATTCCAACAGAGATAATTTTGCATTATGCAATAGATACACAACAGACTATAAATAGCCAATAAAGGCGTCCGAGTTACCGTCTTTCCTGTCATCAGTATGAGTGACTAAGGTCGCAGTGGCTCGGTTTATATGCGATTAAACACGAAGGCGCGCTATAAAAGGAGAGGTGCCTTAGGTACCTCTGGATCATTTGTCAATCAACCGTCGTGGCATACAGAACTCCAAAACAGCTTGAGCTGCAGTCAATGCAAGGCACTGACCAGAGGCGCATTTCTCGGTAAATTTCTATGTTTTCATCAAAATGGAAGAATTTGTTGAGGTCTGTATTACCTTCCTCCGAACGAAACCGTCTTCGTTTTTGGCGGTAAATTTGAAATTCGAAATGATTCGCTTCGCCATCGCCCAAAATTGCCATGGCGTAATTTCATGTCTGTTTCAATACTGGATGTAGATAACTGTAAGAATAAAAAGAAAAGATGAAGAAATGTTCAAGGCATTTCTTCAACAATGCGAAGGGGAAGTGCTGTCAACCCAGCGGAAGAAAAATAGAAGCAGAGCGACTGTTGCAGGCGAAGTTCTGGAGCGCGCGAGTGAACCGTCGCCGACCACCGATTCACTTCAACATGTCCAGGTGTCGATGTCGCCAAACGAATCATCTGTACGGGCTTCCTCCACAAATGGTGCGATTTCTTTTTCTTTTTCTTTTTTTTTAAATCTTAGTATAATATGATTACAACAATACTGGATGATCCTTGACCTTTGGAACAATACATTAGAAAGGTAACTTAGGACTACAGTTCGACACTAACAATCACTGTGATAATGTATCACCAAGATTGAAACACTCGCGTAACACTATAATTTCTCAGAAGTAACTAATTGCAGAGTTTTTACAAACTAGGAAATACTAGTTAGAATATACTTGCAAACCACAGATTTTTTCGTATGATGCGACAGTTCATGTCTTAGACTGCTTCCTTTTGATGCCTTCATTTTCCGAAATGCAGCCTTGCGTGACACCTACAAAACGTTTTGTCCTGCCTAAGAATGTTTTGAAAAGAGTTATTTCTTTAGAACTACAGGTTGTATTTATTGCAATATTTTATACTACACCTTGGGCAAACTTGTCAATGAAACATGAAAAATGTACATAAAAATTGTCCAAAATAAAATGCAGGCGGGAAGACCAGTTGTACGATCATATCAGACTTCATGACTGTTCAGTTACGCTTTCGCTCTAATAGTTGTTTTACTTTGTCTCCACAATAGCTGATGCAAGAGGGGACGAGTTCGAAATGTGTATTTACTGTCGGCAAACGCCATGTGTAACGACCGACAGTCGCGAATACCTTGGCTATCGCGAAGCACATATTCAAAATCACGTGCGACGAAGAAAAGATTACAAGACGTACTGGAGAGCATTGAACAAATGTGGGCTCTGGAAAGACCCTATTTATCAGGCTAGAAAAGTCGAACTGGGGGACCACGTTAATGCTGTGCGGGAAAGGATGCCCAACTGTGTTATAAAAGATGTGAGGTCAAGGTTTCCTAACCCTCCTGGTATTCCCTATATGTTATAAAAGATGTGAGGTCAAGGTTTCCTAACCCTCCTGGTATTCCCTATATGGGGCATAAAAGGGAATAATAAAATTCTCATTCAAATGCCCACGTCAAAGAGAGCCCAAGTACCAAATTGTTTATGGTCCATTTTATAATGTCCACACAGCAAATTATAGTGACTTTCCTATAAGTTAGGAAAAGATATACAGTGCAGAGAAAAGTAACAGATAATGAGTCTGCTTGGAAAATACCTAGTGTCAAACCTCATACTCATGTTTTCATCACTTAGTACCAGCAGTTGGTAGAATTGGTCCTCCTTAATGACCTCACATATTTTACAGGACATTTGGGCTCCTATTTGTAATTATCACAGAAACTGTGGTGCAATGGAAAACAGATGAGACATCATTTGTTTATATTAAAAAAGGTAGACCAGATAGTTTCTCTGAAATGAAATGTCTTTGAAGTAAGCACCCTGGTCTCTGCCAAGCGATTTGGATGCCTGGCATGTTGGTACATCTGTAGAGACGATGCTTCTCGATTCGCATTTTCATTCTGTAAGACAAATGAGTCAATAAGCATGAGAAAGCAGTGAATCCAAAAAGTGCCAAAGTTATTTTGATAAGTTTCTTACCCAATCAAGAATGGCTAACTCCATGCGCATGTTGTATGAGTCATCCCCATAATGAATCTGCTTTGCAGCATAAATGAGCATCACTGAATGGAGAGACTCAATCCAATATGTTTCCCTGCACTAAAGAAGGCAACAAATTATGGGTGATTTTTCTTTAACTGGAAAATGAATTATTTTGTTCAACTCATTTATGGCCCTTACCTCAACATCATTAATTTGGAAGAAGAGATAAACTTCTTCATGCAAAGAAACATAAACATACAGCATGTGTCAATTATTTACCTGCATGTAGTCTGATGCATGCCTATAAATTGAAGTGCTCATAATGGCTTTCCTGTAGGCAGCTACTGCTTCAGGTTTAGTTAACAGTCTTTTGCTCATCACATAGCCATTCTGCTTGCACCGTGACTCCGCATGGCATCTGACATGATTACCCTGAGTAATAAATACACCAAGTTATGGAAAAATAGATTAATAAATCAGTAGTAATAATTATAGATAGACGATAGATAGACGTTTATTAAGAATACCTTAATAGCAGCTGGAAGCTGAATTACAAAGGTGTACAAATTATATAATAGAACTATACAATAAAATCAAACCTAAAAGGGAACTAATTTACATATGGGCCCATATACAATTGTAATAGATGTCAATTAAAATGTCTTGCGCTTGCTGGAATGAAAGTATCTCTGAACCGATTTGTTTTAAAGGAAACTCTAAATGGTCTGCGTCGTCGTAACTCCATAAGTTGATCTCGGTTGTCGAAAGGCGGTAAGTGGTACAAACAATCCAAGGGATTGGAGACGATGTTGTTAAAGAATTTTAAGCAAAGGTCTTCCCTCCGATCCCTTAGGGTTTTCAGCTCTGCCATCTGAAGCACTTCTCTATAATGATTATCATAACCGTATATAATTTTCAAGGCTCTCTTTTTTGGACACGCTCTAAACTTAAGCTCAAATAATCGGGGAGACTATAATGGTAGACCTGACATCCATAAAGTAAGACGGATTGAATGCAAGCAACATAAAAAAATTCACTAATTCTGGTGATGGTACCTTGGCTCGCTTTAACTGAGTTAAAAAGTAAAGGCGCTTAGCGGCCTTTTTAATCATCTCAGTAACGTGAGTGTTCCACTTGAGGTTGTCTTGAAAATACACACCCAGTAATTTCACGACACTAACGGCGCTAACCTTAGAGCCATTAATTTCTATGAGATCGTAGGAAGGAGGGGAGCGCACGAAGGAAACTCTTAGCTCATTACATTTTTTCGGATGAAGTTGAAACGAGTTAAGTGTTGACCAGGTAGCTACTTCGTTTATCATAGACTGAGCATTGCTAGGACCACCCTTGCTTATGATTTCATACACTGTCGTGTCATCTACATATTTTATACAATCACTGGCTGATGGTACTTTCAAATCATTTATCATAACCAAGAATAGCCACGGTCTTAATTTTGTTCCCTGCGGTACTCCTGCTCGGACCGATCCCCACTCTGAGAGACAATCATGTGCAAGTTTGACCCTTTGTTTCCTATCTTTAAGAAAGGCTATTATCCAATTAATGATGTAAGGGTTGATATTGTAGGTCGAGAGTTTCGATAGCAAGAGGCTGTGATCTATCAGATCGAAGGCTTTTCTATAGTCCAACGCAAAGATCCGCACGGTGTTCCCCGTTCCGTCTGTTGCTTGCGCCCAATTGTGCATCAGGTTTATCAATGCATGCGCAGTGGAGGATCCTGGAATACACCCAAATTGATCGGGTTCCAGGCGTTTCAGAAGTGCTGGTTTCACATGTTCATGGACGACGTAGTGCTCGGCAATTTTGGACAACGTTGGTGTCAGTGAAATAGGTCTCAAATCTTTCGCCGCATCCTCAACTATCTTTGTTTTGGGAAGAGGGGTGATGTTTGCACATTTCCAAATGTCCGGTAAAGTCCCTTGACTAATCGAGGAATTGATGATACAACGAAGAGGTTGAGCGAGCTCAGGAGCGAAGTCACGCAAGACCCAGTTTGGGATATTATCTGGGCCCCAGCTTTGGAGGAGCTGACCGTACTAAGGCATTTGAAGGTAGCTTCCAGTGAAATAATGGGAGTTTTAAAACCCTCAGTGCTCACAGTTTCGATATTATCTAAAAGTGGGTCAAACGAAGCTTGAGGTTCTAGCAGAGCTGTGTTGATTTCATTAGCCAAGATCTTAAGGTTGATTGAGGTAGCTGGTTTACTTGCTAGGAGCTGATTTGCGACACTTGTAGATGTTTTATTCATTCCACATAACCGCCTACATTCGGACCACCACATTTTAGGATTGTTTTCGGTCAAAACGCTGACTTTAGTGTTGTAATAAGAGCGTTTGCAGAGCTTCCGTTCCCTGTTTACTTTGTTCCGGTAGTAGTGGAACAATGGTTTGTTGTCTTGGTAATATGCTCTTTGACGGTGTGCTATAAGTGCCTTGAGTTTGGGTGAAATCCATGGTGCGTCGTTTCGGTGGAACTTAACTCGCTTTTTGGGAAGGATAGAATCTAACCCTATGTGAATTAGGTCACTGAAGTGAGCATACTGTTCTTGGACGCTATCTATAGTGTCGATTAATGACCAGTCGACCCCGTCATATAACGACCAAAAGACTGTTTGGACTCAGCGTTAACAGCACGTGTAGTAACCGTTCTGTTTGCAGGAATATTGGCCTTCGATCTAATTTTTGGAAACAAACCAACAGTACAATGATCGGATAGTCCGAAGGGCGGGAATGGAGAAGGTTTCTCGTAGTGTTCTGTAAGATTAGTTAGCACTTTGTCGAGTGTACGATCCCCTCTTGTTGGAAAATGGACGACTTGCGTGAGGCGGAACTGCTTAATAACTGGTGAAACATTTGCCCTGTTCCAGTCGCCAGCGAGAATTATACCTGCGCCAGGGATATCACTCTCTATCCTAGAGAGAGAATCCATCATGTAATCAAGGAGGGGCTCATCTTTGGCAGGCGGTGGAGGATGGTATACTGTACCAATGATAAGGCAACTATAACCCCGGGGCAATCGGTTGGGCGTGATTTTGGCCCACAAAACCTCAGGGCCCCTCGGGGTCAGGAAACTCATAGTCCCGTAGAATTGAGAATTTGATGGAATCTTTTACATATAGAGCCACACCCCATGTAGCTTGTGGGTCCTATCTTTGCGTATGATGTTGTAGCCACTAATGTCAACTACGCTGTCATCAATAGAATCTTTCAGCCATGTCTCCGTTATACAACAAAGATCAAACTCGTGGGTGTTCAAAAAAAATACGAGTTCGTCTATTTTTGGTGCCAAACTCATTACATTAGACACAGCTATTGACGGTACGAACTGCAAGGTGTTTTTCCTGGCGTCGATGTTTCTCTTAGGCTTGATAATAGCCAGATTATTGAAATTGACGGCTCTTTCTTCTGTGTAACGGCTGGAGGAAACACGCGTAGTTACTCTCACGGGAATTGTTGAAAGTCTCGGTAAGGCGTGATTATTGAACCGTAAAGATTCATTCAAGATGGAAGAGTTATAGCAATTAACAGTTCTTGGTCTTGTGTAACTACTGGAGATGGCGCGTGTGGTTGTTCTCACGGGAATTACTGAAAGCCCCGGTAAGGTGTGATTGTTCGACTGTGAATAATTATTCAAGGTTGAAAATTCATTCGTTTCTGAAGAATATTTGCTTCGGCCTGTATTTAATTGTGTTTTAGTAAGTCTTCCGGACCGTTTCCCTCGGTACTTAAAAAAAAATTCCATCCGCTCGAATGTTCTTAAATAAAACTGACCGTCTCTCCTGAAGGCTGTAATTTTTCCGGAGCGACACCAGTTCGCGCCGAGAGTACTGTAGGGTCGTTGTTTGGCGAATTGGAGAATCAAGCTGCCGAATTAAATCTCTAGTGGCTCTCTGCCGGCTACCAATGGCGATAATAGATTGAGCAGGACCGGGGTTGGTCGAAATATCAACGTATACCGTGATGTCCAATGGAGGGTCGTGGCCAGGGATGACTAAGGAGACAAACCCGTGTTTAGTGTGCTTCTGCATTGGAACTCTTGATCGATGAAAACCATCTTTGACGATACAAGTGCATTTCTTCTTGAGTTGAACAGCAGTGTGCAGGGGTTCCCACCTTGATTTAAAAGTAGCCTCGAAGGATAATAAATGGTTTAGAAATGCAGCGCTTAAACAGGATAGAATAGTGATAGAAACTAGAGCTACTCTAAACGTGGCCGCCATGATTGGCGCCGATATGCTAATCTATTATAGTAAATATAATGTCTCTTGTTCACCATTATTAAAGAAATATGTGCAATCTTTGAGGTAATGATCATGTCATATCTTGCTAGAATAACACAACAAAAGGTAATTACAAAAATGAAAACAAAATACTATGTTCTCTCAATAAACAGTCATTCAAATTACCTGGTAATGGTCAACTACATTCAACAGTGTACCCTGAAATTCTTCTTCAGTGGGTGGACTGTTCTTCAAGCAGAAGTACACATGAGTCCTTGTACTTTTCACTGTAAAATATTCACAATTATTATATTCCATTGTATTCATCTCATATCAAGAAGGAATTTGACATCTGCAGATCATTGTAGAGAGAATATAGCTTCCGATGACTCTCATAAGAGAGATATCTTACCTTTGTCGGACAATTCAAAAAACCACTTTGAGCCCTCATCCCTCTGTGGTCCTGAGGCAACTTTCTTCATTGCTTTAGTCACAGACTTTGCACCTGAAAATAAACAAAAAATTTTAATACCAATAAAAGGCTAATTTTCAAGAAATAGTCATAATCATCAAGACAAAATGAGCCAAAAAATACAAGTGTATACTGAGTACCATGCCAAGAGTCAAAGGAATTAAGCATTCCTTTTGACAAGATCCATGTTTTTAGCTGTAATACAAAGTCATGTGCCACCTCTGCAACATGGAACCCTGAAAAAAGAATTACTTTAGTTGCATTATAAAATATACTTCTGATCTCCATATTTGTATTACATATGTGATATGATATTATTGAGGATGCAAACTTATCATACCTTGTGTCTCACAGAGATAAGTCAACAGCTCTTTTGTCATAGGGACCTCACGGCTTACTGCTGAAGTTTCATTGGCCTTACTCCAGTTGACAACTGCTAACACCTTTTTGGTCCTAAAGATAATCAGTGCAAATGAAATGATTTTAGGAATGGTGTTGAACATAATAAAGGTTCAACATATCATACAAAGAAATCGAGTAGAAAGCATCTCACAAGAAAGAAAGGGCTGACACTGTTGTGTGTGCTGCTGATCGACTGGAATCATGCCTTGCATCTGTTATAACACACTGCAGGAAAATGGTAGAAATCAAAACATAAAAATGGTCACATTTCTCTACTCACAGATATTTTCAAGGTTTACAATCTGATATAAGATTTTATATCTTTGTACGTGCCAGTCTACATAATATACTCCGAGTATGGCAGGTGTATAAGTATGTGGCCAAAGACAAAATGAAGTTAAAATGACTACTTGTACCTCTCCATTCACAGCATATGTAGGGTTACTCTTCACTTGTTCTTGAGCAGCCAACATCGACTCATTGGAAACCCTCTTCACGACTGTCAAGTAACCAAGCTTTTTCAAGACTGTTGAAGTGATTAAAAATAGAAGTATTTTAGAATGCATCTGGTAGGGCAGAAACCAAAGAAGGAACAGTTCAGTCAGTTTGAGCTATCTTGATAGAACATTCATGATTTAACAACCTGCAAACTGCTGTTGACTGCCTTCTCCTTGCAAGGAGAAAGACTACATGATTTTCAGAGCATCTGAGAATGTGCATTGCTAACCTGTGTCGAAGGTCTTTTCTCCCTCTGACCCGATGTTGGCTGCTTGACAGAAACTTGTGTATTGTGTCTCTGTCAAGCCACAGGAAAATACTCCATGAATCAATCTATGAAAAAGAGAGACAGATAAGTGACCAGTTACAAAAAACAAAAACTCTAAAATACCGAGATAATAAATTTCAGTAAATTTCGAGCAAAAAATGAAAGAGTGCTCACCTCAAATTTACATAGTACTTTGGAGGAGATCCTCCCATGATGGGGGAGGAGAGCCACTTGAAAGAATCTCCACCAACGCATGAAATTGTCACTGACACGACATGACTCTGTCGATTGAAGACGAGTGATTTGCAATCGAGGGGTTTTCCACAATAACAACATGATGTCGATAGCGTATTACAGAAAAAAGAAAACAGAGTTCGCAGAGATTCTTCGCTGCAGAGATATATGGAGTCGTTCTCTGCTGAAGATGCAGTGATTTGCATTCTTTGTAGCGTACGTTCTTCTTGTGGAAGAGAAATTGGAGAAAAAGGATCACTGAAAGGCAAAGAAATACGCGAAGATGGAGTAGAAGAAGCTGAAGGAATTGAAAACCGTGCAGTTGTGGATGGTGTAGAGAGAAGAGAGGGGTTCGGACTTCCCGTTGATGATAAGCTCAGATCGCTCGATGTCAGTCGTTTCCTCTCAATTTTCTCCTCAAAAGCTAATTAAATTCATTAAATCTGCATTCTGTGTGCTTGTGGTCGCTTTTGTGAGATTCAACGAGCCTCTGGCCATCTTTATGCGGTCTTTGATGCCGAGAAGTCTGCTCTCCTGAGTTCGAGGAACTTCTATGTTGAACGAGAACTGAGGACCTCGATCCGTTGGACGCTTTTTCTTGGGTACAGATGGGTTATTTCCCTCAGCCATAACGAATAAATTTCCCAATAAAAATATCTTTCGAGCAGCGACAGCCAAGACTTTTCCCCAAACTGAACTAGAGTTGTGAAATTCTGTCTCAAAATCGCACTTACTTGCGAAATCATCCATACTTTAGAGGTTTTGTCACAGAATATTGTCACAAATAATAATAGTCTGAGCATTGCGCATAGAATGTTTCATGAATCCGCTAGTTTCAATGAGAATAATCTGAAGGCTCGGAGAACCAATGTGTATTAGGGGCTTGGGACATAAGCCGAAGTTACATGGCGCGAATTTTGAAAAGACAACTGTACGAGTGTCTCGTCGACCGCAGATCGCGCTTTGAGCGGCCGAACGATAACTTAATGCCAATTAATATCAAAATGAGCTCAATTATAGGAATTAGAGTCAACAAGACGCAATATCTTCTAGTTTATTGACACAAAAAAACACTTAAAGTGTGTCTTTTATGCAGACCGTTTCACTCATGGTGGGACCGTTGGTCGCCATATTGGATGAGTTTTGCATTTGAGCTGAAACAAAGGGGAGGAGCCAAGCTATTTATAGCGCGCCTTCGTGTTTAAACACCAAAGCGATTAAAAAATCAATCGCCAAGGTCAACCTACGCTGGCACGATACGTCACTGTTTCCTATCGCAATTTTGCCCGATTATTTTTTTTACTCTCCGTTCCTAATTAGTCAATTATAAAATATATTGATACGGTATGGAGTTAAAGATGCAGTATTCTCGTAATAAAGAGAAAAAGAGTAATTTCTAACTTTTTCTCGCGTACAACTTTTAGGCGTGGTTTGTCTGTTACAAATATCGTATGTACTTATCTGGTAAAAGAAAAATGCAAGTATTTATCAAAACCTTGAAGAGTTAGTAACCAGCAGCCATGTAACCTGCACCAAGGACTCACACAGTCGATAAGCTTAGGCATTTTGTCAAATGAAAAACTTTACATGAACATGTCTTTCATTTCGTGATTTTTAGTCACTCGTGATGAAAAAAACTTTCAAGACATGACCCACGTCCATAATTCACGCAATTCACCTGTGTCCATACGTTTTCTTTTATTCATATCTCAATCCATCGAGTAACTAAATAATTATCACAAAATTAAGGAAATATGACTTAGACCATTATGGGTTATCCAAATGAAATACTAATAAAATTTTCCAGACCACTTTCCAGGAATGTTTTCGTATTCTCCCTGGGATAAAATACGATGAAATGAAATCGAGTTAAAAAATTGACTTCGATTGAAGAGCAATTTTTATTTCAAAACTTGATGAGCCTCATTCCCTTCACTATAGTTTTAATACACGGTTCCCGATCTTAGACCCTCTTCAATTACTCATCGCATTTTCTTCAGCAAAAGACCCTCTACAGATCTGTGAGTAAATTTAAGAATGATAATGCAGCTAAAATTATGTGATAAAATTAATCATTGTCTCCTACCGGCCAAAGACTTTTTCTATCTGGATGAACAACTGGATTCAAAACAACGCGACTTGCACTAATTTGCCAGCTGCCAAACTACAAATATAGAGTTTAAAGCTTTAAAATCCTAGATTGAAAATATCACAAGCTATGTGACGTAAAGTGGTTTAGATGAGTACAGGTATGTGAGACCTATAGTCTTCAAGTATTTTACTCCCTATTTTACTTTTGAAACTATATGCCTTTGGTTTGAATATTTTTAACAAAAAAATCAACTTAATTAGAGTGAAAAGGCTTTTTTTTACTCAGAGAGTATCTAAAGGAGCCTTTAAGTCTCAGGACTGAGAACAATCCACGGACAATTCGAAATTCCGCAAAATCTTCTGTGATCGCGATCTGTTCAAAATGTTTTCATATTTTAAGAAATTCCTTGTTTGACTATTTTCTTAGATTACCAGTTTACGAAAGTTTTACTATGCCCGGCTCGTAAAACATAAACCCAAAAGCATCGACGAAATAGATCACAAACGGTTGTTTTTGACAAGTACTAAAAAATTCAGTGCTTTTGTGACTTGTCTGTTAATCTGCGAGTATCAAACTGGAAGAATTTTTGCTTTTACCCTCTGATTCTAAAGCTGAGAGATATGAATAATTAGGATTCTAAAAAGTAAGCTTTGCGTAAGTTTTAAACCATCTAAAATTTAATAATGAATGGTTTTCCCTTGAGAGGTTTTAAGTCGGACTTGCAATGCTGTGTGATTGCATGTCTCATGGATCCGAGGAAACGAAATTGATTTTCCGCTTAATGTTGATGATTTGCACTTTTTAATAATGCCCGATAGACAGTCATCTTTTGTTTACATGCTTAAATTTTACTATCCATTTGATTTGGGTATTTTCAGAAGCTTCCCACCACGTTGGTCCATCAATCAACATTTTGGAGACTGCTCAGCTTGACCAGGACGTCGTTGATAACGCGTTTTCATGAGCCACCTTCTGAAAAGTACTTTCAAACTTGGCATTTCAAGAATATGAATGGAAATACGATGTTTCCTAAAATGTATAGTGTGAAAAAAACAAATGAAATATTTTATTAGTGTTTCTATGGTTTGTCACCTCAATGAATGCAGTAAAGGACGATTAATATATATGAAGATTGCTTTATTAGAGGTTGGAATTTACGATCGATAGAAAGAAACCGCACCGCTCAAGTTTTAGATGTCAGTTCCACCGTCGAAAATTTCCCGCAGGTGTGTTGTGGAGTTTTCATGTTTTTTTCGAGAATAACTAATTTTATTTACGGCTGTAATTGCCAATTACCAGTCGGAAGCCGCGCAGTGGCCCTGTAATTGTGCTCTGCGCGATTGAAAATTGTGAACCAAACTTATGACGAAAAAGACAAAGCCCTCATTTAAATTCAAAACAATGAAAAATAAGGCTTATTTCGTAAAAATGGGTTCACAAATAATGTAATGTTTTTTATTTTATTTTACAAGGTTTCCATTGTTAATCTTGCTTTTTGAAAATTAAAGGAGAATTACTGTTGTGCAGCCACTAATGTAGATGTGCTCATACGTGAAGGAGATGTGTTACTTAGTGTTGTTATGGCAGAACTACAACACCTGCTGCACCATAATCCATATTTAGTAGAATACGAAGCATTGACAAGAACATAACAAGTATACCTTGCTATTTGGCGCGCTAGCTTAGTTCATCATAGCTTGACAAGTCATTGATTGCCGCGAATGTGAAACAGGTGAGTCCAATGATGCCTGTTTATTGTATGAATTGATCACCAAAAATCATTCAGGCCTTTCAGCGATATTTCCAACCAATAGAGTTCATTAGTCTAACTTTAGTCTGCATATTATTTGCTTTTAGAGTGAGAGTCGAGAAAGCTGCACTTTGATTGGTGGTAATCAAATGATTAGTGCCAGGTTTTATATAAGAACACAGCCAATCCTTGAATTTTTAGTTAACGTCAAATTCCCTCAATCTAAGGTCGACTTGGCGAGGTAAGAGGCGTTTTTGACTTACCCACTGTGTTATCACTGATTTTCTGTGAGCTTCCTTGACGCTTGTTCTCTAGTTGCAGCTCCCTATTGTAAGACCATCAGCTTTTTCTCGTTATTCGAGATTCACTGAATGTTCTTGATTATCACGTTAACGGTTCGCTGGCGAACCATAGCAAAACAATTTTCTCAGATCCTGAGGAAGTGTCATGCCGCAGTCAAAGCGTGAAAATTTTTTGATTTTTGCTGTTAATTCCACATTTCTCTGTTAGATTTAGTATAAGAGTTTCCTGAGAAATCTAGGCACGCTGTCAAGTCTTTATTTTCCATATTCAAAAGATTTCTATTGCAAAAGCTCCGCGAAGCGAATAACCTGGAAAACAGCTAGAATACGAAAATTGTCGGTGTTTCGTGGGTAACGGGAAATTGTCTTATTGTATTCGTTTTCGTTTCATGACCTCATTCAGTCGAATCTTTGTATGTGGAACCTAAGAATCGGTTCATTGTAAAATGTTTCTAAAAAGCACGATAACTTATTGTTACAGATGGAATTGTCGTGGTAGAAAGAAAATATGAGTATGATCAAACCTTTACAATATATTACGGCAGTGAATAGTATCTTTTCTAGTTTTACAAATAGAGATATTAAGAGGACGCACCCATGGTAGTACTCATAATAATTCAAAAGCATAAACAAATTCTCAGAAAACACTTCCACCAACAATGTATCAATAAACTCTGTAGCATTAGAGATAATTTTTCCCCTTAAAACTAATGTTAAGTGGTGGATTTTGATAATGAACTCATGTGGGTAATATGAAAACTCTTGCTAGATGTTTTTGTTGTATTTTGGAAATATGGAGGATAGTATTTAGATAATGAACTCATTTGGGTAATATGAAAACTCTTGCTAGGTGTATTTGTTGTACTTTGGAAATATGGAGGATAGTATTTAAATTGAATGGCAGCGTGATTTAAGGCCGCTCCCGTTGTCTTGTTGTTATTACTCAAGATGTCTCTATGGATATTTTACGACTTTGAAGGACTGGATTTCTGCTCACTCGAAAGTTCAAGAAAAAAACCTTAAACGCCTATTTGCAAGCACTGTTTATTTCACCTTTTTCCCCTATAATGAAAAGATTTCACGCTACGTATTTTAGTACGATTATTATTCCGTGAGTAGAAGTCCTCAGGCACTCTACAATAAAAAATACTGCCATAAATCATGGTCCGTATACCAATTAACATGGTGGTGCATTGGACAAAGAATTATCTGAAACAGGGTATTTTAATTTGTTCCAGTATTTGATTGATCAAGTAGAACTTCGCGTTTGAAACCGAAAAGATAAACCTTCATGTGGTGTAACCTCGGACAACTGAAGGCAGAACAAAGAAAAAGGAATCGAGATGAACTGGAAACCAAATCACAACTGACCAAAAAATTAAAATCTACGATGCGGTTGGTAAATTATGAGTTTGTGCTTAACATCAAAGGACAGTTATGAAAACTAGGAAGCTTATTGAATGGCTGAAATACGATAACTAAAATGTAGTCCACGATCCCTTTGTTGAGGTAAAACAGGTGCACACATAAAGAATTAGACTTTTTTGTGTTTC